CATTTGACCCCTTTCGGTCAAAATGGTCGGCTACGTCTTATTTCTCAAGTTCTTTTTCTGTCCGTTCCATGGGGGCAGAATCTACACCCGTTCTTCGGCTTGGATTTGGTTTCATTGCTCACTAGCATGCATTATTTCCATTCGATTTCGTCGCCGTTTATTTCTACGGCTTACATATTTCTTTCTCTCATCGTCATCGTCATAATTATATCTCTGGTTGGGCTTTCCTCTGATGAGCGTCTGGCCCTCTCTTTAAATAGGGCTATCTGGCTTATACAGCCATATAATAATAGTATATCTATATTGACTTCCGAAGGTGCATTCGAACAAGCATGCTGGGTCTAGCGCCGATTGCGTTGGTTTCTATTGACGCTTTTGATCCATCTTCTTGTCACATCCATCTAAAGTCGTAGAAACGAGTGTAGAGCCTCACAAGTCGGGTTACATCTCTGGTGACATGCCTTAGCCCCAAAATGTGATACAACCCCGCGTAACTTTAACTAAGTGGACGGTTTAGTGACAACCAGGTTTAACTGGCTCAAGTCATTCATACGAGGACTTTAGGTAAGGTCTCGGGTCGGATCTGCGGATAATGCGTGCCAGAAATGGTTTAGATTGGTAGCTAAACCCCGAGGCTAAGCTTTGCAACACGCCTCCGCACGCCACTACCAGACTCCACCACCTGCCACCACTCCCGCTCTGCTCTTCGGCAAATTCAGCCCCCAAACAACGTTCACTGATGGGTTTCCCGTAATGACGAACCTGATTGGGTGGGTTTAAGGTCACACATGGTGCTTTCTGACGGCAGCGAAGAAGAAGTCACCATCATCCTGGCTGGTGCATAATACTCGAGTTCGTACAGCTCGCCGATTTCAGGATGTCAGTCCAGCAGAAACGAGACGCACTTGCACGAGATGATATTAACAGGCATCAAGTGGCGACTAGCCTGTGATTGCGGGGTCGTCAAGCTTCTCTTGCAAGGATGCGATGCGATGCCGTCTTCATTTTGTGATCAATGTTTGGTCCTTTATTGGGCGCTTCTCGAGCATCTGACCACCAAAGCCGGCCTCTCCTGGACTCGCACATGGTTAAGCAAGCAAGCGCAAAACTTGTTGCATTACCTACTCCTTTGGGCCCTCCCGGCTGTACAATGCCCCAATTTCAAACGCACAAAGCACATCAATGCGCTGCCTTATGATTTCAAAAAGGCCTCGTACGGTCTCCCCGGTACCCTTGTGTTCCGGTGCTTCTAGTACGCTTTCACAACTCGCCAGTCTCATATTCAACTAAGATCTGTGCGATTGGTCATCTCATCGCTCCTGTTTGATCTTGGTAAGGCAATTGGACCGCGATTGCGCAACCTCATTTGGTGGGTTACCATTGTCACTATCCGCATCGTCTTATTCATCAATGACTGCGTCCAGCCATGTTGGCACGGAAAGTCAAGCATCCGGCCGTCAGGGGTGCCATATGGTGGCTTGATGGCTTACTCGCTGCCAGTCTATCGGTTTTGGGCATATCGCGGCACGGCCGCAACCAAGCGGCTAATATGCTCTTTGATACGAATCACTGATGGCTCCAATCCTAGCTTACATTGCACAAGACTTGTCAGGAAGACAACATGATTGCCTGGAATAGAGCCAACTATTCGTCAGATATGATAAAGCAATCTTTCGGGTTGCATCGAGCGTCTGACCTGTTTCAATGTCCAATCCGAATGGAATCATTCAAAGCTCGGACCGACCCAGATGATGCGCGAATTTGGGACAAACACGCAACAAGCATTACGTGCCAACTGTTCCTCCGTGCTTATCCACTAATTTCACATTATCCTAATCATAGCAGGGATTCTGCAAACCTTTCGAGAATCAGCGACCACTCTCCCCAAAATAAGCATTGCTAGACTGCAAAATGCGGGGTTAGAGCTTCAGGGTGTGACAACGTGACTGATTTTTCCGTCACAACACTGCATGCTTTGATTTAATTCGGATTAGGGGGCTTCATGGGTGAAGCGGGGAGGAGATGGCCGTAGCTTACAAAATCCTGGGCAAGACCTGAAAAATGGGAATGTCTGTTTCTTCTTACTTGTGATGAGCGTTGTTATTGTCGACATTTCTTATCTCTTTCTTCGATATTCTTGCCGGGCACTTGTATCCCTATCACCATGGTCGGACTGGTCAAGTCGACCGCAGTCAGTCAATCTGTCGTTGGGCGGACGAATGCAGAAAAGCGCCATGGAATCCTGGGAATGCTCCAGAACCCTTATGTCTTTGCGACCTGTACGTTTGCATCTCTAGGATGTATGATGTACGGGTATGATCAAGGAGTCATGGGTCCAATTCTTGTCATGGAGAACTTTCAAGCGCATTTCCCGTCACTCACCGGTCCTACTATCCAAGGATGGCTTGTCTCGGCGCTCGAACTTGGTGCGTGGGCAGGTGCACTTTTCAATGGCTATTTGTCCGATGCAATTTCTAGAAAATACAGCATGATGGTTGCAGTGTTTATATTCACACTTGGCACTGGCTTTCAATCTGGCGGGCAGAATCCGGCGATGCTTTTCGCGGGTCGTGTCATCGGTGGCATCGGCATTGGAATGTTCAGCATGGTCATTCCGCTCTATCAGGCCGAGATAGCTCCGCCTCAACTTCGTGGATCACTGGTCTCATTGCAGCAATTGTCCATCACCATCGGAACCACCATTGCTTTTTGGCTTGACTATGGATTGCACTTTGTTGGAGGCACCCATTGTCGTCCGGCTGGTGTCGATCCCGCCGCCGTCTACCATAAAAAGGTTTTCCAACCATATGTTGCGCATGGTCACACCTGCGAAGGAGAGAAAGCAATTTCGTGGAGACTTCCATTGGCTCTTCAGCTCATCCCAGCTTGGATATTATTCTTCGGAATGTTCTTCTTGCCCTTCTCCCCTCGATGGCTGATGATGAAGCACAGGGACGAAGAAGCAATCGCATCCCTTTGCAAGCTTCGTCGCCTCGATCGGCAAGATCCGCTACTTCATGCCGAATACCTTGAAATCAAGGCTGCCGTCGCATTCGATGAAGAAACTGAACAGGAGCTTGTGGGAGCGGGTGGTCGACTTGCACCATGGAAGAATCTTTTTCTCCCGAACATGCTCAAGCGGCTCGGTATTGGTTGCTGGATTATGATCTTCCAACAATTCACGGGTATAAATGCCATCCTTTATTACGCTCCTCAGATCTTTACCAATTTCGGTTTCACTTCAACTACGATCACCTTGCTGGCAACCGGCGTCACCGGCATCCTTCAGATTATATTCACCCTGCCATCAGTATTCTTCCTAGACAATTTTGGACGAAAGAGCTTTTTAATTGTTGGAGCAATTGGCATGTTTTGTTGCCATATTGTAGTGGCTGGCATCGATGGGAAGTACGAAAATGATTGGAAGGGTCATAAAGCTGAAGGGTGGGTCTCAATTGCGTTCATTTGGCTCTTCTGTGTTAATTTCGCATACTCTTGGGGACCTGTCGCCTGGGTGCTGACGCAAGAGATTTTCCCCAATTCTATGCGATCCCGCGGTGTCTCAATTGTTGCATCCACCAATTGGATGTTCAACTTCATCATCGGACTCACCACACGTCACATGCTGGATTCGATGAAATACGGGACTTATATCTTCTTTGCCATATTCTCAGGCGGCGGAGGCCTTTTTGTTTGGCTTCTTGTTCCCGAAACGAAAGACAAGACTCTCGAAGAGCTGGACATTTATTTCGGGGCAGCCGAGGAAAGCATCGCTGCTGCTGACAGAGCAAGAATGCAACGAATCAACGAGCGGCTTGGGCTCGCCGGTGTTGAGCGACCGGAGGACCTCCTAGATGAGAAGGCAGGTCCTGTGGCGGCCCATGATGAGGTGCGCTCTTGAAGAGATGATTATGGAGAGAAAAGGCCCTGAAGCCGCATTGGAACTTAAATAGCCCAGTTAGGTCCATGATGTCACCCCAAAATTAATACTAAGACCGGCTGAGCGCTCAGTAGTCTTGAAATGTCAGATTCGGCAAGGGGAATGACAGCGGCACAGGAGAGCATTATGATTAGTGAGGCTTCTATCAATCGTTTTCGTTGTATCACAATGTAATCTCATACGCTCTGTAATAAAGGTCAAACCATGGTCGATAGCCCTGTATTGTGAAGTCGATATGGAATTCATAAGCTTCGATGTAATAAGTCGTCAAGATAACGAAAAAAAATTGACCTATCCGAGCCACTTCCCCGCTTCTATTGCTTATCTTCCCCTCTCGTGTGGCTTTCCTATCTCTAGGAATAAGCAACAAAACAAGACGGGGTGCAATATCCGAACGCGTTACAGCACAAAGGGGATTTGTAAAGCTTGACAGACCGAAGGACGAGCGAGGGGAGCAAGATGGTACACGTGATCACTAACCGTATTAGTCCCATCGATAAGGATTTCTTCCTAACCGAGTCGTGATAACTTTCGACGGCGCGAGGGCGGCGAATGATGCGGCGTCTAAATAATATGACCCTGGTTCCTCGTCCAGCTCCATCATACCATACATTCAACCATAAGTCCTTCGTATCACCGAGATAACACGGACATTTTTATATCATATCGAAAATGTCGTTTTGAAGGGTCTCAACCGTGCGCTTCTCCTCGAAAACCACAATTTCCTCTTAAAAAATGATCTTTCCGCGCCAATTTCGTCCCGACTAACAACCCCGCGATTCACTTCAATGGCTACACCGTCCAGCCCTTCTTCGGGCTCGTTCCAATCTTTTGGTCAACTTTCTGAGGGCTCAAGGACAGTTCCAGGATCCAACAGTAGAGGGAAACCGAGAAACAATGACATGGAGTCTTCATCAGCTGCAGCCAAGCGGCGATGCGTCAGCACTGCTTGCATCGCATGCCGGAAGCGAAAGTCCAAGGTTTGTCTCCCAGCAACCTCCTTGCGACCTCTTTCACTTTTCTAGTGATTAGAATTCTTACTAATGCACCATTTACTAAATAGTGTGATGGCAATACACCCAGCTGTGCAGCCTGCGCATCAGTGTACGGAACGGAATGCGTTTACGACCCGAATTCGGATCACCGGCGAAAAGGAGTCTACAAACGAGATATCCACAATCTCAAGACCAAAAACTCGACACTACAGACATTGATACAAGCGATCTTAAATTTCCCCGAGCACGAGGTCCCAGAATTGGTCCGGCAAATTCGAACCTGCGAAAGTCTCGACGATGTTGCCGAATCCTTACTCGTCAAAGAGCACGCCTTGAATGACCAGTTGGGCGATCCGGACCAAAGTCCTCGTAGTGACGACAGTAGCGCCGATTATGTTACATTTGAATCGCAATTGTCTCAAAAGATGGGAGAGTTGAGATTGGAGAATGGCTCCGTCCGATTCTTTGGAGGAACGTCAAATCTCCTGCATAGTGCCGATTTCGATGGGGATGAATCGGCATTACACACGCCAGATGGAGAACAGTTTCCAGATGGGCAAGACTCAATCACATCGTGGTCGAATGTTTCTTCTGACAAAGAACTGATCATTCACCTCATCAACATGTACTTTACTTGGCATTACGCATACTTTACCACACTCTCCAGGTCACTATTCTATAGAGATTTTCTGAAAGGCAAGCCATCTGGGGACGTCCGGACAAAGTCGGAGTACTGCACACCACTCTTGGTTAATGCGATGCTGGCCCTTGGCTGCCATTTTACTTCATGGCCTGGGGCACGAGCTGATCCTGAAGATTCTGCGACCGCCGGCGACCACTTTTTCAAAGAAGCTAAACGCCTACTCATGGAGGACGATGAGTTAGAAACGCCGAAATTACCCACTGTGCAGGCTCTAGCTTTGATGTCGGTACGAGAAGCTGGTTGTGGTCGTGAAGCTAAAGGCTGGGTGTACAGTGGAATGAGCTTCCGTATGGCGTGTGATTTGGGGCTCAATCTTGACTCTGGGGGTATTTCAGCCAACAAGAATTCAAGCCTTGATCCGGCGGAGGAAGATGCTCGGAGAATAACATTTTGGGGATGCTTCCTTTTTGACAAGTTAGTGGTTCCATATTGATCCCGTTTGTTTCACGCTGATCTAACATATGAAATCTACAGGTGCTGGTCTAACTATCTAGGCCGCCAGCCTCAACTTGTCGCATCTGCCATAACGGTGCCTCATTTTGAGGTTTTCCCAGATGAGGACGCTGCCATTTGGTCCCCATATACCGACAGTGGGCCGATTGCCGCTCATGCTCAGCCGTCGAGGACGCGAGCTGTCGCTCTTCAGATATCCTATCTCTGCGAAATAAGTAGCGACATTATAAATTTTTTCTACCATCCATCGCGTCTGGAAAAGCCACCAGGCAAACAAGCAGAGCTGAAGAAGCTGAGTGAAGTTCATACAAGACTGGAGGCATGGAGAAAGAACTTACCCAAAGAGATGGAGCCCAGAGAAGGTGCTCTGTCCAGTGTGTTGGTCATGCAGTAAGTAAAAGTAGATTTTCAATTAAAACTTGATACCCGGCTGACCTTCTATTCCCAGCATGTTTTTCCAGCTCTTATTCATTCACATGTTCCGCCCCTTCCTCAAGTACAATCAAGCGACCTCACCGCTCCCAGCCAACGTTTCGCCACGGAAGCTTTGCACACAGGCCGCGACAATGATCTCGAAAATAATGCGGCTCTACAAGAGGACCTATGGACTCCGCCAAATTTGCAATATCGCAATATACATTCTCCACGCGGCCTGCACAATTCACATGCTTAATCTACCCGAGAGGAACGCCAGCCGGGATATCACCTACGGGCTCAAACATGCCGAAGAAATGGCTGAAGGGTGGCTCTGCGCTCGTAAGACGCTGAGCATTCTCGACCTCCTCGTGAAGAAATGGAATATCGAACTCCCCGAGGAAGCCTCTACTGTTCTTCAAAGGGCCGCTGGTCGGTTTGGCTTCCGACAATCAGGCACTGGCAGCACCCACCAGTCTCCTTCTATCAAGAACTCTCCAGTTAGCACCGCCACACCCGCCACCATCAGTGAGCAGCAGTCTTTAGCCGTCCCGCAAGGCACATGGCAGGATTCATACTTTCAGTCCTACCCAAGCGGCTTCTATCAAGGATCCGCAGCATCAACAGCATATGCCAGCGCCGTTGGCACGCCAGAGACTTATCAACATGCCACACTCTCACTCCCGCCCCAGTCGGCCGCTGAACTTCAAACCCTCAACAATCATAGACGCTACTCAGCAAATGCTGCTGCCAATCCTCATCAAGACCACAAACACTGGATGGGAGCGGGCGCAACAAACACAGGGGCGACACGAAAGCGACAGGCTTCTCCTGGCACTACACCCGCTCAATCAGGCCAAACTACCCAGTCAAATAATTCTCCAACCTTGCTGTTCCATGACGCTGGCGCCATCGCAGAGGACAGCCAGGAATGGCTGCTCCGTGAACACTCTGCGCTTGCTATGGGCTTTGGCAACTGGACTGGCGCTGGTGCTACTTCCGGGGCAGAAATGGATCCTCCCTTATTTGGTAATGAATCTACGGGCGTTTTTGATCAATCTCATAGCACTGGCGGCAATACTCAGCAAGGATGGTATTTTTGAGCGGGATTTAGTATGTTTGGGTTTCAGCTGCTTGTGGATTTCGGCTTTTTTGGGATTTTCGCCATTTTTGGATCTACAATGGTTGGTTTGGATTTGTTGGTATGACTTGGATGTATAGAGACGAAAGCGAGGGCGTTCTGTTTTTACTTTTCATTTTTGGTTGCTGTTAGATTATATCACCGTTTTTCGTCGCGGATGCGGATACTGTTGTTAGGGTTGCTCTTTTTTTTTTTTTTGGCGAAGCGACGGAATATGGGTTATAAAAGTTTACAGTCTCTCTTTTCCTAATTCCCCTCCCTTTTAAATTTTTTTTTTTAAATGTATATTACGAAACGATTTTCTTACTTTGTTACGATTTACCTTTCTATCCATTCTTTACCCTTCTTACCTCCTCTTCACCCACCCATTTTACACTTTAATGCCCGTCTCGTTTTCCTACGGATTCCATGGTCCCCATGGGAAATGGAAACGAAGAAAAGAATGTCAAGTAACGTTAGCACGATAGATGAAGAGCGGGTAGGGGCCACCTTAATCCCTCCTCTGCTTCTATATACTCCAAAATACCTACAAAGCTATAAAGGAGACAAAGTATGTGTATTGTATTATTAACGATGTTTTTTGGGAAGAGTGATTTATTTATTTATATACGATGCATGATGTATGGTGTAGAGACAACACGTAAATTGGTAGATGAGTAGATGAATAGATGTCGATGTTGTGTCGTGGATATTCTGGGTAGATCACATACGTACGTAGGTACATTTTTTGGCGAGGCATGAGTAAAAATAAAAGAATGGATAATATAGAGATGGAGGATTCTATAGAATTCATATCATGCCATCGTAATGTGCACTGCAAAAACTTGTAATGCGCAGGACGTAGTGACGAGCAAGGTCTAAAAACGCGTGAGACTTAGTAAGGGCGAGGCATAAAGATAAATAAACAAGACTACAACTAATACCGCTCAATGATCCAATCTCTACGAACAACAGGATCCATGTCCATGAGTTTCTCATGCTCGGCCCTTTTCACAGTGAGATAAGTCGCGACGGCCTCTGGGCCCATGGCTTCTGCGAGTTCCGAGTCGCTCTCGAGACTGTCAAGCGCTTCGTCCATGGATAAGGGGATTAATTGTGAAATGCCCAATTCATCTCGTCGCGAGGAAGTCAGACCTGCTGGGTCTTCGACGCAGTCTTTCCAGATGAGAGGTTCGCGCTGGGTGACGCCCTTGAGTCCGGCGCCGAGGAGGGCAGCAAGGACAAGATACGGATTCGACAGACCATCGACGCACTTGATTTCCCAGTGCGAGTCTTCGATTTTGCGCAGCGGGGTTTCGCGGTTCTGGGTGCCCCACGTGATGAATCGACCGCCAGACCAGTTGCCGTCGCCGAGTCTACTGTAGCTGTATTGGTTGGAATACGTAAAGGCTGCGATGGCGCGGAGGTGTTTCAAGATGCCGGCGTAGAAATGCTCGTATTGGTCTGGTGGTGACATGGATAAGTGAATGTGCGCGCCTGTGCCGGCAGCATGGACTACTGGTTTGGGGAAGAGAGTAGCGCGGAAGCCGTATTTTTCGGCAATTGCTGAAATGGCCTGACGCGTGGCGATCAGAGCGTCAGCGGCTTCGAGAGGTGGGAGGGGTCCTGTGATGAATTCGTATTGGCCGGGGCAGTTCTCCGGGTGGAATTGTTGGAGGTTTATCCCGATGGATTCGAGGCATGCGAGGATCTCTTCGAGCATGTCCATGGTTTTGCTGTCCTCGAGTGCGCGCGCAGCGGACCATGAATGGCCGTGGCCGGTGATGATGGAGAATTGGGTGCAATTTTCATTATCAAGTGAGCGTTTGAGAAAGACGATTTCGATTTCGAATCCAACGAGGAATGATAGACCTTTATTAGAGGCTTTGTCTATGATTCGACGGAGAACGCTGCGTGGACAGTCGCGCACTTCGTCGCCATTTGTGTGGCGGAATTCGCATTGAGCCACAATGGTCGATGAGCGCTGTCCGCGTCGTAAGGAGTCGAAACGCGGGTATAGTTTATTCTCGCCAGAAGGGATGAAGCCTCTGACCATCTGGTCGTCTTGGAGCAGACCGAATGCGCATTGGACAATGCCGATAAGTGTCTCGTTACGAAACATGTCGATGGCGCGGTTGATGGGCAAGATCCGGACACGAAGTGTAGCGGTGTAGTCCAGCCACTGAAGCCAAATGAATTTGATATCGCGGTGGAGCTTCAAGTAGGCTTCCAAAAGACCCAAGTTTTGGGCCCATGAGCTTTGGCCAGATTGGAGACTTGGAGACTTTGATGGTGCGCTGGGGACAGGAAGCAATTTGAGCTTGAGATTCAAGTTATAGAGTTTGTTTGAGGTATTGAATAGGATATCCTGAACAATTTGAGTCGCTTGGCGAACAGTGAGCACATCGTTCGAGACATAGTCATGGAACACCTGTCGGAGACGAATGGTCAGCGGGCAAATCTTCAACAAATTCTACGAAGGGTGGGGGGATATTACCTGTTGCATTGCCTCTCGAACTTGAATGACGGCCAACAGATATGTCTCAGGATAGTAATGACCATCCGTGCTCCAGGTTAGTTTCTCCGATGGGCAGAGTTCTAGTGCATCTCGAATAACCCTTCCTTGACCTTCCTGGCTGATCATGGGAAAGACTTCGCCAATATCCATAAAGACATTCTCATAGACGGTAGCTAGATATGCTGCTTCCTTGGTAAACGGATAGCTAGCGTGCAAAAGCACAAAGTTCACCGACGGATAAGCCTCAATGAATGATTGCATGTACGATGGAGATGACCGAGAAAAGATCAAATCATTGTCTCCAAGGCCAGTGTGGAATTGAAAAGGTTTCTTTCCATTTTGGTCTGCAGCTTCTGAGAGAATTTGGGCAGTGAGATGAACAAAATAAGGGCCAAGCTTCTCATGTTGCAGGCGGGATGCCTTGGCAGCACCTGATTTGGCCGCTTGAAGAAATGATTCCATGGCTGCTGAAGGGTCGATTTCTTGAAAAGGAGGAAGTTCAAGTCCAGTTCGATAACAAATGACTGACTTGAATCCGACAATTTCCTCCATCTTCATGAAGCGATTCATAACTAACCTAAACATGAGGGTCGTGCGAAGCACAGTTTCTTTGACATCAAAGGACGACTCCTTTGATACATTGCGTATACACTCCTCGGCGATTGATTCAATTCGGACGATCCGCTTGCAGTTTGACCACGTTAGTCGACTATGCCACTCATATGGGTGCACGGCATCCCCGCTGAGCCCATCATCGATGAGCACGGTTTCAATGCCTTCGAAGCACCTTTTCGCCCAGGCCTCATAATTCTCTTTTCGCTTCTCTTGAAGGCGGCTTTCGACTGCATCCCACGTAGGCCCACAATTCAAAATTTCTGCGAGTTGTCTCACGGCACGTAGATGCGCAAGTGTGGAAGCTGTATGCTTCAAAGCCAGCCCGGCAGCTTCAGTAGTGATTGTAATGAGCGAAGAGTTTCCAGCCCCATTGCCAAGAAGCAGATTGTGAGCATGATGGTCAATGATTGGAGTTCTTTGAATCGTGTCTACTAATTCCTCCATTTCCAAGATACCTGTCGACAAGATCGAGGGTTCTGAATATTATAAATTGAACGATCCTAATTTGGACTGACCAATATTAAGAGGGTGAGGTTATAAGAAGACAAGATCCTTGGAATTTAGCATGCAACAATCTGACAAGTGTCAATAAAAGAGAGGAAATTTAATGGCAGAGGGACGCAGATATATATTTCTAGAAACCAGTGCTGACATTGAGGTAAATTGAAAGTTTGTCTCAGGTAAGGGGCCACACCGAGCTCCACAAGCTTTCCCCGCGTTGTGGTGGCCCTCACCGATAAGAGGCGTTTCAGCCCCAATAATAGCGAGTTGTTCCACTGCCGGACGTGGGCGATTACCTGCAGCTGCGCGCCTGGATGGCATGTACAACAGTGGCCGCGGTCGGATGAGTGAGTTGCATCACTTCTTCATGGGGGCTGAAGACATGTCTCGAATGTGTATGTATAATTTGGATGACAGCGGACTTGAGGTGCGTAAATGACTGCTTGATAGCGAGTTGTCCAACTGTAGGGACAGCATCCCCCAGCATAGTTCAGTTATGCACGTCCATAAATGACTAGTGCGCACCAGGGCACTTTTTGGGTTGATGACGTCTGTGCGTATTCTCGCGACTTTAAGCTCCCGAATGCGATAGTGTTCGGTGGACCAAGCTCTCTGCTTTTCCCCAGAGATTCCACATATTATCCTTAGAGCCTTTTCACAAAAGCAATGTTAAGACAAATCAGACCATTTTTAAAATCAACTGGCGCTGGCGCCCTCAAAACATCTTGCTTGTCGAGAACCTTTCATTACTCCGCAAACAGCTCGGCGCAGAATCGAGTATATAATTCGTGAGTCCTTCACTTGTATCTTCCCTGGAGCCTCCATTATATTTCTCCAGTTGTCAGCCCTCTGCTCACAAAGTTGTATGAGTTGACGAAAAGGATCCGACATGAAGACGAATTCTCCTCTCTCCTCCTTCTATCCGCCAGCAACAATGTCCCCTTGGTGACTCTCTGGACAGCCTCATGGTGTCCTTCATGCAAGGTGGTCGCTCCCATGCTAAAAGACCTCATTGAGCGAGAGCGCGTGGGGGAGCAAGAAGGAGGAGTACATTATGCAGAAGTTGAGATTGATTCGCCTACTATTGGGGATTTGGCCATGAGATACATGGTAAGATGGCCATCAGCGTGAGGCAACGCAACTCATGTTGACAATTGCATAGATCACATCCCTTCCGACATTGCTATCATTCAGTCGAGAGGAGGCGCAAATGGAGACACGGGTCACCGCTTTAAAGGACCTGAAACGACCCGACTTTCTGAGAGAATGGCTCGAGGCAGAGGCTCGGAGAGGCGGTGCTGGAGGGAGCGGTGGCGGAGGACCATTTGGGTTATTTGGTCGATAAACGGTCCCCTCCGCAGCGCTAGAAGATAGAAGAGGCTTTACACATCTCACGGTCAGGATATGCCAGTGCGGGTTCCCGTAAATAAGCCATTGGGCCCTCGGGGCTGTCATTAGATTCATTTTGGCGAGACACACTCGTTCAATCTCTGCTGATGCATTGCAGCAATGAAAGGGGCGTGAGTCTCGCCCTCAAAATTTTATGACTTAATTGTCAAGAATGAAATCATATGTACAAGAAAGAAAAGTGGTATAGACATCCGAAACTGCGCCCATTGTTGTACAATCCCTCTAGAATCCATGCGGCCATTCGTCCAAGTCGGCCATCAAGTCGACCACCTCGTCGGTCGTCGAAGCATCAAGTGTTATGATTACATTTGCCCCAATCTATCTCAATCCTCGCTCCGTGATACTCTCCGCGATGTTATTTCCACTGGCGGTAATGATGTTTCTTTTCCTGTCGACTTGAAGCCTAAGATTTCTCCAACAAGTCCGCGGGGTTTCGGCACGGGACACTCCCGTCCACGAGGTTGAAAGGATACAGCCTCCATGTTTCCATCGAGATTGTCGGATGAAGAAGGTTCAGATTGCGTATTCTCGTCTGCTGGCGACATAGACTTTCTTCGCCTTCGCTTTTGTCCATTGACGTTCATTTCGCCATCCGCAAAGCTGGTTCGCGGTCCGGCGGGACATGGTAGGATATGGGGCAAGCCGACCACCGCAAAAGATGCTAGAAGAGTCGTCGTGAATAACGAAGTGGTCATTCGTGAGCGCGGATGGAGATGGGGAGGCATTTCGGGAATGCGGGCAGCTTCGAATTGGAAATGAGAGATATTCAACAGCTGTAATCTTAATTGTTCGACATCTGAGGTCGCTAATCCACCGGTCAGCCTCTCCATTGGCAAGCCATTGAGTCTGCAAAAGTCAAATTATCAATCCGGCATACCTATAGGGGCCTTAAGTAGGCGAAAAACACACCCAACAGTTGGCGTGGAGGGCGCTGTCTGATGAGAAAATGGAAGAATCGTGGTGTTGAATTTGCGGGGAGTCCAAGGTAAACGGAATTGATCCGACACTCATTCGCTGGTGGAAACCCGGGTCTTGGCATTTTTTTGGCGAGAAGCTTCCCGCCCGCAAGTGACAGCACTCCATCATCCTGGTTTTGGTACAAAGCTCCTCACCGATCAATCCTTCTTCAATCAGTTGTTTTGATATCTTACAAAAATGTGCGACTTTGCATGATACCCTTTCGCTCGTCTAGTCGGTTTCGGGTTGTTTTGCATCACAGATAGTTCGTCCTTGTTTTTCAGTCTTTTACGCTGCGGTTAGACGGCCTGGTCTTTTCATTTGGCAGGCAACAGGCGACTTGACGACATACCGCGAAACAACGCGCTTTCTTTGATTCCGATTTCACGCGCCAGCAATTAGAACAGCACACATCCTATAAACACCGGCTCCGCGCATTTGTGGATGATTCCTTTGATTATTTTCTGAGTTGCGGGCGAAAACAAATAAAGGCGCGGTGGCGCCTCAAGACCTCGGCCGCCACCAAAGGGAAAAATGAGCGACCTTGATAGGTATCTTAGGGCCCTTGACTGTGCACTATGATCTTAGCATAATTAGTGATGTTGTGTTTAGGGCGATCGCACAACTTCGCGCATGTCGACCAATACCGGAGCCTCAAGTTCGGGAGTTATGTTACAAGGCGCGGGAGCTGCTGATTGAGGAGGGCAACGTCGTAGGTGTTGATGCTCCCGTTACGGTTCGTATTCACACAATCCCGGCTTTGCGACTTGCACTGATGAATGGGTTACAGATATGTGGCGATATCCATGGCCAGTTTCATGATCTTATGGAGTTGTTCCGGGTTGGTGGTGATGTGCCCGAGACCAACTACTTGTTTATGGGTAAGGTTAATTTCGCATACTTTGTGCGCGACGAATACTTACCATTTTCAAAGGCGATTTTGTCGACAGAGGCTTCTACTCCCTAGAGTCATTTCTTCTGCTTCTCTGCCTCAAAGTACGATACCCTGACCGAATCACCTTAATTCGAGGAAACCACGAGTCGAGACAGATTACAACAGTCTATGGCTTTTACGACGAATGTCTGCGCAAGTATGGTAGCGCAAACGTTTGGAGGTATTTTCAAAGCGAATTATAAGTTCATGGTGCTTAGCTACCAGTTTTCTAACGATGTATTAGATACTGCTGTGAGGTTTTTGATTATCTGGCGCTTGGCGCCCTTGTGATGGGCGCTTCAAACACACTTGGAACGTCGACGTCTACCAGCACGAACGAGTCTGGAACACAATTGACCGAAGAGGAAGAGATTGAAATAGAGATCCTCAACTCCGCCGGTGATGTTATGAGCCGTATCCCGCGGAGTATGGCCGCTTCTTCGGACAACCATGAGACTGTCAATAGTTCCCCACTGAGCGAAACGAGCAGGGGTGCTCCTGCAAGATCCGGTCCTGTAGGGACTGGCGCCACAAGCGACAGTCTTGGATCAGTGGGAAATCCAGGTGGAGCTGTTCTCTGTGTTCACGGTGGCCTCAGTCCATTGGTAGAAACGGTTGACAAGATTCGCTTGCTAGATCGAAAACAGGAGGTGCCGCATGAAGGTCCAATGTGTGACCTTCTCTGGAGTGACCCGGACGGTGAGATATTTTTTCAGGCGGTTGAAATTGTGTAGCTATTTACTGATCGGTGCGCAGAAATCGAAGGATGGGGTCTCTCCCCTCGTGGCGCTGGCTTCCTGTTCGGTGCAGACATCGTCAAACTCTTTAACCATCGAAACAACCTATCTCTCATTGCACGCGCTCATCAGCTCGTTATGGAAGGATTCAAGGAAATGTTTGACGCGTCAATTGTCACCGTTTGGTCTGCGCCCAATTATTGCTACAGATGCGGCAATGTCGCCGCAATTTTAGAGTTGACCGAGGATGGTTCAAACGGCGGCTACATTCCAAGAGCCAACGGCGACGTTAACCGCACTGGCGATTTACTTGGCCCAGTGGCCGCAGGCGGACAGATATCTGGTCCTGGAAGGCGATACAGGGTCTTTGAGGCTGCACCGCAGGATTCGAGAGGCATGCCAGCGAAGAAGCCCGTCGCTGACTATTTCTTGGTTCGTACAAGAAGTCTAATTATCCTCTTCCTGCTCACCATGATCGCTAACCTTGAATCTCAGTAATTTGTATCACATTTCGGAGTTCCGGTTTGCAAATAGGGATGGCTAGCTGTGACGCCTACGAAACGGTTCTTTGTTTCCATTTTCTTTGCGAGCGCTCAAAATAGATATGACCATAACATCTCAACAATACATAATATCTCGGATCAGAGCAAATATTTCTCAAGTTTATCGCTTACATGCCGCCCGTTGGAGACCGCGGAATGGTTTCCGGCCCTGTTCCAGAGAAAACCCATCTAAACAGCCCCGACCCTATCAGCTCCCAAGAAAGCAGCTCGCCTCAGACTTTGATGTTCTACAAAGTTATACAACAAAAATCTGTTGTCCCCAATTCTCTCGAGCCCCCGTTTCATCGGCAAGATCAACAAATTCTTCCTCGCCGCGCGTTGCGGCTTCCATTGCCTTCTATGGTCTCTTGTCAGCCGTGGTCATGCTGCCATGTTGCTGCGCAAAACATTTGTCTCTTACCTCATCCGAGATTTCCGGAACATAATCCATACTTTTTGGCGTGAGCCACCAGAACACGGCTTTGCTACCGCACTGAATCAGCGCGAACTCAGGCAAGGGCCCAGAGATGCCACCGGGGAGTATGAGCACTCCGTTAGCCTTTATGGGGGCATGAGAAAAGTTGACAATGAAAAAGCCAACGCTTCTGGCGCCATCAGGAGATGTTCCTGAGAATAAACGAATATCCAAAAACGTGAATAATCTAGCTAAGATGGGCTCTTGGCCTGCAGCGCGGACCATTCGAAGCGGTTCGTCCAGCATTCTGGTAACGGAAACGTGGGAGAGAATGTTAGCAAACGCATCTTCCTTTAAAGCCCGGGACCACTGTTGTCCAATATAATCTCGGAATAGTGCAGTGAAGTTTCATTTTTCCTGGCTTACATCTGCAACGTGTAGTCTTCCCAGACTTTTTCTCTCCAGACTTTTTTCTCTTTCCAAGTCGCATCCGCGCCGCTGTCTTCCAAGTACGCAACGAAACCAACCAGGCTTTGGCTCTTCAAACGTGGCCCGTCCAGATCCGACCCATTCCCACTGAGCATTTCCTTCCGTATTGACCCACCGGATCCTCTTTCCAGCGCGACTATCTCGTCGAACAATCTTGCAACTGCTTCAGATGAAGAGAACCGCTGCTTAACCATGCTCAGCAGCCTTCCATCCCCTCCAATCACTTGTTTTCCCACCGGCGAAGGGAACGCGCAGTTTCGTGGAATCGGTCGGATGGAAGGTAATTTTGGAAATGCGGTTTTGAGAGACGATATGTCCCATTTCACGACCAACGAGGCATTGTTTGATGATGCGCCGGGCGGGTTCTTTGCGGCTGGTTTCTTGCCTTTTGCCTTGCGCTGCATTATTTTCGTTTTCCTTTGCGATCGACTATAATTTTTTTCTGGCGGTCGATTATACTGCGGGTATTGTCGATAAAACGTAACGTATACCGATACGGGATATGATCTTGGAGAAGCACCCTTGAAACCGGGGAAATGGCTGTGAGACGCAGTGATTTGAATTATGAGCCATATTCCTACGTATACCCTTACATGGATTGCGGTAATTTGGCTCTCGGCTTTTGCGCCTTTCTTTGTCTTAGAATTCATTGTTTGGTAATTCTAAGATTCCGGAAACGGTAAGATTGATGGACAAAGAACAGTGGGAAACACAGTATGCTAGGTTGTACTTTAGATGTAAAGCTATGTGAGGCATGATTCTTTTCGGAAATTAATTGAGCTTGCGGTTCATAATGAGGATTTGGTTAGAGTGAGAAATAATGATGCCATTGGAAATCATATTGTTTATGCTCCCACGGTGACTGATAAATCTTTAGTATTCTAGCTTAAAAAAACTTGCTTTCTTATTGCATTGGCAATTTTTCCAAATAATAATGATTGGCCACTTCCTATTAGACTTGTCCTTGTGTGATATTTTTTTTGCTAGTATAGTATTTCCTCGACAGCCATGGTGTTGGAGTTGGTCGGAGTTGATAAGGGTCCGATAAACATGGGAATAACGGTTAAACTGCGGAAAAAAACATCCGTGTTTCTACACGCGAAACACGAGGTCTATCGAGCTGTTCCACGACTTAACGCTTCGGCCTTTCAAGCCTGAAGAAATGAGATTTAATTTCCTAAGAGCTAGTCAAAATGGATGCATCAGATGATAGGGATGTCAAATTACAACGCGCTTCTGCGGATCTGCTCTCAGACATTGAACGTCGGCTGCCCAAGCTGCTCCGAAAAGATGGTTCCGTCAGACAATATGTCAGACATGGCAGCTTGCAGAAGCTCATAGATTTGGTAGGACTGTACTTGGTCACGAAATCGAAATTTCCAGCTGATCATTTTAATTTAGCTCGAGCCCTTTCAAGAAATGCCACAGCTGCTTGATCCGAAATTAGCTACTTTTGTCCCCGTGATTGTGGATGCATTTGTGGATTTTCTAATCCTCCACAAAGGCTCATATCCAAAGTCGGACAAGGTGAAAAATGATGCGATTCCTCTTCCACGGGCCATTTGTAGGCTTCTCTACGTGTTGTGCAAAATCAGGGGAGAAAAAGTGATCTCCCGCTTTTTTGACCATCGGCCAAACCTTCTCGAGCCGATGCTAGCAGCATTCGAAGCCTGGGGAAAGCAAACACGCCTCACTGGTGAAGATGACTCTCATCCAGCAATTGTACGATTGACATGGGAAGAGAAGTATATCATGCTTCTCTGGCTATCGCAGCTGCTACTGGCCCCTTTTGATCTCGCCAATCTATCTTCCGCGGTTGTTACGGCACAATCTCTTGAAGGACATGGAATTGTTTCCTTTAAGCTGCCTGATAACGTGCCATATATTGCAGTCCGCACACTTACATTGGCCCTAGAGCACCTACCGTCCGCTGGCAAAGAGCGGGAATCAGCGAAGACTCTTCTTGTCAGGCTGACAGTGAGGCCGGATATGAACAAGCTGGGTCTCTCAGAATGTGTCATCCGGTGGGTAATGGAAACTCTAACCTCCCGTGGAGACTCAAGCGGAACCAACCCATCCCTTTATGAAGCCGTGGGCATCCTTTCCTTCTTGGCGGGTGTCCTTGCGGCGGGCGAAAAAGGGATCGTAAGCCCATTCATTGTGCCCATATATCGCAGCGCATTTGCTATTGCTACGGACGATAAATCTTACGGCTACCTTACGGGCTCAGCTCTTGGGAAAAGGATGATAATCAAACTCCTTCGTACTATTGCCATCTTGACACTGCGTCCAGAAACCCGCTCTGCAGGCGGCATCTCAGAAGAGACGGTCTCAAGCATTTTGGAAGATACAATTGACTACTTATTGACGTCATTAGCTGCGGCTGATACGCCAATAAGATTTGCGGCAAGTAAGGCTTTGAGTCAAATCACATTACAACTCGATTCAGACATGGCAGCAGAAGTTGTTGAAGCAATATTGGGGTCACTGAACGAAGACGTTTTGGCAATGGAAGCGACGAGCTCATCAAATTCTGCTAACGACGACTTGCTTCGCCAGCGGACTATGAGGAAAAGTCTGGCTACAGTCAACCCAGGGCGATGGCACGGCTTGGTTCTCTCACTTGCACAGCTTCTGTTGCGTCGTTCGCCTCCTCAAAGCCAACTACCAGAGATTCTCAAGGTGCTTATGAATGCGCTGACTTTTGAGCAACGCTCAGCGACTGGTGTATCAGTCGGCGCGAACGTAAGAGATGCAGCATGCTTCGGGATATGGGCAGTTGTACGAGGATATAGTACGCAACAGCTTCTTGCAATTGACGTGAAAAGCATCGTCAGGTCCTTGAACAGTCAATCTGATATGACTGTCTTGCACGCTTTAGCAATAGAACTTGTTGTATCCGGTTGCTTGGACCCATCTGGAAACATACGAAGGGGTTCCTCGGCCGCTTTACAGGAACTTATTGGCAGGCATCCTGATACCATCATAAATGGAATACCTCTCGTTCAGGTTGTCGATTATCACGCCGTTGCCCTGCGCTCCAGGGCGCTAACTCAGGTTGCGTCCGATGCTTCAAGACTCGGCAAGGTCTACTGGGAAGCTCTGTTTAGAGCAATGCTGGATTGGAGAGGCATAGGCTCTCCTGACGAAGTATCTCGGCGAATGACGGCGAAAGCGATAGGACTTCTGTCCGAAATAATCGATGGTACAACGGCGAAGAGAATGTTTGCAGATATTACCTCTGTGCTTGGAGCATTGCGATCTACGGAAGTCGAGGAAAGACATGGACTTTTACTTGCACTTGCTTCTTTGCTAGACTCTGCGATCTGGCAAAAATATAATGATCAAAACCTTTCCGACGCAGAGCTCTCTTCATTGCTTGGAAGAGACTTTCCAAGTCAGATCCTGAGTCAGGTTTCTGCTTTGCCTGAAAATGACTTTGTTGCGTTCAGTAGGCGCCCTGAACTGACTGCGGAGGCATCATGTGTGCTTGTCTCTTCGCTTCTTAGAAGATGTCAGTTGCTACAACTCAGCTTAAGTGACGAGGACTTTGGTGCTTGTCTGCGGATCATATCCCTATCACTACCCAGATCCGATGAAGTGACCATCACATCCACCTCGACGGCCGCAAGGAATCTTTTCAGCGTCTTAAATTCGCAAAGGAGATCCGACCTCGTCAGACAATGGATTGATCTCCTTGTCAATGGGAAGAAGTCTGTGGTGACTCCCAGTGGACATCTTGCATCGCTTGGTGCTGTCTTTGCCCTTGTCTCGGGCGATAGAGGAGAGGGGCTCTCAAAAGATCAAAATGACATCCTCAATGCCATATTGTCTTACTGCACTGAAAATATAGCTGTTGAGTTTAGAGTAGCAGCACTGCAAAGCCTTCGAAACGGAGTAATCAAGAGCAAAAGTAAGCTTTCAAACCAGGACTGTCTATTTCTGCGCTAATCTTTATAGCGATCACATCTGCTATTGTTGATGCACTGCAAGCATCCCTTAGAGATTACTCTGTCGACCAGAGAGGCGACGTTGGATCCTGGGTAAGGTTAGAAGCTGTAGATGCAGTCTGCGAAGCGTGGAAGCACCAGCTGCTTTCCGATGCAGCCCAACGACTTCTGCTGCCTGAGGTTTGCCGTCTGGCAGGAGAGAAGCTTGACAAGGTTCGATATCGAGCCTGGCTATGTCTAAGAGAACTGGCGGCCCTACATTCTAGTACCCATGCTCTTAGCCTTTTCAATTGGTAAGCTATCCTCCATCCCATTGACTTGTCTATTATCTAACTGTTTAGTTCATCTCCGGACCTTGCATATGTCTCGACCGAGACTTACTTCAGTCAGCTACTTCAATTGCTTTTATCGGACATATGCGGGTTAAGGTTACCCTTGCTCGAAGGAATTTTTATCTCTGCTGGCGGAGGATATGAATCACTCCTTCGGGCGTCGCGAAACTCTCTTGCAAAATTTGTGTACGAGCTTTCCGTGGAAGGTGGAGGTTATAATCTGGTGGAATTTTGCAAAGATATCAACCAGGTGATAAAGACAAATCTCTCAAACGATCGGGTCCTCATACCTAGCCTCGATGTCGTCTCTTATCTCTTCGATACCGGCTCTCTTCAAAGAGCTTCGGAGGCTAGGGGAGAAACAGGGTAAGATGAAAATCTTCCTCCAAAAATTTTAGGACTTAATTTCTGACGAAATTCGCAGGTGGCGCGCTCTTTTATCGCTCGTGCAAAAAGCTCATTATAAATCTACTAACATGCCGAAACTATCCGCTGCCATACAAGTGTATGCTGGATTGGGTGAAATTCCGGCAATTAAACAAGAGTCGCTTTCTAAGTTGTTGAGTTTACTATTACATCCGTTTCCACTGGTAAGTACCAGGTCCGTTCCTACTATTGCCCTGATATATTTCTAAATCTGGGAGACAGGTTCGTAATATGGCGGCTGAAATAATATTCACGACACTGCTTCCGGATTCACAAGTCAATACCTGCAGCGCGGAGCTTCAGCGCACCAATTGGTCTGCCTCGCCAAAGGAGCTTAAAGAAAGAGTCAACAAGCTTAGAGCTGCATTAATAGAGACGCGATAACAAGTTGTATAGAATAGTTGTTAATTTTACTCTTTACAAATCATATAGACGAGTCATTAGCAAATATACCCAATGTTAATTACGTTCGTACACTCCACATATGCTTTTATGTCGTATTCGAGATGAAGGTTATCAAGGGGTGGAAAAAATACATGTACAGTGACGACAATACGTGTAGGGCTGGATCATACTTTGGCAGGGGTTAAAGATTCGGGGGTTCTGCGTTTGATGACTCCCTTGCTGACCGTACCGCAATTGTAAACGTCATTGTATACAACATGGTATGACTACCTCACATATCTCTACCATAACTTCAGAAATAATAAATACCGCCACATTATTCTCAGGACCCATGTCTTGTCACTACACTTTGATCATTTAAATATAGATAGATATAAATACCTGTTCGAAAGATTAAAACCGCCACCATACCTCTCTCAACCGCAAACCGCCTCGCGCAAATACTGCGCACCATGTCTACCACGACAAGCAAGTCACCTTCTGTAGCGGCATCATGGAAGCCCATCTTCCTCTCACACATTGGAAAGATGCCTTCGCCTGAATTTGTCTTTTCCAGCCTCCATCCAGCCCCAAGCGGCTCACCGACACCCTATGTTCCTCGGGCACGATACTGCGTCTTCCGCGGAATGTGGACGGAACTACCTCACAATGAGCGCAACGAGGCCCCTCGTAATGAACAAATCTACGAGAGCGAATTGCCTACATTTACAACAGATGTGCGCATGCAGAAGGCTGCGGAGATCTTCACGTCTTCGGCCGGCCACGGAAACCCCGAGCAATCGACTGGCAGTGGCGGCGGCGGGCCGGTCGAGGCGGTCTGGTGGGTCAAGGACGTCATGACGCAGTGGAGAATTACGGGAGAAGCTTTTGTGATTGCGGACGATATTGAAGGCGGAGGAGGCGAGGAAAGTAGTGGCGTACGTACCGTAAAGAGCGAACTGGGTACGCGCATGAGGGTGGTCAAGCCTGGAAAGGAAATGGAGTGGAGCTGGGGCAAAGAAGTGACGGCCCATTTTGGGAATATGTCCCCTGGAATGAGAGGTGAGTGTTTACAATTCTCTGTTTTTCTGTTTTTCATTTATCTTTTTTTTTGTGTGGAAGGGGAAGTAAATACAACATTTGCGGAATCATGGTTGTCATTTTTTCCATTGTTCTTGAGTCCCAGAGGCACTTTTGGTACAAATCTGACGAATGCATTTCTAGGTTCTTTTCGAGGCCCGCCCCCAGGGACGCCAGTAACGGGTCCTCCGCCGCCCGGGCAAGAATTAGGTCAAAAAGTAACTGATCTGAATGATCCCATTGCTCGCAAGAATTTCCGTGTGGTGGTGATCAAGCCCGAGACGGTTGAGCAGACAGACTTGAGCGATCCTAGCACTTCTCGGCGCTGGCGTTGGACGTTTACTGGGGATGGTCAAGATGGGTGGAAGAAGGAGGAACTGTGGCCATGATTTGAAAAAAAAAAAAAAAGTTTATTGCAGCAGACTTGGCCGCAACTAGCCGCAGTCCATTGTCATTGCTGTTGAAGATCCTCTTCCCCTCTTGTCATTAGAGCTTAGAGGTTTGAAGATTATCAGATTATCGGCACCTGATGAACCCCTTCAGCGAGCTATTTGAATCGCTTAAATCAGATCCAATTGAAAAGATCCTCGAGCGTCGAAACAGCGGTCATGACTTTTCATCTTGGTCTAGAATCAACCCTTTCCATATTCCATATTTGATGACATTAGAATCTCTTAGGCAGCGTTCAACATACCTTTACACCAATCTGAAATCATAACTTCTCTCATCGTACAGACCCATGATAATACTTAAAGTGACTTTTTACCGCGGATCATCATTGCAATCTCATATTCCATTCTAGACCTTCTCGTACAATTAAACCTTTTCATTCTCTTAGATTACAACAAAATACTTATCTCGGACGCTTCTGACCAAAATTGTTTGAATTTCCCGAAACCCGTTCGAGTGTCGAGGCTATGATACTATTGGAGCACCGGGAAGCAGTCAAAACGAAAACGCCACGTTGCGCGGTCCCAGTTGCTCTTGCCCGCCAAACAATACACAAAACAAGAAGCGACGAAACGACGACTCTTCTATCGTCTTATCCCAACTTCATTTATGCGTTGAAAAACGGCATTCTCTCTCACGATGCTAGTCATAATCGGGTCAATGATTCCTCTGTCCGTCAGGGTTTGTGGCCCAGCACAGCCTGTAGCCCTCAGCGCTCAGCCCTCGTGCATGTGGTTTCTGGTCGATGCTGGGAGTTATGTAAATGTGCCACGTTGCAGTTCGTCAGGATATTTATGCGGCGGATCTGCCAATGATTAAATATCTTTTGATTCTGCGTTTTCTCAATAAGCATACTGGTGAGTAATTTCTTTTGTCTGGACATCAGTGATAAGCTTTTTCATCTTTTATTCTTCATGCTGTCATGTGTTAGATTCCTTCTCTATTGAACGCCTTCAGCCCGGATAAACCTTGAAAGAGATTCTAATGCTAATTCACGGTTTTCGATGGACGGTATAGCATCAGTACACTTGTACCGCTTTTACCTCGACACCGTGGAAGAGATCAACTCTTACGCCAACATTTACACGCAGCTTAAATATATTTGTCCAGTATAACTGTATATCTCTAAGGGCAGTGACGCTGCGCCCTCGCAATATAAAATCTAACCACCCGTGAAAAACATATCCTCGTCTATTATATCCCATCTTTTCAACACCAACTTTTCAACACGACCAATTCTCATCCAAAACACTCAACTTCAAACACACTTTATTCAAACATGACAGCCAGCTCTCTCCAAGCTACTTCCTCGACTAGCGGGCCGTCCATACACGCAAACATCGGAAACCACATGCCCCTACCACGAGCACCTGCACCTACACCTGCTTCTCCGAGAGAAAAACTATTAGCGACACTTCGGACATGGAACAGGAGTCCAGACGAATTTCTACGTCAGCTCCCAACAGTCGACGCACAACACGCAGAAGTGGCCATGTTTCTGTATGATATCCTAACTCAAAGATTCGCGTACCCTGAAGACAAAGCAATCAGCTTCGTCACGAGCAATCGCATCTCGGGGTGGGGATTACGACGCCTGACTGAAGAGGACTGGTGTGCTCTCTTGGGGCCACGTATGGGCTTGTTGGTGTATCTCGACCTTTTGGAAGTCTCGGAGAAGCAGGCGCTGAAATATGTAAGTTTTGTTCATCCCTTGTTTTTTTATTCTTAATTTTTTCTTTGTTGGTTTATTTCATTTCTTTTCATGTTTTTTGTTTTCCTTTTTTTGGGTATTATTTGATGAATGAACGAATGAACGAATGACTGACTGACTAACTGATTGATTGCAATAGGAACTCGTCCAAAAGATCAAGTCTATAAATTGGTTTCTGGTTTGGATGCTGACATCATTTGTTTTATTTTTCATTGCCATGGCGTATTATTTCGCTGGATTGCCTGAAAAGGAGAAGGAAAGACGATGGGCGATTTGGGTGGCCGCGGCCTGTGTCGTGAGTTTCCTCGGTTCTATGGTTTGTACCTAGGGAGCATTTGACCAGACGATTGGTCTTTTTGGTGGAATGTAAAAGGGGAAAGATGGGCCATGGTGGCCCGTGGGTTTAGTGGTATCTAGAATTTTTTTCTCAGTTCTTTCTTGTTGTTTGGTTTATACAGTGATGCATTTTAAAAGACTTAATTGGAATGGATCTCTTAATATGAGTCATGACTGTATGACTGTATACAGTATGACATGTAATATAGCAAGGTATTTATATAGAGAGTACTATAGTATATTGGTAAAGATGTCATGTCTCTGGTTTATATCATTAATTGTCATTATATCTTTAGTATTGAGTTACTAGATAATTTTAACAACTTATATTACAATTTATAAACATTTTCTAGTAAGTTATAAGATAGATGTCAATTAAACAGAAACATGTATATAGACTTATAGTCAATATTTATTATGACTTTCAACTATATCTTGTCTATAAATATTACAATTTACCAGAACACGACAAGAATGATACTTGCTTTACTCCGTATATGAGTCTACGGTAACGCTATCGTACAAGTAATCAAGAGTCAGGAGTTCAAGACGTCGACTGGAATCCTGGAGCAGGTCAAAAAGAGCGTGGGAGTGTACACTGTATGAAATGCATGGAAGTGAGACATTGAGACAGCCGCGCAGTTACACTACACCGTATAGCGTACTGCATGCTATGAAAACGTGGGCTGTGGGCCGTGGCTGTCTCATAACTTACTACGTACATCGATAAGCGGACCACACAACAGCAGAAAAAGTTGAGAACTGAGACATCGACAGAAAAGTGGAAGTTGCCGTAACGTAGGGAAAAATTGGGACCGAGATACTCAGATACCTGCAGACCTGTAGACTTGATCGAGAACCAACACCCTTGATCCTAGAACGGAAATATCCGCTGCGATGCAGTGATGCGGCGATGCAGCAGTGTAGTGCATGATCTCATACGTAGTATTCTGTAAAAAAGCATCCGACAAAAAGAATAGAAAAAGGAAACCAAAACAAGAACCCGGAAAATAAAAATGAATAAAATGAAAGAAAAAGGGAGAAGAAGAGCGAACAGGGAAAGGAAATAAAAAAGAAAAAGGACCAAAAAAAGGTGAACCAAAAAAAGGATAGTTGGTGGAATGGTGGAACGGTGGAACGGTGGATCGTGGATGTAATGCGCAATGCACATTGACTTACCTATATGTTTGTACGACACTACACAGTTCGCAGTACGCTGTACGCCTGTTTGGGGCAATCCTTGCGAGAATGGGGCTTCTTGGGACGGTCATGTTTTTCTTTGTCCTACTGGAGAATTATCGATGCTTTTGGATGCTTTTGGATAGCTAATTGGAGTGAGTTACTGACAAAGCATAAAGTCCAGAGGGATAACTATGGGCAGTTTGAAAGTAAGTTTCTCGCCAGCATTACATTAAATGCAAGCAATAGCGATAAAAATCCGAGTACTTTAACATTAAGCAGCAGCGACGAAGTGTGGAATCTAATAATAATGAACCAGGGTCATGCTACGGATCAAGGAACAAAAGAGCCGTAGTGTCCGAACCCTGGAAACCCCCCGTCTAGATCCCGCCCTTAGCGTTGAGCAGGGTCAGACTGCCAACGTACCTGTGCTGCAACGTCTTTTTTTTTGCATCAGCGCACATGGATTGAATGGATGGATGGATGGATTGTACCATGTACCACTGGCAGGCTGGCAATCTGTGCTCAAAAGAATTCCAAATATCCTGAAAAGGGACAAGCGGATTACAGGCATACTAGGCATCTAACGTACAAGCGGCGACAAAGGGCGTTCGCCACGTTATAGGGCTTATGTATTGTTGGCAAGAAGAGGCGGCCAACTGGGGTGCGGGGCACGGAGCGCATTCCACACCTCGTCACCTCGTCACCTCAATCACCTGTTTTGGCTGATGATTCGAGGAAAACTACAGAGTATTTGATCTTTTGGCTGCCTGAACCGCTTGAACCGGCGCGATATCCGCTGTTCACTGAGTGGCCCTGCCGCAATGATAATAATAATAATAATAATAATAATAATAATAATAACACCTGGACCCCGTCAGTAAATCCGAGTGGTTCCGTGGCCCAGAATTAGAACGTAATCGTTTGCCGCCTGGTTGCGGCGTAGCAGTACTCATAAAGTGGACAAAGGAAAAATCCCGAGGGGGTGGTGTATCGTAGTCTTGGTGTCATGCACAATGGGGTCTCGCACGGGTATCTCGTTTAGGAAGCTCCACCGATGCACCTGGATTGATTGAGCGTTTGTTGCGCATGGGCGACTGAGCCCATCTCGATGAGCTACAGACTATGGTAGTACAGTACGTAATGTTCTGCATTGGAACATGGAGAAGAAGATAATGTGTCTCTGAAGACAGTCGTGTATCTTATTTGCCCTCTGGGGTGCCACTTGCCGGAGTTTGCCGCTCAATACTTTTATCTCGGATATGTCCCCATGCTTGGTGCATCTTGACTCTAATGGCTACAAGGACAGAGAGCGTTACAAACAACTACTGATGATAGGGTCAGCCAAGGATGTTTGAGTAGAGAATAGGTCTGTTGGCAAAGGGATCGATTGAGGCAGCAATTCTACTTGATGATTCTATGATATTCCAAATGCTTTGCATATTACTGTAGGCACTTACAGGATCGAGTACTCCGTACTCCGCACTTGTGAATTAACGTATGAACATCGAACTCGACTTGCAACGGTTCAACGGCGAATCGTCAAAGATTTGGCATTCGTCTTACCGACGCGACTAGAACCAAGCTTAAAGCATCTGACCACCACCACCACCCCAACTCTTAGATCTGAGTCTTTGCTCTTTTCTTCTCTTACTTGCTCCGCTTGTCCTGACTGGGAATCATCTAGATGGTTTACTTGCACTGTCAATTAGTCATTTGGGATTAGATTCGATCGCAGACCCTTTTGCCCTTGATCGTTGGCATCGTGGCCGGATCGGGCCGTCGCGAGAGGACTCTCTGACTGTGGTGAGTGGGCGACTGACTTTGCCTACTGCAGTAAAACGTGTGGAAGAAACACGCGCACGCAGGCAGAGAAGCGAGAAGCAACACGAGCGAAGGAAGGAACGAGGGGAAAGAAGCGACTGGCCTCGACCCCATCGAACCCCCTCGCCCCCGACTGACCAATCGACCAACCCGGTTGAATCGAATTGAATTGAAAACGTCCCCATTCAACAAGTCATCTACGAGTAACGTTACGTAGAGTATCTCCTTCTTCCGACCGCCGACCGCCGACCGCCGACTGCCGACATAACGACCAATCTACCGCCTTCCCTCTCCCTGTTGTTCTGCATTTGTTGTACATGGTTTGTCCCAGGGTTCGTTTTTCCTTACCCGGGACCCTGCTCGGCCCTGAACCACAACCCACCCACTATGACCAAAAAACCCCCCTCGCCCCTTACGAGCCCTTGGCCTTTGACCCTTGACCCTTGGCACCCCGTTGCTCCCCTAGCTCATTACTTTAGTTATTCTGCTCTACCTTGAAGCAGTAAAATTTGTACCACTCGTTCTCTCTACTGCGACACTGTGCGAGAAACTAACATAATCCCCTCCATCCCAACTCATCCCACTGACAAAATTTCCCCTCCCCCTTCTCAATCGTCTGCCTGCCCCCCCCCCGTTGCTCTTAGTTGCCCCCACCTGCCTGACCGGTGAGAACGTTGGCCCGTCGTGTCGAAAAACTACCTTAAACATTGGCTCCACCTCTGACGGAAGAAGAACCTCCCCCGATCCTCGCCGTAAGATGTAGCAAAAGACAACAACGGTGTCAGTCTTGCGTTGCATCACCATCAATTACCATCCTTGCAACTTTACCGACTTTTCTTGTCCACCGCGCCCAACGTCTCGCCCTTCTCCTCTCTCCAGACACCCAGTCTTGCGCTGGGCCACGGTGGACTGACCATCTTGCGCTTGAGAATCACGAGTTTTTACTAGTTGGAAAGGCCAATTCCGCTTCTCTCTCGGCCAGTCGTGATTTTGCGTTGAAGGCTTCAACTTCAACGACAGTCGCGCTCCCCCTACTATTCAGAATAAATAATGGACGCGCTTCAAAGTTTTACTCATCTCACCGACAATATTCCCTCCTGGCTCTCCGATCTTGACGATGTGGTGCAGCAGATCAAGACCTACCAAACCGAGATCTCGAACGTTGCAAAGCGGAGCGATCGCGACGATGCGAACAACGATGGCGCCGACATTGTATCGATAAAGTCAAAAGCCAAATCACAAATGGGCTCCAATACTTCTGTTATGCCGATCGAGGAGGGCGATAATATTGAGAGACCCACGGCTTTTGCGAAAGCTCAAGCCGCCCAAAACCCTTCTTCACAACCTTGGCCCTCCTCGCAGACACCTCGCAAGCGCAAAACAGACTCTGTCTTATCAGGGCCAAGGCAGGACTCACTGCCATTACGCCGAAAGAGTGTCGTTGTCTACTATGACTCAACGATTCAGAGCTCGTTTGAGGCATTGGTACGCGACATTAGCGTGGCGAGAAATAATCTTCGCAAGGGGAAAATGGCTGCTCGCATGAAGCAGCTTACATCCTCCATGGCGAATGATTTCTCTGGTAGACCTTCTTTCCCCAATAGAAGAGGGCCACCCATGGGCCCGAAGCTTGGATATGCACGAGCCGGGCGTGACTCGCAATCGCCAGGCTCCTTTGGCGGTCAAGCACCCGGAAGTCCCTTTGATGAGGCTGATAAGGGCCTCGAGAGGGCACAGAATCTGACCGAAGTAGCAGCCCATCAGTTCCTAAGGGAAGGTGATTGCGGTCCAGAAATGGACGGCATCAAAGAAGGGCTCGAAGAGGCAAGTCACGTAGCGGAAAAAGAGGTTAAACGTCTACGGGAGGAAGAGGAAAAGGAGCAAGAAATGGAACGAAGGAGAGCCCATACTCGACAGACTGATCAGATTGAGGCCGACGATGAGGACACCGGGTCCGAGTCGGATGGCAGTGGCTAAGATATACGTATGTAATTTGGTGCGTTCAGCGATTTCAGCATTTCAGCATGGTGTTTGGTGCTCTTTTACTCGTGTGCTTTGTCGGTTAGGTGCAAGCATCATGGGGCTTTTGTTCAATTGGATAGCGTCATGCTCAATTTACCTTGATATTTTGATTCCATGTAAATCTAGCAAAATTTCACTTTGAAAGCTGACTGTCTATTTCTGTGGACCTTTATTCGTATGAACGTACTCTTGTGCTCGGAAAAGTAGTCCGGTTGTGGGTTTGCTGCTTGGCTTCGCAACTAGCATGCCAAGCAGTAGTCTGAGCCAAACTTTGTCCTTGCCCTGGCAGTGAATCTTGGTGAGCCTGGTGCACAGAATGTATCGTGAAAGTTAGTATTCGAGCAACTTTTACTCTAGACTGTACTCCAGAGAGAGAGAGAGAGGAGAAAGGAAAAATAATCCTCTCTTCACACGTACACACTTCAGCAACCTCTGGGCCCACAACGTCACTTCCATCTCTACAGGCTTGACATCTAGACAATTAAACAGGCCTACTAGAGATTGGATTCGAAGATGCAGAGCCCTTCACCTCCTCCTCTGAAGCATCCAGCTCAAGAGGATGATTGTATGCTTGCTCCAATCACTCCCAGAAAGGTCAGTGTTAATGCCTCGAACGTAATCACTGAGCAGACCCGGAGAACAAAGGAGAGCGAGTATTAGCACACATGAATGTCAAGAGTCTCTAATATAATTGTTTGAGAGATCTCAACGACGACGAGCTTCTTAACTGACGTCTACAGAATGCGTCCGAGGTCGCTGTCTCTCCAGTCCCAGACTCTAGACCTACAATTGGCAAAGGCCGATGCATTACACCTGACAGTGTTTGCCAGCCACCAGCAAAGAGGAGACGCAAATGCCGCTCCGGGCGGCGTCTTGAAAAGGGTTTAAGCTTGGATAATATAATCCCAACTCCAACTCGGCAGGGAGGAAGTCTGAAGAGAGTCTTGCGTAAAAAGCATGTCTCACCTCTTGCAAAGGCACGCTACTCAACTCGAACTGCTGTCAATGGCGGAAGGCGAATCAACTACGATGTGAAAAAGCAATATGATGTAAGTGAGAAACTCGCTGTCCTCTGCATGGAAGCTTAGAGTTGCTTTTCATGGGAAACGAATTGACAATTGTTTAGATGATGCTCGGCCGTGGCTGGCTCAGTCAAGGCGTGAAGAGAGCTCATAGCTTCAACACTAGCGACGATGCTGCAACTACTGAAGGTGATTCGTCATTGGCTTATCTTTCAGGGCTAGATCAACCTGAGATTTACAGCTCGCCATTTGCCAAGCCTATTCCGCGCAGCTGGGCGGAGCTGAATCCTTTTGATAAGCGCATTTATTTGCTTCAGAAAGGCGATTCGCCTTTTGACCGGCCTATTCCAAAGCTCTGGCCTGAAGTGGTGAATCTACTCCTCGACGAGAAGCTATTGACTGAGAGTCAGCTTGAAAATGCTGGTGGTGAAGATGCTATCGCTCAACGCTTTGAAGCCATTCGCAGTAATCTTCGAAACTGCGTGGAAGGGAGTAATGATTCCAAGGCTACAGACCACTCTGGACTTGACAATTTCAGAGAGATTGGTCTATTCGATCTTAATGATCCAGAAGCCGATTGGACCTGCAAGAATCAGGGAGACATTCGTTACATCTATAAGAGAAGCGTGAATGATAAGTACGATGAATCTGGCATCGACGCGGATGAAGAGCTATCTTCATTCTGCGATGCCGTGATTCATGAAGACGATCCGGAGGATTCTTCTGTTGACTCCGATTATGGAGAGAGTGGGTTTGCCTCTGATGAAGACACTTGATATCGAATGCTAAAATAAATCAGTCAATACCTCACCCTTCAAAGGATTGTTCACCGATGAGGCCAGTGTAAACCACGGGTTCGTAAATCTCGCCGGCGCGGCTCTGGGAAAGCTTGGACTTGATGCAGAGATTCCAGACTCCCAAGAGGATTGCCCTTTGACTGAGCGCACCTATGGGCTGCGCAGGAATGGTCTGAGTGAATACGACATTGCGGAACGCGTCTGTGGTATCGACCATCCTGTTTGTGGAGGAGACTGTCATTTTGTTGAGCGCCTTTGGGGCCTAAGTCTCTCTTCTAAGAAGCTGCCGCAACCTGACGAAGAAGAAATCCAGATTCCAATTGAAAGAGACACTGATGGCGTCAAGGAAGGAGCATTCGGCGTGCCTAAACAAGAAAGCCATGACGCATTTTCTCTTCCAGTCCCACCCAAGAAGAGATCTGCAAAGTCCAAGCGGCTGCAAAAGAAGAGGAGATCTGATTTTCAAATCTACGAAGACCCTGTCGACATGGAATGTGACGACCACAAGGACCCGGTTCAGATGATGGACCTGCCCAAGGAAAACTTTGCAGAGGTCCTAGAAATCGAAGACACTGATGTGGTTCGTGAGCTCATGGACGGCACGAACCCTCGCGCTTCCATTCAACAGAGGCGTGCTGCACGTCAAGGATTGGCCAGCGCACCGGGGCTGAACAGAATGACGCCTGCGCTTCGGACAGTACAAGAGTCTCCTGAGCCTGAGATTGAGCATGATTTTGTCATAAATATTCCTCGAGCAAGTTCATTTGGTCATGGAACCAGTATGTTCTTATGGGACAGCCCTGATCATGTACACTTTGACTAGTGGCGAGGGAGAATGACCATCGCATGGCACTTCTCGTTGTTGAAAGTACTGGACATGCCATGCCGAGAACTCTCCGGTGAAGCAATCAGATGGCCATTCCTTTTGATTGTTCTTTGCAGCCCCTCAAGCTTCACTGTCTTCTTTGCACACTCATATTCACTTCTTATTTTGTTTTTATTACCCACATCTTTTATCTTTGTTTTATTATTTATCTTCCCCCTTTCGAACTTTTATAATAGTACTGGGGGGTTATGGGAGGATTTCGGGGTTGCCCCAAGTCCCAAGGCATGGGCCTTTCTCGGCTAGCCCGGAAATCGCTCGCTCTTTATCTTTCGGTTGCCATCCCTCTCGTCCCCTCGATCTTCGGAGCGACATCGTCGCAACATTGCATATATCATCATCTACATTGCTATCTACGGTTGCTGTCATCATATTACTTGTCTGATTTACAGATTGCTTACATTGCTTATAGACCACGATACCCTTGCTGCGCTCTTCTGCATCTGCTTATAGCTCATTCTGACACTTCAATTGCGTTTGCTTTGTCTTTTTCCACTGGCTGCTTCCAAACATGTTTCTTTGTTCTACTCGCTCGCAACTAGCTATTTGCATAGAAATCCAAAAAGACGATTTCGTCAAAGAAATGGCACGCTCGAAAATCTTTCTTTATCTGCATATGCTGCTGGTCGTTTATATGCTCAAACACCATCGCCATGATTCTTTCCGTGTTGCAACACTCTTCCCCCATCCACTCTCCGTTTACACATCTTCACTGGCTTCAGCCTCTCCTTCTTCTCACTTCTGTCGCCTTGCAACCATTTCTGTCGACTTTTCCAGCGCACTCTGTGTCCACAGCCTCTTTCCAAGACATTTATATAAACCTTCAAAGCTACCACTCTCCCTCATCAGCACCTTCTCTACGCATATCCATCAATCCTCCCCAACACTCTTCCGCCTCAGACTCCAACATGAACTCTGTACCCCTTCCAAACCTTCCGCCCACTGCCCGCGGGCCTCATCCCACTGGCCCAACCCCTCCACGTCCCCGTCACCATGAGCCAGACCCAGATCTCGATCTCGATCCAGATCCAAATCCAGAGGGCATCACCAGCCAGGGCAACTATCCCGCGCACAAATTCGCAGGCCCATACCAGCCTCCGTTCCTCCAGTTCTGGGCCTCCGACGAGCTCTCGCAATACCAGTACCTCAACTGCTCCTTCTTCAGCCACCCGTCCGACGAAGCCCCCACGCTGCTCCAGCTGAAACAGCACGCCCAAGCGCTCGTCAACCTGATCAAGACCATTGACATAAGCATGCGAGAGCCACCCAAGGACCGCGATTCCGCCAACAGCAACAATCCTGCCGGTATCACCGATGCGGATCTCGATGCCAGCGACGCATTCGACTATCTCGAGGATTTGTCCAAAGTGTACCAGAACTCGTCGCCCTCGCATAACACCCCGCTGTACAGCGTGCGAAATAATCTCCGTACGACTGGTGTATCTGGATCAGCGAATCCTTTTTCGCGCAACGAGAAATGCGCTATCCTTGCGGACTTTAAAGCCTTTCTTGACGAACGACATGACGAGCAGGCGGAATATGAACCAAGTACCTCCCCTCTTCCTTCTTCTCCTCTTCTTCCTCCACTTTCTCCTTCTCCTCTCCTTGAATTCCCCCTTTCATTTCTCCTTGTCCTCCTAAAATCCCTCCCCCCACCTCCTGGGTCCCCCACGTTTCTTTCCCCCCTTTTCTTCCACTCAAATCATGCTAAAATGCTAATACTCTCAAAGGCACACCTACACCCGCACAGCGGCGACAGCATGGAAAGCCAGGACAGCCGCAACCGCACGGACACCACCGCCATACCTCATCCTCGGACCCACGGCCGTTCCACGATCGCCCACGCGAAGCTCTACACAACTACATCCGCCACGCCAGTTCCGTGCTCGAATGCCTAGACGAGCTGTACGCCGAACAGGGCGGCATCTTCGCGCTCGTCCCTCCGCCTGGCAGCGCCAACCGGGAACTCATCAAGCAGTCTTTTCTCGGGCAGTGGCTCGTCTTCACCACCGCGCTGGTGCAGCGCGTCGCGGAGCTCGAGGCCGAGGTGCGCAATTCGCGGGATGTGCTTGCGGGTGAAGCCCTTGCGCCGAGACGACTTTTGGGGACGGTTTTGGGGGAGTTTGGCCTTGGGTCTCATCCTGGGTCTGACTCTACCCTGCTTGGTGGTGGTGGCGGCGGGGGTGGTGCATACAACGTTGGTGGTGGAGGAATAGGAGGAGGAGAAGACCACTGGACAGCCCCAGGAGGAACAACCCCTGGCACAAACGGATGGGGCACGCCGCTTGTTTTCCCTCAGGACCGCTACGTGCTTGCGAACCTCTCGGCAGGGCTGTGGGAGACGCTGAGCCACGAGCTGGATCATAAGATGATGATGCAGGTCGAGCAGGAGAGGAGGGCTGCTCGGGTTTTGCGTGGCGGGCCCAACGTTAGCGGGACCGGCGGTCCGGGGGTCAGCGGTGCTGGTACTGGAGCAACTGGAGGGGGCGGTGATGTAGAAATGCTCGACGACGACGACAACGGCATGGAACAAGGCACATCGCATCCCCACCGCCCAATCGTCTGGGTCGATGTGCCCTGTCGGCTATACAGAGTCACGGGCGCCCCGACTATTTTCATCACTCCGGGCCACGGAATGGATGAGAATACCTTTTGGACGAAGTCCGAAGAGGCGCGGCCGTTGGTGCAGACTGTGCCGAGGGGAGCGTTGCCTGCCTCTGTGGATACGGCGGAGGAGGAGGAGGGACAGGAACAGGAGGGACAAGGACAAGGACAACAAGGTGCAGGACAACCAGGCGCAGGAGCAGCAGGAGGAGGAACAGCAGGAGGAGCGAGAGAAGAGCAAGGTCAAGCGCCGACACAGAAGCAGTTTCAGGTCCAGCAAAAGGCGGCTGCTGCGACGGCGACAAATGCTGCTGCTACTACTACTGCTGCTACTACCACCCCTGTTGCGGCAGTGACACCGGCGGCGGCGACAGTAGGAGGAAGTGGATCTGGAAACGCAGTCGGAGTCGGAGGTGGAAGTGGTCAAACAAACTTCAATCCAAACAACTACAAAGCACTCCTGCAAGAAGGCATGGCCCGGCAAAAAGCACGCCTGGACAAGATCCACGCCGCACGGGCGACTCGGCCTGCCGGTCCTACACTTGCCCCTCCTCAAGTTCATCCAGTTCATCCAGTTCATACTGTGACGACTGCTCCAATTGCTTCTGTCGCAGGTCCAGCACAAGTGCATCCTGCACAAGCGCAGGATCCTCCGGCCGTCGTCCAACTTGATTTCTTTACTGGACGTCCAACTACAGCCGCAGTTACATCAGGGGTTACAACTACAACTACAACTACTGCCCATCCTGATCCTCCTGTTCAGCCTACACAGTCTACTCAGCGTGTTCAGCTGGATCAGACTGCAGGGGCTGCAGAGGATGCTGAAGCCGCTGAGGCTGCTCAGCTTGCTCGGGTATATCAACTTGCTGCTCAAATTACTGTCCCGCCGACTATTCCACTTCCCCAACTTCAACCTGCTCAGCCTGCTCAACCTCCCGCGATAACCCCAACCCCTACCCCTACCATGACTACTACTACTACAACCAGCGAACCTCCCCCGTCCACCATTCCTACCAACCCTACCAAGTTACCTCCGTCCAACAACCCACCCGCCGGTCCCGCCGGTCCCGCCCCATCCTCACCTTCACCGTCACGATCCCCCGCCCCCGCACACACAGGACACCGCGCATCTACGCTCCCTCCGTACCTCCAATCCCCTCCATCATCCCCTCCCCCTTATTCCCCCACCAAGACCATCCCCACCACACCTCATACCCCCACCACACCCTACAACCTCAACCCGACCAACGAACCGCCCCTAAAATTCGACTACAAAAACCCATTCACCCCACGCACCGCCGCACTGACCGGCAACCCCTTTTTCGCCAGCGGGTCTCTCGGCCCTCGCGGGTCGACACACACGAGCCTGATCCGCAAAGAAGACCGCGGCGCGGCGCGGCTGCGGCGGTCGCAGCGCGCGCGCACGCCGCAGGAGCGCGACGAGGAAGGGCGCGAGGACGCGGTGCTGAATTATGGGTCCGCCGGGGATAAAGACCGGTTGTTGGCGGATACGTTGGTGCGGAATCGCAGGATGACGGCGCGGATGAGGCGGGCTATGGGTGGTATGGATCTAGATCCCAAGAGTCACGACGGTCGCGGTGGTCCAGACAGTGCAGGCGATGACAATGACAATGATACTCTCGAAAATGTCGAAAATGTTGAAAATGTTGACACTAGCAGTCTGGACAGAAACGGAAAAGAGAAGGCAAAAGGGAAAAGAAAAGCAGACGGCACAGTCGAAGGGACAGGAACGGGAGACGAAAAAGCAGGTCAAAGGGAAACAGGAGAAAGGGAAGGGGAGCAAAGAGGAAAAGGAGGAGAAACAAGAGGAAAAAAAAGAGGACTCGGAAAAATAGGACGCGGAAGACTCGATCTGCCGATCCGATTAACAGTCATCAGCGAAGAAGACGAGCGGGAACGACAGCTGCATGAAACCGAGATTGAAAAGGAAGAAGACAAGATCCTGCGGCGGGGGACGAAGACGATGAAGGACAAGATGCTGACGACGGCGCTGACGCGGAATAGGCAGCTCAAAGGCGAGATGAGAAGCCTGGATGCGTACAAGCATGATGATCAGCTGTTTAGGCGGAAGAAGGTCAAGGCGTGATGGGCGGGCAGAAGAGGAAGCGAGATAGGAGAAGGAGGAGGAGTTTATTTGGTTCCTTTTTTCGTCTTTTTTTTTTTTAACTTGTTTTATTTTTTTTATTTTCTATTTTTACTTTTTGGGTAGTCTTTATTTTAAAAATAATAGAAAATATCAAGGACTTGACATTAGACGGAATTTACATATAAGCTCTGTATATAGACACGTTACCACGTGAGATAATCCATGGTCTGGTTAATTATGACTCTAGATGAAACAGCTTTGACAAGGTACTGTCTGGCTTGCCCAGTAGTACAGAAGGGTGGCCTGCCTCTACAACTCGACCATTATCCATGACAGCGACCTGGTCAAAGTCAAGCACGGTATGGATTCTATGTGCGACCATGAGGACAGTGCAGTCGTGGAGTGCTTCCCGAATGACCTTTTGAACCTTGGCGTCGGTCTCGGCGTCCAAACTGCCAACGTCGTAGTCAGCATGCAGCACAACATCCAGCGGCTCTAGAAGTGAATAGAGAAGGACGACATAAGATAATGCCACATACCTGCTTGTTGGCTCATCCAGTATCAGGATTTTGCTCTTCTTGACAAGGGCTCTCGCCAAGCAAAAGAGCTGCTTCTGCCCATGAGACAAACTTGTCTCGTTCAGCGTCGCATCCAGCAGCGTTTCTCCGTTGGTACTGTCGTCTGTCGCGGATGACATGAGAGCATCCCAGACCCCGACACGCCTCAGAGCATCGATAATATCCATGTCGGCAATGACCCCGAGCGGGTCGGCATTTTGCCGGATGGTGCCGGGGAAAAGAAATGGCTCTTGGCTGAGACAACTGATCCGCTGCCGAATTAACGTTCGAGGCACGGCAGAAATGTCTTCCCCGTCGACAAGGATCTGACCCAACACCAGCTCGTTGAGGCGGAGAAGAGATAGTGCCAAGGAGCTCTTGCCACTTTGCAGCAGTTCAGTCAGTTCTTTGTCTTAGTAAACTTGCTCCTTTGAGCTGCTGGCTCTGCTTACCTTCCTGTTCTGCCACACAGTCCAATTTTCTCTCCAGCACGAACCTCGAGAGAGATGTTGTGCAAAACGGCTTCTGTCTTCTCAGAGCCGTACGCAATGCTCGCGTCGACAAATGCAATCTCGCCACGAGTTGGCCATTCGGGGTGCGGCAGTTGCTCGTGGGTCATTGTGTCTGGCTCCTCCGTTGGTGTGTCTTCAGAGAACTCCTTGATTCTCGCAATCGCGCCCAACGACGTCTCGAGGAGAGTCCAATTCTGCACAAGCTCCGATAAGATAGGTCCCAGATCCATCATCGTGATGAGTGCAATCCCCAACAGACCCGGGTTAACATGACTGCGGAGGGCAAAGGCAATCCCGACTAAGAGGACCGCTAGTGCCGCCACAGTGAGGTTTAGCACGAGTCCAAGCCAGCGCTGGATGCACAACAGAAGATAAAATGGCTGTTGAGCCTTATCAAGCTTGTTAAACATCCTGGACGTGGCGGCACGTGTCCAAGAAAAGGCGCGGATTGTGACGACACCAGCAAGAGATTCAATAAAGTGAGTGTAAAGAGGGCTCTTGAGTTCAATCCTGTGAGCAGTTTAGCTTAATGGAGTACCGTAAAGTGCACAAGGCAGGCCAAAACACAGGTGACATGGGCAAGACGTACTCTAGCAATCGCAATTGGCGAGATGTGCGCAGGTAAAAGCGCTGGATGAGAACCAAAATCCCCACAAGAACAGGGAGGGCCGCAGCCAGATAGGGTAATGAGGCTATGGCGATGGCAGCTTGCGCAATCGCCCCAAATATGTCTTGAGGATTTCCAGTCAGATAATCACTATAAAAGTCTTTGGATCATTCATCATGTACTTACGGAAGCCCGTCGAAATGAAGCCGCGAGGAAGGATCATGTCGACCAGCCTCATGTCTTGGCTGAAACGTGTCACGAGAGCACCAGTCTCTACGTTAGACAAGAAGGACAGAGGCGCACTAGACTTGTTAGTTGACCAGTGATATCCGTGGCGAACGACTAGAAAGGCTCACCTCATACAAGAGCGCAGCACGGTAGCATGGAGATTCCTTGACGCAGCTGGGACAATAACGACCCAGGTCCAGCTTGCCGGTTAGTAATAGGTCAGCTTGGAATCCCGAATGACAAAAGGTGGGACGAAACGCACAATACTGCAAGGGTAATGCCGCTGGCTTCGATGAAGGACCATGCTCCATATAGTCCGAGCCAGTATCCCAAGCGCGAGTCTCTGGCATTGTCACCACTAGAGGACCAAAGCTCGATCCAGACGTCTATACAAATGTGAGTGCCATACCAAACCAGTCGATATCATGTCAAGAACAGGCATTGACTTACAGCGAAATCCACCTATTCCGGCCTCCATTATGAAGAAAATAAGCAGCATAGAAACTCGTAGCCACCCCAAAGAGGAGAAGTAGTACTTGTATACAGATAGATCAGTACTCTGCCGACGGTGATCATTGGGAGCTGACGCGCTCATAACAGCTGCCATGGCTTTCGACGATTTTTGTCGCCCATCGCCATCTTCAACCGCTCCCTCCGCCTCTTCAATCTGCTTTGATTGAATGGCAAGCCTCTGGACGTAGCCTCCCGTGTGGCTTCGGAGCTGGGAATAGCTGCCCTGTTCTAGGACCTGGCCATTCTCCCCTAGCATAATGATAAAGTCGGCTTGTGGTAAATGATGACCTGAGTGGGGGTTCAGTATGGGCTAAACTTGGCCAGCAGAGCCAGATATCGGCCGTGGGGAACGCACCGCTATGTGTAGCCAGGAACACAGTACAACCCAATCGACGCAGCAATCCGGCCGGGCCAAAGACGTTGTTAAACACCAGTCGCGCAGTTACATTGTCCAAACCGCTAAAAACGTCGTCGAAGCAGGCGATACGTTTGCGAGCATAGACAGCTCGTGCGATAGCCTGGGACAAGCTGTTAGCAGGCCCGTTGCAATGCTTCTGGCTGACTGATGAAGTGGAGGAAGTTGGCAACTCACAATCCTCTGCTTCTGCCCTCCACTAAGTTTGGCGCCCTTGCTTCCTACAAGCGTTTCGTCGCCCGCCTGCATCCTCGTGAGATCCAGATTAAGCGCACATGCGCTCACGACGGTGTGATACCACTCAGCATCAAATACAGAAGATGAGTTCTCGCCGACAATGTTATCACGTATCGATGCATTGGCCAGCCACGGTGTTTGCTCGCAAAACGCCATGTCTGGATACTTGACAAAGAGCTCTCCATCGAGCACAGGCGTCTCACCCGCGATGCCTTTGAGAAAGGTGGACTTACCGCTACCTACAGAACCGACAATCGCAAGAAGAGTACCCGAGGGAGAGGGCCCAACTGTGAGCGTAAGGCCAATCTTTTCCGGCAGAGAGGGCTTCCAGCCGAAGCGGACATTCTGAAGGGATATAATTGTACCACGTTCCTTCTGTAGAAAATAACTTTCCCTGGCGCTGGATTTTGGAAGAGGAGAAAGCTCGACACCGGAGAGATTGGTGGATGAAGCAGAAAGAGTTTCCGCCACCTGGGGAATTTGTCTCTTTTCTATACATGAGGTGATATTGATTAGTGCTGTTCGATTTGCGTCGAGAGGCTGAAATTGAGATCTGCGGGGACCGCAGGTGGCCGAAAGACTCAGATGCGGAGCAATGGGAAAGACACAGAGCACTCACCAAGGCGATTCCGAAGCCTGAGGAAGTTTTGTACCCGATGCAGACAGCCAATCGATGCAAATGTGTTCGGAATCGCCAACAAGAGCCCTCGGAGTGGAGTAATTAGCAGGTTGACTAGTGACAGCGACGTGACGGCTTGCGAGACAGAAAGACCATCAGAGCCTTGCACTTTGGCAACTATAGCATAGGCTGCGAAGGTTGCGAGCGGGCCAAGGATTTGAGGAAGATTGGCTGCAAATTCATGTCAGTGAAATTGCGATTCCTCTAACCTAGCTACTTTCGAGCAGGAGGGTCGGAGGTCAACGTACCCATACAGACACGAACAGTCTGGATGCGTCGGAACTTCTTGGAGATTTTGAGCTCATCGACACGCAAGGCTTCGATCATCGCTCTCATAGTCTCTGTAAGCCCTAGAAACTTGACGTTTCGAATAGACCCGAGGATTACATTTGTGAAATTGATGCGCTTCTCGGTGGCCTGGAGCCACGTCTTCTGCCGAACAGACACGGCATTGCCCGTGCCAAAAGACATGGCCGTGAAAACTAGCCCAGTGTTGTCAGATAATGGACACTATGACGCGCAGACTGCCTAGCTTGGGCATCTGGGAAAATAAAATTACCTATCACCACCAAAATGGGCGCGACACAGACAGCACCCACCTGAGTCTCAAGCAGCCAGGTAGCAAGACCCAGCTGTAGGATATTGGCCCACGTTTCGCAGACTGTAGACTGGAAGTATTCTGCAAGCATCTCGATGTCGGCGCCCATAAGGGACATGGCGCTGGACTCATCAGTGTCGCCCAGTGGAAGGTCCATCATGTGCTGAAAGACAAGGGCCATGAGACCACCACGAATCATCGTCGTCGCACGAAACCCCAGGTGTTCATAAGACGCTGTAGACACCTTTGTAATAGAGATTAGTATCCCATAGCGAAGGCCGTAGAAAGGCACGGGTAGCCGGTAACGCGTGGCTTACAGCAACCCCAATAAAGACAATCGCGGTGGCTCCAATCAAGCCGTAGCCCATGTCCAGCGAGTGCGTTCCAGTCTGCTCCAGGACGGTGACTACGTTCTTCACCAAAAATGGCTGCGCGATGCTGAATCCGACAAGGCAGAGCCGAGGGAAGACAATGCCAGCAATTTCCCACCGAAGACACTTGACAACAGCCAAAAGCAGTGCATTCTTGCGGTTCTGGTTCCCGTGCGCCCAGGCATCCGCGAACCGGCTGGACAAATCGCTAGACGAAATTTTCTCGTGAATGGGAGGCAGCGCATCTCCCGTGAGCAGCACGGTGTAGCCCTCCAGTAGCAGGCCGTTCAGCCAGGCAAACAAACCTCGACTAAACGGCCCGCTCGTGCTCTCGCCAGACTTGGCTTTTTCACTGGGCAACAGCCAACTCCGCTTCTCAACATTACCCAGGATCAGGAGGAGCAGCTTGATGGCCAGAGACGTGGTGAGACAGGCAGAGTATGCTCTACTGTCCGGCAACAGCCAGCCCGTCCGCACACGTGCGAGATCTAGAAGCAGCGTGACAAACAGGTAGGCAGAGACGAGGAATGATGGTCGGATGGATCGAACGTGCTCAAGGTCAACAAGCACCACAATGACAAGTGCCACCAGAAGATCGAGAATGGCGCCTGCGAGCGAGTCGCGCTCTCCAGCGGAGTGCTGCGTCGCGACAAGAACAAGGAGTGCAACCTGGATGGCAGCAAAAGCTGTGGCAACAACCTGTGCAAGGCATGGCTTAGACTTCGATTCTGTCGACGACGAAAAGGTTGCTTCGCAGCAAACACAGACAGATAGGAAGACCTACTAGTGTTGCTACACGAATAACGGACGAAAATACTTTGGGTGACTGTCTGGCTAGCTGGAACAGGCGAATAGGCGCCAGCAGTAGAAAGCACGCGGCCGGGGCAACATTCAAGATGTATGCTTCAAAAAAAACTAGCTTCGAATGTCAGCGTTCATGTGGAAGTCATCACATTGAGACGGAGGAAAGCTATGCACCCGTAAAGTCAAAGCCTCCGCGACAGCCGGCCGTGGCAACGATAGGTCCAAACCGGCCATCGCCACAGGTGTCAATTACTGGTGTTGACACCATGGCCGCACCAGTATAAATTAAATGCTGGATACTTTTTGCAGTGATGCTTTGTGGGCGATTTGTTTGTTAAATTTGGTCATCGTCTACTCGAGAGGTATGTATGGAAGCTCCAAGGTGAAATCAGGCTTCAGCGGTGCTCTCAGCTGCAAAGTGCCGATGGCCGCGCCTGTCCGCCGAATGAGACTCCCGAATTTAATCAATTCGTCCAATATTTGCCTAGGCTGTTGCCTGAATGCCAAAGGTGTCTCATATTGGCCAGCGATATTGGCATCCATGTCGACTTTCCTCATGGGGCAATGCCTCTCTAATACAGAATCTCGTGGGGGTGTGGTTGATTCGATTATCAGCCGTTAAGAGATGATAGGAGTTCATGGGTACCCTGTACAATAGATAAGGCACGGCACACTGGATGGGTGTGGGTGCAAAGACAGAATTTTGCAATTGCAATTTTGGTGTCATTTTGTTGTTAAATGAGCTCATCTGAGAAAGTCTCTACAGTACCGTAATTCTTGACTGCAAAGGTTTGGGGCTCTATACTGCGGGGGATCAATTCTGAGTAAATACGGATTCGTTTTGGGTGTTTTGGGACGGTTTCTGCCCGAGCTGTCTTTTCGCTTACTCTGCTTGTAGTTGAAAAGAGCACAATTCCTCTACTTCGGGCTTGATCTATTCTGGAACCACAAAATTCTGTGTGAGCGTCAAGAATTTCTCCCAATTATTTTAGCTACTATTTATTTCGAGAACGAAACTAAATGTGTACTGTACTCCGTAAAATTTAACATTTAAGTACTTGAGACGTATAGAAGATTTATAAGTGCCTGGGCATCATACATGAGTTAAGTTAGACATTACTTTATCCTTACCTAAATACAGGTATCTGCTCGGCGCTAGTCAGTGAGAGTTAGAGAGCCTTTTCCAGTAAAGTCGCTAATCTTTCACGACAACCAGTAACCCCAAGCCTGCTACGAGCACCACTGGCTGGTAATGTGTTGATTTTCCAATTCTCACTGTCGACGGCGAGTACTTAACATGGATAAACTACCTAACTTCCTAAGATAAAAACGAATACGTAAATAGGCTACTATCTCGATACAGTACTCAATAAAATTAGATTTAACTCCAACACTATTAAAAACCAGTAGATCTATACTGTAATTAATACAGAATCACTTCTAGTAATATTCAAAACATTAAATAATATCTCGCTTTAACCTGTATAAAAAGGCAATGGAGATAGAGACAAAAACATATTTTATTGTTTATACAACCTCCGTAAGCTAATTACACTTAATAATAAGAAAGTATAGCAAGAAGTCCCACATGACCCGACCTACACAAATCTAATCTGGTGGCAGCTTTCTAGTAATGGCATTCTTGGGTTTGGGAATCAAACCTCCTGAATAATTGGATTTTACCACATGTGCCTTTCCCCAAGCATGTACGTCCTCGTAGTTTCGGCAGAATTGATTTGTGCTGAAATCCGGCCAAGGATGATCAACTCCATCCACCCAATCATAAGTAATAAGATGAAGATCGGCCGAACACATGAGCAACTGGCGCAGCATCTCGATACAGTGGTCTTGGAATTGGCATATCAGAAAATCTGCCTCCAGCAGAAGCGTTGGGAGGAAGACTTGAAACTACTTACCAGTATGCTTTCGCACAGTCGGCGTCCTGAAGAATTCAGGCTCCTTAACGATATAATAATCCAGATAGGTATACTTGCGGAGAACATTGAGACAATGCATCTGGTGGAATGCCCCCAAGCTCGCCATGTAGCCGCCGCTGTCCAGGATAACAGAACTATTGCGGAGCTTGCCAACCCTCTCGATCTCATCTCGGGAAACCGTCATGGCCGAAGCTGAGAATGTGCCTTGTCAGCAACGGACCTGCTCATTATTGAAATTCAATTGCCGATGGGAAGAAGACGCCTTACTCAGATCTAAACTATCCCATGCGGCGTCCACGGCTGCGTTTGGTTCTCCCCGCCATATAGATCGAACTCCAAATTCACCAGATAACTCTAGAGGTTTCTTGGAGCCACACTCACGGCTGGCAGTCTCTGATTGGACGATCAGCTTGCTGAGTTATTGTCTTGGGTCGAGGAATGATAACCATACCATACTCACGAGTCAAGAGAGGTCCCAGCACCTGCTGTCTGATCCGAATAGCTTGTAATAAGAAAGCGCCCGAGAGGGAGAGCAGCATAAGATTGATTATCCACGGAGCAGCTCGCCAAAAGAGACTTGTTCGGCGAGACTCTTCAGGAAAGTGCTTAACGTCGGAGTCGAGGTCCACCTCAGATGTGCTCAGCTTGAGATATCTCCTGGTCCTTAGCCAAGTCTTGGGAAGCCACCCGCTTTCCATTGTTATAAAGGGCGAAGAACTACTCTTGTCTTCGGACAGTGAGAAAAGTAAGAAAATCTAACAAGGCTCTAGAAACGGAACCTCAGATCAACGGAGATGGGGGCGCTTCTGGGAACTGGATTTCATATGCTCCGAGCAGGTCTGGAGTGCCCAAAGAAAGTCCCTAACCAAGAAGTCTAAAATCGAACACCCAAGCTTACTCTAACACTAATCGGCGTGCATTCAGAAAAGAATGAAAATGTTCTGCAAACTCTCCTTTGGCTAGAACCCTGAGCCAAGAACTGCAGTCAGCATCTTTACACAATACAACACGCTCCACAGAATCTGCCGCATGGTTTTATTACTTTCAACTTACAGACTAACTTTGTATACTCGGTTCCCAGCATGTATACCAAGTGATCTATTGAGGGGTGCATGCCTCCATTCCAAAGTGTCGATCACTACCAAAAACCCATGTTCCGTGATGATGCAATTCCTGTTTGGTTGACGAATTATTTGGAAATAACCATGCAAACATGGTTTCCCTGTAAGAATTATGTATCTTCAACAGTATTATGCATGCTCTGGTTAGTGGCAGCTAATATTCGAATTCTATTCAGAATGTAGTAGCCGAATGTGATGAGTCTTTATAGTTGCAGGATCATATAGATTAGTTGCAGATCTCTTGAAGTCTAAAGTTCCCCGGCAGACGATAGCATTACATTACAAGCAAAATCGGAATAGCTCTAAGTTGAGTGAGTCAGTTGTAGGTATATGTACCCATGGTAGGTGGGGCCTCGGGCGTGCGGGAAATGGGCGACCGAGGGGCAATTGGGTGGGACGGGAGATGTTGCCCAGTGATCCCTGGTATAGACACGCATACTACGGCTCTACAATCGGATTTTGATTGGGTAACGGCCACAACGTAGATATCCATTTCTTTAGGAAACCTTGCGTATTCGTTCTTCTTTATTCGAACTTGCCTTGGCTATTGCTCAAAGAAATCAACTCGGCAAAAATAGCGGAGAGAAATTAAGTATTGCCTAGTAGTATTATTCTGCTAGTAGGATGAGAGAGATGTTATTTCGAAATATGAGATTTGTACAGCTCCTGTAAAGACATTGTTGAATTGCCTGCTACCATGTAAAATTTATTCCGGACTAGATACATGATATTGGAGCTCCTTCCAATGCTCATCCAACCCAGCCTCTCCCAACTATAAGAATCCAGGTGTATTCAGGTTATAAAGCCCGTGGGCCAGAGATATTTCCATGCCTGCCAGCTCCGGCCTCCAGACTTATAGAGGAGGATACAAGTATGCCCAGAACCACGTGGAATCCATTTAACATGCCTTGTTGGTAGTAAATTTACTGCCCTTCCTTGTATCTGCCGTAGGCATCGTTGACCACGGACGAGACGTCCTCAGCGCGCTTCTCATTGTATCTACCGTAGGCGTCATTGACCACGGAAAAAACATCCTCGCCCCGTTTTTCATTGTATCTGCCATAAGCATCGTTGACCACATACGAGACATCTTCACCCCGCCTCTCGTTATATCTGCCATATGCATCATTGACAACAGAAGAGACGTCCTCAGCACGCTTCTCATTGTATCTGCCATAAGCATCATTCACAACAGAAGAGACCTCTTCACCCCGCTTCTCATTGTACTTGCCATAGGCATCATTCACGACAGAAGAGACGTCCTCGCCCCGTTTCTCATTGTACTTGCCATAAGCATCGTTGACAACAGAAGAGACATCCTCAGCGCGCTTGTCATTGTATTTACCATAGGCGTCATTGACAACGGAAGAGACATCTTCACCCCGTTTCTCATTGTATTTGCCATAAGCATCGTTCACAACGGAAGAGATGTCCTCAGCGCGCTTCTCGTTGTATCTGCCGTAGGCATCATTGACAACAGAGGAGACGTCTTCCTTGACAGTGGCAGCGTCCCGCTTCTCAACGGCCGAGACGCCTTGCAGTAATCCTGATTAGCAAAGGAACGAACGAAACAGGAGCTAGTGAAAAGGTTTGAAGGAACATACCTTGGACAGGAGCAGCTAGACTGAGACTGGCAGACAGGGCAACAGCGAGGGCAAGATGTTTGAATTGCATTTTGAGATGCTTGATACAAGGCCTGAATAGAGGAGCGTAAAGTTGATTGAAGCTGAGCAGATGAGTTCCGAACGTGAGACGATGTGGTCGGAGAGAAAAACTCTCCACTCTCGCTGGCTTTTATAGACATTTCGAAGTGTTTACTCAGGCACTTCAAGCTCAGTATTCCTGTGCCCTTGCTGAGAGCCAACCTGAAACGGCTGGCAATTGCTAATTTGAACCCAAAGAGGAAGTGGGGGCGCCCTGCAGATTGAATCGACAGCAATCCACCTGACCTAAAATTGAAGTTTCGAACACTGCACTGCAGGATTGCACAATGGACATGAATCAAACACCTCTGCAGGGCGCATGTGTACATCTAAGGTGTAATCTGTAAGGTGACGAATGTGACAATCTGATGCCCCACTAACCTGCATGGTAGAGGCAGGGTTGTTCTTGATGATGCCTCAAGAAGCCGGCTCAGCGAGGCAAGCCCTGTGAGCAAAAACAGCTACTAAGGTGCACAATGCTTGACCTGGTACATACGAGATCAGATATGTAAGCCAGTTGTCAACTATTAGTGGTCTTTGCAGATGACGTGCTCACATACAAACCCTAGCATCTCATGCACCATCCTGGGAGTCTTTCGTGTCGACTCGGAGTACAGGTTGATGATCAACAAGAGTAAGACCTGGATTTGCAATTTGGGCCGAACGTTGTCTATAGCCTGGGATATGGTGATGGAGTGTGTTGAAGACAGGCGCCGGAGACGTGGTCCCGAATTGAATTGTGTTGAGAGTAAAATATACCGTTTCCTTTGACATTGAAAGTTCTGCTCCGATTCGATTATTGCGTTCGAAAGACCCTTCCAAGCTCTCCAATGTCCTTTCCTTCTTCGACTGCATCTTCCACTACCATTGACTCCATCATGAATCAGTCACAGGAAACGAACGATCCAAGTTTTACATCGCTCAAAGATGAACATGAAGACTTGGCCAGCATCAGGATGTCCGAAGAGGATGGTTTCCTCACAGGAAAGACACTATATCGGTCGTCTCAATCGCGTCCAATGCACAGGTACGTGTTGTGGATAAAATATCTGCTCGTTGCTTTAGTCTGGATTGCCTCGATAGCTGCTGCTGTCTACATCTCGCGACAAAAGAGTCGCGAACATTATGGTCTTGCTGATATTTTTGACACCGAGCTATGTAAGTGATGCGGCCTGCAGTCCCCTGGACCCCATGAGCTTTTACGTCGATACTCATCTTCCTCTAGATCCTGTACAATCTGCCATTGAAGTTCAAAAGGTCCGTTTCCTCGGCAATCTGGAATTTGATGAGAACGGCACTCTCATCGAGACACTTTGGGATTCCAATGCTCCAAGATATACTGGTGAGCCGAGCGACGAGCTGGACGCCCGCTGGAAAAGCCTGTTCAGAGGTGAATCGATAGCTAGCCACTAAACCCTGAACTCAAGAGCTCTCATGTTGACTCAGAGAACAGTTGATGGCGTGGACCTTCGCGGCGTTGAGGCCGAAACAATACGAGGAAAAACTTATGAGAAGCCTGGAGGATGGTCAATCGTTGGCATAGATGTTTTCCATCAGCTACACTGCCTCGTGCGTTGCTCTTCCTTGCCCCACCGCTGCTAAGGGAGAACAAATTCCTGATCAAAAACCTCACGATAGAACATGCTTCGCCAGGGTTTGCGCCGCGACTACTATACCAAACACGACCCAGAGCCTGCTTACACAGTCCACCTAAGTGACACGCCCCAAAACCACCGTGGATAGGTGTCCGGCCAGAGAGCTAATAATCAGTCTGACAGACCACTGCCTTGATTACCTCCGGCAAGCCATCATGTGCAACGTGGACGTGACACCCTATCCTGTCTTCTGGAACGAGAAAGAGGACCGCCCCCTGCCTGACTTTCAGGTGGAGCACACTTGCCGTAACTTTTGGAAGGTGAGAGACTGGGCCATAGAGCGCGACGCTCACAGGCACAAGTATAACGATCATTACCGTCTTTAGACCGCTGGAGTTGGATATTGCACACGTGTGAGAGAGGAATCAGGGACATGGGCCCCACAGAGCACCTAATGCTGCCAGGATATATAGTTCAGACGATAATTTAGTGTACAATGACCAAATTATAGTATTAAGTTGGTGTCCTACTGCTCATCCACGCGTGCATGTTGTTGGGCACTTGCTGCTTTCATACCTTTCCACGGAATGTTAATCGCCGCCTTGGCGGTTCCTCTAGAGACAAATTGTACGCGTACAAGCCAATTATTAGGAAGTGTCGAAAGTGATGCCATTGAATGCCTGCATTTCCTCATCGTATCAATCCTGGCAGGTTGTGGGATTTTGAAGTTAAAATAAGCAGGGGTGGGTCCTGGACGGTCTTGCTTAGCTCCCGTCTTTGCCTCCTCCGCTCTTACTAGTCCTGTCCTATCGCTAACTCCAGATCCCCTTGCCGAACGCCCGAAACGGTGCTAAATAGATTCAGATCCTGGAGTGCCACGGAGGGGCAGGAACAAGGAAGCATATCTTCCTTGTCCTTACATTGTAAATCGTAAACAACATAGCACAGAAGCAAAAAAGGACCCCACGGGCCCCGCTGGCCCCACTCGTCTAGTTCGGTGGGGTAGTAAAGAATGGGGGACGGGCAATTGGGCGGAGAGCTGGGTATCATCCATCTTGTCCATGTTCCCCGACTACTGACGCTGATCTCGACCTTGGTTCTCCATGAAGAAGAAATCACCACCAAAGCCTGTTCGAACCCGCTCCTCATGCTGTTACTTCTCTGGTTGCCTCACTGAGAATCGAGCCTACATATCTACACTCCACCGCGACCAATACCGGGAGTGAAACAGCAATGTTGAATGTGTTCAGGAAAACAATAGCACAGTGGAATACAGCTGCCAAAAGACCATGGCTTAGTGTTCCTTCCGATAATGAGGCAGAGGAAGCTTTCTTGGGGCATAGACAAACACGACATGCAGAGCCTCTGAAGCGCCCTATCCGAGACCATGCATTGTATAGTTGGCCCTGGATCTTCTCTACTCTGGTGTTTGCAAGTACCACCGGAGTTCTTTTTGTTAAGAGCTTCTTGGACAATTCGTCAACATCGATATTAGCTTGTGAGCCATGGCACCGAACAGATCTTGGTAAGTCTCAATCTACGATGCCAGGCCAAAGAACTGTGCAGACATACTTTCCAGATGAACATAGGGCTCACCCAGCACCATGGTCCACACAGAACCGGCCCGGAAATGGATAGGAGAGCACGAGGTCCGCTTCGAAGGCGCCCTCGCGTACAACGAAAGCGGCAAACTTTTCATAGAGTCCAGCCAGGGAGGGGAGGAGTGGATTGGCCAGCCCACGCCGGAGATGGACGCGCTGTGGGATCGTGTGGAAGCAGGTAGGAGCTCCATCAAGAGCCTCGTCGTCCGCGCGCGAGAGATTATGAGAGAGAACTTATTCCCAACGATTTTTTGCATCTCATAGCTCATACCTGAGTCTCTAACCAGGCTCGATGGTCCTACTTGAAGGCTCAGAAGCCGATATGGTGCGGGACAGAACGATGCTTTTCGACGGGTATTGGGTGACTGGCCTAGATGTGATACATCAAATGCACTGCCTGGTGAGTTGCGACAATGATACTCTCAATGCCACAGAGGATTCCCGGTGAAATCATCTAAATTCTTCTGGCTTTCCAAATCCAGAATAAGGTGCGGAAAGCCCTGTACCCAGAGTACTACCAGCCGGAGCAGTCAGCTCGCACAGAAAATCTTCACGTTGGTCAGTCTCTCTCCCTGTCACTCTCCAAATATGCCCTTTAACTGAGCTTCTGTGAGCTGCGTACACTAACGACCTGCCCAATGGCCATGGTAGAGCACTGCTTCGACTACATTCGCCAAGCTGTCATGTGCAATGCTGACATATCGCCTGTCACGCATATCTGGTATCCGAGTGCGCAGACATTTGGCCCGGATTTCCGCACCACGCATACATGTCGGAACTTTGATGCGCTCTTGCAGTGGTCCCTTGCGAGGACGACGGAGGCAGTCAAAGGGAAAGGTACTGGCATGGAAAAGGCTCGAGATCCTCAGTCTGTGATGCCGGTGAGCCTACAGGGGTCGAAAAGTATGAATCATGAAAATCACGCAGGCCATGCAGGACACTGAGGATATGTAGCTGGGCAATGATCAGCGGCTACTGAACCAGCCCATCTTAGTATCTGCATATCTTGGACCAGGAAGAATGGTAGTTCAATTGGAGTCCACTGATAATTAAACCCATCGTATCCGAGTGACAAGATAGTGGTGTTCTATGTCTGCTGTATTCCTGCCTCTTGGTCCAGATCTCCTTCTGTGGACCGAGGATGGCGTTGCTGCAGGCCTCCTTCTCCATCGTATCCATCCTCAGCCCCGTCCCGCTGAGGAGCGCTGACACCGAAGAGTACCAGCAAGCACAGCACGAACAAAGCCGCCAAGGCAAAATATGGCAGCCCGAGCCATGCTCCTTTCAGCTTCATTCCCATCGAGAACAGCCATGCGAGCGCAGGTCCCGCAAACAGAGATCCTGTGGTTTCGATGATACCAATCAGCGTGTTAAGCTTTGACGTATCCTGTGGGGCCAGGTAGCTGGTGGCCAGCGACCGACACAGCGGCGCCAGGCCAGCCCCAAAGGTATGCAGCGTGATGCCGGAGATTACAAGACCTATCTGCGACGCAGCTATGTAAAGAGATCCGGAAGCGGCGAACGTAGCTGAGACGCGAGCTAGAGTGAGGTCCTTTCCGGCCGGGTGCTGCCACTGTAGAAGCAGCTTAGAAAGGAGTGGGAGCGCCACAAGCAAGACCCCCATTTGGACAATGCCGCGGATGGTAAGGAGATATCCTGCCTTGGAGAGTGGCCAGTCGAAGCGCTTGCTCACGTACTGCGTGAACAGCTGCGATGTGGCAAGGGACTCCGGCATGCATGTCAGAAAGGTGGCCAGAACGAGGACGAGCGAGGGAGAGTGAAGCATCATGAAAGAGACTTTGAGGAGTCGCAGGGACTGGGTTAAGTGCGATTTGAAGGCATTGGGCTGTGCTTCTCCTGACCCGGCATGTTCTTCCTCGCGGGTAGGATCTAGCTTCGATGGGGCAAACGTTTCAGGTACAAAGGCCAGCACGCTCACGCCGATCGGCACTGCAAAAAAGCCGAAGAGGGCCGGGACCCAGGGCGAGAAGGACTCCATGAGTCTGGAAGAGATGGCTGGGCCAACGGAGGCACCAACTAGACTTGCAAATGCCATGTAGAAAAAGGCAGATGCTCTGGACGCACACGTGTTAGAAAGTGAAAGTGCTTTCGCTAGAGTAGTGTGCTATGAATGAAGCAAATGATGCGCCCGAGACGAAACATACCTATCTGTATCAGGCACGACATCCGATAGGATGGAGTACAAGTTAGCCACTAGAACGGTGCTTCCACCGCCTACAACAGTGAACAGCGGGCCGGCTAGAATGAATTGCACTGATATGATCTGGGGAAGAGCAATTACGGCTAATACCCAGGCCAAAGAAAGCAGAGATCCTACAGATGAGAGGAGAATTATCGGCTTGCGACCAAGTCTACAGACAGATTAGCATCAATTTAAATAGGCTTAGGCAAAACTTGGGCCTAGCTCACATGTCGGCCAGGACTCCAAAGGGGAATGCAGCAACAAGACCTGCGGCCATTGGTCAGCTCCTGAGCTTCTATTTGAACACAGCACCCAGATGACCGAATAATCATACTAACTAAGGCTTCCACGAGGGCGAGTGAGCCATTGAGGTATGCTAGCTTGGACTGGATCTGGTCGGTCTTGCAGAGTCGCTCGTCAATTGGAGAGCCTTGCCTATGGCTGTTGCCAAGATACCGTCGACACAAGTTGTCTTCGATGAGTCGCGTCACTGGCACGTTGAGAAAAGCACTCGCCCCTGCCAGGCAGAAGGTGCAGATGGAGAGAAGGCCGACAACGTGCGAGGGGCTTCGCGTTTGGTAAAATGATAGAGAGTGTGTAGACGTCCGGATTTTTTGCTTTTGTCTGCCCAGCAGCGGAGATATCTCCCCTTCGTGTCGCTGATCCTCGTGCATTCTGATCGGTCAGAACGCGCACAACGCACATACACCCAAAGAAGAAAAATAAAAAGAACAGGTCTCGTGCGATGCCTAGGAAATAGCCGGTGAAGAACTTGGAAGAAGTAGAGCAAGAGAAGCAGAATCTCAGGAGAGTAATCGATAGTGAACTAGTGTACATGTAATTGCAGCAAATCTGAGAGCATTCGTCACTTGGTGCAATGATTTGCTCTTGGAGAACCATGGTTTCCTGGGATACCGTAGTGATATACTTATAAAACCATAAAAGTGGAGTTGCCGTGTGATTACCATGAGGGACGAAAGAATTGTCTAGGATCTGTACTGATATCGAAATGAAAGACGCGCGCGAGGCTTCCCCCTGCCCCTGGACCTCCCTGTTTAGGCAGTAGGTTGGACTTTTGTGAGCCGACCCCGGGATTCCGAGAGGTGGGGGTATGAAGATAAGCAAATCGACGCAGTCCTCATTCATTGTACGCGATACAGGCAGGCATACGGTAGTTAGTCGAACCCTGGACCATGTCCAAAAAAGATTGGCTACTCGACTCTGGCGTGCCAACATCGACACCCTCTCGCCACGACAGAGCGAGGAAAGGTAGCAGGAACTGCTGTACCCAGAGAGCTATTAGAAGCTTGATGTTTCTAGGTTCAAGCTAGAGGACGGAATATAAATTAAATAAATTAGGCATATAGTCGTTATCCGTCAGGCTGCTGCAACACGATTACAAGCGAGCGACCGTGACGTAACCTGCTGTCCTGAAGGGGTGGCTTGTCTTGAGCAAAGGTGGGGTCTTTTCATTAGGATTTAGCGAAGCGAAGCCCAGAATCCCCACCGTGTACCGTTAAGGGTGCCTTGATTTTCAACTAGAAGGGATCTGTATTTATGAACAGACACAGCGAGCTATAACGAGGAACCCGATATCCCTAGATTAGGACTCAACAACGCTATTCCGTACCACTAAACTGGCTAAAATACTACCTAAAGATTCCTCTCCCGCTTCTAAGCCCCTCGCCTTCCCCCACACCCATCCTGTCGTCCATGGTGCACACAGTCCGGATTCTACACTGTATATCCGCTATCGATAACGATATTGGCGCCTGTAATTGATCGGTTCTGGATAAAGCAGAGAACTTGCTGCGCAACATCCTATTCTCTCCAGTTAATACTAATATGTGTGTACTTATTATGGTTAAGGATCAAGGTGGATATCATACCTCGACTGCAGGAATCGATTTAAGCTTCGTCTGCTCTTTGTATGCGTTGATTTGTTCTTGAGGAAATTGTAATCCCCAGTCCTGATGCCATTGCTTTGTTAAATGCAAAACTTTTGATGATTCGCAGCAGAGTAACTTACGGTAAGCATAAGCCCAGGGGAGACTGAATTTACACGAATTCTTGGTCCCGTGGATTTTGCCAGACATTTCATCAGATGAATCTCGGCTGCTTTACTAACGGAGTATGCCTAATTTTGATAAGTTACTCATGCAAATTTACGTGAAAGTTATTGAAACAATCAACTACATACCATAGAGCTTCCAGCAGGAATGACGCCTGCAGTCGACGCTGTCAAAAGGAAGGCTCCCTCGGTAGCCTCAAGGTGCTTCTTCGCTGCATGCATCAAAAACAAGTGCGACTTGACATTCATATTGAAGCATTTGTCCCAGTCGCTCTCGACCACGCTTTCATCCAGGTCCAGGAAATTCGAAAACCGAGTCCATCCCGCATTGGAAACTATTGCGTCCAGGCGTCCCATGGTACTGACAGTTTTCTCCACAAGCCGGATAATTTCGTCTCTCTTGCTGACATCCGCTTGAATGGCCGCAAATCTGGTCGAAGAAAACGAAGAGGGGTATGCTTTTTCAATCTCTTTTATGAGGTCTTCCGCACGCTCACGATTTGACGAGTAATTGACCACGATACGATATTGACCAGCAGCAGCCAGTGCTTTGACGACGGCGGCACCGAGTCCAGCAGATCCAGCAGTCACAAGGACGACTTTGGAGTCTTGCGCTTGCGCCATTGAATGAAACTATATCCTATATGTCTATCTCTTTTCTTTTTCGGATTGTCACGGGTATAAATTGACACGATAATCTCAGGTATGATGTCAGTTTAATTTACAAGAATTCGCAGAGTATTGAGAAAAAATCAAGATTGCGGGAAGTTATGCCCCGCAGTGCGTGCCGCGGGGCAGTTCGGGAGTCAGATCCGACAACACATCGTCTTCGCCGAGAGTAATCCCTGCAACATCGAGCAGTACACTTCCCACCTATCCATGCCAAACACGCCTGATCACAGAGCCTTGTCACCCAACAAACAATGATTAGGCAATGAAAACTGGCGGCTCAAAACTTTTGACATCGAAAATCGCTCTGGCTTTAATGAAATTCCAGTGGAATCACGCCGCCTATTTTCGCGAGCCTCGAGTTGGCTGGTTTCGCTGCTGTATCATCCTTACAGCTAATTGTCCCTCGCGATGTGCGAAGCTCTGTCTGGCCGTCCCAACTTCATGTGGAAACTGTGCGGAGCTGCTTTTACAGTGACTTTTCAGGCGATGATAAATCGGATTTTCTTGGAAAGTTCCCATTTGATGTTTTACCCGACGGGTCAGATTGCCTGCAATTAACACTCAGAGCATGATCATGCCTTATCTTTTATACCAAGCTTTATTCTTCCACAGTCACACAATATTCTGAGTTTATCCAAGTTCACTCAAGTTTGACTATCTATTTTTCTTTCCGTGTTCGCCATTGATTTTGTCGTTTATCTATCAACCTTTTTACATATAAGTCTTTCTTTTAGATAAGGCTTGGTTCATCGTACTATCATTGAACTGTCTGCTTGTCTTTTGCTTAATCTGGAATGATTTTAATTTGAATTGATTTTACTTATTGTTCTTCTGGAGACAAAAGGACTCGTGGAGATTTAATACTCTTCCGTCTCTCTTTCTTCCCTTTTGTTGGCCTTCTCCACTAATCTTGCACAATCCGGTTGCTATATCGACGACCTCTACTGTCAAACTGCTTCTATTCTTCAGAAGCTCATAGATGGCCGAAAAGCTTGTGACGGCCCCGAAGTAATTAAGCTTTCCATATCTGAGTTTGACCTCATTTATGAGACTACAGTTCCACTCTTGTGATTCTTGTCTCAAACGTTTCTCTCTGAGAACAATTCAAGGTAAGCAATACTCTCACTTGTACACGACTCAATTTGCGCTGTCTGCTCTTTACTCTCATCACTGATTTCACTCTTCATTTTTCGGTTGGGTTTCATTCAGTCTATCATCACCTCCTCCCCTTTCCCTTTCTCTTCCTCTTCCTTTTTCACATCTTCTTCTCTTTGTCTGAGCACTAACACTTTATTGACTTCTTCTTACCTTCTCTTTGCTTTCTATCTACTCTCCCTGGCCATTCTTCGTATCTTCTTCTTTCCTCCCTCCTCCTCCTCTTCCTCCTTCTCCTCGATACACTTCTACTCAGCTTTCACCTACTCACCCTGACAACGGCAGTGATCTTCCTTGCTCTGGCCAATGTAAGACAACTCAGTTTCCCGCCACTGTCATCATGCCTGATGCTTTCAACTGGCTCTGTGCTCGTTAGTTTGCAAAACTTATATCCTCATTTCTCTACCTATCTACAATTCGCCAGCAAATCTTCTCATTTGTCCTGCAGTTATAGCTCAGAAATACCCTACAGTACGTTTCACATCGTTATCACCGTTCTTTAGTCAGCTTTTCACTACCCGCTTTTGAATAACGTTTTTCCATTTGTATGTAGAACTTTGCCTTTGTTCATTTCTTGTTTTTCTCCCTTTTCCCACGCCGTTGTGTTTTCCTCTCATCTTTCTTCTCCTGTTTCTTTTTTTATCTCATGGAAAGTTTCATTCTAAGTAACGGCACTGATGACCAGCCTTGAACAAACTTACAGAATTCAACCCGCTCAAGGCTTTCTTCGGAGCTAGTTCATCATATCACAAGCCGGTCGGAAGTAATCCAATTTCTCCAATACTGAAATTGGATCAGTGTCCTTGCAGCACGCAGAAAATCCAATGAGACCTTGTGAATCCCCTCAGATGGGTGTGGCCAATACGATACACGGACTCCCATCGCCTCCTCCCACGCAGCCTGACTTTAAGACTGTCTCATCTGAGGAATTAGAATTTAGAGGAGAAACTGCAGAGAGCGGGAACAATACGCAGACCCCTGGCGATAGAGCCGAAGTTCTCTCCGAGGATGCAGACGCTGTAGAGTCCATGCAGATGGTCCAATACATACCTGCGCAGCCATGTTCGGCTGTTGCAGCGGAGCATGATGATAACCACGGAGAACGAGACGCCCTTGAACTTAGAGATATGGCTGAGAGCAAAACAGCAGACAGTCACTTGAATGCAGAGCCATCCTACTTAGAGTCTTTGAAGCACGATAAGAGTTGTTCTTCTACTTCAGAGCAAAAAATTTCCGTCGAAGAGAATAGCCGCCACTCAAGCCCAGGATACATACCAGATGGTGTCCAAAGCAGTATCGTACCCTTCACAACCGACCAAGGTATCCAAAATAAAAAACGATTGACCAAGTGTGACATCGAGAAATATCGAAACGCCCAAGAAACTATTGCAGCTAAAAGCCGTTGTCCAGATGCCGCAGCTGAATCGTTGGAGAGTAATGAAAGGTATGAATTACCAAAGACCCTCAGGAGAGATAGCCAAATTACTAAACCCTCCCCTGAAGGAATCTACCAGGAGAAGCTGTCACAGTTGATACCTTGTTTGTGCCAGAGTCTCCGCTTGACAGGCGATTGACTGAATCAAACAATGAGCCAAGCAACAAAATCGACCTTAGCTTAAGCAAACATTTGCTCTCAGATGATGAAAGGTACATCTCAAAAAACACTTTGGAAAGTCCATGCTGAAACTTTAAATAGTGATTTTGGAGATACCAATCACAAGACGAAGGCAAAGAGACCGAGAAAATCGGCGAATGAGGACTCGGAAATTGATTTGACAAACAAAGCTTCTGAGTTACCTTCTGAAGTAAAATCGGGCGAGTCAGAGAAAAGAAAGTCAAGGTCATCGAAAAAACAGAAGGCCGGCAAGCAAAAGGGTAAAAAGGCTTCTGACAGAAAAAAACGTTCAAAGAAAATTGCAAAACATGCTCCCAAGAAGAAACCCGTAGACAAACGCTGGAATTCTAAGTCATCTGAATTTTTGAGTACTGGTCACCAACTCTTCGAAAGCATTTTTGATCAAGACGTCGGCGGTGAGAACTGGAATTCGGAGACCAAGGTCTCGACACGGAAAAACGATTATGTGAAATCTCTTCTTGACTCTGTACCAGAGGAAAAAAGGACCAAGATCAGAAGGGATGGGAACCTCATTTTGCACGCAACTAAACAGCTTTCACCATACAATGTCCGTTCGACCGGAGATGGACTTTGGAACGTGTCAGGTTAGCATCGCGATATCTTCATATTGAAATCTTCTCACACTCTACAGGAATGAAAACAGCCTTGCTCAACTACCAAGTCTTGGGTGCCGATTGGATGGTAAATTCTCTTTATATTTCGCAACTCTTAGTACTGACCAAAAACTAGCGTGACCGCGAGGAGAATGAACAAGACCCGCGTGGAGGAATAAACGCAGACATGATGGGATTGGGAAAAACAATCCAGACACTGGGTAAGTATTAAGTATTTGGAAAAATAATGCCCGGATACTTCCGCAATTGAACTGATTTCAAAATTTAAGCTGTTATGATTTGCAATCCTCCAGGGAAGTCTGACCCCAAGGCAACGTTAATTGTGGCCAACAAGAACCTGCTCTTTCAATGTGAGCGAGAACCGTCATCAAACCAAATGCAAAGCCGTTCTAAAGTTTGTAGGGGAGCGAGAAATAAAACACCATACTGAGTGGGAAAAATGGTTCCCTCGCATTTTAATGTATTCATCAAAGCTCTCGGTGACGAAGACAGATTTAGAGGGTTTTGATATCATGTGAGTACTCGGTGGATATCCGCAAATAATGTCTTATTTTCATTCTAACAACGGCCAGATTGACCACATACAACGAGGTAATAGTCTGTTCAAATTATCTATCAAATCCATCTTCCTTTTCTAAGATTGATCTAAACAATGCCTCAAAACTCAAGATTATGAAATCATTTCCGGTGCCTGACATTTCGGAGGAAACAAAAAACATAGACCAAGTGAGTTAGATCTATCTTTTTGGAAGCTTTTTTCCCCTTTCTTTCTCGAAAAGAAAGTCCATTATTTGTCGCAGTACTGACATAAAATAGGCGGTGCAAGAATGGAGAAAGGAAAAGGAGGAGCGCAGTGGTACCTTGCACGACGTGCAGTACTACAGAATTGGTGATTTGGATTTCAAGTTGAAGAAAATCAATCTGGAACTGACAATTGAAGCAGTACTTGATGAAGCACAAGCCATCAAGAATCATAAGTCACAGACGAGTAGGGCTTGCCGGGCTTTGAAGGCAAAGTAAGTTGCCTTGAATATGTCCAAATAGCAGCGTCATCTAAGAAAAACAGATATCGGTGGGCTCTTAGCGGGACACCAGTTGATAATGATCTCACCGAATTTTACTCGGTAGGCAGACTTTTAAACGTTATATATACTTGCATTGATACTAATATCGGCTCTACATTAAGTATTTCAAATATCTTCGCATATCTGGCATCGGCAATTTTCGGGATTTCAAAAAAAATTTTTGTAATTCTGAGAGCGAAACTTGTATCAGCAGGATGCAGCTCCTCTTGAGCGGAATTATGCTGAGGCGTGTACATACTAACCAGCTTCTCAACAAGCCGATCCTGCAACTTCCAGAGAAAGCTCAACATACCATTATGCTCAAGTTCGACCCGATCGAGCAAGCAATTTATGACTACGTCGAGGCCAAATACACGACCCGCATTCATTAGTTCGTCTGACCTTTTCGTTCTTTTCTCTTCTCTCTCTCTCTCTCCTCTTTATTGTCTTTTTCTTTCTTTCAATTGGATCACACTAAATATATTTATGTAGCTTCATTCACTCCGGGGTCGCCAAGAAGGAAAAAAAGAAAATTATGGGTATGAATCTTGCTTCCAAACATCGAACAGGTTTTGATTGACAAAATTATACTAGCTATGCTACTAAGACTACGACAGATGACGGCGCATGTCCTCATTGCGCATGAAAGTATCCAGCATCTATTCACACTAGACGATCTGGCGGGTATCGAGTCAACTATAGCCTCAAGGTGCACCCTCACACCCCCACAACGAGAGATTTTATCTCAAGCAAAGGTAATGGTTCAAGACCATCTCAAGAGAGTCAAAGAGGGCGACGAAGATAAGGACTTCACCAAAATGAATGGGGGAAATGGCGTTTTCTCTAATCCTGCCACGCCTGAAGGAAACGAGGCTGAATTTCTGGAATACATCCAGAAATTAAATAAGGATTCCAATACCATTGAATTGGAATCCCGAAAAATATGCCCGGAGTGCCAATGCCCACCCGAGAAGCCTTATCTTTCACCTTGTTGGCACCTCTTTTGCGCAGCTTGTCTACAATCCTTGGAAGAGAAGGCGAAAAAGAAAGACTTGAAGCAGATCAATTGTCCAGCTTGCCGAACTTCATTCAGTCAAGCGACAAAGTTTAGAAGTCTCGGGGTCTTGAAATCCGAAACATGGGGCCAACAGGAGGATAATGCAATAGCACGAGAAAGAAAAATTGTTGATACGCGATGGATTGATCAATCTTTGCGCAAGCTGATGTCAACAAAAATCAAAGCTGTTGTTTCCCAGACGGCTGAGTGGATCGGAAAAGATGACAATTGTAAAATTATTATCTACACCATGTTCTTGCCTACGATTAGGATCCTGGGGCGCATATGCTATTTGCGTGGATGGGGTCATCTCAAGGTTAGTGCTGTTCAAATGAGATCGTTGTGAAGATTCTTCCATATTAACTGAATTTTATAATGTTAGTTTCATGGTGAAATGTCGGCGAAAGCCCGTGACCAAACAATCATGAATTTCCAAAACGACCCGACAAAGCGAATCTTACTCGCAACCATGCAATGTGGAGGTGTGGGACTGTAAGTCGAAAGAGAAATCAGCCGTATTTGAAATGCTTACGAATGATTTTTATAGAAATTTGACTATGGCGACACGACTAATTTGCGTCGACCTGTGGTGGAATAATAGCCCAGAACAACAAGGTAGGGCAACCGAGAATCTGTACAATAAGAGAAACCACATTAACTTTGGTGCTTTACAGCATTTGCGCGAATATGGCGGAAGGGCCAGACGGAGAAAACACAGGGCGTTCGATTTGTCGTTCGAGGTACCATAGACGAAAAGCTGATGGAATTGCAAATACGAAAGGCAGCTATCATTCAGAAAGGTATCGGCGAGCGCGACAAGTTGGATAGGTAAGTCCTGATTTCAACATCAGGTTATTCGTTGAGACCATAAGCCCGACACTGGAGCTGAATAATTCAACCTAGTTTGACCATTGAGGATATCGAGGAACTGTTTAGTCAAAAGGGCAAGGATAACAAATCTCCGGGCTTCATTCCTCCCACTAGTAAGGATGAAGCCGATGAAGGTGGTATCATTGGATCTTCTATGCCCGAAGAAGACGATATCTAGCTAGCTGAATAGTTTCAATTGAAGTTCAAGTTTATCGCCGGTGCCTGAAACTTGCCCAAGTGCTTTTCGCATGTTGAGATATATGGACACCGGAATCATGTACATGATGAGAGATCACTGTTTTTTGCCTTCCTCAGACAGAAAATGGCCTCTTTATGAATTCATTGTGGTGATTTAGGTGCTTGGCATGGCTGCACAATTGTCTGACGATGTGTCTGGCCATTGGTAGAGCTGTAATGTGCTCTTGTGCTATGCTTTCGCATGACTGACAAGAAGGAGCAGCTGTTTCTCATCAAGGCAACATGAAAACTAATCGCATCTTGGATGAGGGCCGTGAAGCGAAGTTGTTCGCCAGAATTCTACGTCAATGTGAAGGATACGTGACGCTACAGCGGTACAGTGTGATGCCCGGTATGTTTTCACTACGGAACTGCCTCCGTATATATTTTAGGGTTTGCAATTCCTGAATTTTACTTCCGAGTCAAATGGAACGTTGAATGAGAGCTGCCATGGACCACATGTTCGAATAGGTTTGTCGATCCACAGAAAGCATGGCCGCACGCGGAAATGAAGAGGGCGGGCCAACCTCATTACACCAAACCCAAAGTCTCTTGTTCGTCGCGTTATGGCTTTCCCGCTGTGGGTCTTTCGCGACCGGCGATTTGGAACCAGACGAGGGGACCGAGGAACTCGTTCGTCTTTCCTCAGCTGAAATACCCAAGTCGATTACATAATGATCGGGGTCACCGCACCAATCTGCGTTGTCCGTTTGATCGCAGATATCAAACTAACGAATAGTAGAGAGGGATCTGGCACTAGTGAGGATAGCGGACCGAAAGAGCGACGCAAGGGTCCAACCTATTCGATCGACGTTGGCGTTGACGACGACCTGAAGCTACAAAGGGGATCGAGAGATGAGAACGCCCCCCTCAGATAGAAAGCACCCCCCACGGAGCGATGAGTACCTCAGTACATTGAAGCGTGCTCATTTGAAGGTTCAAAATGGCAGTAATCGTGATGGACTGGTACGTACCTCTGTACGGTCGCTTCATGGTTTAGACTTTCTGCAATAAATGGGAGACTTTCTTGACGTGCGCAGTCGGCTTTTTCGCTGCTGCCATGACGACATCCATATTCCAGGAGGGGCCATCATACCTTGGTCGAACAACAGCTGGGCGAAACGCCAGATGACGCATCGGTGGCTTTTCTTCCCACTCAATACTCCGTACTTCTTCAACGCGTTCCTTCCTTAAGTAGTTTTAACAATTTGCATTCAACCATCTTAAATGCTTTCGTCATCGCTCCTTCCACCCTCATCTGTTTCAGCCTCGAGCACATCGTCGTTGATGTGGCTGAAATGCGACCGGTTAACGTAGTAGCTCTGTACGGTACCCCCGTACAGCGCCGCTCCCATAATTTTGGCGATGGATGAAACGGGGCCCAGCTCTGCAGGGGTTTTTCAAATATTTTTTTAAGGCAGTCACCATAACCCTGCTGGCAATCACCCATCAGATGCAAGCCGCGACACGTCGTCCGGGCAGAGAATCCTGTCAGGGCTCTCGATAAGTTACCGGCTGCATTCCCTTCCTACGTGCTTCTACCTACACCAGGAAAATTATTTTCCTGTTGACACATGCAATTTCGTCACGACAATAACAAACAGCCACCCCCTATAGTATAGCAATAATATACATCTTAGCCGTTTATAGCATGCTGTCATGATCTCGCCGCTCAGGGTCAACCTTCCCTGTCAGTCGCAAGTCAAGAAGAAGACGTTTCATGAAGTAGCACCGGAGACTAAGGAGTCAGAAATTTGCGCTCTAAAACCATTGATGGTGGCCTTTCCGTAGCTTATTATCGACCTGAAGGGACGGCCACCAGTTAATCCGTCCCTATTTTCCCGCGTCTACTCTTGAGGGATTTCCATTGGAGAATTGCCCTTGGAGACTTTACTAGCGGGCACGGTAATTGAGAAGGTAATATAATACGTTTTCATCTATCGCCGAGTTCAGCAAGCGTAGTGACCTCCGCCCTGCAATTTTTCTCCATGAGAGAGTGCAACAGCTGGGTGTGGGGCTGGTGAAAAGGAGGTTTACCAGAGTACTACGTACGGTAGAGCGCACTAACAGTGGGCGGCGATCGGGTGGAGAGCAATGATGTCGTTTGGATCGCTGGATGGCCGGTTACTGACTATTCCTACAAGGGAAAAAAAACTTGGTTGGAGCTGAGCGACTCTGGCCCGAGCTCCCCTGGTACTTACCGTAGTAGTTGTGTTGCTTCACTGTATGTCCTAGCCCACCATCGAACCCTGGACTGTTCTCGTCAAAACCAGGCAGGGCTCTAAATTATCCAAGGGAATAATAGCCTGCTATCCCCCCCCTCCCCAATTCTCCACCTTGGGTCGATCATTCTTTAACTCTTTTTCTTCCTTCCCGAATTACTGTTTCGCAACCTCATCTGGGATCCTCAATTCACCCCAGAAGGTTTTCCTGCGCCAGTAGGGGCTTTGGGGTCGCCTGTTGTAGTACAACGCTCGTAGCCCGACCTCTTGTTTTGAATTCTCTCGACTACAACTACTACTGCTACTGCTACAACAACAACTACACTGCACAATGGCCTCCGCGGTGGACGCGGCCCTGCGCGCCGCCCACGGTGCATTGGTCCGCCGAGTCGTAAGTTGCATTCTTTCGAGGATGACATTCTGGAACAGCTTTCTGATGGCGTGTCGGTACAGGACCAAAATAGTGATTCCAATATTGGTTCATCAGACCAGCAGAGTAATCCGTCGCTCTCTTCCTTTGTGACTGTTCTGGTGCCTGTTGCGATTGTTGCAGGAGTCGAATTTGTCGCCTTCCTGATTCTCCGGCGCATGTACCCTCGACACTATGCGCCGAGGACGTTTCTTGGAAGCTTGCGCCAAGAGTAGGTGGTAGCTCATACGCGCTCAATTGCACGTCCTAATCTAGTTTGTGAACAGGAACCGTTCGCCATCATTGCCCAAAGGTCTTTTGAACTGGATCGTCGCCTTTTTCAAGATTCCGGATACTTTCATTCTCAATCATCACTCAATGGATGCGTATCTATTCATTCGGTTTCTCAAAATTGCCACCACAATCTGCTTTGTTGGGTGCTTCATTACCTGGCCTGTCTTGTTCCCCGTGAATGCTACTGGTGGAGGCGGACAGGAGCAGCTCAACATTCTCAGTTTCAGTAACATTATCGGGGACAAGAATCGCTACCTCGCTCATACTTTTATTGCCTGGATATTTTTTGGTATGTTTTGAGAGCGCGGCTTAAAGTCCCTTTTGACAATCATGCATTGATGTTTGATTAGGCTTCGTTCTTTTCATGGTTACAAGAGAGAGCATCTACTATGTCAACCTTCGTCAGGCTTACCTCATGTCCCGTATTTACGGAAGCCGCATGTCATCCCGCACCGTGCTTTTTAGATCTGTTCCAAAGGATTACCTGGACGAGGCAAAACTTCGACGCCTGTTTGGCCCCACTGTCAAGAATATCTGGATTGCAACTGATTGCAAAAAGCTCGAAGACCAAGTCAAGGAAAGAGACAAGATTGCTATGAAGCTTGAAGGGGCTGAAATCAAGTTGATTACCGAGGCCAACAAGGCCAGGCTAAAGTCGTTTAAGCAGGCTGGGAACCGTGATGAGGAATCCGCTGCAATTGGCCATACCGACGGTGATGGAGACTCCGAATCGGGATCTGTCGCAGGACGCTGGATTGCGCCCAAGCAGCGACCAACTCATCGTTTGAAACCCTTGATCGGCAAGAAAGTGGACACCATTGATTGGTCGCGGTCCGAGCTCCAGAAACGGATCCCTGAAGTAGAGGCATTGCAGGAATCCCATCGCGCGGGTGACGCAAAATACTTGAACTCCGTCTTCGTTGAATTCGCCACCGTCGGTGCTGCGCAGGAAGCGTACCAGAGCTTGACCCATCACCGGGCATTGTGCATGGCTCCTCGACATATCGGCATCACGCCAGGCGAAGTCATTTGGTCGAATTTGCGCATGTTTTGGTGGGAACGCATCATTCGGCTTATCATCGCGGTAGCGTTTGTCGTTGTCTTGATCATTTTCTGGTCGATTCCCGTCGCGTTTGTGGGAGCGTTATCAAACATCTACTACCTCATCAACAAGGTCCATTTCCTCAAGTTCCTTTTGAAGCTCCCGACCTTCCTTCGTGGCCTTGTCACTGGACTTCTTCCTTCGGTATTGCTGGCCGTCTTGATGGCATTGCTTCCCATTGTCTTGCGCTGTAAGTTTCATCCGCTCCAATGTCCGTTTATTGTTTGCCGCAAATTGACTTACAAAATCTTTTCCCGTTGGCAGTGGCGGCACGGTTTGGCGGTGATCCCTCCCTGTCTGCCGTCGAATTGACCGTGCAGAATTCATACTTTGGATTCCAAGTGGTCCAAGTCTTTCTTGTCGCTACTCTCTCTTCAGCAGCCTCGGCCGCTGTCACTCAGATCATCGAGAATCCTACGAGCGTGACCAAGCTGCTTGCGAACCAGCTGCCAAAGGCTTCCAACTTTTACATTTCCTACATTGTGCTACAGGGCTTGGCAGTTTCTACTCAATCTTTGTTAGCCATCTCTGGTCTGGTCCTTGCCAGGGTGCTTGGAAAGATTCTTGATAAATCTCCGAGGAAAATGTATGCACGATGGTCATCCCTCGCGGGTCTTGGTTGGGGTACTCTTTTCCCAATCTACGAAAACCTTTTGGTCATTGGTATGTCCCTTACCTCTCTCTGCCTTGTTTTGAGTCCTTGGTGTGAGCTAATACTCCTGCTTAGCACTTGTCTATTCGTGCATCGCGCCGCTCGTTCTGGGCTTTGCTACAATTGGTCTCTACTTGTTCTATCTGGCTTACCGGTACAACATTCTCTTCGTGAATGATTCGGATATCGACACCAAGGGAGCCGTCTATCCTCGCGCTCTTCAACATATCATGGTTGGCGTCTACCTTGCAGAGCTTTGCTTGATCGGTCTCTTCGGTATCAAGGCTGCTGCTGCACCTTTGGTTTTGACCATCATTTTCCTCGTCTTTACCGTTCTCTACCACATCTCGTTGCAGTCCGCGCTGGACCCGGTGATTAAGTATATTCCGAAATCAATTGATCTTGAAGAAGAGGATCTCCTTGCAGCTGAAGAAGGATATCATAATGGAACTTCTACTTCGCACGACAAGAATGGCACGTCGCCAGCCGTGGCTACCACGACTAATGGCTCATCTTCTGGAAATGGAAAAGCGAGCAGTCTCCCGCCTGCGCCTCACAAAAAGCCAAACTTTTTCGTTAAATGGCTGCGTCCCGACAAATACACCGATTACCAGACCCTTCGCAGGCTAGTTCCGCGGGACTATGTTGAGCTGCAGCCCAGCCCCGAGGCGGAGCGTAATGCGTACTATAATCCCGCCATCAATGCGGCGGCTCCGCTGCTCTGGATTCCCCGCGATGAGGCCGGCGTTTCAAGACAAGAAGTCCAGCACACGAGTAAAGTCATTCCCATCACTGACGAGGGTGCGTTCCTCAATGAAAAGAACAAGATTATTTGGGACAAAGACACTGGACTGCCGCCAATCTATGAAGAAAAAGTTGATTACTAGTCGGAGATAGTCTACCTCACGGGCAGACCGTATTTCCTTCAAAAGGACCATTTTCGACATTTGGGAGGCCAATGGTTTCCCATTGAAAAAAGAAGAGTCCTTCTTCCAGATGTTTTGCGCAAGCAATGATTCCTTTTTTTTTTTTTTTTTTTTTTTTTTTTGATTAATTCATGGTGCTTTGTTGGTTTTGAAGCTTTGAAGTTGGAGATACCACGGGCTTGTCTTTTTTCGGACATTCATGCACAGTTGCCGATACCAAATTGAGTTTATGATATGCCGGCGAAAGACACGACTGTATGTTAATTAGTACGTAGTAATAATCATCACACCGATGAATAATAATGATTGTTTGGTTATTAATGTGTCTTGAGAAATCTTTCAACTGCCTGATGTAATGTGATTGTGAACCAAGTCCAATGTATCGTACATTTTCTCCCGCCTCGCTCAGTGATCAGAATATATATATTTTTAAACCTTTTATACAAAAGTAATGTTTGTAAATTAAAATTCCAAATCCGAATTTCCGTTTATGCGGACCTATCAGCCTTTGCCTACCATAGGGGAAAAACCGGGTTTTTCAATACCATAGCTACATAGGCCCAGCAACTAAACAGTTGTACAACTGGAATTTTAGGAAAATACAGACCTACTATGTTCAGTTAAATGTGATTGTATGGCACTTATGTTACTAAACCCTGTTCAAACTATACTATGTAAGTACTTATTCTTGGCTGTCTAGGTACTATGTAGTTAAAGCTCTTGCAACAACTACTCGGCAGAGAATAATAGTAAAATTACCAGTGTAATACTGTATTACTGTCTAGATACAATTGGAATTTATATGTCATGGACCATGGTAAATTAATCAAAGCAACCTTCGTAACTTCATAATTTTTTAGAAGTTACAACTGTAACAGAGAATTATTACAATTTACCTTAGCTACATGGACCTGCCACTAAAATACTGTAATACAATGGTCTGATTACAGTGTTGATTCGGTATTGAAAACCCCGCTTTTTCCCCTAAGGTAGGTAGGAATTGAGCATGTCGAGGCAGATCCCATCCAGCGTTTGCACCAACGACCGCTGTCCGAAAATGGAAACCACTTTACGCGAAAAGTCGCGTCATGCAACTTACCCAAGACGCGCCCCGGACGCGTCGCCAGCCGAACGACGTGGGGACCAGACCGAGGGACCCTCTCCGAGGCAACCAACCAACAACCAAACCAATCTTCAAATTGGCGAAATTCGACCGATGACCTCTGCGCCCTCCTTCCAGTTCAGTTTACCGCCAGCCATCACAATCACTTCATCTTAGAGGTCATTGTACAAAGTACCCATTCTTTGTTCTGATATTTTTGAATTCGTACTTTTTCCAACTCCGACAACTTTCGTCGCCTTCAAGCCTTACGACAGGCGCGATTACACGCTCACTGAGTGGGCGGAAATTTTTGTCTCTCCTTTCTATAGCGGAGGTTACTGAGAGCCATAACGAGCACAAGATACCCCTAAGCGCAAAGTAAAGACATCAAAATGTCTTCTCTCCTCGATTCCGTGTTTGGCAGCGATCACAATAATCAGCATGATCAGATGAGCAGCGGAGGTGCCAATGGAATTCCCAGTGGTGGTGGCAGGACACCTACGCCGTCGGTGGGCGCAGCCAGATCGGTCAGATCTTCGTCTCGCCCTCGAGGTCCTCCAACTGCCATGTCGGAAAGCGTCGGGCCACATAGTGATGACGGTGCATTCCCTGACGATCAGGTCGTCGGCCTTCGAGGTACTGATCGGAAGAGACCGGGAAATCCTCTGGATGAAGGACCGCCCAAGGTGGTAGATGCTACAGGCGAAACCCTACAACAGCGCTTCGAAGAATTCTTGGAGACGTAAGTAATTGTATTCTGGTACTGTCGATTTTCATTGGGGGAGGGAAGTGGGTTGGATTGTAATAAAGAATTTGCGATGGAGCGCTAACGTGTTTCTATAAAGTTTTGTCGAAGAACCCAGCTCCTCTGCGGCACTGCCTTCGAGCGCTCCGACAAGCGATAAATACTACATTGCTCAGATTCACGGCCTGCGGATATACAATCTGTCAACACTCTATGTTGACTATCAACATTTTTTGGCGCGTGAGCGCGGCGAAACGCTGGCAAATGCCATTGCTTCCGAATACTACCGATTTCTTCCATTTATGACACGTGCATTGCACAACCTCATTGCCAAGTACGAGCCGCGGTATTTCAAGGAACATCGTCAGCCGACGTCTGCATCCTCGCAGACGAATTCCTCTGTCGCCGGCAACGTTCCCAGCGAGTCAGAGTCAATGGGAGAGAAGACGACAAATCAGCAGACGGATAAATTGTTTACCTTGGCATTTTACAACCTTCCGCTGGTCTCACGTATCAGACAGATCAGGACGGGTTCGATTGGAAAGCTGTTGTCCATATCAGGAACAGTCACGCGTACCTCTGAAGTGCGGCCAGAATTGTCTCTAGCTACTTTTCTATGTGAAAGCTGTCGTACGGTGATTCCCAACGTGGAACAGACGTTTCGGTATACAGAACCTACGCAATGCCCCAACAAGACGTGCGGCAATCGACAAGCATGGCGTCTCGATATCCGACAGAGCACATTCGTCGACTGGCAAAAAGTCCGAATTCAAGAAAACAGCTCGGAGATTCCTACTGGAAGCATGCCTCGAACTCTGGACGTCATTCTGCGAGGAGAAATTGTCGATCGGGCCAAGGCCGGAGAAAAGTGCATTTTTACGGGTGCTGTTATCGTTATTCCCGATGTGAGCCAGCTCGGTCTCCCTGGTGTCCGCCCTGAGGCGATGAGAGATAATCGCAATGCACCTCGCGGCGGTGATGTAGGAGGCAGCGGCGTGACTGGTCTGAAAGCTCTGGGAGTCAGAGATTTGACTTACCGCATGGCTTTCCTTGCTTGCATGGTCACGCCAGACACGACCACGCCCGGCCAGGCCGCGAACCAGCAGCTCAACGGACAAGCGCAGAATATTCTTGCTTCCTTAAACCAGACGGCTCCCATTGACCCGCAAGATCCTGGCGATCATGCGCAAGAAGCCTTTTTGAGCTCGTTGACGGCAGCAGAAATTGAAGATCTCAAGCGAATGGTTCACACGGACCACATTTACTCACGCCTGGTCAATTCCTTGGCTCCCATGGTGTACGGACACGAGATTGTTAAAAAGGGTCTTTTGCTTCAATTGCTCAGTGGTGTGGGTAAGATAACTCCTGAGGGTATGGCGCTCAGAGGCGATCTCAACATTTGCATCGTCGGAGATCCCAGTACAAGCAAGAGTCAATTTCTCAAGTAAGTCATAAAGGCAAGAATATGTGAGGACGTTGGGAACTGATGAAAACTACACAGATATATTTGCTCTTTCCTGCCTCGAGCAGTGTACACGTCTGGAAAAGCGTCTTCTGCTGCGGGTCTTACGGCCGCTGTGATTAAAGATGAAGAGACGGGCGAGTTCACTATCGAGGCCGGTGCTCTCATGCTGGCGGACAATGGCGTTTGCTGCATTGACGAGTTTGACAAGATGGATATTTCCGACCAAGTCGCGGTCCACGAAGCCATGGAACAGCAAACGATTTCCATTGCCAAGGCTGGTATCCAGGCAACGCTGAATGCCCGGACCAGTATCCTCGCTGCCGCCAACCCCGTCGGTGGAAGGTACAATCGCAAGACGACCCTGCGGGCAAACATCAACATGAGCGCGCCCATTATGAGTCGTTTCGATCTCTTCTTCGTCATCCTCGACGAGTGCAAGGAGGGCGTAGACCGGCACCTGGCCGAGCATATTGTCAACATTCATCGACTCCGAGACGAGGCCGTCCAGCCCGAGTTCACCACGGAGCAACTGCAGCGGTATATCCGGTTTGCACGCACCTTCAAGCCCGAGTTCACTCCCGAAGCCAAGACCCTCCTGGTCGAAAAGTACAAGGAGCTTCGCGCCGACGACGCCCAGGGCGGTATTGGACGAAACAGTTACCGTATCACGGTCCGCCAACTCGAGAGTATGATTCGCTTGAGCGAGGCCATTGCCAAGGCGAATTGCGTCGAGGACGTCACCCCCGCCTTTGTCCGCGAAGCCTACAACTTGCTCCGACAGAGCATCATTAGTGTCGAGCACGATGATGTGGATATTGAAGAAGTCGAAGAGTTGGAGCACCGAATTGACGGCGAAATTGATGCTGTCGATGCGGAAATGGGCGAGGCCGCACGTGAAATTGTAGAGGCTGCCGATGGCCAATCCGTCCCGCCTCCTGCCCACGCCGAAAAGACCAAGATTACTTGGGACCAGTACATGGGTATCCTCAATTTGCTCGTGCAGCGCGTCAATGAGGATGAAGTCGCCGCGGGCGAGGGCGTCGAAGAGGAAGATCTTATTATCTGGTACCTCGAGCAAAAGGAGGACGAGCTCGCCAGCCAGGAAGACCTCGAGCGCGAGCGAGGGCTTGTCAAGAAGGTCATTAAGCGTATGGTCAAGGTATGTTTTAAGTTTTGGTTTCCGTTTCGTCCAGCATCTTTGGAAGTTTCCTTCGGTTTTTCCATTTCTTTCACCATCTTTCAACACGCCTATCACTTCTCCATTTCCTTCGCCCTTGCTTCGTTATCTCCTCATTCCCTTATTTGAGAGTACATCTGACATGTGCAGGATCTCATCATCATGCCTATTCGCGGCGAAGGCCTCATGGACGAGGACGCTGAGCAGGGCGACTCCCGCGGCGACCGTATCGTCTATGTCATGCACCCTAATTGCGCCATTGAAGAAATTGACGGCCCTAGACCTCAGTGATTGTGTTGTTCGTTGTTGTCGTTATTTCAGGTTTGTTTGTTGTTTGTCGTTAGTTTAGGTCTGTGGCAGATCAGGTGTCTGGTGTACAGTGTACGGCATTTTGCCATGACTCATTTATGGGGTGTTATGGGTGAAGAACACGGAGTACAGGTCTGATGACAGCCATTCGTGATGGGTTTTAGTTATTAGTGGACTGTGGGTATGATGAAGACGTACAGGTCCTTTAGGTAGTTTAGTAATTTAGATGTAAAATGTAATTGATACCATTTACTGCATATTACATGTTCGATATTGACTAGTTGTATTTACTTGTCGCTGATTCTTTTTTATTTTTATTTTTAACCTCATTTACACATTTCTTATCGTATTTTGTAAAAACACTCTCCAAACATTAAAAGTCAAACGTCAAACGTCATAAAGAGACAGACAAAAACTAAAGCCCAGCTTATACTACCCGTACCTTCATGGATGTAGAATGTAACAAGGCTACTTGGACCCGCCCTTCCTTCCGGCCTCGGACGCGCGCGGGTCGCCTGGCGCAAAGGACCCGCCTGATGCGGCGCCGCCTTTGGACGCAATGTTTTGCTACGGACGTTAGTAATTATGTCCGTTATTATCATTACCTCACTTCCTCTATTCTCTCGAGTCTCGGTTTTTTATTTAAATATATATATATATATATATATATATATATGATATATTTGGTTTGGGTTTGGTTAGGTTTGGTTTGGTTGGGGAGCTCGGGGAGCTCGGGGAACTCGGGGAACATAGGGGACTTTGGGGGAACGCACGACTTGCTCACGAGGCATGCTGGCAAAGCCGCCCTGATGAGAGGCCTGGCCGCCCTTTTGCGCAATGTGGGACACGTCCTCGTGCGAGCGGTTCGCAAAGTTGCCGGGGTTGTCGTTGCCGGACATTTTGATAGATGGATTATTGATTAGAGTATTGAAACTTGGTTAAAGGGTTATGTGGTGATTGGATTGATTGGATGTGTTTGAATGGAGGGGCGGATGGAGTACGGACAAGTGTGGATGAGGGGATGAGGGAATGAGGGAGGGTTTATATGTTGGGGTTTGAGGGAGAGAGGTGGGAGAGTGGTAGATGGTAGGCTTGATCAGGAGTGGTGATACAACGACGTCGTCACCATAACCGGCTTCTTGCGGTGTGTAATGAGGTGATAATTACAACAGGGTAATATGGGACGAGCAAGTGCGTCAGAAAGGCCCTAGATGACGGATGTTGTATGATGAGTATGATGAGTACACATGTACATCTGATCTCATGTCTTGATGAAACATGTGGATGGGTTGTAGTGGGTTATGAGTATATGGATCAGAGATGCTGCAGGTACGCTGCTATGCATTTGACCGATTCAATGACTTGTATGAGCAAAGTACAAAAGGCGAATCTATAGATCTTGATCGGGGATGAACGGATAGTGCGGTAAGATCTAGATCATACATTGAGAGTAATACTAATGATTATATTGGTAGTCTGGTAGTAATGGAATCGAAAAGAACCAGGGATGATGGGATTTGGACCATGTCATGATTGCAAGCACAGCGAACTTGCCAAGCTTTGTTTGCAAATGGTCGTGTCTGGCTCGGATGATTATTTAGGATACAACTGGGATTGCATAAGATTAAGAGGAAGAAGCAAAGCTAGGCATATAAAGTTGAAAGGAATACTTGTGAGTAATGATGTTATATGACTCGATGTAAGAGGTGATGTTTACAGTGCCATGCATGTCGTCAAGAAGAGCTAAATTGACCAATCAGAGAGCAGGACTGCGAATCTGGGGTAATTCGTCTGCCGAAGTCACCAGAACGAGGAGGTAGAAGTTGTCTATTGCGCTGGCGGGTATAGCTGCCTGGACGCACCTCGGAACAGTCGATATTGTAGTCTGATATAGATATACTGGTGGTGTATGTTGCTGATGCCAAGAAAGCCATTGAGGTGTTGCTCATTCATGTTGCGGTATTGGTGGGTGGACATGAGCTGAATTGCGGATCACGAGACCTTACTACAGCCACCATAAAAATGTTTCTGCCTGTCCGGGCTACTCACAGGGCTGAGATGTGAGATGCTACGAGACCGTGAATATGGTTTCACGTGGGACTTGTAGTTACTGTATTACTATAGTCTTTTTAAAATATTTCGAAAGTCATTCCTTGGGTAGAATGGTTCGTGGAGGATTCCTGCTCGGCATCTTATCAGCCACTAGGGAACCAATGACGGTGCTAAGCCTCCACGGGAAAAGCGGAGTTGTTATCTGTATCAGTGTGATTGGTGTTTGTCATTCTGTTCACTCACCGCTTGTGCTTGAGACATGTTGATTGGCTCAAATGGGGGGATTCCTGCATGGAACCCTGATGAGCCATCCCGCCCTGCAACTGTCCCTCCTCTGGTCTTTGCCCAGAGTTATTCAAGTGTATGACTACCTACCGCTGCAGTTGAGTGGAATTAGCTGCGCCCTGAGGTTCTGTGAGACAAAAAACATAGCCTTTTGAGGTCCATGCTTTTTCCAAGATATCCTCCGGTGACCCCGGATTCGACGTACACTTGCTCTGAGTTTAATATGCTTGTTCCCACCGAAAATATCTAGCCTCCCTAAATTTTTTATTAATCATCGCTTTCTTTTCATCATTCTTTCATCATACATTGTGTACCTTGCAGCATTTTCTTCCAAACGACGACTTGGTCCTTCAATGGAAGCCTTTTTGCGGAGCAGCACCCCAGAATTGGTGCAGCTAGGCCTGATTGATGAAGATTGGTCCGCCTTTTATTGCGGACATCAACCGCCAACCCCCGGCCCATCTGTCCATCAGGCCATCGGCTTCTACCCACCGTACGATAATCCCAATAACGTACAACTTGGCCTTCACAACAGTTGGCCTGCTTGCAATCATGCACATCTCTCTCCCTGGCCACTAGTAACGCCAGCACCAGATGGTACGCAGTTGCCTTGGACACTCGGCCAGGAGACTTACCCTGCACTTCGACAAGACAGTGAAAGCTACTGTGGCACTGAGGCAACGGGGATATCTCCCGTCGATTCGTCTGCCGGTCAAGATCCAGCAGAAAATGGCCCACCGGTAGCCTATGCCTTACTACCGAAAAAGCAACTCCGCCGGGGTCGCATGAAGCGGACCCCTCCTATTCCGAATCAGTCTCCCCTTCGGTGTCGGACCATTCTCCCAAATCCCGCTCAGCTTGCTGCTCAGCACTCTGAAGATGCAGAGAGTAACGGGCCGAAGAAGAAGCGCAAGTATTCGGAGGAAGGCAAAGCAAAGGTCAATGAGGTGCGGAGGCTCGGAGCATGCTACCGTTGTCGAAAACTGAAGAAACCGGTAAGCGGAGGAATCCCGACCATGTGATGTGTTTCGATGCATCAGACAACTGATGATGGACAGTGTACCGGACAACTCCCATGCCCCAGCTGCGTGGATAGAGACAAGAAACGACTATGGCGAGGCCCCTGCACAAGGATTGATCTCAATGATCTCAGCATCTATAGCACTGGTAAGGCACAGTCAACTCAGGCCAGATATTTCTTCATTTATTAACCCATCATTTCAGACCAGTGGAGCTCACTACTCCAATCCATTACGACCCTTCAACATGACCAATCTTGGAGCGATGAATTCATGACCTGGAAGGTGCGCGGCGGAAATGGGCCAGTGTTAAAGTTTCAACTCCGCGGCATCCAATCCGACTATTTGTGCAGCAATTTCGTCGGTGGAATGTCAAACGTGCCCACTCTGGCTCAATTCGCATTGGTCCCCAAAGACGACAAGACCTCAGTTCCGTTTTCTGCAGAGGACTTTGATGCCTTTGTGGATGGTATCCTTCACGAGATCCCTAGCCGAATCTTTGTCACGTTCCTGGCCTGTCTTTTACAAAAGATTGTCGATTATGCTGTGGAGACAAAGGTATGTTTAGATTTCTTTTTTATATCTTTTGCCCAGTTACCATTAGATCAATCCATTAATGAGTTAACGGATTTGTTATAGGACACATTACTTGCCCTGGCGTTGCGGTATTATGGCTACTGCCGCCTTGCCCATGGATTCCTCCGCGGTCTCTGCTACGAGGGCTACCATGGCGGGGTCGGCGTGGGCGTCTGGCTGCGCAAGATTTTTAAATGGGACGAGATTAGTATCCTGCTAAAGATGCAGCTCTTGCAATTTACTTCTGAACGAGCAAAGGCTCTAGAGAAGAGACTCTTTGAAACAGTCCAAGCAAGACTGACCGTCGCGAAGAAACAAGAAGCATTCGTGCCGACATTGCTGGCTCTCTCGATTCTCGTCGATCAGCTAGACTGCAATATCCACGAGGGGATATGGTTAGAGAAGCCGGCCGTTAACATGGTGGTAAGTTCTTCACCCTCTCAGTCACAGCACGTATTTTGGTAATTGCAAGACGTTAAATTGTTGAGACAGTGCCCACAAAAGACAGCCATTCTCGGAGATATTCCTACAGAACGATTAGGTCATGCTCTTACGGAAAGGGCGTCTGAGTTGGCCAATGCCGCTGTAAATTTTAGCCATCTTGTCACAGACCGTGTGCTGCCAGACGACTTTATTCCATCCGCAAAGAAGCAACCCACATCCGACCAGGAATTCTTGTTGACGCTGCGCCGTGTTCTCCGCGGTCCTCGCCGTATGTCCTACCTCACTCGTTCTCCTTTAACCGTTCATTCCAACCATGCTAATCTAAGGATTCGACTTGACAGACCATCTCCCACGCACGAACCCAGTATTTCTCGAGCGAGTAATATTCTCAGACAGTATCCTAAAATCTCAATCATCGCCATCATTTACCCTTTGCACGGCATCGTCCACCCATGATCAGACTACAATCCATTCTCCATCCGCTACTTTAGCCTCCACCAAGCCTCACGCCGACTGTGATCATCATCACGGTCTAACTCATCCGCCAGCTAGCACACTATCCTCCTCAGCCACATGTTCAACTAATACTTGCAATCATCCCAATGCTGAAGCAAACGACGAAATGGACACCGACGATGCCGCGCACATCAACGAGACCTGCTCTTGCGTCGAGAGTCTCCTCAAACGCTCCATCCGCGACGGCGAAGACGTGACCGACCTTCTGCTTCGATTAAACAACGTTCCCCTTTCTTCTTCGACTTATACCCTTTCCCGTTCCAATTCCCCATCCCCATTTCCGCCATCTTCCTCTACCACTTCTTCCTCATCATCTGCGGTGTCTTCATCACGCAAACCAAAATCTCGCATTACTAAAGCCCAACCCACCACCTCGTCTTCTTCATCCACATTCACATCCACATCTACATCATCACATTCGTCAACCAACGTATCCCTATTCCGACCAAACTGGGCATGGCCATTAATATCAACCATTCCTGCCCCCACCACCACCACTTCCGCCACTCGCGACACTTCTAGTACTACCAGCCCAACATTTCCAGAACTCGGGCTAAATCTTGCATCTGGACCCGGATACGGGCCTGGATATGGACCTGGACCCGGCCCTGGATCTGGACTCGGAGTCGGATACGGATACGGCTTCGGCCTCAACTCCTGCAATTGTCGCCGCTACGACTACTTGCACAACTGGACCTTTGAGCCCGAAGCCGACTGCGTGCGGTGCGAAAAGATGGTCAAATGGCGCGGTCAATTGGTCTGTTTTGGCCGGTTGGAAGGGGAAGGGCCACTGTCTAGATTTTTGGCTGTTCCTCAATGACTGTAGTTTGTTTGTAGTTGTAGTGGGTTACCGTTTCTGTTGCTGTACCATGCAGATGCTGTACAGTGCCCGTGCGTTGCAATTGCCACTGGCTCATGACCTATAATGTCTGCACACATTTCGTTGCATTTGATACAGAAGAATAGAATAGAATATACCATTTCAATATCGATACACTTGGACATACATATTGACACGCAAATATGCCATTAACGAATTTGACATGGAGGGATTGGCTAGGTGATATATCCGTGGGGTTGGTTTGTGCTTGGCGCTTATTCGCTCTTCATATCATAACAAATCATTGTTTGTTTGTTTCCTGTATTTGTGCTCTCTCTCTCTCTCTCTCTCTCTCTCTCTCTCTCTCTCTCTTGGATAAGTTTCCCAGCACGCTGTCAATCAGAGGACGGCAAGAAACAGTTTGCTGGAGTGCTTTCTGTCTCTTGTCTCTTTTCGCCATCCACATCCACATCCACCATCCACCATGTCCAAAGGGTTAGGGTTAGGGTTATAGTCAGCCGTGCACGGCCTTGGAGAGTTATAACAGCATGGGGATACCGCCTACCTCCGTTCCTTGGATCGAACGACGATGTGGGAAGGGCATCTACCATGATGCTACGCCGGATTCATTCACTGTATATGAGCCAAATGTATGTTGCGGCGGCACCTGCGGCATATGGATGGATATTTTTCTATCACAGCAAGATAGACGGAAAAGCGGGCGCAATGCGACCGGAGCAATGTGCATCAATCAGCAAGACTACCAATTGGAATACACAAATCAAGAAGAAGATTCAAAAAGCGGAGGCGAAGACAGAAGCAAAATGAGAAGAAGACAAAAACGAAAAAAGAAAAAAAGGGAAGAAAGAAAAGGGTCAAGAGTAGAAGAATTTAGGTAGATTTGGTAGACTAGACTAGTAGACTAATACGCTAGTAGACTGAAGACTGATGGCGTAGAGGGTATAGATGATATTTCTTATCCGTGAAATGCAGAAACAGAAAATATGAGCATACTAGAAAGGAAAATTGAAAATAATTAAAATAAAATAAAACAGGAGGATAAGAAACTAGATGGAGAAGGAGAGGAAAGGAAAAAATGGGACAAGACTGCCGATTGTAGTGCGCCATTTAGATTAGATGATGAACGATGAAGAAAAAGTAATAGAGGAAAGTGCTCAGATAGCCGATGTATGAGATTGACGATTTGCAAAGAAAATGGGAAAAAGAGATGGCGTGATGAAGATCTGGTGGGATAAATGGGAATAGGAAAACTGAAAGAAAAATGAGACAAAGATAAACAGAAAGAAACGCCAAGTCGGTTTATATCTGCACCTCAACTCCAGCAAGGATACTAGCCTTGTCCGATCCGGGCGTGGAAAGCTGGTCTGTAAGAACAGGACGTATATGGCAAAATTGAGAATAAGAAAACAACGAAAGTAACGGCGGACTCTGTGAAGAAGGACTGACGAAATGGTAAGCCCCTATGTTACGTGGACGCTAGGGTAATACCACGCTGCCAGGGCAATGACGAGGTATGTTGACTGCAGCAGGACGCCTTCCATCCAGTGCGACTTGCCGTCGCCAATGACATAGCTGACGAGCAGGATGGAAACGAACAGGACGATAATTTGAAAAGGATCAAAGTAGAATGTCATCTGGTCATTGTGGAGGATCCACCCCAGGACGACAATAAATGGCAAGACGAGCAGCGCAATCTGGATACTGCTGCCGACAGCAACGCCAATGGCAAGGTCCCTAGGGACATAAAATTAGTACATGGCAGCACAGTTGAACCTCCCGAGTGGCGAGGGCTAGATAAAGAAGAGCGGGGAGGGGATGCTTACATTTTATCTTTGCATGCGACTGTGACGGCAGTAGCGTGCTCGGCGGCGTTGCCAACAATGGGAAGCAGAATCAGGCCGACAAACGTCTTGGAGATGTGGCCAGTGTCGGTGAGGGCATCGATGCTGTCGACCATGAACTCGGCGCACACAGCAACCAGAGCGGTCGATACTGCAAGGGTCAAGACCGCAACCCAGACTGCGAGCCGAGGCTCTTCCTGCTCCTCTTCTTCGTCTTCTTGTTTCTCGGCCGTCTGAGCCGCCTGTCCACCAGCCGGTGCAGAGAGCATTCCGCCTGCTTGTGCAACAGACATTCTGGTGACGCCGCTTTCAACATCCTTGTTGCGCTTGGTCGCCTTTTGTCCAGTCTCGCTGAACATTCTGGTGTGAGACTTGAGTTGGAAGAAAAGGAAGCAGCCATAGACAACAAGTAGAATGACAGCTGTGCCACGGGAGATTGGTGCAATGCCAAGTTCGCCAGCTATAAGACCCCAAAATCAGTCAGCTTCAGGCATCAAGTAGAATCTCGGAGGGAGGGTGTCGAAGCACATACCGCCAGACCAGGCGTGAAACGCAGTTGGGATAATCAAACTACCAACGCTGAGGGCCAAAAGACTGGTCGCAGTAGAAGCGACAGTCTGGTTGAAGAATTGTTCCTCTCGATTGATACCACCAAAGAAGAAGCACATGCCCATCACCAAAAGAAGATTCGAAAGCATACTTCCAATCAAGGATGTCTGGACAATTATGACTTGCTTTTGAACCAATGCAATGATTGAAACAATGAGCTCAACGGCATTTCTATTTATTTGGGTCAGTACTAGTCAAAGACAAAGGACAAAGGGGTATTAGAAACGCATACCCAAAAGTTGCATTAAGAAGTCCACCAAGAGTCTCTCCCACTCGAAGAGAAATTTCCTCGGTCGCGAAACTCAGCATTGCTGCGAGTGGAATAATGGCAATGAAATTGACCACAAAAACGGCAATCTTGTTGACGTTTGTAAAGTTGAGCGCAATTCCAACCGGAGCGGCCAGAATGAGAATGTTAATGTACGAGTTGAAAATGGTCGCGTTTAGCTGACTCCACACGGTAAACTTGTGTGTCTTGCTCTTCCTCGACGACGAGGTTGTCGACCGGGAGATTTGCCCATTGGTCCCCTTTCTGCGATTAAACCGCAACTTCCGACTCCGGGTTTGCGAATCATCCAGAGATCCATTGTTTGATGCTGCCGCACCGTCGGTCATGGCGCCCGATGCTACGTACTGCAAGTCGGGGTTTTCGCTTTTGTGGTCCAGAGATTCTCCACGCTCTGAACCCACCGCGGTCGATTGAGACCTGTCGAAATCTTGATCATGATCGTTGCTCGGTCGTTGGTCCCTCGACCCGGCCTCGAGATCCAACTCTCTCGTCCCTTCGGCTTGTCTTCTTTGAAAAGAATTGACTCGCTTTGCAAAGGGGTTCAAACCGGATTTCCAGGATAACCGGCGAGCTTCCGATCTTATTTCTGCCATTGAACCTGCATCGTCGTCCAGTTTTAGCCAAACTTGTTGCGGATACATTGTCACTGCTTGCATTGGCAGCCCTTCAGACATGATAGGGTGGTGAGGAAAAGCAGGCAACTCACGCATTATGAAAAATATGTTTCAGCTTTTTTTAGGAAAGGAAAAAAGAATGTCGACTTTTTGTATCTGACTTCCTGCGGCTCCGCCCGAGGCAGCTAAATCCGCTGACACCGTGCTGAGAAGGCTGAGAAGACTAGGTGCACTTCACACGAGGCTGTGCTGCTACCACTAAAGCTGAGCGAGAAAGAGTGTTGAAAGAAATCGCCTTGGCCAAGCGTGAAAGAATCCAAGGGATGGTGGAACGAGCGGTGGGTGAGGATGATGAATAAAAGACAGACTATCCGTTCACTCTAATCAAGGGGTGCCAAGTTTCAGCAGGTCTGATCTACTCGTATCTGAAAAGTTAGAACTACCGCGCAAGAAGTTTCATAAAATCAATGAGGTTTATCGTACCACCACCACTAAGAAATAATGCAACTATACGGAGTACACAACCATGGGCGTGAATGGACGGGGGGAGAAATGCGTCAAAGGCGTTTCGTTTACTGGAGACCCTGCACCGCCCCCCCTGATCGCTTCCACTGAGGGGGTTCGTTTGTGGATTAGACTGGTGGGGAAAAGACTACGTACATACAGTGAACTATACCCTTGTACTAGGTAAGGTAGCTAAGGTAGTTACCTATAACTTAGCCATCCAAGGTACCTTACGTATACTACCGCTAGCCCACTTTTTACTGTCGCCGATCAGTGGTCCCTGGAACACTGTCAAATCTTACTTTCAATCCTTGGCCATCATATTCCACAAGGTCTGAATTTGATCTGTATCGTTATTATGATTCTCATCATTCTCATCAATACCTGGTCTGTCTCCGTAGAGACGCGAGACTTGCACTTCATATCAGTACGATTGACCTACTTAAGGTAGGTACCTAGGGAAATAATACCTACATAAGGTAAAGAATGTGCAGTCTGTAGGCAGCAGACAGTCTCACAACGGGAAGATTCCAAGGAAAGTCTTGGCACGCCGACGGGCGCTTCTCGCCGTGACCAATAGCGTTTGGTGACGTCGATATGCTTTTTTTCTATGAATTTACTCCCCCCAGAGCAACCAAGGAAAAGTTGGAGTGTTGTGCTTGGCGACTGGTCAAGCACTCTTAGTTACATCTTGGCAATAGAACAGTCGTGGTGCTAAGAGACTCCATCCAGTTATGCGACCCTCGGACCAAATGTAAAAGGGAGGTAATACGGCCTGACGAGAACACCACAGCTGCTCTGTAGCGCCTTGTTTCTTGATTTTTTTTGTCGCTGTGCAAGAGGCAAGATGTGTTGTCATGTCCCACCAGGAAAGAAGCAATAATGACGCATGATTGACTGCTTCGAACTCGCTGGTGAAACGATCTGCGTTCATTCAAACCTTAACGATTCTGTAAATCGTAGAAAAGCGACATCTCGGGATAGGCTGCCAGTGGCCCGGAATCCCTGGTCAAACTACCTCTACTCTACTTCGTACGTAGGGCCAGATTGAATTACCTATTGACTAGAACTCACCGCCTGAAGGGCTATCTGTCTTCTTTCCTCGGAGACGGGGTGACCTGAGGCTGAGCAAGGAGCGAAGCCAATGATGATCCCAGCAAATCGTCACTATTTGTATGGCTGAGCCACAACAGGGATGCTCAGCCACACAAGCCACAAATTCGGCCCCACACCTGACAATTAGTTGTGGATGTTATCTTATCTCATCTCATCTCTAAACACGTTCCCCCGAGCATGCGGCGTGACTGAGTTACCCCGTTACCAAATGGACCACCAACTGGGTTACTTCTGAGGGCCTGCAAACCCGGCTCTAATTGATAGTCGCATCATCGTTTGCGAATGACACTGAAGCTATGACCGATTGATATCAGGTCAATGCCTTGCCATGTTAGGCAACAGGGGCCCAGATCCCTTGCGGGCGCATCCTCGCGCCTCCAGCTTGCGCAATTCCGACAGAGGAAATTCTAGACCGTCATCAATCGCTGCGCCGGACTCGAACAGCCGTCCCACATCTTCAAGAGCTTCAACTGTGACGTTACTCGCTCCGACTCGCCATGTTGAACGGGTTTGCAATGTGTGGGTGCATGAGGAGGCCTTTTCAAAGGAAGACGTGGTGCTTGACATTGCCCTGTTTCCAAAAGGAACGGTTCGAGTAGGCGACTTGGGTGAAATCGCTGGCTTCAACACGACTACGGCGGTTCGTGACTTCCAGGATGCTGCTCAAAGCACCTTCAAGGAAACCGGCGGCGGCCGATCGGTGGCCGAGGGCACGTCTATTGAGCCGGCATCTACTCTATCTGAGAGGAAATTGAGCGGTGCAAACATACTTAGTCTGGACGAGAGCCGTGGATCTTTGGAGAGCAGTCGTGATGTCGATCCCCATAAGAAATATTGTTTCATCATCAAGGACATCACCAGCGAACAGAGAGCAAAATACCCGAATCTCCAGGTGTCCGTATCTTCCAAGATTGCCAATCGATTTGGGTTCAAAAACAGGACAAAAGTTCTTATTTCGACCATTGATAAAGCAGTGCACACTGCCTCCCATATCGAAATATCCTTTCGTGATGAATACCTGACGCGCGCAGATATGTGGCGATTGGCAATATCCGAACTCAGCCATAAGACTGTGTATCGAGGGCAGAAGCTTCTGTTCATGGGCACAATCAAAGCAACTGTAAAGAATATTTACGTTCGTGGACGAAAGACACAGTCAGCATACTTTTCCGGTAGTACCAAACCTTTGTTCCGAAGTGAATCCGCTCGTTTTGTGCTCTTTATTCAAATGTCAAAAGAGATGTGGGATTTTGATCCCGAAGGAGGTGGAGATATCATGTTCAACAAGGTCATCAATGGATTTCTGCCGGAACTCTTCAAGCGCTGGGTTCGCATGAATGCACGACATCTAGTCTCCATTGTCCTCTTCACCCGGCTCGAATATGACAAGGGTGCGGCTGCCGGGTTCGAGGGTTTGGAGGCCACACGTTCCGCATTCATCAATAATGAGGGCAACAAGCTTTACAAGGACCATTACCGTGTCGTTGTCAGCGATATGTCTAGTGGTGAATGGGCTTCCATCCTATTTCAGTTGAAGAAGGAATTCAAAATATTCCTTCGAGAAGTCTCAATCCAGAGGACCCGGGGAACAGCCGCTCAATCTTCCAAAGGGGAAAATGCTGCAACGACGGATAAGCCGGAAACCATAATTGCCGGTCATCCTTCGGCGGCGATTCATGGTAATATTCTCGAGGCAGTCTATCTAGGTTCCCGCCAATTCTCCAGTGACTATATTGACCGTGACCTCGTCCGTACCGGCATCTCACTTGTCATCATCACCCCTGGTGTGGGGCTTTTTGAGGTCGACTACAACATGCTTAAAATGACATCGGAAACGCTCGTCAATACTGGAATCGGCCTAGATCTAGTCTGTCTCTCAAGACCGCCTTTGCATTCCGTCCCTCTGTTCAAATACCGCAATCCCCAGGTTCAATCTCGTCTCAACGATCATAATCACCAGTACAGGAGCTTGAGTGCAAGCAGTACCCCGCGTCAACACTACCCTATTTTTGGGAGTCTGTCCACGCGCGAGAGGGCTTGGTCTCCATCCAGATTTTCCGAAGGTGGCTTTAGTCCCCGGCACCTGTCCAAGCTTGCTGCGGGTCCAAGACCCGGTGAATGGACCTATGCTGTTCCCCACTGGATCGATGTCTCTTTCTGGAACTCAACTTCGGATGAAACGCTTGGGACAATGGATGACGATGGCCTAAAGCTACAACAGCAACCCCGTCATCGTCGACTGAATGAGCGGAAAGCATTCATCACTCGTTGCAAGATGTATGAACTTCAGATGATGGGCATCATGGAAAACGAGATGAGTAATATTGCCATCCCCTTCCTTCATGATAGTCCGGGCTATCCCCGCGACCGCAATCTTCTTTCTCAACCCACCGCCTTATCTTTCAGCTCCCAGCATTCCTACACAGATACCGGAACTGGCTCAACCTCACCTCTCTGTAGCTCTCCAACACAAATCAAAATGCACCGGCCGTCAAAGACTGGCTTTGGCAACTTTGGCAGGCTTGAACGCGATCATCAATATTCTAGTCAGGACAAGGAGGCTTTCAAATGGATGGATGTGTACGATGATTTGGTGTTTCGCTCTCTTGCGCAGCGCCGCGAAATGCAGAGAGCTTCGCGACACAAAGCACAAACGGAGGAACAAAGAGGTTCACTTAGTATTCCAGAAGACGAAGCCGCTGTCACAGATCGTTCTGGTCGATCCCCCGGTGGCCTGAACGCCCCAACAGCTACCACCTTTTTCGACCGCAAAATGAAGGAACGACAAGTCCTGAAAGATCCAGCAAATTCTCGGAGAGATAGTATGGCCAGCACAATGAATCTGGCGCCGCCAGCAAAGCCCGCTAGATTGTCAAGGCAGATAAGCTTTGGGTTACGCGGATTTGGGACGGCCGCCCCGAAGGCCACGGCTAGCACTGAAGTGACATCCGAAAACGCGCGGCCCGGGCAGCTTTTCTCAAGTGGCTTCAGCTTTTTTACAAAAAAACAAGAACCGAATAATAACATGTCATCCTCTTCGAGTTCAATCAGGCCCGAAGATCCTGCTTTCAATGGCGACTCGCCGGGCTCTAAGAGTCCGACGAGCGGCTCTTCAGTGCCAGAAAACGTTAAACAGGCCGATGAACCCTCCCAGCCAATAGCCATCAAAACTTCGACCAAGCCCGCGTCAGAGTCAAGCCAGACAGTATCAAAGCCTGAATTGAAAGAAAGGAAGGAGCCCGAGCTCTTGGCGCCGCTCCAGGCTGCGTCTATTAACAGACAAGCTGGGCCAAAAATTGACCTCACTCCAAGTGTCAACCCTGTCGATGATACCTCTACATTGTCTCCTGCAAAAGCGCTATCCCCGTGGCTGACTACTCTTAATCCATGTAATCCAAAATCTACAAGCAGCGATACACCAAGCCAGTTTCGGCGATGGCAATATCTGTACCCGCGCGCCTCGAGATATAGTTCAATCAAATGGAAATCGCTTTGCTCTCCAGCTGCGACGCCTCTAACAACAGAGTACTTTCCGACGGCTGAACAGTTGGCAAACGAGTACCAAGAAAGCCCTTATCACATATCGCCCAACGACGAATTAGATCTGCCCGATCTTCCTCGTACTCGAGAATCTCTTATGAGAGAGCTTATCGCCTTTCGCCTTTCTCATGGGTTCCAAATTGTGGTTGGGCCCGCTGTTGCAGAAGCCATTGGCAAACCCTCTCTGAAGATGGTTGATGTATTTGACAGCAACTATACGGCCGATGATGGCAGCATGGTTTTCATGTCTTTGGGGAGCCTTGTCCACCAGTTATTGTGCGTTGAAGGGGATGAGGTCGAGGTGAAGCGATTTGTGCGAAAGCCCACGGCGGCTTTGGGACCAACCGTTGTTTCTGGGTCTCATCTTTATTATACACCTGTAATCCAAACTTGGATTGCTAGACAGTACGAACCTCGACAGATCCCCTTGGCGCCACCCAAGGATGACTACAATTGGAACTTTGTGGACACGTTCTTGGCCGGCTATGAAAGCGACTTCACAGATCATCTACGCTTTTGGCGAACTCGATTCGTCCTTATCCCACTGACATCTCATGCAAACCCTCGTCGGCACATGCATCTCACCAATGAAGATAACGAAGAAGAGGTTCGACTTGAAGGAATCAGAAAACTCACACAAGTATGGCAACGACACCGTTATGTTTCTCCCGAGGAGCGGCAGTTTCAAGCACCATCACGAACTCGCAAGGATCCAAATCCACTCGACATTATATATCAGACGAGGGATCCCTCTGACATTGTAACTGCTGAGTTGGACAGTCTGTCTCTGGCTGAAGGTGACGCGGCTGGGCGTCAAAGCCAGTTATTGCCAGACACGGAACCATTTCAAAGAGCAAATGTAAATCTTTCTTTGTTGGCAAAGGAGATACAGGGAGAACGAGGTGTTAAGATGGTTGATCGGAGATGGCACTGGAGACTGCACTACAACTGCTTCATCGGCTTTGATCTCACCACGTGGCTGCTGAACAACTTCAAAGATGTCGACACGCGTGAGGAAGCGGTCGAGCTTGGGAATGAGCTGATGAAGAGTGGCCTCTTCCAACACGTTGACAAACGACACCAATTCCGCGACGGTAATTTTTTCTACCAACTAACACCAGAATACCGAAGCATTCGTCCTGAATCGCGAGGGGGCTGGTTCGCTGCGCGACGTTTCGACAAGTCCGTCCCGTCTACGCCGTTGTCCGAGACTGCACGAGACTCACCAAGGGGGGATCGGTCCCGCTCAAGCTCAAACGCTGAGGACGTCTTGACAGACTCCGGTCAATTGACCCCCACGAAGTCTGCTACAACCACAACCACAACCACAACCACAAAGAAGCTCAAAGTTTCTCTTAGCCGAATGATGAAATACGACGTCGACCCACGACGACGATCATATCGAGCTGAGCTAATCAATCTTCACTATGACCGCCTCCATAATCCAGACAGTTGTTACCACATCCGTCTTGAATGGATGAATGTGACGTCGAAGCTTATTGAGGATGCAATAGTGTCGTGGGCGAACATAGTAGAAAAATATGGCCTCAGGCTCGTTGAAGTGCCGATAGAGGAAGCGTCATGCATTACGCGCCGCAATCCCTTCCGTTCTCCATACCCGATCAAACTGGCTCTACCTCCGCCGGCCACCCAGCCACATCACTACTTCGACACGGCTCCCTTTGCGACACAGCCTCACATGGACAAATTCTACTTTCACAAAGCCATTCTCAAACGATTCAATTTTGTCCTCGACCTTGAAGCCGCGGGTAATTTTCCGGACGATGTCGATGTGAGCTATTCTTGGGGCAAACCTGACTATCGTTACTCGCAATATATCCATCGATCTGGAACGCTACTCGCGCAGATTACCGATGAAGGCGAATTTCTTCTCCTCGCGAACCGACTGTACAATAACTCTCCTATCTCGTCCAAGGAGATTCCATCGAGATTCTCCCACCTGCCTACCCAGCAGTACAGCGGTCAAAAGTCGGAGGAACGAAGCGTAAGTGGTCTCAGTGCAGTGAGTGCTGGTATCACTACCGCCGGCGGCGCTGGCAGTAGTACTACCTCCGTGCCCAACGTCAGCGGCAATCCAAGCCTTGGTGACCGCCGCGCCATGCCAGCAGCGCTCAGCAGCACCAGTCTCACGGGCTCCGCCGTGAACAGCGGACGAACATCACTGCGTCAAACGCCCTTTGCTTCGCCAATGGTCCGCCCTGCCGCGTCACCCATGTTACGTGCTGTGCCAGATACGTCGTTCAGTCTAGCGAACTTCCCGGCGAATACGAACTATGTACCCTTGCACACTACGCCTGAGAAACTCAAGGACGAATTCGAGGCATTCTGTATCAGCGAGTCAGCTCTTGAACGCTTCTACGAAGACACAATCGGCAAATTGGCCTCGCCCAGTACCAGCACACCTATGCTGGAGGCGAGCATTCCATCACTAGCCCTTCCGCAGAGCTTGATGAACCGTTTTGCCTTGACGCCGTCACCCTCGCCGTCAATGGTCACGGCAACGAAGATTCCGGCACCGCCGACTTCGGCGCCGCACTGTGCGAGCGCAAGCCCTTCTAGCTCGTTAAGTCAGGCAGATAGTGCTGCAAGTGCGAAGTCGGATATCACAGAACATGGATGAATTAATATATCTTCGTTTATATACCGCCTTTTCTTTTCCAATTTGGTCCATTTTTCGGCAGTCTATTTCCAGTGATCTTTTTTTCTTTTCCCCTTTCCCATATTTACGAGATATCCAAAAGTCGTATCGGCGTTCATTTTGATGGTATCCTCCTCTTTGTATATTGTCTAATTGTCGAGTTTTCGAGTTTATAATCTGAAGCCCGTGGACACAGCGGAGCTGTATGGAATTTGTTTGTCGTAGAAGTTATGCAACATTTGAGATTATTTACATGCGAGCTGGCGAACCAGAATATAAAGCTTGATGATTCATCTCGAAAAGAAGCTTATGATTTGCCGATCTACCCTGAAAATGTGTTTAAACAAATAAAAGAAAAATAATCAAAAAGTCAAGGCACTTCGGATACCCAATATCACGGATTGGAGGTTAGTTATATGATCCTAGTTGTATCACTCAGGTTCGCTAATGCAAGAAGAATACCTTGCTTGATTGCACAAATATTGACAAAGTTCCCAGTTACTCTGCAACAAATCTCACCATGCACTGATACTCATGAGGCCCGGGCTTATGAAGATTAGGGGTTGACTTGATAAGTTGACACAGAAGGCTCTTGATGAGACATTTACGGGTATTGCCATTTAGCCAGGGGGCCGGGAGCGACACCCTTGACGATCAGCTGCATCTATACTTCTTTCTTGTCACGCCGTCAGTGCTACTAAACTACTGTTGCCTTACGCTGTCGTTTCGTTTCGTTTCGTTTCGTTTCGTCTCATCTTCTTCCACGAATGGCATGATCATCCCATATCGGGGCGCGTATAACTGCCCCCATGTCTTAGTATGATCCATGACGCCCTATCATCGATTGACATATCGAACTTCTTTGGGGTGCGTCTACTCTATCCTTTTGCATGTGCCTGACTGTCCGCTCATTGCTTTTCCTCGGCCACGCGATACCACATGGCGATACCGAAAAGGAATGCGAATGCCTGTGGCTAATTTGATTTGCTCCAGAGGATCACTCGAAACTTCTCTGAATTGGCAGGCGTCCATGGTCACATTCTCCAAATGGGTCTCACGAGCTTACAGGGAGAAATGAGATAAGGAGAAGAAGCATAGGAAGCACAAGGGGAGAGAAGAGAAGAAAGAAGATGCCAGGGCTATCATGTTTCCCAAGGAGTAAGGTGGTAGATCTGCGTATCATTCCGTAAAAAGACGGCGAGCTGCAACCGTTTCACACCCGTCGATCAGAGCTCCTTTCTCTGAGCGCATCTCATCTCATCTTGCTATGCCCTGACTCAGAGATGCATCGACGACTCATGATGGGGCGAGGAATGTGATAGAAGAGAGAAGGAAAAGAAACCTGGGTTGACCTGGGTCAGCTTTGCATCTGCTTTTGTCTTCTGCCTTCCGTCTTCCCTAGGGTTGCCGCATTGGCGGTAAGCCGAGAATGCCGGCCATCCCATTAGCAATCAAATTATTCTCTTCCTTTCCTAGCCGTATTATCATCGTCGTTTGCATGGGTACTTGTACAATCAATTGCAAACACAAGACATCGTAATCGCTCTCTCAGGCAGCCCTTCCTGTTAGATGATATCGCTGTTCGAGAGACAGCGACTCTCCATAAGCCACGTTTCCCTCCAGTTGAATGATTATTGAGCGCATCGCCACAAACAGGATTCTCCCTCCATCATCTCAGGGCCGCAAATCAAAGGTCGCCAATCGGTTCTCCTGCTCGCGACGTGTGGCGCTTGAGCGATCTATCGATTATATCTTTTATACGCACTAAGTTATATACTTTTCACTCACCGCCTTCTTCATTTCTCTGTTTCTGCTAGAGCATTCTCTCTCGCAACCCGATTTCCCCAGCCCAGCGGCGCTTCGACTGTACGGTGACGAGGTCTAGGAAGCAGATAAACATCCCTGGAAACACTGCAGCAACAGAGTTAGTGGAACAGGAATCCCGGTACATACAGTAACTGGCGCGCCTTTGGTGGACCTGACTGAACTAAGAGGATTTAGAGCAGCGCGGGACGGAGGGCAGCGACAACCGAAGACGGACACACGACACATTGGAACGTCTGGCGGCCCAGAACGATTCGTTGTGGATTCCGTCGAGCGACCGTTCTGCTTTGGTTTCCAATCCTCCGACGCTCCGTCTAAACTTTACTGGGAGTTTCGTCTCCACATCTCACCCGCGCCTCCCTCTCACTCTCCAACGGTCTCGCCCGAGTTGACTGCCAGGCCAAACTGGCATCTTGGATGCTGCGCTCAGTCGCCATTCACATCTCGCCCGAATAATCATCGTCATCGTTGCTTGACCATTGTTTGTCACAACTCTTTGCGCCTGCAGCTTCACAGTTACCAACATCAAATTCCACCTGTTTTATCAGCAATTGTGTCATGTTAATAATACCCGTCACGAGGCTTTCAGCCTAGGTGGAGGCCCTCTGTGAAGTCGCAATTCCCGACGAGAGCTGAACACTGTCGTGGCATTTTACCATTACATCAAACAAGATTTTCCGTGGTCGACCAGCTCCGAAGCACCTTTCGAGATGCTTGGGCAGCTATTCCACAGACTTACACCCTCAGGGCATTCGAATCCTGCCACCACCTCCCTCGATTCCGTCACTGAAGAAGCTCACACCCGAAATCTCCTATTTCCGGACCCTAGCCAGCTCAATCGGCCCCAGAATCACGCTTTTCCTCTTAACAATGGACCCGCAGCTCCTTCTGTCACTACAACGGGGCGATATGACAATGTTGGAGAGGTGGACTTGGAACACATTCGCGACGTGCGTGTCCTGATTGCACAGGATTCGACAGCCTCACAGCCCAAAGCTGTTCTCTACGATTCCAAACCTCCGCCCACCAAGCCCGCTCAGCCAAAGAATGTCTCCCCTTCTTTGCCTATTCAAGGGCGAGCTCGCCTGAACAGCACCGCTTCCCGTTCGACTGGAAATGGAGTGTCAAATCCAAAACCCAGCAGCCGCACTCAATCTTCCCATGTGCGACAAGTTTCGGAAGGATTCGACAATCCGCGTTTACGTCGATCTACCGACTCAGGCGGGAGCGCATTTCAACGTGCTCGGCGAACCTCCAGTCTAAGCGTCAGTCCCTCTACCGAAGAATCGGCGCAGAGTCGGCTTGCTCGAGAGGGTGAAGAAGAGGTCAGGAATGTGTTGGATTGCATGTTTGGCAGCGCCGTACTTAGTTACAAGGGGCCAAGCACAAAATTACATGTTCTTTCCAATGAGACCCGGTCGAGCGAGCATTCTTTGCACAATGGCCCTTCGAGCAACGATATTTCCAGCTCTTTTGGAAAGTCGAGCGGGGCAAGACGAGGAATTTTAAGTCAGTCTTATTCATCTGGTTATCTTTCTCCGCGCCTGACATCCACCTCAGAAACAACAGAAACAACAACTTCGGCGGCGGCGGCGACGACGACGACTAAAGATCCAAAGGGCTCCGGCAAAAGGACACTTCTTATTACAAGAATGTTTTCGGTCAGCCTGCCAGAATCAAGTGCTCGGTACGACGCCACACCCACTGTACAAAACTCCTACAGCACTACCGATAGCTATTTTCCAGCAATGAGCAGCCTATCCTCAAACCCTAAAGCTGTTAAGCAGAGAAAGACACCCATGTACGCCGTCGCGCTACTCTTCCAACTTCCTGTACCCAACCATTGGGCAAAACGTGGAGGTGTTAGGGTAACAAGTCCAATCGATGGATCTGGCTCGTTCCCATCGTCGTTTGAATCCGAGAGACAAGCAGGCTGGACCTTTTTAGACTCGGCTTTTGGGTCAGACTCGGCTTTGTCAGTCGCACCGTATGATAAAGTTGATGATCTGGTCGATGTCATCCTACAGCGCTGGGACGTTGTCGCTCGGACACTTGCATATCTCGAGTCAACTGCTCGTGAGAGGATCCTTGAACAGCTCAAGGCTCTGGATCTCGCCTCGCCGCAGCTGACGCCATCCATATTCTCACGCGAGGCCAATGAGGCTGTGATAGCGAGACAAAAGCAGGCGATACGAGCCAGTCAAAGGAGCTTGCAGCTCCCTCCTGACGCGCTCTACGCCGATGATATAGTCAAGAGTCGTGTCAACCTTGCTATATCTAGAGTCATCCGTGGCATCAAAACGCCAAGAGTCATTACTGGTCAAGGCCGTTGGGGTGTGTGGAGGGAAGAAGCTCGCTGGGTTGGCCGTTGGGCCGGTGGGAAAGAGCAGAATTTTTTCTTTTTCAATCTATTGACTGCATTTCTCGGCAACCATACAGAGTGGTTGAATATAATTGGACCTGCATGGTATCGAAGACGCTATCAGCAACAACAGAGACAGTCCCAAAGCGAGGACTTGGCAATCCCATGTCGCACCGTCATAGTTTGCGCAGATAAAATGGCATCGCGACGATTGATTTTCCTCTTGACTGCTTTTTTGCCGGGCAGTATTGGCGCTCAGGACAATGGAGTTGCTTACTTGCCCAGCAATGCTGGCTCGCTCAGGGGATATTCTGGCTCGCCTCCTTCAGCCATGCCTCTGCGCGAGGTGTCTCTACGACGAAAGATTAACAAAAGGGGGCCGATAAATCGGGCAAATTCCAGCCTCGGAACATATGGACGTGCGAGCAGCGTTTCACTTCATAGCGTTCAAGAAGGAGGCTCTCCGGATGAGCCTTCTCGCTCGGGAAGACATCACTTTAGAGCTCAGTCAGCGAATCCATCGGTGAATACAGCCAATATCGCGATCCCCTCAAATAACGGCACTTCCAGCAGAAACAGCGCAGCTACAACATCTACAGTGACGCCAAATGCCACTATACCAGTTCCACATTTTGCTATGCATCGCAACAGCAAACCAGCAGCGGTATCAGCTGCTGGAGCACGTCGCGGTAGCACAGATAGTCTGGCGTCTGCAAATCTGCTCCATACTTTGAAAAGGGGTGGGAGCACAAATACCACCAATGCAGGCTCTGAATCAGGACGTGGTGGTTGGGGAAGTTTGATTAGTGGATTCTGGAGCAGCCGACGGGACTCATCCGCGGTGGAGACGGACATGAGCAACGCCTGCGACGACAGCGCTAATTCATACTCTGTTCAGCAAAAGTTGTCCATGTCTTCATCTGCCAACCCATACACCTCTTCCCAAAAGTTTGCTCAGCTCTCCAGTCCTGAAGAAGAAGAGGCAATTGAGGGCGAAGACGAGCAAGACGAATCGGCGGCTGTCAATGGTGACGCCGGAGCATCAGGTCCCAACAGCATTTCTCAAGATGCGGATACGTCGCGGCCCGGCAAGCCAATACCTGAGCGGCCCAAAACTTTTGACGCCCCATTACGAATGTCTGTTGATGAAAACGACGGCGTCATAGACGTAGAGATTCCGACGTCAAACTTTTTCGGCCCTTCATCGTTTGGCTCACCTATCCAGTCCCCTTCACTTGGCGGTTTCATGTCTGGGTCGAGCTTCGACGGCGGCGCGTCAACCTGCTCGCATACATCAACATGCCCGTTTGCAAATACCGAGCCAGAGACGCCAGCCAATGTGGCAGGGTGGCTCAACAACTACCACGAGGATTTTGCACTGCAAGCTGTCCGGCCATACGCTTCACTCGAAGACGAAATCAAGCGCTCCATGAGCGCTGAACCAACTCCCATATCCGCCATTGCCACCCCTGGCAACACACCCGGCGTTGGCAGTGGTGGTAGTGCAGCTGGCGCTACTGCTGCCGATACCGCACCAATAGATAAATGGGTCGACGTGACATCCACTCTGATTGCAGACTGCCAGACCTTTTCCATTAAACGCATCAAATTACGACGCCACGTCAAGCTTTCTTCCTTCGCCGCCGCCGCCGCTGCCTCGCGGCTGCCAGCTTCCACCCAGCATCCTCCAACTTCTCACGGCTACCCTGCATCGTCTTACCCCTCCTCCACCTCCTTTGCCGCCGAGGACAACAGCACTTTCGGCCTGCGATCCCAATACGGCAACCCCTACACCCCGGACCAACTGACCCCCTTTTCACGACTCCCCGATTCCCACGTCGAAGAGGAATTTGTCGAAGAACCCATCATGGACATGGACGGCACTCTGGCCGACGCCGTCGAGCGCATCCTCGCCCAGAGCGTCCCCCCGTCTCATATCCACTCTACTGCCTCGTCCAGATCAAGTTCCCGGCTCGGTATCCGCGACCGCCGCACCCTCTCCGAATCTATCCATCCTCCTCTTCCCCCTCCTCCTCCTCCTCATCCCCATCCCCATCATCATCACAATCCGACTACTACTACTACTACTACTACTACTACTACTACTACTACTACTACTACCACCACCAGCACCTTGGAAGTCCCAAGAGGCGAGTGCAAAAAGACCGTCATTGGCGCCCTCGAGGAAGTCGTCCGCAGCGTCACGGCCGAGCGCGCTCGTGAAGAACAGGACCTCTGCGACACCTGTGCTGTGACTCCAGGTCCGGGCCCAAGTACCGCCCTGAGCGGCGTCAAGGCTGCTGGAGAGTTACGTGCCTCTCGCTCTCGCAGGGCTAGCATCGACGTCGGTCTTCTCTCGAGTAATGCCGCGCCCGAAAGCACATTGCGTGAGGGCGTGCGTAGGTGGTTGACCGATATTGAAGAGGGGTTGATATGGGCTTAGTCTCGAGTTCTTCTTTTGGGGGTGTGGGAGGGAGGAGGGGAAGGGAGAAGGGGGAAGGGGGTTTGTTTCGTTTTCTGTTTTCCCCATTTTCTGTACTTTGTTTTCTTCCTTTTATCCCCATTCTTCATCTTTTGTTTTCTTCCTTTTCCCCTCCTATTATCCATCCTTTGTTTTCTTCCTATTATCCACCTTTTGGTTCCTTTGTTTTTCGGTTCGAAAACTGAAACTCGAACGTTTTGGTCCTACATTTTTTCGACAGCGTACTCTCTACAAATTGCAACATGCAAAATGCAGCGTTTCAGCGGGCGTTTTTTTGTTTTTTTTTTTCCTTATCTTTTCTCTTATTTTGTTTCTGTTACTATTTCACTTCCCCCCCTCCCCCTTCCCTAACCAAACTCATTTCCCATTCCAGTCTTCTCATTTTTTGGAACCGTCGGGGTCGGAGGTGGGAGGTGCGAGGTCGAATGATTCTAAATTGATTCCCATGGATTTTCTTTTTTTTTTGGGTCCCTTTTTTTGTTTTGGGGGAGTGGAGGGAAGGGAGAGGGGGGAGGGGTTCCCAAGTCTTTTTTTCCTTCTCCCTTTCTGTATGTTTCTCTCCTGCCTTTATTTAAGGTGGCGCCAAAGTATTATACCTACTACATATACATATATATATATACTCATCACAAATATCAAATAGCAAATGATTCAATACCATGGTCCCTGGTCCCTTTTAACTTGAAACGTGTAAATGTAAATGTAGATGCGGCATACCTGATGATACTACCGAGTACATTATACATGATACAGGATACAGGATACAGGATACACATACTCTATCAGGGACATGATAAACACACACAACTACATGATACACCTTTTTCTACGTGTGACGGTGTGACGTTTGCCCTTGGAGTGACAATTTTGGACAAAAGGTTACATGGTACGTGAGAATTTCAAAATGTTATTTCTCTCATTTTTGGACAATTACTAACTTATGTGATTATCACTGAGACTAATGTGAGTGTGTCCCTGGGTGGACCTGGCCTCCTTTTTGAAATCCTCCTTGGAAAGTGAGAAAGTTGAGACAGCCACAGACAGTGAGAAGAAGTGAGACTTTGGGTCAAGCATTTGGTTAATCCTTTTCTTTTTCATTCTTTTTAAAGACCTAGCGAGGAGGAGAAAGAGGAGAAACGTGTTAGTCAGGCTTCAAAACAAAACAAACAAACAAATGAATGAATGAATAAAAAGGAAAAAGATAGAAAGAAGAAGAAAAAAGAGAAGAAGAGAAGAAGAGAAGAAGAGAAGAAGAGAAAGGAAAAGGGAAATGCAGATACAGTGAAGGGAAGGGGAGATCTGACTAACCTGGAGGAGCACCGCGCCCGTTGACGCCAGCGGCGGGTCCAACATCGGCAAACATATCAAAAGGAGGTCGTCGACCATTGCCGGCAGGAAGACCTGCGGGTCCGGAAAGGCCCATTAGACCTTCAGGGCTGTAAGGTGGAATGGGCGGGAATCCTGGCGGGAGGGGTCCGTTGATTCCAAAGAAGCCAAGAGGGGGCGGGGGCATGTTTGGATGGGGGAGGGGTCCACCGGCATTGGCTGGACCGGGGCCGGGTCCGGGTCCAGGGACAGGGACAGGGACAGGGACAGGGCCAGCGCCTCGTTCATTGCCAAACATGGGCATATTGGGCGGCGGAGGAGGAGGGTGAGGCATGATTCCTGATGGGGGAAAAGGATTGGGGCCACGCATTGCCGAGATTCCAAATCCAGGCGGCGGGGCAATACCTTGTTGCGGCGGTGGCAAAGGATTGCCCTGCCAGTTAGGCTGAGGTGGCATGTTGTCAAGACCTGGTGGCCGTTGGAGACCCGGAGGAGGTGGGATGCTTGGGCCACGCTGAGGAGAGTCTATTGGCGGACGTCTGGCGAAGCCTGCAAGAGGATCGTCGAAGAACCCAGGTGGCGGACCTGGAGGGCCCTTTTTGCGTGCACCATCCGCCACGTTTTCGTTAATGTCGCGGCGCTCTGATGATGGAGGAGGAGGAGGACGATGATGACCCTGAAGTTGATCAAAAAGAGGTAGTGGAAAGCCACCAGGGGATTTGGAGGATTTAGCCACGTCATCCATGGGACGCTGTGCTCCTTGTAAATCCAGAGGCTGCGGCGGTCCTCCTACTCCTACTCCTCTAAAGGCCGGAGGTGACTGCTCAGAAACAGCCGGAGGGCTGCGTGACTGCTGCATAAGCTTGAGCAGGAATTCGCTGTCTTTGTTGGCCGGAGTGCTGCCTCGCGATGGCTGTGATCCGGCTCCCTTGGGGTTGATGGCACCACTGGATTGACGAGAATGAGAAAAGAGGCTCTGCAAGCCTGGCGGCGGCCGAGTGGGAGAAACTGCAGATGCGGACAGCGGCTGGGATGAGTCGTCTGCTGGCCCCGGAGGAGGTCCATGTGGGGTGGATGTTCCCGAGTTAATGCTTGATCCACCTAGCATTTGCAATATCCGCTGAAATGCTTGCTTGTCTTCGCTGGAAGATTCGTCTTTTTGAACAGAAGGAGAGGCAGCCAAGGACGGTTGCTCGCTCGCCCGGTATGGTACATCGTCTTGTGGGGCAAAAAAGGACGTAAATCTAGAAGCCTTTCCTCCTTTGGTCTCTTTCTTCGCAAGTGCTGGGGAACTCTCCGAAGACGCACTTTCTGCTCGCTTGGTCGGTTCATTCCATAAACCAAGGAATTTATCAAACGAGTTGTCCATGATGATCGGGCTGTCCGGCTTCGCAATGTCGCCTTTGACCAATCCAGAAGCTGGACGCTCCGGTAAGATTGATTGCTGTTCGACTTCTTCCTTGGGTGTGCTGGTCGCAGAGGCAGCACTAGCCTTCATGCGCTCTTTCCATTTCTGCAAGTCTTCCTGAGTGTGCGTCTGCTTCTTTTCAAACGGAGTTGAGGTCTCCATCCATTCGGGATTGTGCTCTGCGCGATCCGCGCGATCCACCCGTGTGCCCTTTATCCACTCTCTGTCATCACGTCGATCTCTGTCTCTCCATTCGCGATCCCGCACGCTCTCTTTGATTCCTTCTTTATCCCTCGTACCCTGAGCGTTGTCATCTTTAAACCATGATGGTTCATTCCTGCCCCTGCCAAATCCAGTGCGACGCGGCTGGTGTTCACGGTCCGCATCATCTCGATCTTTTCCATAGCCTTCATGCTGTCTTGGGCCTCGTTCTCTGAAAGGGGTAGACCCTTCTCGGTCTCGTTCACCATTCCTCCTAGAAAAGCGTTCCGTATCTTCTTGACCGAGGCCGCGCGATCGTCCTAGACCAGACCAGTTGTCCCCATCCTCTCTCGCAACTCTGCGGTTATTTGAGAAGCCTGACCGCAACTCTCGAGGTGGTTTCTCGTTATCTCTGTCTAACTTCTCTCGCTCCTTGAAGAACTTCTCTCTCAAGTTATATCTGTCGTTTCTCGGGGTGTCATCGTCAATCGAAGCTATCAATGACCTTTCCGGGGAATCGGTCGACTTTCCAAAATTGCGCATAGACGTCGCTGAAGCAAAGGAGGTTTTAGGCGGGCCAAGAACAATATCGTCCGGAACTAAAAAGAAACAAGCGTGTCAGCTAGCGATGTTGATGGTAGTGAACAAGTAATACGCATTTACCTGCACTCTGGCCGCGGGAAAACATGGGTGGTCTTCGATTAGGACTGTCTCCAAAGGCTGTGGCATCGTCCGTGCGTGCTCGATGCATCGAAGGCTTTCGCGGGGTAGGCTCTGGAGGTGGCCTGAAATTAAAGATTTAGCAAAAATTCAGCACGGTAGGAACGGGTTCAATCGCAGAATACCCCATCCATTCCTCAATTGGAGGAAGATTTTCTGGTTTGCACACCAGAGGTGAGTCCCGTAATCTGAGCAGCTGCTCAGATGTATATTGGAAACGCATCTTTTAAATGGGCGTCAAAAGTTTGCTCGAGCCACAATGTAGTCTCCTCAAGTCAAAATTATTAGTGCCGAAGCGGACTCAAAACCGCAGGTTTTTGAGCCGCCGGAGGCCCCGTCCTCTCTAACTTTGAGTCCCAAAAATTGAATCGGCGAAAAGTTTTGGTCAGACAACTTCTTCTGCTGACCACACTCGAATAGAGGTGGAGCAGGGCAATCGCCCCAGAAACGCTGAGATGGTGCGGTCTCGGTCGGTACAGTTTTATAGGTTTTGCAGTACCGCGCCTATAAATCAAAGTATGGCGGCAATGACTCGAAAGCTTGTAGAACAAAATGACGTGTTGGAAGTGTGGCCTCGGATAGAGGGGAGGCGACAAAATAGGAAACCGGAGGAAGACAGCTTCTCGCAGCGTAATGAACCCTCGTTCTAAGACTGGTCGAGAATCACTTCCGATGAATGAAGATCGAGGGGCAAGGAGTTAAAAGGAAGAATTCTTATTTGTAGGGAAAGCGTTAGATGTGACACTGTAAGTTGGGTATTTCATACGTCGTCAGTTTCCATCAGTTGCCAGTGCGCTTGCGCCGAGCATAACTTGGATACCACTAAACGATAGCATTAGTGCCGATGGCCCACTACAGCACAAGTTTTGTGCATGACAGCTTCGCTTAATAAGCCGCCACTATCCAGGGCATGGTCACGAAAAGCCAAGCTGGTAAGATAATCAGTCACAACATATTCTACAGGTAGGTGTGTATCTGGTATACTGATTTGAAAATGGAAAATGAAAATGGTACAAGAACACGAGGAAGTATTTCTAGAGACCAAAATGTCGGGCGCCAGCCATCTTCTAACATTGGTCTCGGACGTCAGAGTATGAAACTAATCCTTGGCCACGAGGCGATGCCGATATGATCGCTTTTGCTTCGAACAGGTAAGTGATCAGGCCAAGATATCCTTTATCGTCCCTTGCATGGTTCCGCCGCTCCAATCATCCACTCGTGCTTTGTCACAGGTATCGTAGAGACGCTCTGCCAATTTGAGAAGCACAGTACGATTGGCATCACCTACTGCGAGACGAGTTTGCACCCAGTTGATTACCCCAGTTCGAGTGATGAGCGTTGTGCTACCTTGAACAAATGTTGCTCGAAAAATGAGATGCATTATTTTCTCCTTGATCGTCTTTGGGAGGAATGGAGATGCGTATAAGGACAAGAATCGTTCAAAAACGTTGCGCAAACGATACGTGTCCATTTCCTGCGGAGAAAAAGCCTTGTGAGAATTATAATAAGAAATCCGTAACTGAGAGGTTTCTCACCTGAGGGGTTCGGAGTCCATCAATCAGAATATCCAAGAGCCACTCAATTTCGCGATAATGCGAGTCGGCCTCCTCCGGTGGATGAAAGAGAATGTTTTCAATCCAGTAAGAAGGCACTCTCTGGACATTCCAAGACGGGCCTTTATTTAAGAATCGGTTGACCTTGGCATATAGTGGATGTAGAGGATCTGTGATGACGGTAGCTGATCGAGCAGCCAGAGAGCCCACGAAGTACGGGAGCGGTGCATTGTCGATAATAGGACTGGCCGTTTCACAGACCTCACCGATGAGGAGGTAGCATTGCTGACCTTCAGAGTAATTTGAAGCCTGCGAAGCCTTTAGTGGATTTTTCATTTTGGGACATGACTATCTCGAGCCTCCTTACCTCAAGCTTGACCATGAGCTTTCTCAGACTGATAAGAGCCTGCTTTCGCACGTGCAGGTGGCCGGAGCACAAACACATGATCAGTCTAGAAGCGTCACCGTCTTCCATGACATCCTGGACGTCTTTCTGGATCCAGTGATTCAACTCCGGATGATCTTGATTCTCTGCAGGTGGACCTTGAAGCAACGATGCCACGTAATCCTTGACACTGCTTTCCTCTTTGGGTGCACTCTCCTGAATCGAACTAGAGCTTTCGGCATGACGGTCCATTCTATTTACCATCAAATTTGTTGCTCCCCCATCTGTCACTGCATGTTTCATAATGGACCGTAGGTTATCTTCTTCGAGGTCATTCAGCAGAGAAGCTTTGATAGCCGATAGGAGTGCGCCGCTCTCGCCAATTTCTCTCGATTTCGTCAAATAATTGGCCAGCCAATTCGTGACAGCCTCCTTCTCGGCCGAATTCGACTTTGCAAAGAAAGACCACTGCTCTCGAATGGTGACCAGGAATAGACTCAAAGGCTCATTGGAGGCTCGTGGGCTCGACACTTCCGTTTGGGCAGCCAAGTCTTCCACCTGATCGAGATATGTAGTCGGTCTCCTGACCAGACGGAGGACGCAATTATCAATGAATTTCATGAAATCCTCTGATATAACCCCTTCTCGTGCCTCGCGGAGACTTGCAATAAGAACTTCAATGGATGGTACTATCGTTTGCCGTTGTAGGATTTCGTTCTCAGCTACGACGGAAGAAAATACTGCCTTTAAGTCATTCAGCGGCTTTTCCTCTGGTGCATCAACGAGCAACTTGAGAAGGCTGGTGAAAGGAGAATATTTTAAAGAGTCTGTTACATATTAGCCCCTGCGCCACCAAACCGGTTTTAGAGGATATCCTACCAGGCTTGTGGAACCATTTAATGTCCAGCGAGCGCTGCGCAATCTGCAACAAATGTTCCAGTTCCAATAGTCCTATGCCGTCTTCGCTTCCAATATCGTTGCTGGTTTCAAGGCGGCTCAGGGCGTCCGTGAGCGCTACTGAGATATCAAATTTCTCCTCAAGGGCAACTTGGGGAATAACCCGATAATACATTGCAAGTAATCTAGAGACCGACTCTCTTTGTAGCATATCCTCTCCCGAAGTGCTGCGGAATACCCTGATTACATCTTTCATCTTTGGACACCTGCGGCAAAACTCTGTCACAAGCTGTCTAGAAGCTTCTGTCCAGATATTGTGCCCGCTCTCGGTTTGACTTTTGAATAGCGACAAGGTTGATTCGAGTTTTTCAAAGGCTATCGTTAGGAGACGAATTGCAAAGAAAGTGATGAGAGGAGATGATTGGTTCAAGCATCTCGTCAATGTCTTTTGGTCAAGAGGCTGCGGCAGAATATTCTCAATCACGATTGGAGTTGGCGGTGGTATCGTGTGACGAGTGTCTTTCCCAAGCATTTTCTCTGACGATAGAGGGAGTTGGACGGTCGAAAACAGGAACGCAGAATACCCAATCCATGTCGCTGTCAGTTTCGGGTCAAAACTAAAACCGTTCTTTTTGTAAAAGTAATCTGCAACTAGCTCTGGGGCCGCGCGAAACAGTGTCAACAGTAAATCACTCTGGAGTGCGCTTGCGTAAGGTCGGAGGGTTTGTGCGAATGCTGCAAGGGCAGAATTTCGCACAGGCACCTTGTCCCGGTATTTGCTAAACCACTCAAGAGATTCAATGCCAAGGTCTACGGCTTTGGGGGCATTGCTGTCAACTTCTTGTTGTCCGCTATGTCTCAAGGCCCCCGGTGGGTACCAACCCGCCGGTGTATGTAGAACTCCATGCTCGGAGTTCGAACATACGAGGAGCAGGAACTCGTGGGCATAGACATCAATTGTCTTTTGTCGCTTAATTTCTGAATCCTTTTGGTCGTCCTCGTAACCATACAATGTCGCTATACGGCCTAGCGTTCGCTCTGTAAAGACCTTGCCCTTGCTAGTCTTGGGGATTTCTTTGTCGGTGAGTACATGGGCTTTGAAAACGTTGAGGATGTCAATAATAATCTCAGGCGGGTCCCCTCGAATGTCATCAAACAAGACTTTGAATAAATTGACTTGCCCCAGGATGTCGATTTTTGCCGCGTGCTGTTGATACTTGAGATTTGCTAGAAGGTAACGGATGGCATTAGAACGGACAGACGGTTTGCGTCTTTCCTCTGAGGCATCGGCAGATGCTGCTCTGCGCAGGCCTAGATTTCTTGCTAGAGCCTTGTTTTCCAGGGTAAAATCTTTGCGCCCATAAAGTTGCTTTGCCAGTGACCCTCCGTCGAATGACACAACCTCCAAGAGCAATCGTATGCATGGCGAGATGATAAACTCTTTTGACTTCGGGGCGGTCAATTGTCTTGATACCAATTTCAATTGAGACTGCTGTAGTATCGTCTTCCCGAGTAAAATGCCATAGTCTCGGAAATCAAGTAGCGAGGAAATCGTTTTAAGTAGAAGGGCTAATACTGCCGGAACTGCAGAGAGCAATGCGTCGGCATTGACCTGACCAGCATAGTTCCATATCTGAATGAGGTCTGTCAGAAAATGGCTATCACTGTCTCCATCGTCTCGGCCTTTTTGCGAATCGAGATACTCCTTCAATATGAAAAGTCTATTACGCCGAGAGGAGTCGTCGGCGCCACGCGCGATGGATTCAAGGAAGGTCTTGAAGCACTGAATACCTAAAGATCTGATGTGTCAGTTGCGCTGATCAAGAATCCAAGTATATGGCGCTGCATACTTCTTCTGAGCTGGGCGTCAGCCCCTTGTTGAAAAGTGAGCAGATGCTTAAGCTGCAAAGCCGAAGTGATGTCCTCGGCGTTGGTTAGGCTGGCATTGCTCGTTCTTGGTCGCTTTGCCGGTGCAAATCTACCATCCGCTCCATCCGGAAATATTTGTCTCTTGACCATTTCTGTCATACGATACTGAATTCCCTGTTGCGGATCACGCAGACCTGGGATGGCAAACCAGTAAATGGAAATAAACTGTTCCGTACCGAGCTTTTTCTGCCAAAGGCGGTGAGCAAATTATACGAGTAACCCTTTGAGCTAATTGGATGGTTCCCAGGTAATGTTTAGTGAGGAGCCTATAACTTCAGTGGCCATCAGCGTTAGTTAAGGAAATACCTACCTAGTTTTGTACATAGTACAGGTTGACAGTAGAGTTTAAAAATATCCAATTTCTAAATCATCAAATCAATTTTATTGTGCTATTTCTATTGTTTTTGATAAGGTTTCCCTATTTCTGGGAGTCACTCTTAGACTTGAGAATTTTTTTGCATTATTTTAGTCTTGCTTTTATATTTAACATTGCCATTCTTTGCCCCAAGGTACCGTCAAAGATTCTACCCATGTATTCGCAGTATGATTTCTTGTTCGGACCAGCCGTAAGATGGGCTCCTTAAGTGCATTTCATAAGGTATTTCATTAAGATCTTTCCTTTTTGAGGCAACCTACCTAGGCATGTATTAACATATTTCGTGCAAGACTATTACAGCCTTATGGCACTCTTTGAGTTTATCAGGCCAGCAGGCCTTATCTGCACGTGCCGGTGGAGTTACTAAGCGGTCAGTAGCAAGCGCTTCCAGAACATGATTTCTTACTCAGTTTTACCTTAGCATGACCTGAATACAAATAAATGCTGTGTTGATTTTTATGTGTATTGAAAATTTTCAACCTACTGATAGGACCGTCTTTCTTGGAGAACAGAAACGTCGTTTGAAGTTGAGTTCCTTGCTCTCTAACTTTCTGCCTTTTTGGTCCCTGAAAAAGTAGGGTCGGTAGTTAGGCCCAACTTTATCCGGTGCACTCGTATCACCGAGCGCACCACTGTAAAGTTTCGTGCCCCACCAAAGATTTTGCATCACCTCCTCTCGCGATAACAGACACAGAAGCTCATATTAGTACAAGATAGCGCTCCGGCAAGGAAATGGCGCCTTCAGCAATTCCCACCGATTCCACCACAAATATGGAGGACCCTACCATCTCTAGCCTCAAGAAAATCCTCACTTCCGAGACCTCGTCCCTCGCCCGGCAGTTTCGAGCACTTTTTTCGCTGAAGCACCTTGCGTGTCTCAATCCTCCAACAGAGCAGACAGTCCCCGCTATCAGCGCTATTGCGGCAGGCCTCTCGTCGCCTTCTGAACTATTGAAGCATGAGTTAGCCTACTGCTTGGGACAAACCAGAAATCCTGCTGCGGTTCCCTACTTACGGGCGGCCTTGGAGGACAAGGCTGAAGCGCCCATGTGTCGGCATGAGGCTGCCGAAGCGCTCGGTGCTTTGGGCTATACGGATACTTTGCAACTTCTTAAGGAAATTCGGGATGACCCAAATGAGCTAGAGGCCGTAAGAGAAACCTGTGAACTCGCTGTTGCAAGAATTGAGTGGGAACACTCAAGGGATCGTCAACAGGAGAAGCTACGACCAAGGTAGGTTCACGGAATGCCCAATACATAGAAGATCGCTTTCAACATTGTATTAATGTATGCATGTCTAGTGATTTCGCTTCAATCGACCCTGCCCCGCCCATGCCTGAAGGATCCCAGCCGCCATCCATCCCAGAGCTGCAAGACGCTTTGCTGAACACCAATCTGTCGCTTTTTGAACGTTACCGCGCCATGTTTGCTCTTCGCGATCTTGCTTCTCCTCCAGACCTACCAACTGCGGTCCCTGCTGTCCAGTCCCTTGCTCTTGGCCTCAAAGATAAATCGGCTTTATTCAGACACGAAATTGCTTTCGTTTTCGGTCAACTATGCCACCCAGCATCAATCCCTGCGCTGGAGGAGGCGCTTCGCAACAAAGAGGAGGCAAGCATGGTTCGACATGAAGCTGCCGAAGCTCTTGGAAGCCTTGGTGACGAGGAGGGAGTGGATGAGCTACTTAAGGAATTTCTCAATGATCCCGAGCAGGTCGTCAAGGAGAGCATTCTTGTGGCTTTGGATATGGCAGAGTTCGAAAAGAATGGAGAGATGGAGTATGCCATTGTCCCCGGTCAAGAGGCGCCACTCGCGGGCGCTGCATAAAACCTCCATCTCCTCTCCGAATTTTATTTACGAAATTAATTTTTTGTTAAAAAAAAAATGAATATAGATGCATGAAAAATTGCTTGACATCGATTGAGTCGGGTATATGTTGATAATTCTCCAGTTTATGCAGACAATTGCAGGGAATGATTTTCTAATTGTTCGTGTTCCATCTGGAAGAAATGTGTTAGCCGTATGTAAAGTGATTGTTCCCCACTCAAAGGGACATACTTGTGACCGCAATGTGTGCAAGTGAAAAAATTGGTGCTACCCTCATCGGCACTTCTGAGCTGCACTGAGTAGTATCTCATTTGACCAGTGGTCTCACAGTCAGGGCAGGTCTCGTGAATAGTTGCCTCAGTCTTCATGTCGCCAGCTGTCACAGTCTGCACTGCTGAACGCTTTGAACGCAAGGCCGATGGAAAGTCTGTAGGCTGAGAAGTGGTGGTGACAGTGTTGGAAGAAGTATCTGTCGAAGGATCCGTCAGTAACGAGCAAGCTAGATGCGCCGATTGAGCTCCTCTAGGTTTACCTCTGCATTGCGCGCCGCAAACATCGCATGTCAAAATTGATTTTGGATCGCCAATAGATCCGTCAAGCAAATTTCCGCAATCATTGCAGAAAACAAGCGTCCCGATGGCGGACATGATGTTATGAGCGAGTAGATCGGAACAAAATTTCTTCGCGAAAGATTGAAGAGCAAAAGCTGGTACCCAAGTTGAACTCAGCTAGCGCAAACTTCCTAGAGCCTGAGAGACAAAAGAGAGCAAGTGGCGGAAAATTTCAAAAGCGTTCTTGTATGTCTTCGCTGAGAGTTGAGGATGATAAAGTTGCCTGGGAGTCTGTCAAACTCTCAGAAAATATTTCAAGGTGACTTTAAAGGCCACTGACGCAGTTTGGGGTCTATACTTGATAGGATGTGAGATCTCCACCAAGAATAAGGTACCGACAATGATGCTGGGATCAATATGCGCATGCGGAAAATGATCGACAGGCACCCTAAGCACGGAACGTTGATACGGCGCTCCATTGAGCGCTAAACTGCCCTTTATTATAGCGACATTGATGTCGGCGGAACCAAAAGCGTCCCGCGAAAGGCGGAATTGCAATCTACAGCAAGGAAGATCAACTGACGGCATTGACAACTTACATTTATGTATAGAACCGACTCAGAATTTCAAAAACTATCCACCATATTGTTTGAAAGACATTGACATTGTCCCGCAATGTTAACGGCGCATCAAAGCATGGCATCTCATCCACTCATAACAACCCAACCGCCGCAAGTCTAGACATCTCCGGTGAAAATGCAACACTCCCACCAACAATCACAAAATGCGCAAGCAATGGATATCCCTCCGCATCTTGCTGGCGGAGCTCCGCGCCGGCATCGTCGTCCGCTTACGGTAGACGAAGCTCTCCAGTATACGCCGCTGTCTTCTATCCCGCCATTTGGCCCAGGTGCGCTTCTGGCACCGTTCAGAGTTATATCTGCGTTAATGGCCTAATACTTCTTTTAGAACTCATTTCTGTACCGTCCGTCGGCGTTTCTGGATCCTCGATACCTCTTCTTACCCCCGCCGAAGAAGACGCTGTTCGTCCCTCATTGCATACCTTGAATGAACATGCATACAGGCATAACGGCATGTCTGCCCTTCTTCAAGGAGCAACACAGGAACTGCGTGGAATCTTGGATGCCAATAATCTGACTGAATAGTAAGTGAAATTGATATATTCTATTTCTCAGCCTTGTCTCATCGGCCCCAGCTCGTTCAAGCCAATCCCGACCCGACGTTCGAGACCGAATAGCTCGACAGATAACGGCACGCACCGCCAGGATCTTCGGCTGAGCCCCTTTGCAAACATGATTCTCGAATCAACCTCCGTGGGTTATAGATGTATGTTTGGATCTATTACTATTTGTCTGAACTTGGCCCGTTCTGCGCTGACCATTCAGATCCGACACCTAGTACACCCGGCATAAAATCACTTAATGCTCTCGACTCTCCTCGCACGCCCACTGTACGCCCATCGTCTACCCCTGCTCAGCCTAGCATTTTGCCTCGTGATCCGAAGATGAACCAAGATTCTACACCGATTATACAAGTAAAACCTCCGACTGCGGATTCATCAGTAAAGCCGGGAACAACGCCATCGATTGTACTGCCCCAGCTCTCTCCTACACGCCAGACCCAATACCAGACCTTTCCAGATGTCGATGAGTCCATAAAGGCGGAGGCTCAAAGGGCAATGAATTCCAAAAGCGAGCAGCACATCGAAGCGCCGAAGAGTCAATTGTTTGCAAATGGTCCGGACTCAAGAGCTAGATCTGAAGCATGCATTCGGCATGCTCAAGATCTAATGTTCACAATCTTTGAAGCAGAAGACCGGTTACAACCTGACACATCAGGACTCACCTCAACAGACGATTTCCGTGTTTTCTTGCCAATGACCTATGGCGAGTCCGATGCTGCCATAATTTCCCCTGAAATTCAGTCAAAACTAGAAAGTGGAATCCAGAAAGTATCGACCCTTCATCTTCTTCACGAGATTCCTGTGGAGCACCTGAGTCGCCTTCAGAAAATCTGTGAAGGGGCCCTGGGACATGTCGATACGCTTAATTTGAAGCTTGAAGATGGCGCGGGTGCGGACGAGGTAGAAAGATTTCTACAAAAGCTGGAAATAGCTCAAGCTATACTTCGTTCGGCAAGGCTGTCGTTGAGGATCTTGACTGGCGGCCGTGAAGAGAAGCAGCTCTATGCTGAAGGACACTTACAGAGCGTCCTCAACTGTCTGAAGAATATTTTGGAAACCTGTGTGGTGCCTGTGGTCGAAATGCGAAGTTCAGGGGAAGCCGCTGACAATTTCAAGGCTTTAAGCTCACACAAGAAGCAAATTTCCACTTTGTTGCATCACTGTGGCAAAGTACTCACGCTACTCGCCGATCTTTTGGTCAAGGTCGAAGTCTCTGAGCAGATCGTCACAATGGCCGAATTCATGGCGTCCGCATTGATCTTTGTCGAGAATGCGCCAAACGAGAAGGAGTCTATTCTGGGGATCCAGAAGTTTGAGCTTCTGAGGCGAGTTGGCATGGACGTGCTTGCAAAGATATTCTCCAAGTATCCAGACCAACGAACATTTATCTTTGACGAGATCTTGTCGTCATTGGAAAAGCTCCCTGTGACTCGCCAGAGTGCGAGGCAGTATAAACTTGATGATGGCAAAAGCATTCAATTAGTCTCGGCTCTTATTATGAGACTGGTTCAATCAAGCTCCACCGCGGATTGTTCAGATCAACAAGGAAGAAAATCTCCGCTCAAACTCGCTCGGGATGACATCGATAACGAGGATTCATTTGCGGGGCGGGACGAAACGACCTCCGGAAAGATGAGAAGTGGATCTTCCTCGAAGACAACGGAAAGTGAAGCAGCAGCTAATCCATCCAACGCTGTCGAAAGGTTGATTGATCTGGCCCGACCTTTGCATGACAATGCTTACAATAACGCGCACTACGTAATAAAATACCTTGTCCAACGAGGGCAGACGTCAAGCAAAAGCGGGGATCAGCCGTATCGGAACCTTCTGGATATTTTTACCGAAGATTTTGTCATCGTCCTCAACTCTGTTGATTGGCCAGCAGCGGAGCTACTACTTAGAGCATTGCTAGTCAATATGATTAGTATTTCAGAAAGTGAAAAGAGCTCAGCCCCTGCTAAAAACATGGCACTGGACTTGATGGGTTTGATGGGCACAGCTATATCTGATGTTATTTCATCAACAAGGCAAATGGCTCGGAATTTGGAAATCAATGATCTGCCGAGCGAAGTTGATCTTGGACAGCTCGCCGAAGAAGCACTGAATGGAAAGCTCCAGGTGGTCGATCTCCTTGGATGGAAAGGACCTTACAGAATTGCGCTGGAGCACCTGAGGTTGGTGGATATCGGCGAGCATCAAAATCAGAGCATCGGCTTTCTCCTGATGCAATGGGCAAAGTCATTATGGACTGCATTCGAATTGCTGGACGAGCATGATAGAGAAGAGAGCATGGGTGAGACGTACGGTCGCATAGCTTTTCATCTTGAGCAATCAATACTAGATATAACGCATCTGTATGATGAAGGGTAAGTGGAGTTCTCCCTTTGTTGGAAAAACTATGTCTAACGTCAGGTTCAAAGTGACCGAGAAAATCAGCCATCGGGTCGTGGCCGTCTCGCGTATTCTACAGCTCTTCTTAATATGCCATTTTGCAAACTCTTCGATAGGGTTCTTAGTATTTTACTGCGATCAATGAGCAGCGATCAAGCTACCGTCCGAAGTCGCAGTCTTAAAAGCATCGTTCAGCTTTTGGACAAGGATGCCACAATACTAGACCGCGGGGCCTACGTAATGCGCCATATCCTTGCTTGCGCGATGGATAAATCACCTCTAGTCCGAGACTCCGCCATCAGTCTCTTAGGCAAATGTCTACAGCTGAAACCAACCCTTCATGACGAAATAGTTGGTGTTCTCCTTCCTAGAACGGGTGATCCCGCCATTGGAGTCCGAAAGCGCACCATGAAGCTTTTGAAAGATATTTATCTTTCTAGCAGTAAAGGCGAAGTGAAAGTGGTCATCGCGGACAACCTTCTGCAACGAGTTAAAGACACAGAAGAGAGCGTATGCGAACTTGCTCTGCAGATTCTCGAAGAAGTTTGGATGTCACCTTTCTACAACCTTGCCGAGGGAACCGAAACCTCCGTTACCACTCCTTTGTCTCTGCGAGACCACGTTGCATTAATAGTCAACACTGCCCAACGCGGAGATGCTGTTTCGGCTGTTCTCGAATCTCTTCTGCGGAATCTCCTGCGCAGAGAGGCGAAGAACTCTCAAGCGAACAATCGAGTCTGCAAGATCATAGTCAACAATATGTTTGATAATCTTGTAGACAGTGGAGACTCGCCAGAGAAATTGAACGGGCAGTCTATTTTACAGACCTTGACTATTTTTGCCAAGGCCAATGCAAGGCTTTTTGATGCAGAGCAACTGGAGCTGCTACAACCCTATGTGGAGAACCTTTCCAACTGTGACGACCTGGTCGTTTACAGATCAATCATTGTCATTTTTCGCCATACGTTCCCATTCTTGCCTAGATTACAACAAGGTTTCCTCAAGTCTGTTCAGGACGCTCTTCTAAAGAGCATTTCTAGACTTGGCAAAAACGAGCTTAAAGAAGTTGTGCCATGTCTTTGGACGATTAACGGAGTTCTACGTAATACTGACAGACTGGCGAAACTTACCATTTCATCTATAAAACAGGTTCATGCTGCAAAGGCGATAAATTTCGCGGATGCGCAGCAGGCGAAGGCTTTGATCAGAGTCAAGCGATACATGATGATATCTGGTGCCTTTGGACAGTATTGCAACTTCGAGAATGACCCTAGACTTTTCAAAGAGTCGTTTCCATGGTGGAAGGGGACCTCGGTCTCTGGGCTTCTTGTCGATATCCTGACGCCATTCACAAACCCAAAGCAGCCACTTGAGCTTCGAAAATCCGCGCTGGACAGCGTCGGTATGATCTGCCAGGCCTGGCCGAGAAATTACCTCAAAGAGCAAGTGAATAGTGCTTTTGAGATAGTTTTCGCTCAGGGCGACCGAGAACTCGAGGAAATCGTTCTGCGCAGCTTTAAAGGATTTCTGTTGAAAGAAGAACAACGATCTGAAGACAATGAAGATCTCTTTGGTGGCGATGGCACGATGTTAGAGGGAGGCCGACTCGAGAACTCGTTGGTGGCTGGTGAGAATGATGGTGTCTCTACATCTATCGCACAGCGATTTTTAGGGAAAGTTCTCCGGGTAGCACTTGCATCCCAGGACGGATACGCTTTGATTGCAGCGGAAATTCTTGGAAGCATCAATCGGCAAGGCCTTGTCCATCCGAAGGAACTGGGCCCAACTTTGGTTGCCTTGGAGACATCGGGCAACGCTGCCATTGCCAGTTTGGCTTTGGCAGAGCATCGAGTCTTGCATAGCAAACATGAAAGTATGCTCGAAAAGGAATACATGCGAGCTGTAAATCAAGCGTTCCTCTACCAGCGAGATACTTTGAAAGACTTATCCGGAGCAAGAAGCAACCCATGCAGCGCGAAGCTTAAACCCCTCTTCGAAGTTATCAAGACAGGGAATGGCAAGCTCCGGAGGAAGTTTCTGTCTAATCTTTGTGCAAAGCTGAACTTTGAGCCGGGCACGTTAGAGGTGAAGGATACAGCCCCTGTGCATCTACAGTTCGTGAGGTTCGTTGTTGAAAATATTTCCTTCTTCGACTACGGACGACTCGATGAGCTACAACTCGTCGTGGCTTGCCTGGAGAAAATTGTTGCAGGGACAGGAGCGGGTGTGGCTCACGCCATTGAGACTGATGTGCTCCAGCTGGTGAACAACGTGGCCGGTAACGGGATAGAAGAGCCGAAGGCCATTGGTGTTGAGCAGTCAAAGAATCTTCAAAGATTACAGCAGCTGACTGCTGCCGCCATGATTCTTTCATTATTGTGGGAGACCAGGACCTTTCTTCGCCGCCTCTACGGTCTCCAATCGATAGAGAAACCGCGCGAAAGCAAGGGTAAAGGCCAAAGCAAGGATCTCACCAAAGCTCCAATCAAGACACACAGTGCCAGCGGGGAGTCATACTTAAGCCAGGTTGTACAAATTATGGCAAGCTTAGAGAATTCTGACTCAATGTCTGAACGATGCAAGCGATTTGTCGCGCTGTTGTCAATCGATGACGAGCTAAAGGTTGCTGCGGAAGACGAAGAAGACCTTGACCCAACGGCCAGACTAGGAACGCCAATTGCAGAAGAGGAAGATTACAGTCCTGCGCCTCCCAGTGCAGACTCAAGAAGCTCCAAAAGGAAGGGATCCTTCCTCGCGGACTCGACACCGAAAAAGGCACGGAGAGGCTCACGGCCCTCCCTTGGTGGGCGAAGGTCTGGAAGCATTGAGGATTTTGACAGAGTATAATCGCAGCATGTACTCGTTTGATGGGACATCCACACTGGTTAAATTTGCAATATTCGGTCTATATGCTCATATAAGTGATACCATACTTGGTCACATATATTTGCTTTTCATCTTGTTTTATATATATACTTCCTAACTTTTCTTGGCGCGAATGGTGTGGGGGACGGCGCAGTGGACCAAGGGACAACTCCGGCGTTTTCTCGGTCTCTGGGAAAAGGATCAGTCATTGACATTGGGAAACGCAGCTCATCTGCTGTGAAGAGACTATGCATAATATCGTGTTGTTGCTGGAAATATCTAGAGTTAGTTTCTGGCTCAGTCAAAGTTGAATTGAACATATAGCAACTACAACCAAGCTCGCCCACTCACCGCACCTACCTTTCCAGGAAGGAATGGCCTTCGGATTGATTGATTAATTGATTGATTGATTGATTGATTTGATAAGTTAAGCATTCTGATTTTTACTGGTAGATTCGCAGCCTGTATCCCACTTTCGGAACATGCAACCCGAGCTCCTTCCCTAAATGGGAATGACCCGAGAGCTTGCAAGGTTTCACTTAGGTAAGCGATATTGACTGTTTGCGACGTCACGATTATCCTTCCCACACAGATCTCCGAACATGGGGGCCCCATCCTTGATCCACCGCCGACATCGTTCCCGTGCCAATTACTGCCGCCTTTCCGCGCCTTTACGACCACCATCCATCCCATTGACTTCTTAAAAGCTTCCAATTACCTTTTTCATGCCTTCATTTTTTCATGCATACTAACTTTGGACCGTTTTCGTCCCTCTCATAGCGTTCGTCAGCTCTGTTTTTGGATCCATTGCCGCTGAGCTTGTTCTCAGCGGCTCAATTTGGCTCAATTGAGCAGCTTCGAATTTGTGTCCATTTTTTGATACGGCATAACAATTGAAGGATGCTTCAACGCCAGCCATTGAACCTCCTTCGTCTTGGAACTGCCGCCCCGTGGCGCGTTCCAAGGCAAGGAGCATCTCGCCCCATTCAACGCCTTTTCCCAGCAGCTCCACGTCCCGCCCCTTCTGCCTCTATACGGGCGTTTCATAACCCAAGCAAGAGGCCTCAACCTCTGACTCCTTCGAGCCTGCTTCCAAAGCAAAAATGGTCATCCGGTCAACTGCAGCTGACGAGATTTGTCTCGACAAAGCAACCTGCTCGTGCGCTGATATCGCTTCTTCAGCGATCAACCATGTTTCGATATTGCTATCGAGCCCTGGCTTTCTGTGGTCTATTCGTCATCTTTAGCGGCACCATCATTCTTGCTATTATCATCTACGATGCGATCCAGACTCGGGAAGATTTAACTCACGCTGACATTCCGGTGGCCGAAATGGCTTTGAATCCTCGCACGGGTGGTCCGAAGAATCTACCCATTGCCGAGATTCTGGTTGATGACGAAGATACCCCTGACATGGTTAAGCAGAAAGACAAGCCTAGGCTTGTCATTCTGGGCAGTGGCTGGGGCAGCGTCGCGCTGCTGAAAACCCTGAATCCGCATGATTACCATGTTACCGTTGTTTCTCCGATCAATTATTTCCTGTTCACGCCCATGCTTCCTTCAGCCACAGTCGGTACTTTGGAACTGCGCTCTCTCGTAGAACCTATCCGTCGCATTGTCAAGCGGATACACGGGCACTTCCTTAGAGCGCGCGCAGAAGACATCGACTTTTCCTCGAAGCTTCTAGAGGTGTCACAGTTTGATGAAACTGGGAACAAGCGGCACTTCTACCTTCCGTATGATAAGCTGGTGATCGCAGTTGGTATGTTTTCTAAACTGATGATTCGAATGCGCCGTTAATTCAAGTACAGGCTCCACCACCAATCCACATGGTGTCAAGGGGTTGGAAAATTGCCATTTCCTCAAGACCATTGAAGATGCACGCAATATCAGAAATAGGGTGGTGAAAAACATTGAACGCGCATGCCTTCCAACGACAACAGATGAGGAGCGTCGCCGATTACTCTCATTTGTTGTGAGCGGTGGTGGACCCACTGGTGTCGAATTTGCGGCCGAACTTTTCGATATGCTCAACCAGGATCTCTTTGAAAGATTCCCCCGTATCCTTCGAAATGAGATTTCTGTTCACGTCATCCAAAGTCGAAGCCACATTTTGAACACTTATGATGAAGCCCTTTCACGCTACGCTGAAGTGAGTGTACAAACGCCATGGACTGGCCATGAGTAAGCTAACAAGATTCTTTACAGGAACGTTTTGCCCATGACGATGTGCAGGTGATGACGAACTCGCGCGTCGAGGAGGTCAAGCCTGATCGAATCATCTTCACGCAAAAGGATGACGATGGCAAGATTGTGAGAAAAGAACTTCCGATGGGTTTTTGTCTGTGGTCGACTGGCGTCAGTATGTCTGATCTAATCCCCCAACTTTCCAACTGTCCCAACTAATATGGCATTCAGCGCAAACGCCCTTCTGCAAGAAGATCAGTGATAAACTTGGAGACCATCAGCAAAACCGTCACGCTCTTGAAACTGATACACATCTCCGATTGATTGGCGCCCCATTGGGCGATGTCTATGCCGTTGGTGACTGTGCCACCGTTCAAAACAACGTGGCTGATCATCTTGTTACGTTTTTGCGCACGCTTGCATGGGAAAAAGGCAAGGATCCTGAGAGCATGGAACTCTCATTTGGGGAGTGGCGCAACGTCGCATCCCGAGTCAAGGCCCGTTTCCCTCAGGCTGCCGATCATTTGCGACGCGTCGACAAGCTCTTTGAGCAATACGATCTGGACAAGTCTGGCACACTCGACTTTGGCGAGCTCACAGAACTATTGAAGCAGATTGACTCCAAGCTCACGTCTCTTCCTGCCACCGCTCAGCGCGCTCACCAGCAAGGTCAATACCTTGGTCGCAAATTCACAAAGATTGCACATGCTGCCCCTGGTATGATGCTCAATCAGGTGGACTATGGTGATCTTGATGAAGCCGTCTACAAGGCATTCGACTACAAGCACTTGGGAAGCTTGGCCTATATTGGCAACGCTGCTATTTTTGATATCAACGGCCACAGTTTCGGTGGTGGACTGCTTGCTGTCTATCTCTGGCGCAGTATTTACTTTGCCCAGAGTGTCAGCCTGCGGACCCGTATCCTGCTTGGTATGGACTGGACGAAGCGTGCCTTGTTTGGAAGAGGTAAGTGTCAACGGTTTTTAATCCATCATCACCCTTGATATTTTGGCAGACCGATATGCTCTTGCGATATCTGAAAAAAATCATTCACTAATCATAACCAATGGCGCAGATCTCTATGTCTTCTAAGCTTATCCCTTCGTACCTTGACTATAATAGTATTTTCGCCTAGATGGCCTGACATCGATGTGTCTGGGCGGTAATGATGCCAAGGATTAGATCTTTGTGATTTTTACCCCCCTATCAGCATTTATTGCGCTCGTCAAGGCCCTACAGCAGCAGGTACATAGTCGTTTTGTATTTAGCGGATTCCCACGAAGCATTACCACTTCAGCAGCGCTTCTATCGCTGTTTATTAGTCTTCAAATTGTTCCAATACATACTTTTTCTTTTCCTCTTTTTTTCATCTCGCCTTCCTTTACAAGAGCTTTTTTCTCTTTGAGCATATCTACCTAGAGTGATGATCCTTGTAAAAGTAGAATTCGCATGTATCAACTTATAGGACAGTCAAGATGTGCAATTTGAGACATAAATTAATGTACTTTGATGTGATGAAATACAATTCGATTTTTCTTGCGCCTAGTCCAGGAGTTCTCAATGCACTATGTATAAAGAAGACGCAGATGAGAACAATCCAAAAAGAATACAAACGCTACGCCAGCAGTTTCCCCAAACAATGTTTTCTTATCCTTTCTCTCTACCGCTTCTTGTTCGCAGCAGTAGCATTCTTGCTTTTCCCCTTCACCTTCTCCACCAATTTGCGTAAATCGACACCGTCTTGCGGTGTTGCTGCTTCTTCACCCGCATCCGGTGCGCTCAATTTTGCGACTTTGGACGGTTTGCGACCTTCGTCTTTTGCGGGTCTGTCATCAATTTCTGCATCTACCTCGCGACGGCTTCTCTTTCGACGGCCTTCGTCCAGCAGGGCTTTCATGGCCTTTGTGCCGCTGAACCGCGGATTCGTAGGGTCGATTGCGAAATCGTGGCTTTCAAAGAGACTGGTAAACCGCGGATCACTGACATTCATTTGGAAATCATCCTGCACGGAATCTGTAGTAGTAGTGGCTCCGGCCTTGTTCTTGTTCTTCCGCTTGGCTTTGCCGCGTTTGGCAGCGTCTTTTTCGGCCTTTTGGATCTCTTTCATGTCGAAATGAGCGACATGGGGCTCTGCGGCCCCGCCATCGCCAGAGGCACCGGCGGCGGCACCACCCTTGTCGTCGAGCATGAGGAGTTCGAGCTCGGCGCGTTGGCGGGCGGCGGCCTCGGCGTCTTTGGCAGCGTCTGCGTCCTGGGCGCGGCGCTCGGCTTGTTTGCGCTTCTTGACGGCGGATTTGGACTCTTTCGTGGGTGCGGAGGTGAAGAAGGGGTCATTGAAGCCGAGGTCTTCTTCTTCTTCGTCTTCGCCCTCAGAGGCAGATTCCGAGGCGGAGGACTCGTCGTGGATGTCGTTCTTATCGGTAGTCGTAGAAGCGTCGGCTTCCGGGTTGCGACCGGACTTGAGTTTCTCCTTTCGTCGCGCCTTGCGTTCCTTTTCTTTGCGGACGTATTTCTCGACGGTGGTCTCGTCGCGTTCAGGCTCGTTCTCGAACACAGATGACTTGCCGCCGTTCTCCCCGGACAATAGACCTGGTGTGAAAGTGACTTGCATGTCGCCGACAGGAGCACTGCTGGTTTTACTCTTTGATGATGATGAGGATGACGGCTTATCAACAGGCAGGCCGAGAAGAGCGCGCATGCGTTGCCGTTCTGCTTCCTTTTTGGAAAGTTTCTCAGAAGGCTTTTTGGTGGCGGTTTCATCCGCCGCTGGTTTCTCGTCCTCGGATTCCGAGTCTTCATTCGCTTCGTCTCCGTCTTCGCCCTCGTCCTCTGAGCTTGAGCTGGCGAGGTATGCTTTTAGGTCATTCTCGTCAAGTTCAGCGCGAGAACCGGTGAATGCACGCTTCTGCGCCTCCTTCCGCTGCGGATCGTCCTCGTCCCAGGTCAGCTTGACTTTGCTGTGCTGCAGCGCTGCAGTGACGAATTCGTTCGGACGGTATCCGTTGGGAATCTGATCGCATTCGTCGCGTGGTTTGTCGTCCTCGAAACTAACGTCGTCCGGGACGAAGCGTAGATCGAAGAAGTTGGCTGTAGTAAGGTATTCTGTGCCGTCCGTAGCATCGTATATGGCTTTGGCAACTTCGGGAGATGTGCAGGTAATTACGGCGTAGTAGTATCGTAGTCGCTCAAGCTGGTATTGCCTTAATTTGGCAGAATCGAACTCCTCGCCGGTATCCTCTGTGAGAATGGATTTTTTGATTCTCTCATCTTCTTCGTCATCGTCATCGTCATCCGATCCGCGCTCGGAGTCCGACTCTTCGTCCTCTTCTCTCTTGCTATGGCTTGCGAAGATTTCCCGTGGAGGTCCTTCCACTTCTTCCTTCTCCATGCGTTCCTTGCCAAACTCGCTAGGATAGATTGAAATGTTACGAATTTTCCCGGAAGGAGGCACAAAACTAGAAAACACTGCCATGAGATCTGCAGAGCGAATATTATCCCAGTCAAGATTCACCACAGCCAGTCTAGATGTGATATCGCCCATCGGAACAGCAGGTTGCTGATCCAATTGTCTGTCTGGAAAACTGAATCCGGTCTCTTCCTCCTCATCCTCCACTTCGTCTTCCTCGGACTCTTCGTCCGATGAACTTTCATCTGATGAGGAAAATCCTCCATCTCGAGCGGGATCATACCTCTTGTCCACGCGGGCAAGCTCCTTGCGAACGATGTCGTCATCGTCGACTGCATCGGCTTCGACACTTTCCAGGTCACTGGGCTCTTCTTCATCCTGATCGCCCCCCTCGTCCTCATCCACCCGGTAAAATCTTTCCAATTCTTTCCGACCGGTTCCTTTGGGCAATTTGCGCCCATATCGATCGACCGATGCTTTCTTCGAAAAATCTTCATCTCGCAGCATGCGCGAAAACCGCTTATCGAGTTTCACATGGGTATGCTTTTTACTAGGAAGTTGATAGCGAGGGTCGCTGTGAATATTGGCAAACCGGGGATCATCTGGACAAAACTGTCAGCTTTCTTTCATATATGCTATCTGAATTTCCTGGAGAAAAATGCGTACTTATGACGGCGCCAGAGAGATTAGCATTTTGAGCGCCCTTGGGCGCCTTCTGCTGTGAAGGCTTGGACATTGTGACCGCAATTAGAGAGACGGACCGAGCACGGTCAGCAGCTCAAATTCGTTAGACAGAGATTGAAATGAACTCCACGATGAAAATGAATCAAACTTTCAAAATTAGGTATCGTGAATTGACAGGTCTGCTGGATGTTTTTTTGTTTCGCGGGGAAACTTTTTGAGCCGCAACAACCAAAAGTTCTTTTGCGGTCCGAGTTTAGCCCGTGACGCTAGCCCCAAGCTGGAGCCTCGCATTCTTATCAGATTCAAAGCTCCGTTCCGACCGAGCCATCAAAAAACAAGACTTTTCACATTAGAAATCATGGATGAATTTTGCAATTGAATGAAGCTGAGGTGCCGTATTTAAATTTCAAGCATCAAATATAAATTAATGATCTAATTGCAGGGAAATCTCGAATAATCTCTGCGTTTACAACCGCTGAGAACACCACAGGAAATAGCAGATCTAAGATTCCAACTAACGTCATTACCAGTGCGCCATGTGACCCCAATTCGTCCCAGCAAGAGCGTATTCGTATCGTCGTGGCATTGAGCAAGGAAGAAAAAAAAAAATATAAGCTCAAGTAACCATGGGCTCAGCCCCTCCGTTGGTTTGGAAAAGAGATTCGCTGTGAAGGTTATCCGGGCCATCGAGCCCCAGTGGGATTAATTCAGGAATTTCCTTCTTATTTTCGCGAGCCCTCGACTCGGCCCAAGCGCGTAAACGCACAAGATTACGAATCTTGGCCTCTCTTCTCGCACCCTGGCTGCTCAAAATGGCTTCATTGACCCGGTTCGCTACCGCTTTTCGTAGACTCGGATCCAGCAAAGCGGCGAGCGGAGGCGCTAGGCTATCTGAGGGAAATATAAGTAAGGCCATTGTGCGTTCCAGATCCTCTAAAAATTCAGGCCTAGTTGGCGCACGGGGCGCTAACTGACTGGTCGCGAAGTTGAGTGCAGCGGTGATATCGGGATTAGACGATACAGTGCAAGTGCGAATCAGCTCGATCAATTGAAGCCTCAAGAGCGCAAAATGTAAGGATGCATCCAAATCCAGTATCTGCAATGCAGAATTAGCAGTGCTCTCCATCTCTTAGGATTAATAAAAAGACAAAAGTGATTCATTTGCTCATACTGAGGACTGAAGTAGTGAGTTTTTTCTCATCAACACCCCGAGAGGTATATGAGTGGTGCATGAAACTGATGTATAATCATAGCAAATGCGATGAGGGGCCAGAGCAGAAAGTAAAAAAAGGCTAACCTGAGGATTTAGTTCATTAATCCCATCTATAGCAGATTCTATATCCCCTCGGAGAAGAGCGTTTCGTATCTCCACGCGCTCTTGAATGGATTCAATGTCCGCAGCAGGTTGAATATTTGCTTCCAGAGCAAACTTTTTCGCTGCTGACGGATAACCCTCAGTGACGAGGTAGTCCATGATTACGAAGTTGATGTCACTATCGATAGCTTCCATGTCAGCCATACTGATAAAGTCTGCGGGATAAACGACTTTAAGGTGAAGTAGTAATGCGCATCAGAGATACAAGTAAACAAAGTTTCTCCTCAATTATATTTCAGAGAGATTCCCAACTTGTTATAAAAACATCATGAAAAGGGAAGGGAAGTAGAGATGTCAGACTGTGGAAACTGCTACTCACGTCTTCGAAGGACGAGCATCGTCAACCAGCCGCTCAAATGGGTGCCGCGTTGGAGTCGCGGTCGAAGTAGTAGAGGATGTCTGAACGACAAACCGGTGAGTTCAGCTCCAGAACAGGATTGAACGGAGCTTGGGAGCCATGGCCCAGCTCCACGCACCAGCTCCACGCACCATGATTAAAGACAGCCCAACCCGATCACCGTGAGTCCATGAGTCGGTAGGAAAATGCCATCAATGATGCGATGGCGGAAGGCTGATGCGCGCAAAAGTCCAAAATGCAAAAGCAGATGGAGATGGAAAGAAAGGAAGAAGAGGGAAGAAGGTCGGAAGTTATGAGAAGTGGAAGTGGGAAGGGAGCTCCACTTTAGCGTAGTCGAGTTTTCATAAGCTCGCCTGGTCTGAGCACAACGCACCCTTAAGCCCCAATTAAGCGCGAGAGGCACGTGAGTCCGTGACTTTGAACTGGGTGAAAGATACAGTGGAGATACCAGATACTTTTATCAGATACGCTGCAAACAACACCATAATCAGCCCGATAAGTGTTCCTGATACGCTCTCGGGAATTTTGATAGTTTGTCCTTTTTCCTTACCCGCTACTGAATGTCGTGGAACCAAGTCATCAGAGCTATGACATAAAAGTATCCTCCTTTGCACTTTCAAGTATTGTCAATCATGGCTTCGGATAGGATGGGGAGCATTGGCGGCCCTCAGAGGGCTCATTACTCACCGCCATGGGCGAACACCAGCATTATTGGTGTCGCTGGCAGCTCAGGGTCTGGAAAGACGTCGCTCGCTATGGCCATCGTATCTTCCTTGAATCTTCCATGGGTTGTTGTTCTGTCAATGGTACGGACTTAGCTTTCCGATGGCTGCGAAAGAAAAGGATACTTATTTCTTAAACGTAGGACTCGTATTATAGGCCACTCACGCCAGAGCAATCTGAAAAGGCGTATAGAAACGAATATGATTTTGACTCTCCCGAAGCCATAGATTTTGATGCTCTCCTACAGACATTGAGAGACTTGAAACAAGGGTACGTTCCTACTAATGGCCTTGCTAGGCGGAAGATCAGCGATAGCTCATGCGCCACAAAACAGAAAGAAGGCAGATATCCCCGTGTATTCATTTGAAAAACATCAACGAGAGACGAAGACGATCCCCATATATTCCCCTCATGTTCTTGTAGTTGAGGGCATATTTGCACTGTACGATCCTCGCGTCGTTGAATTAATGGATATGAGGGTGTGTCCACTCGCTACGACGCTGATGTCCAAGAGCTAGATTGACAATGCTTTCCTTTGCAGATATATGCGGAAGCCGACCTTGATGTTTGCCTTGCACGGCGAAGTAAGTCCTAATACATCTTCTACCACTGTTATCCAGCAGCTAACCAACCATTGGCAAGTAACCCGCGATGTCCGGGACAGGGGCAGAGATATAGAGGGCTGCATAAAGCAGTGGTTTTCATTTGTGAAGCCGAATTATAATCGCTTTGTAGAACCTCAGCGGGTTAATGCCGGTAAGTGCGGATGCTTATTGTTGTATAGCCAAGTTAAATAACATGTTTGATAGACATCATTGTACCTCGGAGCATTGAAAACCGTGTGGCAATCGGTAAGGATAACACAATTACTGTTCAATTAGTGCGCACAAGTCTACATTGCTGATTGATTATAGACATGGTTGTTCAACATATTCAGCGCATCTTGACGCAGAAATCACAAAAACACCAGGATGATTTGCATAAGTTAGGGATTGCTGTCAAGGACGAGCCACTTTCTCCCAACGTATTACTGCTGAAACAGACCCCTCAAATTGTTGCGATGAGCACCATTCTTCAAAACCCTTCAACTCACCAGGTAGACTTTGTCTTCTATTTTGACCGCCTAACTACTTTACTCATCACTAGGTAAGCCGGCTCTCAATATCTCAATTGATTTTCACGAGTTGACTTGAGATTAGAGCCATGGAGAATATGCGGTACCGGGAGGCAACAGTCACTACACCTCATGGAAACACCTATCATGGGCTGTTGCCAGCAGGAGAAGTAAGAAGTGATGTCCCTGAATCTACTGGCTTGGCTTATGCACCGCAGGTCAGCGCTGTCGTAATCTTGCGGGCCGGCAGCAGCATGGAAACCGGCCTGAAGCGGGTGATCCCGGATTGTCGTACTGGTCGTCTGCTAATCCAGACAAACTATCGCACCGGCGAACCGGAACTACATTATCAGAAATTGCCGGAAAAAATTGATCAGGATGAAGGCGTGCTGTTACTTGATCCACAGATGTCAAGTGGAGGCGCTGCTCTCATGGCTGTGAAGGTCTTGGTCGATCACGGCATTCCAGAAGAAAAAATCACATTTGTGACGTATTTTGGAGGACGATTGGGGATCAATCGACTACTCACCGTTTTCCCTGATATCAAGGTGGTCGTGAGTCAGGTAGTAGAAGACGTTGAAGAGCGATGGATAGCCGACAGATACTTCGGATGCTAAAGATTCTCGAGGTTATGCTTGGCCCACAAATATCTTTGGCTGTGAGAATGAGATCGATATCCTCCATACCCTCTAAACACCTTTTCATGATAGAGGCGCCAATGACATGCGCCCTTTATGCGGGCGTGAATTCAGCATAGAAGAAGTATATACCCACCAAATTCGCATTTTCGGAGTCATTGTGCGCGTGAAAGGATTTGCCGAGCTAATGGAGAAAGAGGAACATATTCATATGTCATCTATTTATTAATTGTAAAAACATTATAGAAATGAGTATATCTATTGCAAATTGAACGTCTAATCAGTCATGGACTTGCCATGACGCAATCACATGAATGTCGTTACTTTGTCCTAACTACCTTGAGCTTCCCAGGAGTGTGAACAAAATTGTTTGCATAAGCCTTGGGGACAAATTTCCGTACGTTAGGCTCTTGCACAAAATATTCGTAACCTTGCTTCTGTGCAAAGAGAATGGCATCCTCCTTTGACTTGAAGTTCAAATGTGTTCCTTGCATAGCATCGGCCGAAGACTGCCATCCAATTAATGGATTTTCCCACCGGTGCCCTTTACCCAAAACATCCCAATCCATTCGCCAGTGATGTCCGTGCCAGTCCCCCGACTGAGTGGCCGTCTTCGCTGGTCGATAGATACTGGAAAGAAGTGGCGGTTAGATGGGATTTCAAATGTGGGCCAGCTGAGACAGAAATCTCTTGAAGCTGTCCAACTTACCGGACAGTCCTCGCCTGTAAATCTAATGGTGCACCTGATAGAACAGCGGCAGGAACTGCCTCTCCGGGCTCGCTGCCATCCATTACTCGCTTCGGAACGGGTGAGAACGAGCTATCAAGCACTGTTAAGACGGACCTCTTTCGTGTCGAACTCTCGAACACAAAGTACTCACGAGGTTCCATGATCCACATGTGCATTATAGTCTGGCTTGTGGCTGGCAACTCCCTCTAAAGGACCCTCTTGTGTAATCAAAGACGAGTCCCCCGCCTTTGCCGCAGGAGCTTCCGAAGGACTACTCTTTGGTGCAGGTTCATTTGAAGGGTCAGTTCGTGCTTGGCTTTCGTGACGCCGTCCAAAAGGACGGATATTATAACCAGCCGTAATTTCCGGCCGGAACAATCTTCTGCAGGAGTGAGAGGATAATCGGAGTAATGACATGATTCGAATATTTATCAAACCCCAGACCCAAGAGGGAAGTGTGGAGTTCTCGAATGGCGAGAGCGGCTAAGGTTGAATAGTTGGGGGACATCTGGGGTGCAAAGGTCGGGGTACCTCGGTACCTACGAGCTATTGCACTGGCTGACTGCCTGCTGTAGCTCCGAGGCCTCCGAGGCTCCTCGCCTACCAGTCGAGGAGTCTGTCCTGAAAGAGAAGTACCAGAGTACCTCTGTACAGAAAAGTGAGACGTCTTACATAATATCGCGAATCGGCTCTGCCAAGCCGCCCTGCAACCTCATCACCAGCTTCAACATCACTAGCAGAGGCTCATTGCCATCCCACAGTGTAGGACGGACGACATCCTAAACTGATTCAGGTATGTAACATAAGGATTGTCCTTGATGCACATATAGTTGTCAATGCATTTTGAATGCCAATGGCGCTGATAAATATTAGTTCGCCCAGCATGTCTTTCGTCACCCGCCGCGCTCTCTCAACTTTGATCCCGCCCAAGGTCAGTATTATCCCATTGATAAATCTATTCTTCAGTCACTAATAGAATTTTAGGTGGCATCGCCATCTGTAAGTTCAGCCTTCAGGGGATGGACACCGAGCTCCCCAACTCCATACGTCCCTTTTCCCACAATGACACCCGCTGCGATTGCGATACCGTCCGTTCCATCATAACAGGCTTCCGCAGATCGCTAATTGAACCAATATAGGGCATTGGTGCTGCTCAGGATGCTGCTCGTATGCAGCGGGTCGTAAGCTTCTATGAGAAGCTCCCTCGTGGCGCTGCACCTGAGCCCAAGCCTAAGGGTCTTCTGGGAAGATACCAGGCCCGTTACTTCGGAAAGAACCCTTCCGCAGCTCGTATGTACACACAACAAGCATCCTCCAAATGCTAATCCAGTTGCGATAAAAAGCTAATATTAAATTGTTAAGCCATTTTCCACGTGATCGCCGGTATTCTCTTCCTGTCGTACGCCAACGATTACTACTTCCATCTCCGTAAGTGCAACTGGAAATCAGCTGTTCATTTCACGTAGCGCTAATAAGATGTTTAGGTCACCACAAGAACAATGCTCATTAAATTCGGGATGCGTTGTATGTAGATAGACAACCTTCGACCGCGGGATACTCGATTCAGAAGCATGTCTGTACGGTAGAATCCGAAGTTATCATTTCTGACAGTCTTATGGTTGTTGAATCCCTCAATGTGCTATGCGTATAATTTGCGGTGACACTCAACAGTGAATGTAGACTTGCAGCGCCGAACAACGTTTTCCAGCGACTTGGGTCACTGAGGGCTGGTAGGGGTAGATGATGTAGTTATATGCCCTAACCGTGCTTAAGCAATCAGCGACCTTGAAATCCAGATGAGCGGGTTGTAAATAAGCAGCATTAGGCATGATAAAAGAAGACGGCAGACGATGTATATGGTTAAATTTAGGGCATCTAGTGCAGAGATAAATCCTCCTTCTGCCTTGTGGAGGCAGTAATGAGCATTCACTTTGCTTAAGCTACTGCCCGTGACTCAGGATATCTTAAGTTGCGTTACTCGGAAAGTATGTCGCCAAGCCAGCGCTTGGACCTTGCCGAATCCGTGAGGCGACGACCGAGCGACAACTCGACCGTTACCAGAGTCAACTTCGTAACTCTCCCTCATACAAAAACAATCAGCTATTTCTCAGGCGTCATTTAGCCTTGTCAAGGGTTGACATCGAACCCTCGCAGTTTCGTTCCTTCCCCAAGGAAAACCTTGCCTATCTTAGTGTAAGGTATTCCTTTACGGCCGTCGTCTGTTTCGCCCAGCCGACCAACGCCCGGCCTATTGTGGCCCCATCTCACATCTTCAATACTCAGAATTATCGCGGAAGCGCCAGCTGTTTCCTTGTGGCGACTTCTATTACCTGACAATAGGTATCGACCACTGCTTTCTTGTCATGTTTTTCCACAGCTTGTAGCCATCATGGGCCGAATCCATATACCTGTCGCTCTTGAAGATCAAATTTCTGACAGTGATCGCTCGCGTGCTTCGACTGCAGATCCGCACATTGTTATGGCAGAGCAGCGCACCCACGATGTGGTAAACCAAGCACGGTCGGTGGGTGACGCCTCGCCTTCCGACGTCTCTGCGAGTAAGACCATCGACTCGAACGCCACCGGGGGTGCAGTGGAGGTAAATGTTAAAGCTACGATATCAAACGAGGAAGCTAGCCGTCAAGAACCTACTTCGAACGGACCACCAGCTGTTCAAGACAATCCTAACTTGCAGGACGTTCCCTTTATCAAACATGCTGATGAGGATAGCGAGAGCGTAGGTTTTAATGAAGTGGGATTTCCAATTTCTGGGCTGACAAGTCATAGTCGATTGCTGGTATTGGTTCAGAATTCAAGCAAGTCGAGTCTTCCAACCCATCTCGAGCCAACACCCCCTCAGTCGATGGCGAGAATAGAGGCCGACAAGGTGCCTTGGATGGAAGCGGAGGGTCAGACACTGACACCAGTAAACCTGACGGATTGCCAAATGGAAAGCATCATACTCGATCAGCGTCGGTCAAACGTCCAACCTCTTTCAAATCTGTCTCATCTGTCACGAAAAGTTTCTTGGCGAAAGCTGCGTCAGGCTCTGCTGCAGCTGCTAAGCTTAGTGGAGACCGCTGTAAGGCACTCTGACGATGCAATGATCCTGGGCTTTGAGCTAACGGACTGTAGCCCCAAGTAATTCTAGCCTTTCCGCTGCTTCAAATCAGCCGACGCCTCGGCCTCGACTGGTAGCAAAATCTACTGGAGGCTTGCGAGACTCGCTCACTAGGTCTAGTTCTGCTGCAAGCACTCATGGTAGTGGCGGGGCGCCGGACGGCAGCAAGGTGTGGAATAAGAACAGACGTAACACCGCCCTCCCTGCAATATCCTGAACAAGCTCTTACTGACCACTTGCGACAGCTGTTCCTCCTCCGCCGCCGAAGCAATTCACGGACGAGGAACTCAAGCAACAATACGGTATTCACCTCGCCACTCGGCTGCAATCAGATGACAATGGAAAAGAAGGAAAGTGGGCAGACATTGATGATGACGAGGACGATTGGGCTCCCGAGGAAATCGAATGGAATGACGGGACTAAGACCTCTCTCCACACGGAAGATCATTCTACTCCGCCTCCTGCCGCTCCAGATTCGAAGGTCGAGCCTGAAAAAGCAGCGATGCCCGCCCCCGATCCCCCCAAGAGTAGCAGCTCCACTACAAAAGTCTTGAAACTAGGTGGTTCTGCTGATACCGCACCTAAATTCGGCGGCCTTGTTCTCAAAGGAGCGCCCGAGAAGCCCACTCTTGTTGCCAAGCCTACACCCCCAGCGCCCGTGAAATCGCCATGGGCTCCGCTCCCTCCGATTGATAAGATTTCCCCGGTCGCGATCGATCACCGACCGCAAGAGAGCCAACTGCGTACTCAACGAGAGCAACGGGAAAACTTTCAAGATTCTGTTCATCCTCCGCATCTACCCCCAGCCCGAGAAATTGAGGCAGATGATTTCAATCGTTCTTGGAGAGACGGCTACACAGGAAATCGAGAGCTTTTCAATTCGCAATCTGGACGATACGAGCCTGTTAACGACGTACGAAGGGGTTCATTGCGACATGAACAAGGTTTTCGACAGCCTGCTGTCTTGCAACGACCCCACCACCATGATCAATCTGGACCTGCTGAGCCATCAGCAGCTTTCCAAACTAGCCGGACAACCCACCAAGACAGCGCATCGTGGGGACGTCGTCGTACTTCATCGAATGTGAGCGGGGGCAGTGGCGTGTATGGAAGGCGAATGTCGTTTGGCAGAGGCCCCGACGAGGCTTCGGCAGACAGACGACGAGGCTCACAGGTGGGAACCCTTAACACAACTGAGTCTGCACCTCATCCTTCAGATCGGCTTGCTGAACAAGGATCCCAGTATTTGTCACGTGGATACTCCCCAACTCGGACGAACCAGCATGCGCCCTGGCCTCAGCACTCCTCTCCGGTCCTTCACCATGTTGCACCGGCTTCCCCTGAGGATGCTGCGTCACAAACACCCTCACAGACCGACGATAAACCTCAAGGGGCAGTGACTGTTACTGAGCTACCGCAGCAAGGTGCACAAGATCCAGTTGCTGTACAACAGAAGATCATGAAGGAAAAGCGAGAGCTTGCAATGAAACGCCGAAGAGAGGAAGAGGAGCGTGAGGAGGCCGCAAGGAGAGAGCGGATAAGGCTTAAGATGGAGTCACTGGGAATGGCTCCGATGGAAGGGAAACTTGCAAAATCCAAAACTGCACAAGCTGAAGAAGTTCCTCAATCATCCGAACCTCCACACTCGCAACATACTGAAGCACCTGCACATGCATCATATGCGGTAGCTATATCACCCCCAGCCGATGTCTCTGCGCATTCGAAAGAGAAGGAGAAAGCTGTTTCTCTTAACGAGCATCTTCCAAAACCCCCAGTGCCTGAACATTCTGGTGAGGTTAGGCAGTATGGTCTCATGAAGGTGCACCAGCCGCAGCCTGTTCGTAGGTCCATGGCAGCGTCCGAGAGTCAGCATTATCTGCCTCAACGCATTGGGACTACTACTGCTGCCGCTCCGCGGGCCCCTTCACCATCGAAAGTAATCGAACCGGGAGTCACTAAACCTGTGAAATCAGACCCACCAACTGTACCTTCTCTTGCCCCTCATCCCCAGGATCGACCGCTCAGTTCGAGCCCACAGCAAGGAAGCCGGTCTGGATATCAAGATTCCAAGGAACAGCTCTGGAAGACCAAGTCCCAAGGGGCTGAATCTTACCCCGGATGGACCGGGAGCATGACGACTCACTCCGTGACTGGGAGCAATTTGTGGGGCCCTCCCCATAATGACAAGGCTCTGGGCAACGGCACCTTTGATCGAGGTCTTTCAACAGTGGCTCAGAGGCATATTACTCAACCGCAGCCGGTGTCTCCCCCTGTCCCTGGTCCTATTGGGCCGCCTCCAGCGATGAGAAAGCCTCTTTCGCCATCTAAGCCAATTACAAGTGAGTCTGAAGACGCACAACAAACTATCTCCCCAGTCGGGAGAAGTCTTCCAGAACAACCATCTCCGCAGCTGGTGCTTGCGAATAGCACACCCGTTCCTCCTCTCTCCAGTTCCGTTGCCCGGCCCACTCCCATCGGACCTCCTGTTGGGCCCTCGAACCGGACTTCTCAGAGTCGGGCGTCAGCGTTGTCTGCTTGGGCGAACTTACCAGCACAGCTGGCTCGGGAAGATGCAGAGGCCAGGAGACGGGATGAAGAACAACACTCTGCTCGCTTAGAAGAAGAAGCTCGAACAGGTGTAAAGAGAGATGTACCCCAGCCTACATTCAAAGAGACATGGAGGCAAGTGCTTGTTGATAATAGTTCTGGACAGCGGCAAGTGGTTAGCTCAACAAAACAAGCCAACGAGGAGCATCCTTTGAAAACAGAGAGCAAGCATGGAACTATCGAAAGCGCGATATTCCCCGTCCAACCGAGTGCGAGCTCCGGGTCTGGATCAACTCCTAATGCCGTCGCGGGGGGCCGCGGGTCCAGATTTTTTCCTCAAGGATCATCCACCGCCCGCTCTACCAATGCCAGTCTCTCTACGTTCCGCCCAGGCTCTCCACCACCTCCTGAATCGTTTGGCCACCCGGCCTATGCAGGTGATGTGAACCGGCCTCTAGTTAGCTTGCCGATTCCAAAACCCATAGTGAAACTACCCCCACCAGCTGTTGTTCCAGCTACTTCTGTCGTATCAACTTCGCTGCCAAAATCTTCTGCCGCGAGACAGTCTTCAGAGTCGCTTCGTGTCGTACCTCAGCCGATCGCTAGTACCTCCACCTGGCAGGACAGATTCAATGGCCTCTTTGAGAGGAAACCGGTAGAATCAAAGTTTGTTCAGCTCAAACCTGCAGTCCCCGTTCCGCCGAAATCCTATGCACTTGCCGTCAATTCAGCTAGCAAGGCGCCCTTAGAGGTTGCCAGCAACAGAACTCCGGCCACGGTATCTCTTCCTAAGAAGGAAGTCGACGATCACGCATCTCACCTTGCCGCACTAAGGGTAGACTTCGGTGACTTCGTCTCCACGAAGCCAACGGAGGAAGCTTTGCTTGAGGAGAGGGAGTTCGGATCCATACCCATCGTAAGGGTGCCTCTCATGGCTCCTAGGAATGCCTGGTCTCCCGCCAAGCCGCCCCAAACACGACCCCGATCTCGGTTTCAAAAGTCGATTCAAGTCCAAAGTATTGAGCCTTTCTTACTCAATATCCACGATAAGGAGAACCAATCATCTCAGGGGTATTTCATTTCAGTTCGCCTGCCTGGCGAATCCACTACCAAGACGCAGATAATGCCAAGAGCTCAAGGATCTCTGCGTGAGCCAATTCGTTCAAGAAATAGCTCTGCAGGATATAAAAAGAAGCCTTTGCGGGCAAAGGAAGGCTCTGGCAATTCTCACGTGGGTAGATCACGTCGACCCTCCTCGCAGCGATCCACTCCTCCGACCGCTTCTCCGAAGCCTGGCTATAATAACTCCACTTGGGGTCGACGTGTATCTGGTGTGATGTCGTAATTGACCACGGAGAAAGTACGCAGAGAGAGATGAGATCGTTGATTACTGAAGTTCCTTTTTCTTTGTGTTGACCAGCAGTTGCTTGGAACTGGCGTACCTTCGAGCTGAAAATTTATGGGGAACTCCTTTTCTTTTTTTTTTTTTCTTGCACAATGGGGAAAACGATCGAGTTGGCTCGGCACAACAGACTCATACAGTGAGACATGACGCCTTACTCTAACAACTATGAGCTGCAGAATCTTTTTCCGGCTTGAATATCACCTCTAAGCTTTAGACTGCCATTGTCGCCGTCTATAGGCTGTTCGTATCTCTGGCGATGCCGTTACAATGGTCGTCATTTTACCCAGCGGCAGACTTCTTCCTCGCTTCAGGAAGATTTATTTCCTATTCGTATTTTACTGAACAACTCTTTCCGACCAACATCACCACCTTAGCTTAGCACCTTTCTAGTCTGGTCTGTAATGTAAAGTGTTTAGTTGACAAGCTCACGTGCACGTGGGCTATTTAATCACTGTCACATTTTCATATACTGCCGCATCGATAGTCCAGTTTATGTGTTTAGGCGCTTGTGCTTGTCTCCTTAGTAGCCACTACAGGCTGCATGGATTAATATAGTAGGCGGCAAAGGAATCTTTGCTGCTTTTAACTTTCTCTTCCGTGACCTAGCTTTGGAAATGAGACCCAAAAGCCTTGGATCTCATTCTAGATGTGCCATTGAGCTCAAATTTTAAAATGCTGGGGAGGTCGAGTGTAGACTTTTCTATTGTCTCTGATATATTATCAGCCATGATACCTGTATCTCGGCTCGACGACACTACCAGGCGCATATAGAGAAAATAAGACATTTACCTCTCTTCGAAGGTAACTCTTAAACATGACAGTGTGTCACGAGTACACAAAAAGGCCGTCCAGCAATCCGGGAAAAAATTAAATGAGATTGCGCTTTACCATTGCTTTGAAATGGCAAAAAAAGATTTGTTGGTATCTCTGCAAGTGCTCGCACTCAGATTCGAACTGAGGACCTCATCATTATCTAGCCTATATACTAGTGATGCGCGCTACCAACTACGCCATGCGAGCGAGTTGAAGCTTCCTGAATGGAAAAGCTGATTTGCTGCCCAGAATTAAGATATATAAACCAAATGTTGATGTGAGCTACTGTCATTCCATTTTGAAACAGGTGAGTGGGCGGCAAAAATAATAATGAGGATCTCTTTAGAATTCCTTTCTCGTTGGTCAATAATTTTACACAAATTATCATTTTAGGATAATGGAAAGGTATTTATTAGTAATTTTAATTCCTTGGTGAGGAGTGATATATAAAGTTTCTTTGAAGTTTGAAATTTAGTTTTACCTCGTGAATTGAAAGACGGCCTTCTCGAGGAGAGAATTATTTCTCCTGTACATAAGCTCGGACGGAAAATAATATCAGCGTATACGTAACATGACACCGTTTAAACGACAAGACTTGTTTTTCGACCAGCATTTGCTATTTGAAAGCCTTCCTTTTCTCCATGTTCAGAGCCTGAGAGGTGGTTCCTCGTGCATGGAGATATGCTTAGTCATCAGAATGTGCAGCTTTCCGGACCAAACTACCCTTGATGAGAGCAGATCTTCTGCGGAGCTTGCCGGGGATTAACCTTCCGCTGCGCAAGTTCCAGGACACCGTCTCGCATTTGAGCCTGAAAATCACGAGTTTTGGTCACAAGAAACCTAGCCTCACCTTCAGTACTATTGGCAAGAGCTCAGATTTTCATCCAGGCTATCTTTGATATGGCAGCTACTGCTGCAAATGGCGCTACTGCGCCTAACTGCACGTATGATATTTCATTGTCCCATTGCACCGAAACATCTGCTAACAGCGAATTAGTGTTTATGTATGAGTTTGATCCCGATCTACCCTTTCTTAAATTCGGCGTCAGGCAATCTTACCACTTCTGAAATATTACGGAGATTCTGGATCGTGCGCTTGCTGACGTACCTTATTTGGCAGGTTCGGAATCTTGAAGAGCGGATCAAGATCCCTGCGCTCACGGAAGCATTGCGGGAGATCTTCACGGAATATGGCAATGTGATTGATCTAGTAGCGAAGAAGAACCTCAAGGCCAAGGGACAGGCATTCATAGTCTTTGACAATCCGGAGTCGGCGGCCAACGCCATAGACGAAATCCAGGGATTCGAGCTCTTCGACAAACCAATGGTGCTGGATTTTGCTCGCTCGCGGAGTGATGCCGCGGTCAAGCTGTCCGGCGATCAGGAGGAATTTGAGACGCACAAGAGAAGAAGACTTGCTGAGAAGGGTGAGTTATCATTTGTTATCAAGTTCATTTAAGACAGGAAGAGGCCTTCCGTAGGACGTGCTGCTAATGCGGGCTCATTTCGCCAAATAGAACGGAAACAAGCACAAGAAGCGATCGATGCGCAGAAGAAACTCAAGCGCCCACCACCAGTCGCCGCAGAAGCTGGAGCTCCTCGACCTATTAAAGCCGCGAGAGGAGCAGGTCTCAAATCCACCACTGCCACGGCTGCTGTTGTTCCTGACGAATATCTGCCGCCCAATAAGATTCTCTTCGTCCAAAATCTGCCAGATGGATACGATGCTGACAGTTTGTCGGCAATCTTCGCACGGTTTGAGGGCTTCCGTGAAGTTCGTCTTGTTCCTGGTCGAAGGGGACTTGCATTTATCGAGTACGAGAATGAATCTGGCGCCATTAGTGCCAAGGAGAACACTGCGGGCATGGCGTTGGGCGATGAAAATAAGGTTATCAAGGTTACATACCAGAGACAATGAATGCTCGGTTTCAGTGCACTTTTTAAGGGGGGTTTCTTGTTTGATTGGCTTATTGATTAAAAAAATGCGCCATATGAAAGCTTTACGGTTAGGTGCAAAGGCTAAAAGAGTCTGGTTGTGTACATGATACCATAATTTTCAACTGACGAATATTTACTCGAAAACGCAGCTCTCCATTGGCACAACTCCGACTTAATCAGCATGTAAAGGGTACAAAAAATGCGGCAATATTCAGGGATCGCATGGTATCGTCAATGCTACTGGTATCTTTGGTGGAGTTCGCTTAGAAGATGACATCGGCATCTTCTGGGTCTCCAAGCAGGTCTGCGGTACCTGCGTGGTCAACTTCATCCTTCTCACTGACAGGGATGTCTTTCTGCGCCACAGCGTCTGCATTCTGGGCTTCGCGAGCCTTCTTTCCCGAGACCTAGAAACTGATGAGAAGCGCCACAAAGCAAAAAGGGTATAGAAGTCAAACCTTCTTCAGGCGGTAGAATTCTTCTCGTTCTAGTTCATCAAGCTCAGAGGTGATATCTTGATAAATTAGCAAAATCCAAGGATGTAACTTAAAATGACCATACACTTGATAGTTCTCTCTGTTCTAGGAATGATAACCTGTCATCTATCAGCTAAGCCCAGATTATAATAACATGGAATTGCTTACATGCTCTCTATTTGATTCAGCCTACAAGTTAGTAGCATATTGGGAAATGGATTTGTGGAAGAACTGACATAGCATTCACTAAATGCAATGTTAGTTATCGTTGTCACGGTTCAAGGCTCTATTACCATACCTCTTCGATTGACCACTTTGATCACTTCATCAAGGATGACAAACGCCGTCTAGAAATGTATCAGCCTTTGAACGTGGATCCTTAGACTGAAAATTACAAACCTGCAGGCTTGCTAGTTCGACCAACGTCTCTACCGCACGAGCATACGTCTCTCTGCATCGCTGTACTTGCTGGCCACCCTTTCCTAGACCGGTCAAGCCAAAATCATTGTTCCCCTCACTGGTGAAGCTTTCGAACTTCGGAAGAAGCACACCAGAGATGTTTTCCTGTTTTGTGCGAACTCGAAAACGAGCTGACTTGGCGGACTCTTGCACCTGGTAGCCGATATCACCACCAACAGCATAGGTGACTTCGGCAAGGGAAAATGCAGCAATCTGCATAACTCGACCCATCTTTCGCTTGGCCTCATCAATACGTTTTGTTATCTCTGAGTAGCTGTTCAGCATAGAAGCTAGATGAAGACCTTGAGATGTTGCATACCTCGAAAGCGCCTGTGGTAGGACCTGATCAGCCAATGGTCTTGACTTCGAGACTTCAATTACATACTTTGTTAAGGCCTCACTTTTACGCTTCAGCAAGTCATGGCCAGTCTGTGCACCTTTAAGCTTATTCTTCATCAAACCCAATGACTGCCGGGTTGGAAAGACTGCCTCCCGGTCCTATATGATATCACAGTTAGGTTCAACAATTGCGATAAGAGTATTGGATGGTCCTGAGCAACAAAACCTACACCTGCACCAGACATGTTGCCTAATTGTACCTAGGAAACACACAGCCACAAAACAAGATTTCTCTGAACTGAGGCGAAACTCAGAGAAGAATCACAATACTGTAATCACTTTGAACTCTGATAGCGTAGCTTGCCCAGACTGGTGGTGCACCTCCGAGAACGCCGGGTAATGGGAGGGAATAGTTGATCTTGGCGGAACCTTAGTCAGCCACGTGCATGTTTCACTACGCGCTGCGAATTGACGTCGAACGGCGTGCCATCTTTCATTTCTGGAGGACGAGCATCAATTAGTACTGCAGATCGCAGACTGCCAGCTTCGACACGCCCCTCTGTTCGAGGTCTTTCGCCATGCCGGGGGAGCTTCTGAGGCCCATGGAAGTCATGGACGTCCAAGATGGCCCAAGTCGCTCCAAGGGTGCATCGGCTTTGCCTGACCTGTATCTGATTGTGAGTCTCTTCGGAAGAATTTCTGCGCATGGAAATTGCTAATCAAATTCCTTTCAAAAGTCAACCGACGATACGGTCTATGAACAGGATATTCTCCGCGCTCCGGGGACAATTAAACCCTGGCTTTCCTATGTCGAGCACAAGTTACAGCACGGTAGCCTTCTCGAGCAGGCCTTCGTATGACCCCACCGAACCAGCCAATTCAAGTATCGCGTACTCACTCTTTCGCAGGTTTTGGAGCGCGCATGCTCTGAGCTCCCTCGGTCATACAAATTATGGAAGCTGGTACGTTTAATATCCTTTGGTGAGACGACACTTGACTGACCGCTACTTACCCCAGTACCTCGAGCTGCGAGTGAAACATCTTGCAAGGAAGAATCCTGCCAGGCATGCGTCTGAGTTCCTCAAGGTCAACTCTTTATTCGAGCGAGCTCTTATCTTGCTCAATAAAATGCCTAAAATCTGGGAGATGTATCTGTCCTTTTTGACGAAGCAACCACTTGTCACGACAACCCGACGAACGTTTGATCGAGCCCTTCGCGCACTTCCGATAACCCAGCATAATAGAATTTGGCTTCTATATAGACCATTCGCCAACGCTGCTTCAGGATTGACCGCGATCAAAGTATGGAGGAGATATATGCAGATACACCCGGAAGATGCCGAGGATTATATTGAATTGCTCATTGAAATGAGACAATATACGGAAGCTGTCCAGAAGTATATCGAGATTCTGAACAATCTTCGCTTTAAGAGCAAGCTCGGGAAAAGCCATTTTCAACTGTGGAGCGAGATGGTTGATCTTCTGGTATCAAAGGCGAAGGAAGTTAAAACTGGAGATGATTTTGGTATTGATGTCGAGAAAATTATCCGGAGTGGCATCGAGCGATTTGCGGATCAACGCGGAAAGCTCTGGGTTGGCCTTGCTACCTATTATATCACAAAGGGACATTTTGAACGAGCTCGTGATATATTCGAAGAAGGCATTACTACTGTCATGACGGTCCGCGACTTTACCATGGTCTTTGATTCCTATGCAGAATTTGAGGAATCAATTATTGGTTCCTTGATGGAGACTGCAGCGCTGCGTTCAGAGAAGGGCAAGGTTGACGAAGATGCCGACTTCGACCTCGACATTCGAATGATGCGTTTCGAACAACTCATGGATCGACGACCTTTCCTAGTAAATGATGTGCTTCTGCGCCAGAACCCTAACAACATTGTTGAGTGGGAGAAGCGCGTTGGTCTTTGGGGTGATAATAAGGAGGAAGTGGTCAGGACTTATACGAACGCCATTGCTGCGGTGCAGCCGAAGAAAGCTGTTGGAAAGTTCCACGATCTTTGGACCAAATATGCCAAGTTTTATGAGCAAGGCGGGGATTTGCTCAATGCTAGGGTTATCATGGAGAAGGCGGTCAAGGTGCCTTTCAAATCGGTTGCCGAACTCGCAGAAATGTGGTGCGAATGGGCGGAGATGGAACTTCGAAACGAAAACTTTGACAAGTCGGTCGAAATCATGGCCAAGGCTACCCAGGCGCCGAAGCGCTCGACTGTGGATTACTTCGACGAGACACTGTCTCCGCAGCAACGAGTGCACAAGAGCTGGAAATTATGGAGTTTCTACGTCGATTTAGTCGAAAGCGTCGGTACGTTAGATGAGACAAGAAAGGTCTACGAGCGCATCTTCGAACTGCGAATCGCTACGCCACAGACTGTGGTCAACTATGCCAACCTTCTCGAGGAAAACAAGTACTTTGAAGAGTCATTCAAGATCTACGAACGTGGTCTTGACCTTTTCAGCTACCCAGTAGCTTTCGAATTATGGAACTTGTACCTCACAAAAGCCATGGATCGCAAGATTGGCATTGAGCGACTCCGTGACTTATTCGAGCAAGCAGTCGAAGGATGCCCGCCCAAATTCGCCAAGGTCCTCTACCTTATGTATGGTAGCCTTGAGGAAGAGCGCGGTCTCGCTCGCCACGCCATGCGCATCTACGAGCGTGCTACCCGTGCCGTTTCAGACGAAGATCGTTTCGAGATGTTCAACTTCTACATTACCAAATCCGCTTCAAACTTTGGCCTTACGTCTACCCGACCCATTTACGAACGTGCCATTGCTGCGCTCCCCGACAAAGAGGCAAGAGACATGTGTCTCAAGTTTGCTGACATGGAACGTCGTCTCGGCGAGATTGACCGTGCCAGAGCCATCTACGGACATGCTTCGCAATTCTGCGACCCGCGTGTCTCACCAGGATTCTGGTCCAAATGGGAGGCATTCGAAGTACAGCACGGCAACGAAGATACTTTCAAAGAAATGCTCCGAATCAAGAGAAGTGTCCAAGCTCAATACAAGTATGTCTTCAATCTCCCTTTCCCTACCTCTTATCTTTATCCTTTCTCCTTTTCTCTCTTCCCATTTCCCTTATATCTACCTCTATCAAAACAATTCGCAATGAATTACTTTTGAAACTAACCTCGGAACAATCTAGTACCGATGTCAACTTTATCGCCTCTCAGGCTCTTGCCCGCAGCCAACAGCGCGCAGAAGGCGTCACTACCGCGGCAGGTACAGATGAAATTGACGCCACCACCGAAGACACCGAGCGTGCTGATGCCATGGCTGCTCTCGAACGCGTGGCTCGTGCGCCTTCCGGTTTCGTCCCCGCCAGCACGGGCCCAGAAGGCGGCAATAGAGCTGCACCCCCTGCCCCTCCTGCCGCTGCTGTCAATCCTGATGCCATTGACATTGGGTTAGACGATGAAGAGGAGTAAAAAAACTCCTTCTTCGACCCCAGCGTGTACAAGCTCCGCCCGCTCGTCCTTTTTCCAAATCATCACAGTCCTTTCTTTTTTTTTTCCCCTCTGGAACTTTCTCATGTGTTTTGTCTCGGTCAATTCACTGGCGTTTTTTCTTTTTCTTTCTTTCTCGTTTCTCAATTGGGAGTGCATGGATTCTGTTTTCGATTAGCCCTTTCTTTTCTTTTCTTTTCCCTTTTTCTTATTTGTTCAATTCTCTCCCTCTCTTCTGCCTTTCTTTTCTCTCATTCCCTCAACCGTTTTTTTTTGTATTATTCTTTATTGTCTTTTTTTCATTCTCTCCGCTTACACCAGATTCCTGTCTCTAAACTTTGTTGCGAGTTTCATCACTGCATTGATGCTCAGCAAGAGAAGCTACAGACTTTTGTTTTTTTTTGTTTGATTACTTGATTACATCCTTTTCTCTCTCTACTTCTTTATTGATTGATTCAGCGCCTCTAGCAGCGCCTTTGTATTCGCGCAAATGCACTTTGGGGGGTTCAATGGAGTTGTGCTTTAAGTACCCCGGCGGAAGTCGGGGATCCAATTTTCCTGTCGAGGGGGTAACATTCATGGCTCTGATAAAAGTGCACCGTGCTTCGAAATAGCGGATTGCCCCCTTTTTTCAAGTCGCGACGCTTTGACATAGGGTGCTTAACTGTTCAAGCTGCGGATGAGACACGCCACACAATTGGGCCAACCTCCGTTTTTGTCAAGGGTCATGAGTGTATTCTCCAGTGTATATAGTTTCTGATATTTCTCTGTCGTGTAAAGGAGCTAAAAATTCCTAACGCAGGAGAAGAAAAAAAAAAGAGAGAAAAAATAACAAGTAGATATCAAATCAGCCCTCGTGGTAACCAGAGAGTGATTGATCCATACTGTGTCAATTTAAGTGCCCTGACTTTGAACGAAGCGAAGCGATTTTGAAAGGAACGGCGAATGTGTGGGTGAGAAGGAAAGGAAAGAAAGTTGGTAAAAAGAAAAGGAATACAAAAGAAGTCCTTGAGACCTTAGAAAGCAAAGCATGATTAAAAAATTAAGTCAAAAAATGAGTTTCCGGATATCGTCAGAAGATGAACGAGATGAGGAGGAAAACACCAGTTCGTCGTCATCGCAAGTTGCGTTGCATTGCGTTGCCCCCACTAACTGTTATCCAGCCCATGCTATTTCAAGGTGCTGTTGTAACCGGCCGGTCCAGCTCGCACCGGTAATACTTCCAACGGTTCTGGCTATGCATTTATAACCATCCCTTAGAGCGCCATAATGTCAGCAATTAGCGTCCACTGTGCAGCACCTACTCAATGTAATGCAGGCGTGCTTTCCAGATAAAAGGGAAGTCCGATGAACGATAGAGAGGAGTTGTACGGCAGAGACATACCTTTTCCTTCAGCTTGTCAAAGAATGACTTATCCCGGTCCTGACGCCCAACATGGGCATCCCGCGAGCCTTGCGTGGCAAAAATACTGCCCTCTCGCTTTTGGAACCGTGAAGGTGGGACTTTGGATGCATCTAAAGCGACAGAAATTGTCAACGTTCTGCTCCTTTACGAACATAAAGAAATATCGTGTGAATGAGAAATTAGAGAGTCAAATGCCAGAAAGCCAAGACTGAAAAAATGGGAAATCAAGAAAAGCACAGAACCGGGTCGCAGAGATACTTACCCCATTCTTTACTCATTCTTCGATCCTGCGATTTTCGACCACCTGCCGGTGGCGAGCCGGCCATGTCGCCCAGGGTGTCTCCTGGCTCACGCTGAGCAGCAAAAGGATCCTCTGAGCCTGTAGACTCGGTCGAGGTCACTCGTCGTGCTGCTTCGCCGGAAATGTTCATGGGTTGTGCTCCAGGTTCTGCAGAGCTTGAAGGGGAAGCGACAAACTCATCGTTACCAGACGTGAGGCCGGTAGTGCCGGCTGCGAGCCCTGTTGCCATGGTTGTGTATGTAATGTATGGAAAGCTGTCTCACAAGAATTGGGTGAGATATGAAAAGGTGTCAGACAAGTCACACAGTCTTTGACGTGTTTAGACGTGTTTGGATGCAAGTTAATTTAGGAGTGAAAAGAGTCAGAGGGAGAAACGAGGATAAAAATGTGTTCAGGATCAAGGAATTGAAAGATGTTTATAGGTCTGATCAGACGTGCAAAAGTTGTTGAGGAGAATGTTGACTTGTGTGGTAAGGAAGGATGACGAAAGACGAGAAATCCTGAGAAAGGAGGTTGTCAATGGAAGGGATGATGGAGGGGGAGTGATGATTATGATAGAAGGATGAGGTGAAAGCTGGGGGGCGGGGGAAAGGAAATGTGTGGGGCCAAGAGCGAAGGGAGCAAAGGGAACGGATAAGCTACACTCATCTTCTCATCTTCTCTTACGTATGAGGGTATGAGGTAACGTAGGTGGATGCGGGAAAAGTATGTTTCAGGCTGCAGGTGGTTGTAATGGATGCGGAGTGATCTTAGCGTGCATGATAATATGCTGTGTCTAATGTGTGTAAACTGCAAAAACATGGCGTGGGCATAGACGGATGATGCAATCAAGAGGAGGGAGCTGATACCTTTTTCTTTGGAATGCATGATGTGTCCAGTGAGATTTTGAACCATCAGAACAACGATCTATCTAGGTAGGTATAATACTTTGTGCACAGCGATCAGTGAATTAATACTAATGCTACTCTGCACACATTCCCATTAAACCAACTACACCAAAAAGGCCCATTGAGGAACATAATTTACATTGGAATCTAAACACTGCATCGCCATCTTTCATCGCCACACTACGATCACCTCAAATGCTCGCATGATTGTTCCGCGTGCCCTTATCGCCAAGGCATTCTACGAGAATCAACATCAAAAGTCTAGACCCCACATAAAACATCCACGACCAAAGTAAAAAGTTCACCGTCATCTTCCAAGTGAACGAAATAGTGAAGCCCAAATGGGATTTCAGTCACGAGAGTTGAGAGATCCACACATCCATCAATACCCACTAATCGTTCATCCTCAATTGTGTCCAAGCCATGATAGGCTCGAAGCGGAACGATCTCCAGCACAGCCCGTGGCGGCTGTTAGATGGGGGCTTACGTGGACTCGATGCCAAGTAGATCAAAGTTGCGGGGAATTGATATACCTGGCTTGGCCATGTTGCGCTGCCACTGCCAAGGGCGCTGGTAGTGGCTTTCTATGAAGGGCAAATGACCGCAATGGGAAAGCATTGTACAGCCGTGTACTCCTTCCTCGTGTACATGCTTGTAAACCACCGCGTATCTTCTCAGACACCGTAGCTGGCAATGGAAAAGCCGCAGAGCGCCAAGTCCTCTGACGGAGCATCTAGTGAATTATAGGCAATTCTGAACAAGCTTCATGTAACCATATAAGGTGTAGCGTGAACATCCCAAGACGAAGCAAGTGACCTCGTAGCGCACAGTATAAGCTTTTACCCTTGGGTTCTCTCCGTGGCGGACAAAAAAGTCCCATACCCGATACAGAGGTGTATGGACCACAGCAATGATTCGTAGAAATAAACCAGAAATGGGTGTAATGGAAGAGAATTGCATTGGCTAACCATTAGCAGATTCGGTATGGCTCTTTCGATAGGCAGCCGTTTCTGTGGAGCTCAAACACTCAGTGACACCCATGCTCTCTGCCAGCATCTACTTGATTTTAATTCGCAGAATAGAAATCCTGATAAAAACGCTACTTGTCGCTAAATTCAAATGTAAACAGCGTGGAAGAAAAGCCTCTACAGCGGCGAAAACGTTGGATGATGTCTTGTTGTGTCAAGGAATGTGGGGTGATAGTCTGCTGCTGCTTATCGCTTTAGTGCCACTAGATAGACCAGGATCGTTTTGTGGGGAAGGAGTGGGGCCGCTTCTGTACACCCAGGCCCCCAATCGTCACCCGGCGATTCTGTGACACCTTAAACCAACGACGGAGCTCCGGTTGGCAGATCAACAAAGGGTATACATCCACTTGATATTAAAAGTATTCCTTATTAATGATATGTCAATAGCACATGGTGTGTAACCTGTCCAAGTTCACTGACGCAAGCAAAGCGAAAGGTGCAGTATCAATGATGCATTAGAGAGCAGAACAGATATCCCGTCCAATCCATCCTCATCAATAGAATTTAAAAATGTACACAAGAACATAAAGCTCCATATACTACATGCTCACCCATCAGCTTTCCGTCTACCTGGTCTATCAAAGCCGGTAAAACAGATAGCTGGCGGCCAAGTACAAGAGTATCGATGGATGACGGTATATCTAAAACGAGGTCTAGGCAACACAAAAGAAAACAAAAGGAAAGACTATCAGAGCATCGCTATATCGACACTTGATGTATATGTGAACATCCACAATCGAATAGAGCAGAGGAATAACACCTGACACACTAGATAACCCAAAAAAGGACGTTTTATAGATAAATGAATTCATAACGCCGCGATCAAAAATGCAGCAAACGGGAATCATAATGGAGGAAAATGTGACTTTAGATGACTGTCAAATCTGTGTTAGGAACAATGTCGTCACCATCGTCAGGAATTGGCTCTTCCTTTGGAGAAGGGACGACATCTGGCGTTTTAGGTTTCGGGCTGGATGCGGGCGGCGTCTGTATAGAAGAGTCATCTTTCTTCGTCGTGGACTGAGGCTTCTGAGCTTCTTCTGGGAAGAGCTCGGCGAACAGGTTAGGCATGAACCGTTCCAATCGAGCCCAGGTCTGAACCCAGAAATTTTCGCGATCAGGGTTCTGTGTGGGCGGGACCAGGAGGCCGTCTGTAGACATCACAAGTAGGATGTTCTTGAGGCTCTCGGGGACAGCTTCTTCCTGTAATTCATCGTGAGAAAAATATATATATATATATTGCGCACAAAATGGTAGCAACTTACCAGGTTGTCGCCTTGACCACTATTCATCAGCCGGTCCATGAGATCTAGGATCTTGAGCCATAGATCAAGCATACCCTCCCATTGGGCAAGACGCTCAAGATAATGCAAGAACACCCTGCACAGCAAGGTTGCCGCCTGAACCCTTGTCTCTCCCATCCCATGTGGATCGGACTGGTATATTTCTGGCTTCAACAGCCTGCCAATGAGCGGGAACAGCACCTCAGTGAAGATTGCTACCCACTCAATCTGGCTAGTCGAAGTTATCTGAGGGGAAAGAAGCGCTGGTTGAAGAATGGAGAATGCTTGGTGACGGACCTCGCGGCATGGGTTTACGCATTGGATAGTTACTGAACGGAAAATGGGCGACCAGTATGCCTTCCAAGCTTGTTGGTGTTAGTATTATACATCTTCAGCAATTCAAAGAGGAAACACACCATTGCTGCGATCTAGATGGGATTGTGTGATTAGAGAAGGTGCACGATCAGAGACAGCGTGCACTAATGAAATCGCCTTGACTCCTCGTGAAACCGCAGGAATAGGCCTATGGCGGATTAGCTTGCTTCACATCTAATTTAGGGAACTTTATCTTTCAAGCGTACTTTGGCTTTCCTTGTTTGGCGTTTTTGGCTTGGCGCGGTTCTCGATCTCGCCGTTGTTCAAGTGCAGCTCCAACACTTGCGGCATTTGCGAAATCATTTAGTAATGAGACCGCAGACTCATAGTTATCTGCTGTAATAGCTGAAGGCTCGCCTACGGTCACTTCTTCAATAATATCGAACACCCCGGCTGCCGCATCTTGAATCGAGTGAAGCATGTGTAAGATCGACCAAAAGTCGGGAGAATTGCTCATTTCATTGCGGAGTGCAGGCGGTCCTTGAAGACATTGCTTGATGCCCTTCAGGATTGGCAGAGCAGATTGCTCGAGATTGTCGCCGCCTAGACTCGAGATTGAGTGCAGGATGACAGGAGTGCGTACAAAAGAGTGCTCCTAAAAATCGTTAACGGGGACAATAACGCCCAAAGACAAAGAAGGCTTACATCGCTAGCGCGGAGAAGATTCAATAGATAATAAATTGATCTTGAGACAACCACGGGATGGGCGTTGGGGGCGTCTCGAACTACGGAATGTAGGACTTCAGCAACCTGAGCTCCGAGGTCTGCTATCGTCTCCTTATCCCGTAATGTGAGGACAGTAACGAGTTCCAGAATAAACACGACTCCAGGGTCATACGTATTATCCCTTGGCCGCCTTCGCTGCCCGTTTAGCTTGACCGGGCTTGGAGCCGGCATGTCAGGCTTGACTGAGATTACGGCAGGGGATGACTGCTCAGGAAGCTGTGAGAACAACGCCTGGACGAGAGATTTCAACGGCACCGGGCCAAGTGATCTGATTACAATTTAGTACGCTTAAAATATATCAAGGGGCCGGGAGAATCGATACCTGATGTTCGCAAAGATTGTCTCGATAGAACATGCCGTGATGCAGTCCACAGTGCACAGTGTACTCTCCAGCTCTTCATCAGATGGTTCTGGTGGTTCGTCTGCAGCATAACTCGAAAGATACGATGTAAAAGCAGAGAAAATTCCCATCTCAGCCGATCGTTCCCCGCGATCAATTATTTGAAGAGGATTCTGTAAAGGTATGGATGTGACATCTAAAACTTGATCCGAGGAGAGAAGAGAGGACGGTATCAGAGAGTTGACGAAAAGATTTAGCCATATTCGTGAAATCTGGATATTTGTCAGTCTACAACTTCCAAAAATTGCCCTGAGTGACACTCACGTAAGCCCAGCCGTTACGGACCACGCCTTCATTTCCAAGGACAACCCGGAAGAGGACAACTGTGGCCAGTTGGGCCTTGAAATCTCGACCAAACTTCACTGCCAGCTCGCTGACCATAACACTCTTTTCGCCAGCTTGCACTTCTGTATTAAGTACAGTGCTAGGTCGACTTTCAGTGGCGAGAGTGCTGATGGTACTCAAACAATAAATGATTTGGTCAAGCGCTTCCGTGAGTCCATATTTCCCTGCTATTCTCGCACACTGATCAAATCCTGTGACCACTCGCGAGAAGACTGTATCATCAGAAGCGGACATAAAGACGTAGGACAAAGTTGCTACAACTGGTTTCCAAGTTGAAGCAAACATGTCAGCATCGTATATGTTGGAATCGCAGAGTACCATTTCGCCGGAGGCGTCAGTCTTGAGGAGCAACTCTTTCCAGGCGTAATCGAACGCATGCTTATTATCATGTTCATCCGGCAAGATGATCTCATTATCTCGAATTGAGTTATATATCTCTTGGAGATAATTGGGTTCGAAATCCTTACCACCATTGACCCCTCGAAGATTTCTCGCAAAATCCGTATAGGACATGCGATTTTGCGACTTCACGTTGGGGTTATGCTGGTCTGTATTGAGCATGATGATTGCATATGTTAAGATGTAGACAGCGTCTTTATCAGCAATCCCCTCCGGAGGAGAGTTGGCGCAATATTTCTCGGAGAACACCGTGACAATTCGCTCAATTAGTGGCGACTCTCCAGGCAGACGGAAAGAATTCAACAACTCCCGCAACGCCTCGTCAACTCGTTTTCCAGCGAAGTTGAACAAATCTAAAAATGCACCTAGGATATGCTCATGTGACCTCTTTGAAAGATATTCGCCGAGGACCTTCTTAGAGACCCGACTGGTACCCTTCAGGAATGTGGCAATTGATGCAGGGTTATCCGCATCATTGATAATTCCTTGTGAGGCGAGGAACACAATACCGGCTGTAGGGTTTTCGTTGAATTTTGTTGCCCCACGGCTGATTATTCTCTTCACCTCCCTTTGCTCTCTCAGTTTCGTCCTATCCGGATACCCGTCCACTCGAGGCTCGTGCCCCAGCCGATCAGCAATGAACTGCACGTAACCCAGCAAAGCGTCTAGGCATAGCGGTGGAACGTTCGTGGTACTCCAAGTAGCCGAATCCGGGAAAGCATTCCTGGCCAGCAAGCCAACAATATCTTCGCAGAGATCACTTCGGTCGACGTCGGAATCGTAATTAAGAAAAAGCTCGACCATGAAGCTAGGGATTCTCGCCAACGCGCAAAGACATTCTACCATTGCTTCTCGGGCATCAGGTTTCCTTGTCCCGCCTTCTAAGCCAAGTTTCTGACGGTCTTTGATCGGAACTGGCGTTGATCGGCCGCTACTTGATTGTGATGGCGGAGGCTTTACCAACTTCGGAGCCTGTGGAACACCCTCATAAAGCTTCGGATCTATACCCGGTTCCCGAGGAATATCGACCCGTGGATGCAGACAGGCCACAAGATACGACAGAAACAGTTCCTGTTGCAACTTCAACGCCCCGCGACAGGTTGCCAACAAAGTCCCTGCAACTCGCAAAGACTCATTTAAAATAGCCATGTTATCAGACCGTACAAGCTGAAAAAGATAACGGCAAAGGTCATCCTTGGCAAGAGTGGTAAGACTAGGATGCCGAGCGATTGATGGCCCTGCCACTTCAAGTGCAACATCGATAACGCGGAGAGCCATGACCCTCATGGTATCTGTGTGCTGGCGATCTCGCGGATCAAGAAGGTCGACTAACACTCTGAATAGCTCACGGATAGATGGCAATGAATATGGCTTTACCTCAACTTCGCCTTCACCGGCCGCTTGAGTTACGTCGATAGCACTGCCATTAACGGAACCCTCTCCGCGGCTATCTGGGGTTTCCAGGCCGTCAGAAGAGGGCTCTTCTCGAGCTTTTTGAGAGAAGGAAGTGACGTTGTCTCCATCAACAGACGGCACCATCTTCACTGTATCCATGTCCTCTTTGGTGTCTTCATCCAACGCCTGCACTTCGTCCCCGGCTTCTCGTTCCAGATATTTCAGCCGCTCAAAGATCACCTGGCACATAGTAATCATGGACATTTCTGCTGATCGACGTAAAAGCTCCGAGAGACGTATCTGACAGCACATGCTGAGCCCTGTCTCCATCATTTCACATACACTCTCGTCTCCGAGTGTGTCGCCGCCAGGGCCAGCTATCATGATCTCCATAAGATTGAGAATACGCAACAGCACAACCTCATCGGCGGCAGAATCGCTGGCCTCGAAACGGCAGTGTGTTATCGCGGACGACAAGAGTTGCATGGCCAAAGGCAAACGGCGAGAGGTTCGACTTATGATGTTATATGAAAAAAACTTTGTGATCGCCACAAGTGCAAGGGAGGTGATAGGGGCCGACGTAGAGGATGAACGGATTACTTGTAAAAAGGGGTGCAAGAGGGCGGGCGTATCGAAGTTCCGGATATCTAGCACACCTTAGCAATCTGCCACAAACATAAAACTTCTTGACTGCTAACTACCTTTGCACCCTGCCAAGTCCGCCCTCAATTTTGCAAAGGCAGACATAAGGGGGTTGTCTTGGATACTCTTGCCTTTCTTCCCTCGAAGTCCCCACCTATTTGCTAAGCCAATCTCGTCATCCCCAGGAGTCCCAAGGAGTGGAGAATCCCCTGACTTCCCCTCGCGCCGACTACCTATAGAGCCTCTGGGTGTTGAGGGACGAGAGGTCTCTCGACCATAACCTGCAGTTGCACCTCCTAAGATAGCAGATACCGACGAGTGGGACCACCGAGCGTGTTTGCGCATTGCCGAAGTAACCGTGATACATTCCGTCGTTATCAAGGCTACTGGGTCTATAGCCACAGATATTGCTGTTGAGCGACTAAAAGTTTCGGGTATATTCAACTGGGTTGGTTGTGCTGGCGGCGATCTCGACCGCGCAGCAGTATCTGGCGATAATAATTCGGCCATTTCAGGTTGCGCTCGCTCGTCTGAAGTGTGAGAACTCAGATGCCCAGCATTGGTCAAGTCTCGTCCAAGAGGATCTTTGATAGAAGGTGCCTTCTCCCCAATATTGATGTGTCCAACCGTAACTAGGTCATAACTCATGCCTGCCCTATGGTACGGAAGCTCCCGTTAGTGATTTTGATTGCAGACGGCCACGAGAAGATCTTCATTCGATGAATGTAATAAGTAAGAAGCAAAGAAGAGAATTGACTCCTACTGCCTCGACAAGGTACACGCTCTCGAAAAGCATGTTTCGCGGGCTAGATAGTCGAGCTCCTCACTCAAAGCCACATGGGGCAGCAATGTGCGGCAGCTTGCGATCACCATTGCGAAATATATCATAAAATTGAGAGGCGCAAGTAGTCAATGTGCTTTGGGTGCAAGGAAATGTTCGGAACAGAGTTAGGGGCGAGTCTTGGGGTTATGCTCTTCATTGAACAGACCTGCGTAGCTTGTTAAGAGCTCTGTCGTCTGAGCTCACACTGCTCTCAATGTCAATAATGGAGAATGGCCCGCAGCTTCGGACAAAACAAATGCAAACAGAAATTTAGTACCAAAAATGAAATAGAGACAATGAAAGAAATCAATATGCGAGGAAGGGAAAGGGCTCCCTGGACTGATCTCGATGCTGCAGACACAAGCCTTCTAAGATGCAGCCTGTCTGCTGCTTGGTTCCGGCGTGATGCATCGGGGACGGTTACGGCACAGTATAGGGCCCAGTTCGGCTCAATGACAGATGGCCGTACCTCCGCAATGCTCAGAGACCACCGACTTATGGATGACTAAGCAACCTCTAGAAAAGGGGCCGACACTGCAGTGAGATAGAAAAGACAAACAATCAAAACTGGACACGAAATGTCGAGCATTATCTGTTTTTGAAATTAAGTTCAGCTATAAGCTGAGTTGTCGATTTTGGCTGATTTTCAACATTCCGATCAATATCGAATACACAGACAACTCAAAAAATACGACCATTAAAAATAGGTATAATTGTTCGAAACGGAGGAGGAAAAGCCTAAGGGCTATATATGAGACGTGCGCTATTGCAGATAGACGATGCATTCCGAGAAAAAGTATAAAAACATTTTAGATGCTGCCAGATCCCTCTAAGACTCCCGGAGAACTCCTCAACAAATGAATCAAGACAACTCTCTCATTTCATCAAGCCGGTACTGCGTTTTGATCCTAACAAAAACTGAAGTTATTTTCATGGTCACCGAAAAGAAATGAGATAGAGAAGCTTACCGGCTGTGCTTTGGCTTGGTTAGGCTGGCTAGCATCTGTGCCACCTTGACTGTTATCTTCTGCTGCTTTCTTATTTTCAGATTCTTGACCAGCGAGATTTTGAATATCTGCCTTGTCTTTCTCCCACTGGTTGTTCGTGTCAACAAACTGTTCTTTAATCTCCTTAGCGCGCTCGGCCTGTTCCTTTTCTTCTTTCTCGCGCGCGATGCGTTCCATTTCCATTTCCTCCATATGCCTGATGTCGTCGACACTAGGCTCATACAAATGCCAGATTGTGTAGTGGGGAAGGCCAACTACCGAGAATTGCATCCGTTTTGCCATCTAGTCTCCAGTCAGTAGAATATTCAAATATTTAAGTATCGAGACGTACTTTTCCAAAACCCTCAGTCTCCGCGTGTTTTTCAAAGCTGAATGCAGGGAAATGGACGCCTGCTCGGAAGACTCTCGCCTTCGAAAGGATACTGACGCCTCCAACTCCGTCAATATCCATCTCCATATCCGGGTCGCCATAGGGATCTCGCAGATAAGCAAGATGTGGTCTCCAAGTTGCGTATTCAGCATAGCCCTCAACAATGACAGCATCCTCATCAAGCGTTTCCGCTAATTCCAGTGCCGTTTCTGACTCTTGCCACGAATTCAAATCGTAGGGCTGCTCGCCGCCGAGCCAGTCTGGAAGAGGCCGCCACACATCTGAACTGGGTATAAGCGAGATGCCCTCTCAATTTTGCAAACTTTTACTTACTTGGTACGATGACGTCCTTGTTGTGGCGCATTAGATCCTCGAGGATTGTGACAGGTGCAGTCTCCACATCAGCATCGCGCCAGTAGACCCAGCTGTGAGTGGGACGAAGGGCCGCACTCAAAAGCCAATTTCTGGCCTGAGCCATCAACTTCCTTCGGCTCGCTTGAGCTGCAAAGCCGTGTCGACTTTCGACATCTTGATTGACTTTTTGGCCAAAATCCTTCTCAATGACGGAAATCTCCCCGAATGGCTGTTTGGGGTCCGGGTCATTCTGAACGTCGTTCAACATCTGTGAGAGCATTTCAAGGGTCCGGTCCTTGGAGTCGGAGACTAGAAAAGCCAAATCGATCAAGTGGTGAGGATAGGTGAAGTTGCGAAGATGGGAGAAGAACATGGGAAGATGCGACTCAGCGTCCCGAAGAGGGGCACATAGCAAGATCCTTTCTTCCCGTTCCCAACCTCTGGCGCTGCCCTGCATGTTCGACAAGTCATAATAGCGAACAGTCTCCAGCTGAAAGGTTTCGGTCGTGGACATAAGTCCGAGTGAAATAGATGGAAGGATTGCGGATCGGAGAGAAGGGAAGAGAAGCATGACTATGATTGTGGAGCAGACGCATATTATAGCCAATCGCACCATAAGCTGTTTCCGTCGGCGATAAGCAGGCTGTGATCTGGGCTGGAATCTGCGTTGGGGCCTTGCGTCAGCAGGGTCATCACCATCAAGAAAAAACTTTACTAGGAAGACGTGAAGGAAAATTGATTATGCAGACTAGGATGCATACCGATGCGGAGATATTGAAAAGGTCCTGCTCTCCTTTTCGACGTAGGCCGAGTGGCCATTTGCATAACCATGTCGATTCATCTTCTTTGGGGAGGCATATGTAGGAAGCATTAAGTGCTGAAATGTTATAAGTCGATCAGCGATGGGTCCAGCGATCGAATCACTGGTAAGATTTTGGAGGAGCGCTCCTCACCCCCAGTGAAACCGGCGACAGTAACGATGGAGTTGCGTATGTCGACGGGGTGAGATGCGGAAGAGGGACGTAGCAGCGTCCGCAGGTGGAAGAATCGACGTCCTCTGGCGTGTCCACTCTCTACGGTCCTCACAACAGCCAATCTGATGGGTCGTAGGGAAAAGAGAGAGGAATCTCAAGGCAGATGCTTGATGAGTGCGTAGTAGCTAGATCTTGCCCATGCCGTTGTCGTTCGTACTCGTACTCTGCTCGTCCCTAATGGCTTTTGGACCCGGAGCGACCTGTTGGAGCTTGACCAGCCAGCAGTTTACGGGGCAAATGATTTTGCTGGGGAGAAGGTACTAGCAGGTACCTTAGCACCTGTCACAAGGGGCGCCTTCGGGCGGTAGCCAGGTGCCGATACTTATAGCTACATTTTGCTGGATATAATGTCGATGTGTTCTCCCGAATGCGGGATAGCGGGCCGGCAAGCTTTCGTACCCCCTTCGCGTAGCCTTCCCAATGCGGTAGATGTTATCTTCTTCCCGAAATGACTAGGGCACCCATATGGTCTCTGTCTCAGCCAGGTCCATTCAATCGACGGTTTCATGTCAAGGACCCCTCGGACGATCCCAATCAAGCACTCAATCTGCGCACGCGGCAGATGCAGTGTACCAACCTTTCCTCGCTCGTATAATTACCTTATGCCGATTGATGTTCAACTATGAAATTGAAATCAGCTAACTTGGCGATATTCAAGATGTATGATTTATTCAGAATTGATCAACATGCCCTGCAGGTCAGACACTGATGTCGCAAGAGACAATCAATGGCTGCGGCTATCCCAAATCAGCGGGTAGCGATTCAGTAAAGTGTAACATGAATCATAGAACCCCGGAAATGCCATTTCTTTCCAGGTTGGTAGGGCCGGCCTCAAAAGATGCCGCTTGCCAAGCCCTTGCATGATGTACTGTCTGTATGGAAATATTTGTGCGACTTGGTATGATGTGAAACAAAGGTGGGCAAAGCTGGGCACTTTGTGGATGATAAACTTCAGGAGAGGGCCGAGGGTTCGATGCATCTGGTAGTGTTATAAAATTCTGAGCTCGAAAATTACATCACATATAAACAAATAATGTTCAATTATTTCAGTCATATATTCTCATATATTCTCCTATCAATTTCTAGACACTGCATACAACAATCTGTACCGAGTCAGCTTGGCGACCTTAAGCTAATTTTATGCATTCTGAATGCAAGGGTGCTCAGAAAAGCCAATTTACTCAAGCTTTTCTGCCGGCCAGAGCCACACGTGGCCCAAGACGGACCACGTACGTCTCCAGCTCTGAAGCCAGCATGACGCGCACGACGCCCACGACACGAATGCCGTAGGGCAGACGTGCCACAACTCCACAACCTATCCTCCCACATCTACATTATTGTAGACAGGTCCGGTGCGGGAGGGTGGCTCGGCACAAAAGCGTTCGTTGAATGGATAGACTGTAGTCATCACAGCACCAGATAAGCAAGGAAATTTTGCCTTGTACTTACACAACGTTCCTATAATACTGTATGCAATTAGCGCTTGATCAACAACCGCAATTGAAAGAAAAGAAAGAGAATGAGATGAAGGTCAGAAAAATTGGTAAGCTGGTATATGGTTGTCTTCAATTTGCTTCAGTAGCAGAACTGATTGAAATATACTGTTCATCACACGGTGTTTATGGGACAAGGTGAATAGCGAGAAGATAGCTTACCTTGAAAAATAATAACATTTAAAACTGTCAAGAAAGCACTGTAGCTACACTGATGACACGTTAGAGGCCATATTCCGAAAATCGGTATTGAGTACCAGGTATGAGTTGAGAAGGTGTCAGATGGTAGTGCATGTTGTTCGAAGGCTCATTGGACATCGCCAAGAACGTGTTTGTGAGAAGTTTCCTCATAAGAGAGTCGAATCAGAAACAGCGATGGCGACTTACCTTGTTTATTGTTAGTCAAAGAGAAAAAACTAAGCATCAACTATTAAGAAAAATTTTCTTCATTGAGACTGGAGGAGCCTTGTAAGCTCTCGAACTGTGAAGAAGAAAAGAAGGAGAAAGGAACGAGGAACAATTTTCTGTTGATCTAGATATCTCGGCATCTGCCGCAAGCGAGCTTTAAGAATTACCACTCGCGGTTACCCTGCAGGTCGTTGAACATGCATCATTTTATTTTGCTTTAGAATTGCTATTCAACATTGGTCAATTTGCCATTTTATAAAATCGACAGTGTCGCAATGGCAGCAGATAGAAGAAGAATCAATGGACCGCCTGGTGGCACAGCTCCACCATACTTTGCTTCATCAGTTCCTGGAATTGGCGACACGCCCATCGAACGACCTGTTAGAACGAGGCAGTCCAACCAGTTACGGAAAATCTGTAGGCGCATTTGGAACCGTAATTTTTTTTTTTTGTTGAAAAAGCTGGCTGACTTGACCGGACTTGCAGTTTTGAAGACTGGCCTTGCGCCTTCTGCTTCTGGTTCCGCTTATATTGAGCTTGAGCCATCATCACAAAATCATTCGCATTCGAAAACCTTGGTCACACCTTCGTCCTCTCTCAAATTGACCTGCACAGTACACGGTCCTCGGCCACTTCCCCGATCAGCGCCATTCACGCCCCATATACTCTTGTCTACGCATGTCAAGTTTGCTCCCTTTGCTGCTCGTCAGCGTCGCGGATATATTAGGGATGCTAGCGAGCGCGACCTCGGGGTACACCTTGAGACTGCTTTGAGAGGCGTTATCATTGGAGATCGTTGGCCGAAAAGTGGCGTTGAAGTGGTAGTCACAATCCTTGAAGGCGAAGAAGATAGGTGGTGGGGCGACGAAGCTACCGGAGGAAGCACTGGGATCGGAGGCGTCGGAGGATGGGGCATGATGAATGTCCTCGCCGGGTGTATCACGGTTGCATCAGCTGCAATTGCAGATGCAGGAATTGACTGCGTTGACCTCGTTTCCGGTGGAGTTGCCGCTTTGGTGGGCAGTACGGCGCCGAGTGAGAAGGCTGATGACGCTGCGGACAAGCGGCAGGAAAAGATGGTTGTGCTGGACCCGTGCCCTTCCGAGCATAAGAACATTATAGCTGCATGTGTGGTCGGCTATCTCTTCGCAAGAGACGAGATTACGGAGTTGTGGCTTAAAGGAGACATGCCCGGAACGGCCAACACCAAGGAAGGCGGCTCTGGTGGCATATTGGAACAGCAGAACCTCATTGACCATGCGGTTGAAGCAGCGGCCGCTGCTCGACTTGTCCTCGGGGATGCCGTCAAGGAAGCTGCGGAGCTGAAACTACGAAAGAATGCCTCGTCGAAGCAAAACACTTCCACACAAGACCGGAGTACATCCGTTGATGTAGAAATGGGTGGATAACCATTAACATGATTGTGCTTCCATTTCATCCGCACTCTTCTTTTTTTTTTTTTCCCCCCTAATCCCCCTTTGTTTTTGTTTCATATCCCCCCCTCATCTTTTAAAATTCAACTTCACAAAGCATAGCGACGGCGTTATTAAAACGGACGGATGGGGATTTTTTATTTTCAGATAAAAATACGAAGAAATTTACTTGCAATATTCCATATACAAATCCTCATCCTTTCTACCTTATCGTTGAATTGGCTGCTCCATTTTTCTAAGCCTACCCTATAGATCCTATCAAATCTGGCAAGGTACGTAGCCTAAGCAGGAGCTTCAATGACCGCTCTAGGGAAAATCAATCCACATTCAACATCTCCGGCGCGGCGGCGCAGCATTTGCGCATGATTTCTCATCTGAAATCAAAACATCCCCAATCAATACAAAATATCTTCGGGGCTTTTCTGCCTTCCAACACTCTGCAAGAATTTCATTCCCCGGGAGAGGCCATGTTCGTTCAATGTCTCTGCTTACATGAAAAGTTCAAAACTTCAATATATCAACAGCACTAGTAGGCTAGTAGCACTACCAAACTGCAGGCACCCGCACCTCCATACCAACAACAAAGGCTCGCCGAAACGCATTTGTAACAACCCGAAAAGCCTTTTCACGGAATCATACATCTCTTCTTGCTTCTAGAAAAGTCTTTTTGACGCAGTATTTTCACTTGAAATTTTTGTCTTTCTCTCGTTGCCCTAAAAGAAATATCAATGGACCGATATGCAGCTTAGCGCTCTAGTTTCCCATGTCAAACAGTACGGCTGTATGATGTTTCTGCTCAGCCACTTGATGCTATGATTTTGCACACGTTTGTTAGCCATGCTGCCATCGACATCTCTGAAAACTGTCGTATTTGTTGTGGTCCCGCATTTCTCGCATAGCCAAGTTTGACTTCACCTTTCCACACGACGTGTTTGTTAGAAAGTTAGACTGGACTGCCATGCATGCACACTATATTTCCACGGTCCATCATTGACCTCTTGAGCCCTACTTGTCTTTCTCTTTTTAAGCCCTCACATTCACGTATCACTTGCAAGTCAGGGCGGAAAGACTTTCGACGCTTTAAATCCCCCACGCTCTCACTTATTGCCAGCTATCAGGAATCACTCACTTAAGGAAACATACGACGTGGATGACATTTCTCAGATTTCTTTTTCTCAATTAACTAAATGACATTTTCATTCCACATCTTATCCTTTCGCCACATCCAATCAGAGTTGGTGTAGAAACACTCTGCTTCTTCATACTCTCACCAGTCAGGCCACTCAAGAGTATCCCCGTCCTTTTACATCCTCAGGTAAGACACTCTCCTCATCCTCATCCTCATTTTTGAAGCCTGACAGACTCTCATATTCTCAGGCTCAGTGATACAGATATTTACATCTCCATCTCATATCACAACCCCTCTCCTTATCAATACGCAATCAATAAATCAATCAAAAACACAACATGCCTCCCAAGCTTCAACTTGACGAGAATCTTCTCTTCCTGTACACTTGTCTCCAGCACTCCGACTACAAAGCAGTAAGTCCTCAATCCCCTGTTCTGGCCCAGTCTCCAATATCCATTCATCCCCGCATTCCCCAGCGACCTCTTTGCCTGTCCACACTGACCCTCCACTCATTGCTTCTTCCCTCTTCTCTATAACCATTACCCACACCTACAACTTTCAGCTTGAGCCTCAGCAATCCCTATCTTTCCATCCGAAAAGTTATTTATCCAAACCTAACGACCACGCCGCATCCCGCGGCACACGCGCACACATAGATCGACTTTTCCAGCGTCGGCGAAGCAATCGGGCTGAAAGCACCCGCTGCTCGCATGAGATTTACGCGGCTCCGTAAAGCCATTGAGAGCGGAATCTCGACAATCGGAACTGCTACCCCCGCTTCTCCAGGTTCTTCTTCTTCTTCTTTTTTCGTAAATGAGGATTTGAAAAATTCCCAAAATCCGCAAAACCCTCAAGATTCCAAGAATTTCAAAGATTCCAAGGGCTTTACCACGGGGCAATATTTCCGAGTCGGCCACAACCACGACCCTGAAGGCGGAACAGAGAGCAGCAACAACAGGCCCAAACTTAAAAAGAGAAAGAAGCAGGAGCAGGAGCAGGAACAGGAAAGTATTTCTGTAGCGGCTTTTGAAATTAACAACAACAGCATTGCGTCCCGCATGGCCACGAATACGCGTAGACAAAAGACACCCAAGGCCACGTCGAAGCGGTCGTCTGGGAGAAAATTGGAGCCCACAGAGGATCTAGATCCCATCCAGACTCGAAGCGGGAGCTCGATTCAGCGGATTCCACCCAGCGGAACGGCAGAATATAAATACAAAGCGGAGGATCGATATGCGAGTGATGCCGAGTCGGATACGGAAATGGACGTGGATGCGGATCTCATGCAGGAGCAGGACGTTGATACGGAAGGGGAGGCGGAGAGAAATGTTGGCTTTGGAGATGAAGAAGGAGGAACCGCGGGGTGGATTACATACGAGGGGAATGTGGGCATGAGCTCAGTCGGTGAAGGAGTTTAGGTGATAGGGAAGCATCGAGGGAGTAGCATGAAACAATCAGGTGCACGCTCATCATCGTCGTTGCTCATTCGCAGCTCAAAGCCATTGAACATTGCTTGATCCAAACAAGAGGATATCATATTTAGATAACGACGACGCTTAGGCGTACGCTAAGTTAAGTTAAAAGGGAGATTGAAGAAAATGAACGCTCAAATAAGATAACGAAACCTGCTCTCCCTCCGTCCGTCACGCTTATGTATGTGGCCTTCTTCTGCCGCCGCAAAATCCCTTTCTTGAGTTTTACGGCTCCCAAACAAATGCTCGCCTGATTCCGACGGAGTGTGGTTGTAATTTGCATCCAATGATGCGCTTCTCCTTGCTAAAGGTATCGAACGGTCCGTTGTTTCAGTCCGAGCCCCTGAGTTTCCGACATTCATTGTAGAATTTTGAACTTCTAAGGGAATATAGTCCGCTTTGGACTGCTCATCTAATTTCCGATTCTCTCGGAGCAGCAGCATTCGTAGCGTTACTGCGAGAAGAGCAACGAAGAGCATGAATCCTGCACAGATGCTCATACCGCGCAGATAGAGCGGTCCGTCCTCGTCTGGGTAAAGTCTCGTTCCGATAAGGGGCCCACATTGGGCAACCACGTTCAAAATGGTCATGCCCATGCCCTTCTTAACCGCGGAGTCTTGATTATTGATTGTCCAAGCGATAATGCAAGTTATCGCGGAAAAGAACCCAATAGTTGCGGGATACACGGCTGCATATCGCCAGCCTGCCGACCACCCGCGCAGACCTGCCACAGTAATAAGAGCGTATCCGAGGAAGCTCAGGAAGCTGTGGAAGATGATGAAAATGCTCCGGTTGTGGAGACGATCGGACAAAGTTGACGTTATCAAAACGACAATGAACGAGAGGAGGTATGGCGGAGCAGCGAGCCCTTGCGCGGAGAGCGAGGAATAGCCCATTCTACAGTCGCAAACGGTTAGATCGACAGTTTAGACATTACGGACTATGTCAATCTTCACAAAAAAAAAAACATACTCTGTGAGAATGGTAGGAAGGAAAACGGGCATAGAACTGAATGCAACGTTGCAGCTAAACGCCATCAACTAGAATGTCGCCAGAATATTAGCTATACCCATTGAAATCTAAGTGTGAAAGCTCAAAGAGCAGCAACCCAACTTACAGCTGGGAGATAGCATTTCGGGTCCTTGAGTATCTGGACAATTTCACCCCAGCTGGGGCCTTTGTGAGCATCCTTGTCCTGAGAATCCGAACCCTGCTCACGCCTGAGTCTCCATTCTGCTATTCTTCGTTGCCGGCGGTTCAGGAATTTTGCTTTTCCAGGTCCGTCCGGGAGGCAGATATATGTGAATGCCGCGGCTATTACACTCGGAAAGCCTTCAATGAGGAACAGTAGTCTCCAGGGAGCAATGGGGCCATTTTTCGCGGCTCTGGTGATTACCCAAGCCAACGTTCCGGCAAAAGAGGTCGCCAAGGGCGCTGCTGATATAAAGAGACCAATCTTCTGGGCAAGCTCGTCGCGCTTGAAGAAGAATGATAGGTAAAATGGGACACCGGCAAACGCAGCTTCGCCAATACCGAGAAGAGCTCTTAAAAAAACCAAAAATGCAAAGGATGTTGCGAGAGATTGTAATGAAGCTATAATTCCCCATGAGAGGACGCAAACGGCAACATAGATATGAGCGGGAACAACACGGTATAAGAGTGTCATCCATTCGAAAGTAATATATGTCAGGTAAAACGCCGTAAGAAGCCATTCATATTGGGCGGAGTCGAGATGAAGATCATTTGCAAGACCGGCAATTCGAGCCTAACAACGAAGGAGCGTTAGATGGATGACAATTGATGATATTTGATTTTTCGCGAGGGTACAATTTACATTTCCAATATCTGGAATTGACAGTCAGCAAATCACGTCATGCTTTTGCATTCCAAGTCCAGTTATTCATGTGTGGAGAGAACTCACTAGAACGATCCAGAAAACTAAGCATATAAAGAAGAGCAGAGAATGCTACCAGCCGACGATTGAATATTCGCAAGATTTCGTTTTCCTCGTCTGGTGTATATAGAGTAAAACTGTCGGCTGAGCTTACGCTTAGCCTCTCTCTTTCATCGTGTTCATGAAAGGATTTTTTGAAATATTCATCGTCAGGTTCATCATCATCCTCGTACGAATGGCGCGGTCTCAATGTTTCGCCTGAACCAGGATGCTCCGTCTCTTGAACTCTGTGGTCGAGGCTTTGCAGGGGCAATCCCTGTGTCGCGCCCTCGTCGGCATTTACAAGGGCCTCGTCACTCGAAATATAGTCATTATTGAGTCGTGACATGTTCAATTGGCCGGTATGCCGGACGTGCCAATTGATGCTGTGTCCAAGGCGGTCGAATGCCCCGTCAACGCAGTGGGCATTGGAGTTGCGCACTTGTATATGCTGATCGAAAGGTGTCACAGGACTGAGCCATTCCTCTCAGAGAAGAACGTCCTCTTGTATCACAGGCAGCGGAACGTGTTCAATGCTAGAAGACAGGACCGTCAAATATTAAATTTGGACGTCGACTTGGAGAGAGAAACTTGCGCAAGTCTAGACCGCACCGGCAGCGAAGTTGCTGTCGGATTGGAGTAGGAGCAGGCTAACCCTGTTTTAATACAATACAATAGCAAAAGCTGGGGTAGCTTTGGGTCAGGGTCCAAGAATGCATGCAGCGAGACTTTCCCCTAGTGAACTAGGTAAGTTACCTATAACGTATTTCCCAAGCGACCCGGCCAGGCAGAATTCTATACAAAAAATGTGATTATATCTCAACAACAATTGTAGTTTTTAAATGGATATTTCTATCATGGGGTCTAGAGAACTATTTCAGCTGGATATCTTGTTTATAGGAAGTTTGTTCAATTTTTTCATTCAAAAAAAATTTTATATACTATTTTTAGTATCAAATATATATAATTTGAGAAATAAAATGCAAAACAACCTAAAAATATTTAAGATGATTGTCATGTGATATATCTACCCTAAGAGAATCAAGTTACTCAGTTTCAACTTAAAATAATTCATTGATGTTGAGATATGAAGCTTGTAAAATTGTATGAGATATCTGCCTGGCCGCAGGTGGCCGGGTCGCTTGGGTGGCCGGGTCGCTTGGGAAATACGTTACTCTACCCATAGGACATTAAATACCTTACCTACACTTCCCCCACCCTCCCCTTGCAACAGAAGCCGCGTCAATTAGGGGGAATACAAGCACTTAGCGTGGGGAGCGGGGTATGGTTAGCCTTGGCTATAACTAACCCTAGTATATCTTGGCAATGGCAGCAGATCAACTTCTCAAATCACCGCAGAACGTTAGGTAGCTCTTCAGTTCAACTTATAAGTTACGTATAATTGTTTGAATAAATTGAGCACAGTTTATGATTGTTCCTCTCTAGCCATTGTACCAGCTCCTTTCGTTTCATCTATTCCATCCTTTTCTAGTTTCCATCCAAAAGGCAAAAGAGCACTGCTTAGCGACGTTCCATGCTTGGCGATCCGCAAAGTTTTTAACGTAGACACAGGAGCTGAAGAGATCACAGAAGGAAGGAGCCTCGGGGACAAGTTGTCGACGTACTCGTACGCCGTATAAGCCAAGCCAAGCATCAGTAGCTCCCCCACGTTGTGGTTTCGACTGAATTCGGACAAAATCGTGGAGATTGTTTTCTGAAGCAATTGCAAGCGAGACGATGTTGCACGCGAGGAAAGCGGTGGGACATCTGAGAGGAAAGGTTAGCCGACTTGTATATCATTCTCCAACATCCTGTCCCACGAACTGCGTCAACAAAGATCATCTTTTGACTCCTCCTCCTCCTCCTCCTGCTGCCAACTTGCTCCTAATCATGATGGTAGTCACAATGATCCATGTGTTGCTGCCCACGTACCATAAATTATTCAGTCAATGGCATTGTAAACTCGGGCAATGGCTCTCCCGGCAGTTTTGACCACACCCCGTTTTGGAGAATCCATGCGCGTTTCTCCACGCATTTCTGACACGGTTCCCACTTAACAGTCATGCCGAGGTATGCATTCTTGATCACTGCACAGTCTATATTTCTCGCTTGTGCGAGTATACACCGTTTCACTGAGCCCTTGTTCATCTCGTTGTTTGCCTCATCATGTGGCTTCTTCACCACCGGATGACCACACTTGTATTTTTCACTAGTCATAAGAACACAACACATGGTTGAAGATTGACGATATAAAGGGAACAAGAAATAGGAGTATGATTATAGCTGCAGAACAATTGTCAGCATTGAGATTTGAGATTTGTGAGATTTGTGTCTTCTGAACGTGATCAGCAATTTGAATTAGGATGAAAGAGATGAGATGAGGAGCGTCCAGTGAACTTGAGTCATCTATTGCGTATGACTAGCCTCAAAGATGATGCAACCACTTTGAGAAACTGACACGTCTCTTTTCTTCACTCGCAAGAATTTTTACATACATCCCGCTTTCGACAGAACAGCTTGTTTTTCAGCTCCAACCACGCGAAAGCAGACAAGGCACATACCCATTTGAGGACACGAGGAGGTGAAGATACAGTCAAGTAATTATGCATTCCCCTTCTCATGCATCTGTTGCTTTCACATTTGAGGAACTAATCATGCCGCGACTTGCACAGACGTTAACAGCAACGCACCCTTTCCCCTTCCAAAATGGAAGAGGAAGGGCCCCGTGTCAATAGCTATTTCGTCTCGCCATTCCCATCTATCAGCATTCTGGTCGACAGTCCAGATGGAATTGCTGGAAATGTAGTTGGTTTCGGGACCGCAGTCGTCGTTGGTCTCTCTGCAGACATCGCTTTCAAATTTTCCCGTCGAATTAGACGTGGACCTTGGGGCGAAACCAACTTTAACCAGGCCGAGATTGAGAGGAAAGAGGATTTGGAAGAATTGATTCGACGTGAATCCCAAAACTATGCAGTACTTTCAGCTGCCTTGAACATGCATCCCAATCCCAATATCCTTCAGCCATGTTTCGCTGTGCCCGAGGGGATTTTGATGCCACGTCTGAAGGCCAGTCTCCAGTCTCTGCAAGAAGGTCCCGATTACATTCACACCACTTTCCACCAGAGGCTACTTTGGGCCAAACAAATTGCTAATGGGTTGGCCTGGTTGGAAAAAGCCGGATTTGTTCACGGTGACCTGCGCCCTGCAAACATCCTCCTTGACAATCATGGCAATGTCGTCCTCGCCGACTTTGGCAGCTCAGCTCCGTACAGAACGGCTCAGGTTACCTGTGCTGATCTGTACTACCCCCATTTTAACTATGCTGGTTATTGGAGCGAGAACTATGCTATGGGATGGGTTCTTTACAGCCTCTTCCATGGGAGTGTCCCTGACAAGTTTAACGATCAAATCGAGCCACTACAGGAAGCTCAACTACCGCCTGCCAGCCATCTCCCTCTTGGTTACATTATGGAAAAGTGTTGGCGCCGTGCATATCCTTCGGTCCGCGAAATGGAGCACGATGTGTTGCACGAGTACAGCCTCCATCAGGAGTGGCGCTATGTTATTCGAGACCGAGTTACAGACTGGCTTCGGGTTTTGCGCATCTGGATGTTCAAAAATTCCCAGCTCCGCATGATGCAAAGAACGTATCACAAGCTCCGGATGGAGAACCTTCCTTACTTCTGGCAAGTGAAGAGGTATGAAGACGGCAAGGCCGCGAATAATGCTGCCTGATTGCCGAGCACGAACCATTATCTTCGATCTCAGACCGCCTGCAAGTCAAGATCATAGGTACTGCTGAGGAGATTGGACTGGACTGAGGAAACTATCTGGTGGCCATGAGATTGGTTGGGTTTGGGCCAAAGAAGCCGTGCACAGTTCATGGAACCGGGAAGACGAGGAATTCCGTTTGTCCGGATGAGGTGTGTCTCTGATTTTATGTCTCCATTTATATTAGAAAAGCCCTCGTAACAAGTTTCGACTTTTCCCCTTCTGTGGAAACATTTAGTCGAGATGATTTCAATCCCTAAGCTTAAGATTTCGCTCATGGCAGAGGTGAAAAGAGGCATCTGACGGTATCTTGTTCTAGCAAGCTGGAAAAAAATCCCATCAATAACACAATGCAACATTCGTGATTTAAAGCTAGGATTACCCATAGTGAATAATCAGTCGAAGATTGATTGCCATGATTCTCATTCATTCCTGATATATACATCACTGTTTATCCGACATAATTCTGATATTGAGCGATGAACCCCCCTCCTTGTCACTCAGAATCTCAAGGCAAGCGAACCACTCTCTTCCCTGGGCAGGTTCAGCATTCCATGGAACAGCTCTGCCACGTCACAGGCATAGCCAGCAAGCTCAAGAGCGCAATCATATTTCAAATTCAGCGCTTCCCCCACGGAAACATAGCGTCTTTAAACGTCAAATTTATCCCAATCCGGTGCCACGACTAGGAGGAAATATACACTAAGTTGTCTTTCTATCCAGCTTGGAAACGTTCCCTAAACGCGCGCTTATGAAAGGAAAAGGACAACGGTCCAATGGGTGACTCTGAAGCGAAACGACGTCCTCTGAAAGGGCCAGAAGATGAAGTACTGGCTGCATATCTGAGCCGGCACGACGCAGGATTCTGCAAACTCGCTGAACTGAGGGAAAAGGTAAGTACCAATGATACCCGACCGCACAGAATTGTCCATCCAAATAGAAATACATTGATGCAGATCTTTTGGAATAATTTATAATTTGGGCAATATGCAAACGCGGCGCTTCACATGCTGACAACATTTACCCTTTCCTGAGGGTCTAGGGATGGAATGACCCTCGAGTAGACGACCACTATCGAATGCAGCAAGAGCGGGCAGACTTCGCAGATGAGCGGAGACAAAAATGGTTCTTCACCATGATGCAAGAACTTGGAGCAGAGCTGCATGAAGCTACAGGAGCTTTCACGCCGATCTCATGGTCTTCTGGGAATCAGCGAGTGGGCGGATTGTTTCTGAGACAAGAAAACGCATCAGTGGTGAAGCCTTCGCCAATCCAGGATTTGCAGCAAAATATGGCGTCTTTGTCAGTACTGGACACGGAACAGTTGAAAGAGAATGAAGACCTGGGACGGCTGAAGGGCTCGGCAACGGCATTTAGAAGTGCAGCGAGCAATAGCTCCGCAACGCAGCCAAATACGCAAGATTTGAACAATGTCAGCGAACGGAATAGAATGACGAGCACAACAAGAAACATGTCAACGCTTTTAAATCGAGATATGCAAGTGTTGGATCTTTGCATGGCCCCCGGCGGATTTGCTGCAGCAGTGTTGAAGCAAAACCCCCGAGCACAGGTTGCTGGCATCAGCCTTCCGCTAGAAGACGGCGGACATAAACTGAGAGTGCTGTTTGGCATCAGGGACTCTCGTGTCAAGGTGATGTTTCGGGACATCACAATGTTGACCGAGGAATTCGGCATCAATGGGATCCCCGCTGATCATCCTGATTCTGACAAATTTTTAAATATACGTCCCTATCACGGTCGCACTTTTGATCTGGTTTTTTGCGATGGCCAAGTGCTGCGAACCCACAAGCGAGCATCATATCGCGAAAGTAAGGAAGCAATCCGGCTCACTTGTGCACAATTGATTCTTGGGCTGGGCAGAATCAAGCCAGGCGGGAATCTGGTAATGTTGTTGCATAAAGTAGACGATTGGAACAGCGCACAGATTCTTTACACGTTCAGCCAATTTTCCAGAATTACTCTCTTCAAATCCAGCAGAAAACACAAAGATCGAGGTGCTTTTTACATGATTGCGAGCAATGTGCAGCCCGGTCATCCCAAAGCTGCAGCTGCAGTGAAGGAGTGGCAACGGGTCTGGCGCGACGCTACGTTCGGAGACAAAACCACTGGTCTATTGGCAGACTCTTCGGCCGAAGAGAGCGCGCAAACAAAGCCTGCATTTCCACTTCAACGCGAAGTTACAGTGCATCAGTTGATTGAGATGTTTGGCGAGACCTTGATAGATCATGGGAGACCAATTTGGAAAATACAAGCCAAAGCATTGGCGAATGCAAGCTTCATGAGAGATGCAACCGATGGTACTCGGAAAGGACGACCGCGAGAATCACTGATTGACCAGAAATGCAATGAGCACGAAGAGAGCAGCGGTAAAAGCACGTATTAATTGGTGATGGGAACAAAAGGGTTGGTCCGCCAAGGCCAGCAGACCAAGTTTCCACTGTTTCAAGAGCTGACTGGAAATACAAAGTACAGTGGCACTTGAATCTGAAACGGTGAAACAGCCGACTAAAGGACCGACCAATTTGCGGGAACGCACGGAAAGGGGGGAGGGAAGATCACCTGCAGCTCCCGTACTGTAATTTGGGGTACAATGGTACTTCGTACTAAGGTATAGCCCCCAAGAGATCGACAGGGGAAGGATTTGCTCTTTGTACTCCGTACCTCGTACCTCTCTCGGGCTCGCTCATCGGGGGGTTTTCGCGCGTTAGATCTTGATGGATCGGGTTTAGGGCCAACCCACCCCTGATCCTCGCCTCCCCCTGCTATTTCTGATGCTCGGCCGTTTATTTGTCCTCGCTCTCCGGGTGCTATTTTACTTTCACACACAGAAGGTGTTCAAAGGACCCTTTTTTTCATTCTTATTTTTAGCTAGCTGTCCATTCTTTTTCTCCTTGATGCTGTCCTTTTTCTTCCGATGACGCTTTGACCATGCTGAAAGGAGTCCCCCTGGGCTCCTTGGGCTCCTTGGGGCCCGCAACGGTGCTGGTGAGATCGATTGGGGCAGCGTGACCCACCTCTATAATCCCGCCTGTTTACGTGTGCGAGACGGGAGTGAGATGGCCGAGCATCCCTTGGCTCCCCACAAGAGACGTCTGATGCTAAACCAAAGCATCGTTTTAGCATGTCATGGACGACACCTAGCGCTCTCCCATTGGTAGCGTCCCCTTACAGCCATGCGTGGTGGCTTGCACGATTGAACCCTTGAACCATGGATGCAGAACTCCCACACCGCGACACCCCATTAGCTGATGACGAGTTTTGTCCGCCTTGTGCCTGACTACTGTCTACCTTATGCCCGCCAGGTCAACAACATCATCTGGAGAGGAAGGTTTTCCATTTTTGTCTGCATGTGCAAGGCGCGCGTTATTTGTGTTTTTTTCTTGTGTTTTTCCGTTCATATGATTGTTTAGGACTAAGCTGTTCTTCCTTCCATGATCCCATTCAACGGCTAGTTAGCCAACATGATCACAAATCGATGACGAACGAGAGCTGCATCCCCTTAATCCCCTTAATCCCTCTATCCGCAACTCCACAAGACCCGCACTATCTTCTTGGCTTCTTGGCATCACACAGCTTTCTATGACGCTCAATTCCGGCCGTTGCCTTCAGTGCCCGTTCGCTGTTCCACCTCTTGTGGTCTTTGCTTCACTCGTTATGCGTCCTGCCTTTTTAAAACTAAATCGTTGAAACACCCGCAAACTTCTTAAAAAGTTGATCCCATTTTCCCTTTGTATCCACTGTGGGGTGTGAGATTAGACATTCTCTCTCCGACTTGCATCCGACAAGATCCCTGTCACCGTAACTTTAACCACTCATCTCTCAATCTCTCGCTTTAACCTTTCTACCCGTCGTCTCCCTCCACACTCAGACGTCTTTTCTTCTACATCTCCATATCACTCTTTCGGTTTTCTTTGCGCAGGTTCGCTGGCCTGTCTCCGCGTCTTCTCTACCTACTGTCGTTCGCTCTCTCTCTCTCTCTCTCTCTCTCTCTCTCTCTCTCTCTCTCTCTTTTTCCCAGCAGACAATTCACTGTCTATCCGCTCGTTTGTTGATTTCAAAACCGTTGATTTCAGCAACCAAACACTCTTGTTTATTGATCTTCTTGCTTCACCTTCATCTGGTGACTTTGAATAATCATCCTTTTTGATCGAACGAGCCAATATACCGGTCACCGCCGATTGTGACATTATTCCGCCTCGAAACAGGACCGTTTAATATCCAGACCGAAGATCATCCGCGAAATCAACAATGCATATCTCCTTGAACACTCTTCTCCCCGTCGGCCTCTTGCTGGCTGCCGGAGCCAACGCTGCTCCCGCCCCTGTCACCAGCCAGGTCGCTCAGAAGGCGCACAACCACACCGGAAAGTCATTCAAGATTGACCGAGTTCACAACCCTCACCACAACCCCAACGGCAAGGCTGCGCTGCGCAAAGCCTATCAGAAATTCAGCATTCCCATTCCCATTGGTCTCCTCTACAACCCCAATGGCCAGTCTCACGTAGCTGGTCAGGGTGGCCAGGGAAGCGGCCACTACGGCAATGTCACTGCTACGCCCGAGGCAAATGACATTGAGTACCTTGCTCCAGTGACGGTTGGTAGCACAGAGTTGATGCTCAACTTTGACACTGGTTCTTCTGACCTGTACGTTGCATTCCCGTTGCATTAATTGCTTCATCCTTGTATTTCTTGCGGTAGGAATCTTGGTATTGGCGAGTAGATGGCCCCAAGCTTCTGCTGCTACTGCGAAGTGGAATCTGCATTTAAAATGAGAATGAAGAAGTCAGATGAGATGCTAACGCTTCTTTCAATTTAGCTGGGTCTTCAACACCAACCTCCCTGCTGCCCAGACCCGCGGTCACTCCGTCTACAACCCCAACAACAGCACCTATGCTCCCGTCAATGGCAGCACCTTCAAGCTGTCTTACGGTGACGGTAGCTCTGTGTCCGGAAAGGTCGGTACTGACACCGTCAATGTTGGCGGCGCCACTGCTACGGGCCAGGCCGTCGAGCTTGCAACGCAGATTAGCAACTCGTTTGTTGCCGATGTTGACAGTGACGGTCTTTTGGGCTTGGCCTTTAGCCAAATCAACTCTGGTCTGTTCTTTTGCTCCCAGTTCTGTCTGCCCTTGCATGGAGCTCCCAATCCCAATCGTTGCTCTTTTCCAACGCAAAACTTGGTCAAAAGCTCGAGCGAGATTTAAGTGTTCCCAGCATGACCCGGGACTTTTAGAAGGAAGAAGAATGTTTTGCTGACGTACCAAACAGTTACCCCCAACAAGCAAAAGACCTTCTTCGACAACGTTTCCGACGACCTCGACCAGCCCGTCTTCACTGCCAACCTCAAGCACAACACCGTCGGCAGCTACGAATTCGGTACCATTGACAACAGCCAGTTCAAGGACGAGCTGAGCTACGTCAAGGTCGACAGCTCCGAGGGCTACTGGCAGTTTGACCAGCCCTCTTTTACCATCAACGGCAACCGCACCGTCACCAACTCCAAGGCTATTGCCGGTACGTCTTGCCTCACCTTTCCCTACTACTCCCCCCATTTTTTTCTGCCTTCCCCGTTCTCCCAACCTCATCCTCTCAATTGGGAAAAGAGAAAGAAAAACCCCCACTAAACATTCGTCGCAACAGACACCGGCACTTCGCTCCTTCTCGCCGACAACGCCCTCGTCTCGGCCTACTGGTCTGCCGTGCAGGGCGCGCACGAGGACGACGCCGAGGGAGGCTACGTCTTCCCCTGCAGCGCTTCTCTGCCCGACCTGACCCTCGAGCTCGGCGACTCGGGCTACGCCGCCATTGTTCCCGGAAACTTGCTCTCGTACACCCAGGTGTCCAGCACCACGTGCTATGGTGGTCTGCAGACCATTGCGGGCGCTCCCTTCCAGGTCTTTGGCGACATTTTGTTCAAGGCCCAGTTCGTCGCCTTCGACGTGTCTGACAACCAGCCCAAGCTGGGCTTCGCTTACCACTCTGACTCGTCCTAAAGCTGGAATAATGAGACGACCCCTTCGGTGAAAGCCTCTGCCAGCCTCGCCTTTCTCTCTTTTGTAGTATCTCTCTCTTCTTTCGTGTAAAGTCGTTTCATCCAGGAATCTTTCGGCTTTTTTTTAAAGGGAAAGTAAGGGAAAGGAAAGGAAGAGAAGATTGAGACTTGCAGGGCTAGGGCTCTTGTGCGCAAAGTGGCATCTTTCTTTAAAAAAAGTATCAAAATCATAGAGCGAGCATATCACGCATTTTAGATTTCACCAGATCTTTAATTCTACACTAATAATCTTTATTTCGCTTCTTCAGCGTGAATTGATCCACGACAATTTGAGATAATCATTTTTCCGCATTCATTCATTTTGCTCTTTGCATTATTTTTCATTCATTTATTCGCATAGATTTTGTCTCGTGACAGATTCGGAGCTACCTTCATGGAATTTGCCTAGAACGTACTTCCAATTTCGTCGCGAAAAAAATAAGGAATCCAGGATATCGCAAGACGACCTTCCAATTTACTTTCGAGAGAAGCTATCATAAATACATTACTTTTTCCCACTCAAAGCGGCCGCAACAGCATTAACCTCCTGGTCCACGGGCAGAATCGGCGGCTCTGGACCAACCGGCGTGATGCTCTATTAGGGGAAAAAAAATCATTAGCGTCTTTCTTCAATGTAATCCCGATTCCCTTCCCATAGAGCATAAGAAGGTGGATGGAAAGAAAAAATACTAGAAAATAAAACAGAAAAGGGGAGGTGGAAAAAAAAAAGGCAGGAAGAGACGGTAAAGCTTACGCGGGGATTAATCTGAGTATGGCTCTTGGTATAATGCAGCTTGATATGTTCAAATTTCGTGGTATCATGAAACGCGGGAATAGTCCAATAGAGATGGCGCAACCAGCGATGCAAGGCGGGATAGCCGCTTCGGATATCACGAATATTGCACTTGAAATGCTGGACGTAGACCGGATCGAAGCGGGCAATGGTAGTGTACAGACGGATATCGGCCTCGGTGAGACGGTCGCCAAAGTAAAAGGGGCCAGGGCTGCTGGCAAGATGCTTTTCGGCACGGTCAAGTGCGGTGAAGAGAACTACAACGTTTTTCTCGTAGGCTTCTTGGCTCCTATTGTACGGTGTGAATGGTCAGCATGGGCAAGGACAGCGACAGCGACGGCAATGTAAAAGAAGACGTAGAAAAGAGACCGCACTGAGAGGGAGAGCGAGAGAAAGAAGAAAGGAAAAAAGGGGTAAAGGAAAACTTACGTTGCAAAACCAGCCTTGTACACTCCATTGTTGATATCATTATATGTCCATTCATTTGTGCCTTCAATTTCCTGTCGCAGGTCCTCGGGGTAAAGCACAAGATTCTTGTACTTCTCCGGAAGGAGATCGTCGAACTCGGTATAAAACATGCGGATAATCTCACTGCTTTCATTGTTGACAATCTTCTGCGTCTTCTTGTCGTATAGCGTTGGAACAGTGTATCGACCCTCATAGTTTGGCGATACGTGGTGATAGACATCCCGAAGATAGGCAAAGCCGTGGATGGGATCGGGAGTGACGTGTTCTTGGACATTTTGCTCTTCGGTAGTAGCAAAGCGCCATCCTAGAAGTAATTAGAATGTGAGAAGCATATCTTAGGTGCATAGGTGCTTTGAGTGAGGAACTCCCAGAATCAAACCCCGGGGCCAGTAAATCCAAAATACGTGTGCATTGAGAAATTTAGAGGGTTGACGGTACCTTTTTCTCCCATATGGAAGTGCACAACGGTAAAGGAAACGAAATCCTCCAGACCCTTTAGCTGTCGAGTGATGAGGGCACGGTGCGCTGTAATAAATTCAAAGTCAGCCCGTCTATCAAAATACCTGGCTTCTCATGATTCTTCTTACCCCATGGACACGCATACGAGACATAGAGATGATACCGGCCCTTTTCGGGAGGAAACTCTGCGCCCGGCTGTTTTGAGATGAAGTTGCGAAAGACGGACTGGGGGCGATTGAACTCGCCCGACTTGGACTTGGGATCAACCCAGTCGGTGATCTTCTTTACGACCTACAGGAGAGTATTAGTAGACCCATCCAATTTTCTGCCCCACGAGCGTAACAAATCAAGCAATTCGCAAATAAAACCCTCAAATGCAAAAGAATTTCAAACGAGAGTGGATTTTGCGCAAAAAGTGCTTAGAAATAACGACCCGCACCTTGGGCTCTTCCACTGAAACCAAAAATGTCTGATACAAGATGGCACCTAGGGAGAGGACTATTGCGAGGGAAAAGAAAAAAGTACGTGCCGAAGACATATTCTCAGTCTGACTGCTAAATGGTCGTATTCTCTGCTGGGGTAACTTCGACGAAACAGTGTGCGGGGAAGACGACAGAATGTGTGTTCTGCTAATACGACTACCAATGGCAATTGTTCGAGATCGTACGCTGGCGAGAATGATGCCGATATTCATGAACCAGACCAGCTACTTGAATGATAGATGGATAAAGAACAAGACGAGCAGAAAAGGACGGAGAAATGTTGTATTTAAAATATCAGCATTGGTCATGGCGGGGTAAGAGCAAAGAGCATAAACAGACGGATATAGCTAGGTACGGTAGTTAGCTAAGGCGGTGCTTTTGCTTACAGGCGGGTTTGTCATGGAACAGTAATGCGGATCTCCAAGTTAGTTAATAATTACTGAGTATGAGCTCATTGGGTTTTATCGCATCTGATTGATCAATCCGATAACTTGCCGCCACCAGTCTCCTTTCCCCCCCCCGCGTCCCGCCCCTTGGCCCTGCGCAAACCTTCCGCACCAAGTCCCTGATCACTAATCCCACACATTGGACGGCATCTGAGATTCAAGTCCTTGAATGCTAAATTAAATCCACCAACAGAGCCCTTCGACATAGCCTTATTTTCTGCATGATCAATACCTTCATACATGCTGATCATCATGGTGGCCATGTGTGAGCCCGATTCAGGCCAATTTATATTTTCTGCGCATTTTGAGCCAAGGCTTAACACGCATGATAAATTCGTGTACAATTTACATTTATTGAAACCTCCTGCATGGATTTGGTACAGAAATCCTGTCCGATTGATCATGCGTTTACTCATACCATTCTATTCACATGAATCAAGGCTAAAGCCTTGCTGCAACAATATAAATCTATTCAATTACCAAGCGCCCGATAGAAACCCATCTGCATTTAGTGCAACTTGAGCATAACATAGGGAATTTCAACGTCCTCCTCGGTCTGATCTTCTGCTGTAATCTCCAAAATTGCATTCTTCTGGTGCGCAGGAATCGGCTTCTTGCTGATCGTCTGGATGACATCACTCAACCTGGAGGTGACATTAGTACAACTGATTCGATTGGAAATCTTTCATGAAAATAAACTTACTTCATCGGTAGCCGGTCCTTCAGCTTACTCGGCGGGTAGAAGCTGGCGTAGAGTAAGCTCACACCAGAGCTGATCATGGTGACTTCGAGACCCTTGTCCGAGAAATGTTTCAGGAAGTCCTGCAAAGTCATATCAGGGACTTCAAAGCGGTCCCAAAGCTTGTCAATGGTCACATCGCCGTCCTTGCCCTTGTATGTACCCTTGGGGCTAGCAATGGGTTCACTGAAACCAAAGAAGGGCAGCGCAAGGTTCACGAAGCCGTTCTTGTACTGCTCAATGTCATCTTTGCCGTCAATCAACTTGAATAGTTCCAGAACAACCAGGCCTGTCACAAGCGCAGTGGTTGTGGCAATAGCAGGGATAATCTTTCCGGCGATAAACTTGATCTTGTGACGGTCGGCCTGAGCGATGGCATAGTTCTCGGCTCGTAGGTTGCTTGCCGCTGTGATAAAGTCAATGTGATAGTTGGTATCGTCGTCCTTCTCAAACTCGACGGGCACAAGACGATAGCCAGCCAGTGCCTGCGGTGAAGGCAATGATGCAACAATCTTGTTCAACTCCTCAGTGTCGTCGAATGCGGAACCAGACTGAGCATTAGGATCAGGTTCGTTCTCATCGGCCTGGATCTTGACACCGGCACTTGGGGAGAATTCGGAGACAATCATGCTGTCAAGAACCTTGAGATACTGCTCATGAGTCACGCCCTTGCTGTTGATGCCGTAATTAAATGCATGAAGGTGGGCACCAGCGACAACAAATCCAAAGTGCGTTGGGTTGGTAGGGTCAAACTTGAGCGGGGTCGGCGCACGCTTGGGTCCAGACCAGAATGGCGCACCGGATGATGTGGTAGAGTCCTTCGGGAAGTTATACAACAGCTGCGCGATAGAGTTGTTGTACTGCTTCTCGAACTGTAACCGAGCCCAAACGATGCAGTCGTCGAAGCTGAGGGGCTTCTCTGTCACAAGATAATCCCGAATATTCGTGAGGGTTTGCTTTTCGTTTCCGGACTGCTTAAGAGAGCTCTCGAGGTAGTTGGGCTGGGTCAGATAGAGGTTGACTACCTCAGGTGGGCCAACAAAAAGTGACTGGAACAGCTCCTTGGCCCAGGCGATAGTGTGTTCAATCTTGTTCGGGAAACTCCGAAGAGTGCACATAGGGAAGGACTGCTCAGGAGGATCGCGCGAGCTTGAGTACGACTCGGTGATTCCGGGAAGAATAACCTGCGTATTACCCTTTGTGCCAAGGGTGCCACTCTCCAGAAGAGGCTTCCGGAAGAACACACAACGTCGGTCGACATAGGTACGTGCGTCAACATTGTCCAGAGCATTGGTGACACCGTCTAGGTCATTCCAGAAATCCTCATTAAAAATGTCCTCGGTATCCTGACCAACTCTGTCTTTCAGGGTCACAATCTGACCCTTGAGGTCGGGATTCATGGCCTGAACAGCTTGTGCCGCACATTCGCTCTTGAGCTTGCCAACGTCCTTGGCTCGGAAAAGGAATTGCCGGTTGAGATTGCTCTTCTCAATCTGATCCATGTCCGTAACGCTGATTTTGCCGTTAGGGCCAGTGCCGAGTCCAATCATGGCCCAATTCTTAAGCATCTCACATCCGATGGCGCCCGCGCCAACCAAAAACTGCTTCACATTTGAAATCTTCTCTTGGAACTCTCGGCCGAACACGGCAATTTGGCCGTCATAACGGGTGCCAAGAGGTCTACACAGCTCTTCGGAACGCTTGGTAGACGAAGGCAGAGACTCCAAGGAATCAAAATACAGCCACTGAACAATTGGGTGGAATTTGCCGGATACAGACTTGAGGACTTCCTGGGCAGCGAGACCACCGAAAAACGCGTTCACAGGGCTCAAGTCACCTTGGGCCTGGTAGCTGAGCTCTCGGATGAGTTTCTCATCAAGTTCAACCTTTTCCTCTCCCTCGCCCGCAATCTTCTGGGATAGCTTGATGACCTCTGTAGCATCGGCCTCATGGTGCGGTCTGGGAAAGATGCCACCGTGCTGCTCGGCGAAAGCGTGCAGTGCCTGCACTCCGACGTGTAATTGGAGGGGGCGATCGAACTTGGCAAAATCCGAGATCAAAAGCTCGGGTTTCTTGATTTGCTTCGAAAGGGGTTCAAAGTCAAGGAATTTGGGCATCCTGACCTGAGTGAACAGGCCACCACGTTTATATTGACCGAGACCAGAGACGTCTCCGATAGAGAAAGTGTAAGGACCTGTTACGCGATGAGTAACAAGGAAATCACTTTTCAATTGCCATCATTGTACATACCCTTGACGGTCACCTTCCGCGGCGCCGCATCGTTGAGTCCGCCCATTCCTTCTATCTCGGTGAAAGTAACGTAGTCGCCATCTTCCAGCCCGTGTCTCGACTCATCCAAAGCTGACACGATACCGTCAGAGTCAATATCAGCCACAATACCACTGGCAAGTTCCTCTCCGGTGGTGTCACCGACAGTGAAATTCTTTCCAAAATCGGTGAATACATAACCGAACAGACCAAAAGTGTCAACGACGACCAAGTAGATGCCATGCTGGTGGCAATACTCTGAAATAGCGAGTTGATCTTTGAGGGATGTCTGCGTGAGAACCACAACCTGGTAACGGCTCAGTTGGGTGAGATCCGAGGTCAGATCGTTTGAAGGGTGAACTCCGATGGGAGTATAGGGATTAAGCTCCGAAATTCGAGGGGCGGTAGCTGACGCTCTAGGTTGCCCTACATCTGCGGGATGCAGGAAGAATTGTGAAGAGAGGTCGGCAATGGAGGTAGGAACAGGGTCGTAGAGCGTCAAGGATTTAACGCCAGCAAGAGCAATATTCTTGGCTATGGCCATAGTTAGCTTCCGGGAGCCTGCGGAGCGGTATTCCCCAATTTATTTCATACCAATCTCAACACCAAGGCCCTTCAATCCGACAATAAGGACGTTGGAAGCGCCCATACGCTTCATCGCCTCATGACCAAGCACATATCTACCAGCGTTAGAAAAAGAGCAGCAGCGCGGCGGGAAGTAAACACATACAGTTGTCGACTGTAGAGCGATTCATCAATATCGCCCTGCTTGAGCTGTTCAATAGCCTCCGCAGGGCTGTCAACCTGCATTTTTTGGTCCTGAAGACACTATTAGCATCCCGTACTCACAAGGATACTGGGATTTCTTGGTCTCCCGCTCCAAGCCAGACTATATCCGCCACCATCACCATTCCCAGCTCAAACCAGGGACGGGAGTTTGCGCGGCAACACGAGACAGGGTACTTACTGTCATATTTTTCTTCGATGGGCGGGTGAGATCCTCGCTGGAAGCTTTCCTCTTTCCCAGCTGGAGGGGCTCGGGGGCTACTGTTGTGGAGGGAATGGTGAAGGTTGCAAAGGAAGGTTGAGCAAGATGCGGGATGGAAGTGGGGTGTCGATGGACAAAGGTGACGAGCTGACTGAATGAGGGGTCACTACTCGTCGGATACGGTATTTGCAGTAGAGTGAAAACTGATAAAGAGAGACTTCTTCTTCTATTCAAAGATTGAAGAAATCAAGTCGTACTGAGTATGGGAGGGAAAAATGTTGGTTTGGCAGTTTTGGTGTGTCTTTCGTCCTTCAACACACACACACAATGATGCTTACTCTATCGAAGGTGCGCGAACAGCAAATGGCTGATGCAATAAGTACGGTCACGCAAAGATACCACACACGACATCTCTGTAAGTTTCTTCTGCCGCCCACTCGAACAAAACATGCCACTTCTGTAAGATACTCTGTACTTTTCGTTTCTGGTTGCTGAGGTTTGAACACAATATTAATTCTTAAGATACTATTCTAGAATTCGGATCATGTGTGTATACTATATGTGGTTGAAGTGATCTTATTACAATTGTAAAAATCAAGACCGCCATTCGTTGGACACTTATGCTATGAATACCTCTTGCTTATGATGCCATAACATGATGTTGGCTCGTGTGATAAATGATTAATTAAACAGTAGAGAAGAAAATTGATGAGCCAATCATCAAATATTTTGTTTGTTTTATAAATCCCATATATAAGCTTTTTAGGAGATTTGACCCCGGTATTTGGCGGTAATGTGCCATTCGCACGTTATAAATAATGGTCCCTCTGAACTCTACGCGTCCAGCAGCACGCGAAACCTCAGCTTTGCTGTCTTTGCGAAAGGGACCGCAGCACCCGGCACTCGACACCATGCAAAAACGCAATTGAATATCAAAAACTTGCAAAGCAGTGGGCATGCTGCTACTTCATGTGTCGGTACGAGCTCCTCGGTTGCTTGATCCTCTACATTCAGGATCTCCATGCGAAGGCAAAAGGAACCGCTCCACGTGGGTATGGCCTTGCACGCAGCGAGACAACTCATCGTATTCATTGCTGCAAAGTCTAAATGATATACAGTAATAAGCCTCGAGAAGCTCCAAGATGCTACACGAGATCCTCCTTGCCTTATCAGGGCACCCTTCGCCCCTCCTGCCCCCTCCCGCAAGCAAATTCGATCCGGCGGCCATAAGCCAGACATTTCCGCTTCTTTCACCCCCGGAGAGAGCGCTACTGTCATCTTTAGCTTGGCTTAGTGAACTACACAGGAGAGTGCGAGATCACACTTCGAGCATATCCTCTTCACATCCGTCAACTATCTGTCGTGCCGTGTCAACCGCCATAGCCTCGAAGCATTTGGATCGGTTCCAACAAAAGATTGTAGATGTGGAGAGGCAAATGCTGAGGAAAGATGGTGGATCACCAAACGAGTACGAGATCATGCCACTATCTCTCATTGTCACAGAGTTTGAAGAATGGATACGTCGAATGGAATGGCTCTGGGACCTTGTATATTTTATGATGCCGGTCGAAAATGTCGTTGCCGATCAGAAGCGGGGACTTAAAAGTACCAATGGACAATGCTCGGGAGCTGCCATTATCGAGAAGCTGAGAAAGGAAGCTCGTACAGGGTTTCCTGATATTCATGATGCCGCAACCGACCTAAGCAGGGCCGCAGAAACGGCTTGGTTGAGGCAGCTGTCGAGCTGGCTGCTGTACGGACGACTGCCAAAATTCGGCGGAGAAGACTTCTTCATACAAGAAGAAACTCCAAACGAAGCCGACTCGAAAGGAACACCTATCTTTACTATATCAGAGAGGCTGCGGCCGCAATTCGTTACGCCAGCAACTGCTTCTTCGATACTTTTCATTGGGAGATCCTTAAACCACATTAGGATAAAGTCTCACTCCTCTGGAAGCACCATCTCTGGGAACTCGAGTTCTCCAGAGCTAGTTTTACTTCCTGCTCATCTGAGTTACCTTTCCTCGCTGTCATCACCCTTAACGGCGTCTTCACTTTCCCGCGTTATCGCGAACATTCGGTTCTCACTCTCGCAAAATGCATTGCAGCATTTGCTTCCGGTGCCCAAAACCCTGGAAATACTTCGATTACTGCGAGAATTCTTCCTGCTCGGCCGCGGAGAATTTGCAGTAACCTTAATTACTGAAGCCGATGAGCAGCTCAACTCACGCCATCGCCAGTCCAGTCGCATACGTCAAGCCAAAGGCGGCGATAATCTCAAAGGGGTTCTTGTAAGAGACGGAGAAGTCAATGCAACTTTAGCAAGGACTTGGGCGGCATTATCATCATATGCTCCCTACGACGATGAAGTAGATGATAAACTTGAACTTGCCCGCGACTTGGTCCATTTGACTTTGCCCAAGCAATCACCAGTAGCGTCAGGCGGGGCCCACCGCCGCAACGAAGACGACAAAGCCTCCAAACTTCAGACCCATACTCGCTTTAACGACCTGTTGTTCTCATCTCCAGTGGACTTGACATTAATCATTCCCTCGCCGTTGGATCTGTTCCTAAGCGACACTGATCTACAAACCTACTCCGAAATTAATGCCTACCTCCTCTCCATTCGACGCGCTCACCACCACTTGACAAGCCTATGGAAACATAGTACCCTTCGCCGCTCGCATCCGCAACCACCTACCCTGCTATACAGCAACACTCGAAAAGATGCAGAAGGCAATCAGCGCCAGCGCCAGCGGGAAAGTAAGAGAGCGCGAGAGATGCGTAAAATCTGGGCCACATGCAGCGCCACAGTCTTTTTGCTATCTGAAATCGAAAGCTATTTCCAAGGCGAAGTCGTTGAAGGCTCTTGGGAAGCACTTCGCTCGTGGGTTGAGAATCCACCATCCACACCAAACACAGCAATTTCTACTACCACTACTTCTTCTCCCAAATCCAGCAAGACCCCTATACTTCCGCCGGTGACAGGATCCAACATTTCCAGAACCCCTGTTCCTTCGATGCCCGTTCCACCAACAAAGCATGCATCATCTTCATCATCAACCAACAACAACGAATTAAACGACTCTGATACCACCAATCCACACCAACCTTCCACACGGCCGCACGATCCCGAGTCATTATCCCGTGCTCATAGGGTGTTTCTATCCACACTCAAGTCCTCACTCTTGCTCGACGACGGGCCATTTGCAGCGCACATGCGATCTACTCTCGCACACGTCGACCACTTGGTCGCTCTCGTGACGCGCCTGCAAACCGTGCAGCAAAACCTCGATCTCGAAGCAGATGAGGCCGTCATTGTCGACGCGCTCGCCAATCATGCTGCTGAAGAACGCACTCTGCTTGTCGAGCTCGAAGGCGCTCGTGAGCGCGTCGAACGCGCGTCCCGACGCCTCGTTGGCCGATTAAGAGAATATGATGCCCAGGAGCATACCGGCCGTGCGGATCATGCTGATGAACATATCGCGACTGGCGACGGCGAACTTGGCGCCGATACAGGTATTGGCGGCACAGTATCGGGAAGCATCACTGGCGACGAAGACTACTTTGAGCCTTTCGCTGGGGCAGGTGTGGATCGATTGCTAATGAAGCTTGATTTCGGCAGTCTCATGGCCGAGAATGATGTCCTTGGACCAGATCATGTGGGGTTTGATTGATCCTGCTGCGGCCCTCGCTTCATCTGTTAAAATCATGTCAATTACCGGGCTCTGGCGACCATATTTACTTTTTATTAAAACTAGGATGAAAATTTCGGCGAGATAAGGAACAGCGTGGCTGGCGTTAACAGGGCAGATTTACAGTGCGCTATGCATGGCATTATGGCTTCTACATATATTGTACTCTTCTACTCACACATTCGTTGTTTCTAGCATTGCTTTTATATACCTGCGCTTACTCTCCCTCTGTCGAGCTAGAAAGAATACCGCGATTCGAAAGATGGCTACAAAGTTCACAAGAGCTGGTATAACTTTATCTTTTGCTTCACTTAGAAAATCAAGTTTCAATCAATGATATGTTTATGTACATTTCTCCTCTGCTTCTTAGCTTCTTCAACAGCGAATAAGCCATTCTAAGACACTTCATGGTGCTTTTAAACTCCGGATATCTTCGTCGTCTTCGTCATCATCATCTCTCTGCTCCAAATTCTTACAAAAATATATGTTTAGAGAAAAAGTATATCTTCTTCATCACATCGTATATACGCATAGCACAGCATAGATTGCACAAAATCACTTTTGGTGTAGCTCATCTTGCTCATCTTGCTCTTCTGGAAGCTTTTCTTCCTGCGCATTTCAAGGCCGGCTTGTTAACAAACGACCAAAAGACAACAATCAACATGCCTGATGTTGGAGGGATTTATTGGTTTGCCGGTTTTGTGAATGAGAATGAGGTTGCTAATGGGTTAAAAAAAATGAAGGAGCCAGTTTAGAAAACTCGCTCAACGGGCGTGCTCGAGCCGACGGACGGCGACATACTATATGGAGCCTTCAGAAAGAAAATAGTCAGCGTCAGGGGACCACGAGGAAATTTGTGCTTTAAAGCAAGTTTAGTGGAAGGGTGACGTACCAAAACCTTCTTGGCATTGCATATTCTCCAGGCAAGATTCCGGACATTGCCGTCTGCTTTGACAACTTCTGGAGCAAACTCGATGCCGAACCTATTTGAGACGTCAATAATTATTCAAATCAATCAAGCCGAGGATGACACCTGGTTCTGCTTACATTTGATGCACTGCAAAAACAACGCGCTTCGCATACTTCTCCTCGCGTTCGACTTGACCGCCAAACGCTTCATCCACTGTGTCCGGAGCGATTTCCGGGTCGCGATCAAAGCAGTTTCTCACTAGAGGAAGCAAAGCAGCTTCAACCGCGCCACGGATCTGGCCGCTCGCATCGAGCTCGACGTCGTCTTCATCAAAGCGCCCAATTCTGATCTCGAATGGCTGCGAGATTGCCATGACATTGTGCTTGCCATTATGATGGTATCGGAACTCGAAGACTCCTTGAGTCCACCACAGCTTGTCACCTTCAAAGACTACCTCGCCAGAGTAAGAATCTTTGTTCTCGCCGTCCTGCTGAGTCGATCCAGAGACCAGGACATCGCTGGCCAGAATACTCTTGTCAACACTAGTCGAATCGTATTCGCCTTTGTTGGTTGCGATCCAGCGACCGGCAGAAGCAATGCGCGTGACTTCACGAGAAGCATTGTCGGCGACCATATACAATCCAATCCAGTCTTTCTTGCCGTGATTCAGAGGGGCGGTCCACTTGACCTTGATCGGAGCACCATATTCAAACATGAGGGTCTTAAAGTTGCTTCTGCCCTGGCTAGGAAGTCGAGCCGTGGTACCTTGCTTCTCATTCATGCGGTCAGAGATGGCGAGAGCCGATGAGGGAGTACCTTCAACTTCAAGGGAGTAGTCCTTGGGATTGTGTTCGGCAAGATCCGGTGCAACACGGGAGATGGTGATGCGCGCGGGGTGAGTGAGCAGAGCAGAAGAGTCCTTGACAAAAGTACCGACGCCGGCGGCAAGTCTTGGCCGGGCAGCTTCAATGAATTCCTCAAGGAATTCTGCAGTCTCACCTAGAATCTTCTCAACGTTACCTTGCCATTGCATGAGAGGTGGGGGGAGAGAGCGTCGGAGACTCTTGACCAAGCCGGATTGCTGACGCAAAGTCCTTCCGTACAACTTCTGCATGTGGGGTCTCTCCACAAATTGAAGGAAAAGGAGCGTAAGGACATGGCTGAGGAGAGCAAGGAAGAAGATTGTTTTGCTGCCCGTGATCAAGACGGCACCCCAAACCCCGGCAAGACCCAACACGCGTTCCGGATTATTGAGGAACCGATAGATGCCGCTGTAGTTAAGTCGAGGAGCCTGTTCGAAGAAGAAGTCGCCAAAGAACCAGCCGAATTCGCCAAGAGAATCGTAAATGCTGATAGCCGTCCAAATCTGGAGGGCGATCAGAGACGCGCCGAGGACGTGTTTGAACAAGGCCAAGCCGTAGTCCCAGGCAGGAGGCAAAGCGTACATCTTCCAAGCCGCGCCAATAAAGCTGGTCCAGCACATGGTCATGGCAATGTGGTAGATGCCCTTCCATTGCCTCCACGCTTCGCCAGTGGTTTGGCCGTACTTGACATAGTGCCGTGTCCAGAGCTTTTTGTTCGACTGGCGGTCCAATACGAAGCCCAGGCCAATGCTATACCACAGGCGCCACGCGACAGCATTTGCCACAAACAGTGTCTGGTAAAGTGGCGTCGAAGGTGTCAACAAAACAAGGGCGACGAAGTATGCGTGCAAGAGGTAGACTGCCGTGTCGGTAACGCGGAAAAAGTCGGTGTTCTTCAATCCAACGACGTTGTGGTAGTCGGAGGGCTGGCCTGCGACCGCGGAATCGTCATAGCTTCGAACGCTCTCGCCGTCAAAGTGTGCATCATCCAATTGGTGTTCGGAAGCCCGCTTCCGGGGCGGCGGCGGGTTGTAAGTCTTGTCAATGTGCGGGTTCTCAACGAGCACCAAAAAGGCAAATTGAGCGGCGTGTGCGATAATGGAAATAAAGAGCACCTTGTAGCTTGCCGCCATGAGTGAGATACCATAGTATCCTGCATAGCCGACCGAGTACATGGGATGCGGGGCCATTTCGAATACGCCATCAAATGTAAGCTCCTGGTCGATAAGGTAGAAGAAATCTCCCCAGTACCATGCGTAATCCTTGACCACTCTGTGAGCGTCAAGTTTGACCCAGAGATTGAAGCCTACAAGGCCTACACCGACAATCCAGCGGGTAAGGGTCATAGCGAAGCTCTCATCCGCGGGACGACTCCCGCAGGCAATGGCGAACAGGCAGTAAGAGACAAAATCACACATCAGGATCAGGTCTACGACTCGCCGGAAGACAAGCCAAGTGTTATACTCAATCGGAGCTTCCTCAAACTTATAATCCTTGGGAATTTTTGTCTCCATTTCCCGCTTTAGCAGTTTATACAACTGCGGGTGAGGGTTGTCGCCAGTGGAGGGGTTGACGAAGATCTTGAACCGCTTAGCCCAGTTCACCAGGCGGTTGTGATTTGACTGGATTTGGAGCAAATAGCCAATTCCGGCATTGTATCCCGCTCGCCAGAGCAGAAAAACTACGGCGAAGACGGGAGTTCGGGCACAAGCTGGCAGAGCCCAAAGAGCAAGAATGTGCACGGCGAGCACGGCCAAGACGATGACATCGGAAAGATTCTTGGGTTGCGTAGGGGACAGCAACTGTGAGACCATGTCATGGGTTTGAGGAACCGTAAAAACTACACAAGAAATGTCAATCGTAGGAAAATATACATGGGAACGTCATGTCATAGCTACTTACTGGTGCCATCAGGGGTTCTTCCAAAAGTGCGCTTTTCCTTCTCATCTTTGGCATCATCCTCTTCGAGTGCATTCAACTGTTGCACAGTTTCCTTGGCCTTCTCAGTAGATCCAACTTGTTTTGACGATCTCTCGCGAAGGCCTTCATCATTGAGGTCCACCGGGGATGGTGCGGCACTCATCTTCTAGTGGAAACACGATTTTCAATCAATTGAGCTTAATCCGTTTGACGTTTGGAAACCCAAATCGAATATTGGAGCAAATGTTGAATTGCTATCTTTGAGAGTATCTATAATGACTCGATGAAAAAGAAATTGGACAAGGCGGTGAGTGGAGTGACCCGGATAAATTGCAGTAGCTCAATGGCGTGTATTTTGACTTGATCCATGAAATCAGTCAAAAAGAAAACAACGCCCAGTCAAGAATGCTAATGGACGACACAAGTTGGAATGAGTGTCGTGAAGATTGAAACACCTTGACTGCGAAGAAGAAAAAAAGACAGGAAAAGTGCAGGGGGAGGGGTTGATCCTGTGTGTGGTGTATAACTGACTTTGTTGGTTGAGTCTGTGTGCGTGAGGGATCGACGGGACCTGCAGGTGCCTCGGTGGTTCCTGTCCCCAAGGAGCTAGAAAAGGAAGGAACAGCAGGATTGGATGTGGAAGGAACGAGGGAGCAACGACCGGCACGAGCTCAAACCACGGAAACAGAAGGAAACACAAGAAACCTTTTCCTTGATTTTGCTTGAAGTACCTTGTACCCTGCATTTTCTGTCATTCAACCAATGACGTGCTTTGCGTGACGTTACCCGGCGCAGGAAAGCAATCATCACATGCTGATTGGCCTGTGAGGTTGATTAGATGCCCTTCTTACCAATCATTTCTCCGCCCGATATCGCCCTGACATTTTGCCTCTCTATGGTGGGCTTAGTTATAACGGGGTTTCCTGTATAACTAAACCTTCGAGACAATAATTTCAGAGAGAAACACAAAATAATAAATCTTTTGGGAAAGAGGAAGAAGAGAGAGGTTCGAAATTTGTGAAAAATTTACCCCTTCACCTAGATTCTTCGCTTTTGGTCAACCAGTCTGTCGATATGGCACCTTCATTCGAAGAGCCTGCCCCCATAGATATGGATGCGCCTCTTAAGGCAGCACCTAAGCTTGTTGCCCCGGAGCCAGGTGAGTCTTGAATAAACTCAAATATTTCTAGAGCCCATGACACTCTCATTGACCTTTTGTCGAAAATATTGTACTCATTCCTAACAGAGCACTGTCCTGGCCCCGAATCCGAAAAAGCCGGTCAGGGCGACGCCTGTGCCGGATGTCCGAACCAGCAGATTTGCGCATCAGCACCCAAAGGACCAGATCCAGACATTCCAGTCATCACAGCACGACTTGCCTCAATCAAGCATAAGATCCTCATCCTCTCCGGAAAAGGTGGCGTGGGGAAATCTACCTTTACGACGATGCTGGGACACGCGCTGGCGCAGAACCCCGATTCGCAGGTTGGCATCATGGACACTGATATTTGTGGACCCTCAATTCCCAAGATGATGGGCGTCGAGCAAGAGACTATACACGTGAGCGCTGCGGGATGGAGCCCTGTATGGGTGAGCGAGAACCTGGGAGTCATGAGTGTGCAATTCATGCTGCCGAACCGAGACGATGCTGTCATCTGGCGAGGCCCTAAGAAGAACGGTCTGATCAAACAATTCCTCAAAGATGTGGAGTGGGGTGACTTGGATTTCCTGCTCGTCGACACTCCTCCAGGCACCAGTGACGAGCATTTATCCGTTAATTCATTCCTCAAAGAGTCTGGTGTGGACGGGGCCGTCTTGGTATCAACACCTCAAGAGGTCGCGCTGTTAGATGTCCGCAAGGAAATCGATTTCTGCCGCAAGGCCGGTATCCGGATCCTGGGTATTGCAGAAAATATGTCTGGGTTTGTGTGCCCAAAGTGCACGCACGAATCCCAGATTTTCAAAGCCACCACCGGTGGCGCCCGCCAGTTGGCAAAGGAAACCGGGATCCCTTACCTCGGCGCGGTACCGTTGGACCCACGGATAGGCATGGCCTGCGACTACGGCGAGAGCTTCTTTGACAATTTCCCCGATAGCCCAGCTTGCACTGCCTTGAAGTCAGTGGTTCGCCGAGTTGGCGAGGAAATTGGGCTTGGTGCTGACCAGATTCTGCCCGAAGAGGCAGAACCTATGGACGAGTGATGAGATGATGTGCGAGACAAGCTTTTGTACCATGTTCTTCGAGATCAACGAGCGACGCGTCAAACGCCCTTGTGGATATTCACTGCGGATGCTAAGTCTGAGCCATGAGCTCGCCGAGATTGGGTCAGGGAGCCGCTCGTCCAGCTGATGTCAATCTTTATTCTGGACGTAACTGACCACTTCGTCTCTCATATACTTGGTCAAGGCAATACGCGACTCTTCTCAATCGTGTCGTTCGAAGCTATGTATATAGCTCTCAGAGGCCTGAGCTGGCTTCATCGTCTTGCCAGATATATTCTGCTGCGTTAAAGTCTATGGAGAGCTCATTTCAAGATTGGAGCACTCTTTTTCGAAACAATGCATTCGGTGCGCTGCTTCGAGGCAGATCAACAAATCTAGCTTGCTATGACCGAGGCTGCGGCTGGGGCAGCAGAAAAGGCGCTGAATCGCTACGTCACGGGCATGCTTGCATATGGGCACATCCCCACAGCTGTGCACTGGATATAATGTATCAATTTACATCCATTAGCGAAGCTAGAGTTTGGATTTGCATCCTAGTTCTTGAGCAAAATGGACTTTATACTGAAATGTTAATAAATTCAGTCTTCACGATACGGATCCAAGCTATATCACTTGCATACCAAAATTAGACGAGATTATTGTGAGCTATTGGAATGTGTATAATTGTGGATATTAATGATATTGCTAGCTTTTTTCGGACGAGAAGTTCACGATTCCTTCATAATCCATAAGACCATCCCTTAGCAAAATCGCAAAACAAAAAAAAATAATAGCTAATAATACAATAGAAGAATGCAATAGGAAGAACGGGCTATGTCTCGTTACTCGTTACTTAGTATCGAATTATCTGCTTTCACCTGCAACAATCACCCTCCTGCAATCATCACGACAGCGTGATTTGGCACTGCAATGCTCCACGATGCATTTTGCGAGCAAACTGCTAGAGAAAAGGTGGTTGAAGACCAATTTAATCAAGCAGGCCCTTTTTACCATCACGGTCGGAGTCGACGCGAGGGTCAACCTTGTTAAGCAGACTGTTGCCGTGGGGTCCAACGCCAGATTGGCCAGTGTGCGAGGTAGTACTGCTGCTCTGTGAAACACCCTTTGCTACTGGGTCTTGCGGTCCCGTAACACCAGTGCGAGTGCTGCCGACGGTGCTACCAGTGCCAACTGGTTCGGTGTTATCGGTCGTGGTAGCATTTCCGGTGCGAGTCGGCCCAGTGTTACCCGTCGCCTCAGTGGCGCCGTGGTGGTGCACATTTTCACCAATCGTACCAGTAGTTCCGGTAGTGCCAGTGGTACCGGTATTGCCAGTATAGCCACCGGTAGTGGAGGAGCCAAGGTTGTGGTGGCCAGCGGTTTGGTGAGTACCGGTGCTACCAGTCGTGCTGCTGGTTCCAGTGGTGCCAGTAATACCCTCAGTGGCTGTGGTCTTGTTGCCGTTCAAGGAGGAGCTCACGGGGCGAGGCTCGCCCTCAAAGGCGTCATAGCGCTCTTCGCGGCCAGTCAAGGCACCGCCATGCTTCTTGAAGTCGGCCATGCTCATAGCTGGCAAGGTAGAGGCAGAGTGGTGCTTAGCGGCATTGTGGTGCACTTCATGGATTGGCACGGTAGTGTGCACGACTGAAGGTTGGATGGTCTCCTTCTGGACGACAGGTTGAATAACCTCATGGACGTGGTGGTGGTGATGCTCGCCCGCCACCTGAGGGGCAAGACCATGAGTGTGCTCCGTCTCGCCAGTTGTCTGGGTGTCTTTGAATTGAGCAGCCTCCTGCTCGAGGCGAGCCTTAACCCTCTCCTTATCGTCATGTTCATGAGAACGGTGCTCGACTGGGATGATGTTGTGATGGTGTTTCTCAGGCAGAACCTCTCGGTCCTGTACAGGCTGGACCGAGGTGTGGTAGTGGTCCTGGTGAACCTCGCGGTCGAGGGCTGTAGTAGCCTCTTCGTGTTCCTTCTTAGCAATGTGTTCCTGAGTCACAGCAGGGGCAACCCGCTCGTGGACAGTGGTATCATGGTGACCACTACGGTGGCTACACACGCGTTAGACCCCTTCTTTATCACTCCATGACGATAATAATGGAGAGACATACATGAAATCGTTGACAGCAGCCTTGGCTTTCTCCATTTTGTGAGTATGTATTGAGGTGGAAATAGACGGATAATGTAAGTACGCGTGGGGTTTGTCTTGAGAACAGAAAGGTTCAGTAGATAGTCGTGATGAGTATCCTACAAGAAGATGTAGAAGAGGCAATAAAAGATTAGTGAGGATGGGTTATTTTGAATCAGCGAGGGGAGGTTTAAGCAGCCTTATATGGTAGGTGCAGAGGTGGAGGTGCACCTTCCCTCCGGGTGCCCAACATCATACACACCACTCGCTTTCATCATCACCATCATCATCATACATATTCGCAACCAGCCGTCCCGCCCACGACATAATGAGTAAAGGGCTTTACTACTCGTATATCGTTAGGCAAACTGCACAGGCCAGACCATCGGCTCTTACCGTTATCAGCCACAGCTGAACAGACAGGAAATGCCAAATCCCTGGGAGGGGAAGTATACCCCTAACCCTTTCTAAAGCTCTGTTTGCCATTTAAGTTAGCTAACAGCAAATCGATGGGTAAGATAGGTGCCAAAGCACCGAAATGGCACCATCAACCGTACCGAAGCTTTTACGTCAGAAGATGGGATTTCGGACCGGCCGGCCAGAATCCCAAAGAGATGTTCTACCAATTATGCCCAAAAATGAATGCAACCTGTTTGGTCAACCAAAAGGCCAATCAGTCGTGACGCCTACGACGTCCCTCCCGCGGAAAGGGCCCGGTCAGCTGCATGAAGTGACTTCTCCTTCTAGTCACACTTCTGCTACTCGTACAATGCTTCAATGGCCGTACCAAAGCTTTCCATGGGAGCTGGCAAATTATTTGGACTCCATGCGCCACAGTGTGATCGAGAACCCCTCAAAGTGGCCACTTTCCACCTCTTCAGACCATTCTCGGATAAACCAAAAGGCTAAGAGCACCATAGCGGCAAGGGTCTGGACAAGACAAGCATCGATCCTTCCTCGACTTGGCGATTTCCATGGCTCGTTGGCCCCGTTAGTTTGTGATCGTCGACTTTTAGTCGCAAAGCTCATCTGAACCCAAGTCGACAGTTAGTGGGTGATAGTGAGCTTGGCCATGACGTCCAGGGATCGGGGTTCTCGACGCGATCCCGGCGGGGCCAAGCGAAGCCCTTAATTCGACTGAATTGTGTGACGGGCTACAGGGAAACGTCACTCTTCAGTCAATACCCTCTGGGCCTTAGCCAATCATTATGAGATTCTATGACTGCTTGTTATCGAACATGAGCTGATTTTTTGCAACACCGCGCAGTGACCTAAAATTATGAATAACAGCCTCTACAGATCTCCACATCGCCTCGGCGTACAAGCTCTTCATGTTAGATCCAATCCCCTGAGCTGCAATACACTAACAAGAGCTATCAGCTTTTGCTATGGTAAAATATCAGCTCTCAGTGAACGGGGACGTCTTTCATGTCCGAGAAATTCACCGAATTGCGGATTCAGTAAATCGTTTACGCAATGCTACGAGTATTTGGAGCTTGACGTTATTCCCTAGACTAACCTCTGCCCCGAGATGTTCTAGACCAAAATTAGTCCTTTGTCCGCGTGGCGTGCGGCTTTTGCATTTGCAACGCGCTCTCAGAGAAGTGAATGGGAATGCAAATCCCCATGGCCAAAAGGGATGAGGACATTGAGAAGATTGAAGATCAAGCCACAGCGTTCGAAGAGGCCGCACACGGACGTCATGAGGCTTTCGCAAGGGTCAGAACTCATGGGTTTGTTTTGGTCCACTTAGTCATGCTAGTTTCTGAGCAAGCGTGGCGTGGCTTCTCCATAGTACGCTTACCCCAGTGGCTTTCCCGCCTTGGCATCTACCACGTTCCCGATCTTCGAGCTCAATGCTTTTCTCCTTTGTAGCTATATTGATTCTGCAGGGCAAACTATCTGTGCCAAGCTCTCTCTTTAGGCCCACGCTACAATACGTGTCATGTACTGAACCACGGGAATTGCACTGTATGGTACCTGTTTAGTTGCAGTGCCAGCAGGTTGTTTAAAACACGCCCAATTGCAAGTGATTGTTGGTTCATCTCACATGCGAGGATGCGTGATTGGTCTGGCGCTTCCCCAATGGCATTTCGGATTTACCCAGCAAAAAGTTGGAAAAGCAGGAAATATTGCAGAAGCACATAGTATTCTACAGCGCATTTTTTGGAAGACCAAGAAAGAAAGAAATAGAAATCCCTAGCTTGAGTAGATGCTGCTGCTTGTGGCGTGCAATAGCAGATCGTGACTGCCATTTCTCTGACGTAGCGTCACCAGTTCTTCCCCACATAGGAGAGCTAACCACGAGCGCAACCATCTCCGTGCACAAAGGAGCGATCTGCTACTGACGCACTGTTTACCCAATCTCATCATCTAATGGCATACTGCAGGCCGTGACAAAAGCAAAACTCTCGCCTTTTGGAACTGCAAAGCCTCTACCAAGGTACTCGATCCAAGCCGGTACATCGTGATTCGTCACTTCCTGCATACACTGGTAAAGGTTTAACAGATTGGAAAATCTCTCGGAAGAAGCCTGGAACCTTCGTCACACTCTCCTGTCCAAGTTGCAAGGTAATTGCAGACTGTTTACCGGGAGTGGATAACAATTTTGCTACACACTGGAACCGCTCCCCATGGAGTCGCGCATAAAGCGACTGTTTCGGAGCAAGAGCAAAAAGCACAAGCAGGAACAGGGCCAGAAGACACAACCACAAACCCTTCGATCCCACCATGGGCGCACCGATGGGGCGGCACGAGCTGACCCCTTACTGCGGACTTCTGCATATGAATCGCTTCCTGCACGCGGGGAGCCGCTTACCGGAGCCTATCCGCTGAGAGGCAATGGCGAAGGCTCTGCTCCAATACTCAATGGACGCCAACGTGCTCTGCGACAAACGCATAATGGATTGGGAAACCCTCATCGCGCCACCAAGAGTGACGTTGCAGTGCCACCCTTGCCGCCGGACATGGAAGATGCCCTAAAACATCATCGCCAGTCAGCTTCTACCGGAAACTTGAGCAATACTATGCACAGAAACGGCGTACCTGGAATGGCCTTCACCACAGACAAGCCAGAACCTCTCACGAATCATGGTATCTCCCGAGATGTCTTAACGACGGCCTCGGGAAATGGGGACGGTCAGTCTCGCCGCCGCAAGCCGCCTCCAAGGCAGCATGTTGACTTACTTTTAGCAGCCGGACTCCCACATGAATATTCAGCTAAAGCCCCACCTGCTCCGAGGAATGGAAACTATAACGAAGCCATAGCTGATCGCAATATTGAAAACACAAGCACGGCAATGCCGGACCACTCCAAGATATTGAACGGCGACGGACACCGTGTCTCTTCGGAGCGGAAGCTGCCTGAAGAGACATCCAAACCACTGGCAGCTGGGCAAGGCGCTCCAGTCAATAGTGAGCTTGCTTCTTCTCTCATTGAACGCGCGCGAAATGGCGAGTCGCCACCACCTCGCCAAAGTTCGAGAAATCAAGCAGAGTTACGGGAGAAAGTGGATGGCGACCGATCAGTAAGGGAAAGGCCTTACTCTGGAGTAATTTTGTCGGCAACGCCTCCGGGAACACGTAACGTCTCGAGCAATCAAAATGACATGCTAAACAAGTCTTTGCCACCTGTGCCAACTACAGAGAGGGAAAATGCAAGCGTCGTGTCCAAGAATGAGCCTAGAGCAACAGAGAAAGCGGAGCCTTCAAATACTACTAGTGAGGTTACGAGGAAACCTTTTCCGGTCCAGGATGGTTCAAAGCTACCGTCACTAGAGGGAATAGTGGATCTATCCAATACTGTCGATACGACCGTCTCAGAAAGAGTTGCACCAGGTATATCCTCTCCCCAGTGCCTATGTTTTGGATATCTGGCTCAGTCTCAACAGCTGTCACCCATGAAACCGTGAGCAAGAAGATACACCACTCTCGCGAAGAGGTCACCACGCGTGAGATTCATCATCACGAGGTTTATCATCGAATTCAGCCTATCATAGACGTGGAAGTGTTGCCTCCGCGTCATTTTCTCCCAGTTGAAGGGGGCGGTCTCGTGGAAATATCAGGCGACAATCTTCCAGGACGTCAAGGTCATTGGGTAATCGCGGAAACAGTCTCAAATATTCCGTCCGACGAGCAAGCTCCAGATATTTCTCCACGATTCTCCGCCCGGAAGTTTGGACCCACCGAAGGAGAAACGTACAAGACAGTCTCCCCCGAGGGCATACCGCAGACCCATCAGACATGGATCCATCCTCCGGTTTTAGAGACTGAAGGGATGGAAACGGGGCAGACATGGCCAATGACTTTTGAAGACACGCTTCCGCACCGACCGAAGAAACAGTCAGAGTCATGAGCCTGTTCGACAACGTCACTAGCAAAGCCTGGATGAAGACGAAATGACGCCAGAACCATTCTACTTAATAAAAAAAAGTACTTTTATCCTTGAATCCACTTAATCTGCAGGGTTGCAACATGACTTTTACCCTGCATCTTGTCCATACTGTACTCCTAGCGTTGTTTTCTATATCCATTTGTTACATGATTATACCTCTTTGCAGTCACAGCGAGTTGCCTTTCCTCATCGTTGAACGGGATCGGTGGGTACTTTTTCCTTGTATTCTAACTCCAAAAATTCTTTTCTTTTCCCCCTCCTCTTCTTTCTATTCATTTTTTTTTATTCATTTTTCTCATTCATTTTTTCTTTTTTATTTTATTTATTTGACCAGAAGTGTATATAATATGCGAATCACCTTATCGGATTAATTAGCACGTAATATTTCCAGTCCAATTGGAGTTTGTATACCCTTTAACGGATGCAGTTTGACCGCACTTTGATTTATTTCAGCTCAATTACCCTTCAATTTCTATTGTTCTTTCCGCATCTTCAACGACGCTCATTAAAGAAAGCTTAACTGAGCCAGTTAAACAGTTAATGTGACGAACGTTCCCCTTACCCACATGCATCGCTTATCGTTAGTCCATTTAACACGCAAAACCAACCAAACTCAACCGGTCCTTCACCACCAAAAATGATTCTTGTCGAAATCTTACGCCTGTCGGCCCTAATGGCCATATGCTTTTACTCATCTCAAGAACAATGCACTTATTATACAAGTGCATTTTGTTTTCTGGTTAAACTACATGCTGCGTTGACTTTCTTATTTTCTTTCTCAACCGGCCAAGGGGGTTATAAAACTGCAGGTGCTAATACAGCTCGGATATCTCAGGATAAAGCCTATCGAACTAACATATAGCTTGAACGTCTGACGCTACTCAGTGGTTATCAGATAACGAAGCGCAACAATGCGGTGACATTTGTGCGCCCTTCCTTTGATATATACGAAATTTTTGACGGATGTGCGATGAGTCTTTATTTGAAAGACATTTTGCATTTTCATTTAGCATTATTGCGCGATTCATTCTGAATATCTGATCGGCGTGCTGGAGCCGGACCTCTTAGTGCACAGCATCCAGATCAACTACAAAACGATTACTCCAGCGGCAATTCTTTGAAGGAAGCACTCTTCTCCACATCATCTGACTTTGTTGCATTTACCCATTCAATACTTTGTTTCATTGCATTATATTTTTTTTCTGCACAGCACATCTGTACAGCATCCTTACTCTCTTATCCTATCTATTCTGCCCCATTCCCATAACATCTCCACAAATGCCTTCCACAAGCTCTGCGCTCCCTGATCCCGTAAAAGCCGCCGTGTTACTCAACAATCGCATTTCTCAATGTTCCTATTCCGACATCGTCAAGCACAACTTTACTCATGCCATATGCAACGCGGCGCCGGGCTCGCACGTGGATTTCTATGATCCCGTCGAGTCCACAGTCTACCCGGATCTGAAAGAATACGACTTGATAGTCTTGAGCGGCGGCACGGCAAGTCTAATTGACCTTGAGCCTGAGCTGTGGGTGCCCAGGATGCTGCAGTTTGTGCGGGACGTGGTTGAGCATAATCTTGGCTTTCGACTTCATTTTGAGAAAAAAGAGAGTAGTGACGAACGGTGGCCTATAAAGGACGTGGATTTGAAGATGAGGAAGAAGATAAAGTTGGTCGGCGTGTGTTGGGGCCATCAGGCGATTGCTAAAGCCCTGGGAGGGGAGATTGGTATGCGAGATGATGGGCCGTTGGTAAGTTTTATTTACCTCTCTTTTTATTATTATTGTTATTATTGATTCTCTTGATTCTGTTTATTTTATTTTATTTATTTATTTATTTATTTTCTGGCATTTGGCGTTCGATTTATCATTCGATTGCGTTTCGATTCGATAATTTGGTTTGAACTTTTATACTCTTCTTCACACGACAAGGGAACATGAAGACGTCTTTCTCTGTAGCCAGGCGCCGTGATAGAGCTATAGAATCGTTGGGCTGCAGCTAGCAAGGACATGGCGCGATATTCCAACAACATGCTAACGAAACTCATTTCTCAGCTCGGCGTATATCCCGTAAAATTATCACCTCAAGGAAAATCCTTCTTCTTCCCTGATAAAAGTATCAGCAGTCCTGAAACAATTGTACGTATTCCTTTCTCCTCCTTTCCCTCCTCCATCTTCTTCTCACCTCCTTTCCCCTTTTCCTTTCTTCCCCTTTCCATCTTTTTCGTTTTCGTTTCTCACGGAAACAAAACAACAACTTGCAACACTTACACCATTCTCACACGTCACACGTCACACGTCATCTATATCAATGACCACAGCTCATCACATCCAACTACGTACAGAATCTACATAAATTCCACAAACGTATCGTGACCAAACCACCGACTTTACCCGTCCTAGGGAAGCCCAACACGCACTTTCTCCGGCTTTCTGCTGACCCCGCAAACGACATTTTCATCTCGCCATGCAACAATATCCTTTCCTTCCAAGGACATCCGGAGCTGGACGAGACATTGGCGAAGGCGCTTTTGACAAATTCGCCTGATTACCGAGATAGGTTCTTGGCGTCTGCGAAAAGGGTTGAAGACGGAGTCGAGGACGTTATCAAAAGTAAAGTAGAAGATAAAGTTGAAGACAGAGTCCAAGATAAAGATACACAGCAGGACTTGTCTGATTCCAAAAGGCAAGAGGATGCTGATGCGGTGGGACAAAAGGGTAGGAGTGAGACGGGAGAGGAGGATTCGGAGGAGAATACGGAGGATGATAAGGAGAAGGAGAAGGAAAAAGAATTGGATGCCGTGTCGAAACGCATGGAACAGGGACATGATGGGCTAGATGTCTGGCGGAGAATACTGGCGTGGGTGAGGGAGTAAATGTTAAAGTGCGTAGGGACCTAGTCGGATAAAGTGCAGTTTGGCTGGCTTTGTATAGGGATTGATGGGTGGAAGGGCAGGGGATGGTATGAGTAGATGTTGTGTAGATATTGTCGTATATATAAGTGATGTGTACTACATGAACTTGAGATTTTATAGAATAGATGGTAGACTAGGGTCACGAGTCTTGAGCATTGTACTGAAGACGAGTTAATTTGGCAAATAAACGGGAAGAACAGTCGTGACGCGTGTCGTAGAAGTAGAATAACGTTTAGTCATTGGTAACATATGACTATCATGAGTTTGCATATCTACAAATTCTCCCCCTCTTCCCTATTTTCTGCTGAGGAAAAACGCCAGCCAACGCCCCATGACCATAGAAGAAAGGAAACAATGTACGGAAAGAGGAAAAAGACAACGTCATGCTGCGGGGTATATAGACGTGATGATCTTGCCGAAAAAGAGACGAAAGGAGAAGAAAAACATTGAGTTGAATGGATCGACTACCAATTCCATGTTCGCGAGGCTGCGGTAAAGACGGGCGGCTTCCACTGCAGCCGCTCCGGGTCGATGTTGTGTCTCTTTTTCAGCTTTTCCTTTTCTTTCTGCTTTTCTTTGGCAGCGACGACGGCATCGGTAAGTACAATGACGTGTTGTCCTTTCTGCAAAGCGGTCAGTAAGCGCTTTTGCCTGGAATATGCACATGGCAATTGAAGAGAAAACAAGGGAATATGGCATACCGTATATCGTAACATGTTAAGATTTTGCAAAGTATGAAGCACGTCATTCGTTGTCATTGCACTCAGCGCGCTGAGTTCTTCAACCGTGACTTCCGAGCGACCCTCCATGAGAATATCAATGACAGTTTCCTGCCAGTACGCACGGTATCCCAAAAGACCCAAGTCACTGAGTGGCTTTTCTGGACTTCCTAGTTTGCCCTCACGCTTGGAAAGCTCATAGGAGAAGGCCATGAGCAGGCGACCAAATCCCTTGCGCTGGTGTTGAGGAAGCGTGAGAATACAAGCTAAGTTGTACCCCTCCGCCGAGTCCTTTTCCTTGGAGAAATAGCCGACGAGATGACAGCCGTATTCGTCGCGGGTACACATGCAGTAGAAGAGAAAGGGATCGACGTCGTAATAGAGTGTCTTATGATCAAGGAAGAGTTTTGATATCAGACACAGGTTGCGGCAATAAGTCCGCTGTCTCCGGCCGTCTATTTCAAAGAAACTAATGTAGTCGTCTCGATAGATTTCGTTTCCTGGGGGGTGCAGCAGGGTGCATTTTGCTCGGTGTCGTTCGAACTGTCGTAGTTCGCCAAAATACGAGAGACAGAACTCGCAAATATACATCATGTCCTCCTCGGTATACTCTATCGGGTATGGAGAAAAATACCAGGGCTCAATCTCGTGGGCACCCATTTGGATTCGGGTCAGGTTTCGTACACGTGAGATTTCAGTCTGGTTCTGAGTCATTGACCCCGATGTGCGGAGTTTTTCGATTTCCTCCTCCCGGGAAAAGGTTTCAGGCGCAGCAGCTTTGGCAGCAGCAGCGGCATCTTGGACATCCTCAAGGTCGATTTCCTCGTCGTCTAGCCGAGTACTCCCATCGAGAACTTCGGTCTGCACGACAGCAATAGACTCGCTGTTCTCCTTGCCCCCAGCTTTGGAAGGTCGGGGTGCTTTGCCGGGGATGTTAGCAGAAGTGGCTTCAGGAGTAGCAGACGCCTCGGAGCTGGTGCCAGGCCGGGGTCTTTTCTGGCCCTTGGGCACTTTAGAATCTGCTTTGGAATTTTTCGACTGCGTGGTTCCAGTCTTCTTCTTCTCCGGCTTCTCCGGGGCAGGCCACTCGACCTCTTTTGAAAGGTCAATGCGCTCGGCTTGAATCCATTCTGCGGATAATCAGAGAAAAGTCCAGTGAAAGAAGCTTGACGCTTGTACTTACCGTCTAGACGTTTGTTGAACTCTTCGTAGTGGACACTGCGGGAGGTGTGAGCACGTTACATTTACAAGGAAAAGGCAGACGGCGACTTACTAGTAATAAGGTTGACCCTTCCGTTGCTGAATAGACAAAATTTCTGCCTTGCGTTTTTCGCCATCCTATAATTATTAGCAACTGTAACGCAAAACTGAAAATTATAAATGGCTGGTAATATGAAAATCGACTCAAAATACAGGCAGAAAAAAGGACAAGTATAAATATTCAAACTCAAAAAATAAAACAAAGAAAGAATCAAGAAAGAACAAAAAGCACTTGGATGCAAATTTCGACAGAAAAATGTCAAGAAAGCACAAAAACTGCGTCACTCCGGGAAAAAGCACACCCGCAGAGTTCCAATATCAAACCGCGACCGAGACATCGCGGCTTCCCATACAAACTAAGCGAGACCTGCAGAAAACTCGAAAGGAACGCCCAGGCTCACCTTGTCCACAAAGGCCTTGACACCGATCCTAAATATGAGTTAGAAAGACATTTGAATCATTCATATAGTGCGAAAAGTCAAGGGAAAAATGGCCGGGGAAAAAATTCGTACCGTAAAGTGGCAAGGGTAGCGAACCCCTTCTCGACGGGATCTGGCGTTCCCACAGGGTCCTGAGAGGATTCTCTCGGTGCCATATCAAGCGCACATACGTATGAATACACTCAAATGTATTTTAGAGATGAAATAGGTCGGCAAAGATGATCTTTTGATGAAAATTCTCCCAACGGTAATGAGATGTCGTTGCGGATTCCTTTGCTTCGCGAGGCGAATATACTGATGACCGTACTGGGTTCGGCTGGTTGCGAGAGACTCGACAGCCGCATTGGGTATAGTCTACGGTAATCCGTTGCCACACCAGGTACAAGCTATACTGTAATGCCCTCTGCGCTCCCCTCGCTCAACATGGGCTCTCAAAATCACGAACAATTTATTTCATTGACAGTGGATGGAAAATGTAAATTTTCTAGTCTAGACCTTGGGACGTATATAACCATGGCATTTTCCTGAAAATTGTCGTTCGCGCTATTCATATCATGTCTGCCTCAAAGGACAAATGTCTACAAATGAGCTACCGCATCGGTCGCGGCGAACAAGGTGTGCTAAGCTTCGAACCGTATAAATCCGCCTTACTCCCTCTCTGGCGATTCCGTACTCTATCAGTTGCCAGGAAAAGTGCAGAGGATCTGTGGATAAAGTTCCAAGAGTATGAAGAACAAGGTGACTTTGTAGGAATGGATATGACCAGGAAGTTCTTGCAAATGGTAAGGTGCGGAAGCGTGCAGGCGAGGCTCCTCTGTTGACAGGTCTTAGGGGATGACACGGGCAAAAAGATACGCAAATCACGCTGGAGGAAGAAAGTACTCGAAGGAGACTGGGAAGGAGCTCCAAAAATCCAGCCAACATCCTGACGCAGCCGAGAAACTCGCCGTATCTGACCTTTTTCGAGGGTACTGGAACAGGTGCCTTAGCCATGATGGATATCAAGAGAAGAAGAAAGCATTTCTCAAAGAGCAACATGAATGGGATAAACTTCAGCGAAGTAGCATATCCAGGAAATGAAAATAATAGCAAGATGAGACTGAAAGTATAGAAGAATACCAAAGATGAACGTCATGTACTTTCAAGTATATCCTTTTACTCCCGATGCCCAACGCCTTTAATGCATACAAACTCCACTTGAAATGCTTCACTGTTTATTTAATCCTTTTTCTGTGAGTGCGCGTTTGTGGGATGTGAATGCATCTGTAAGCTGTCAAAATGTCGCCAGGCTCCACGAAAATTAAAGAAATACTCACTGCTTCCGAAAATTGGATCCATTCCTGAATCCCTTTCAAGTACGCATCGCTACCCTCATCAGGCTCTGCTTCATGCCCCCAAATGATCAATTCATCAAATGAAGCTTGCTGCTCAAGGATTTTAGTTGGAGGAATGTCTTCTTCTCCTTCCTCGTCCACCCCTTCATCAAGCATGATTCCGACGGATGTTCTTCTCGGCTCAATTCCGTGATTGTGAGGAAGCCGCTCTCCTTTGCTTGCGGCGACAATGCCTTGATCAATTTCTTAGCAAGATTCCAAAAATTTGATGTTTCCTATAGGGGCGTACCCTCGTAACCTTCTGGTACTTTGAGCGCTCTACCAACCAACTTTCGCCCTCTGAAATAGGCAGACATTTTTTCATCTTTTCAATGTAAGCTTTTTGTGTTACTATAAAGCCCTTGATAGTCTTACCATCTTCAGTCTTTGGCGCCCAGAAGCGCGAAGACGCGTTCAGTGAGCCATTGTGATTGATCCGACAAGGGAGTATGTTGGGAGAACAATTGGAGGATTCAGATTTTGTCCTCTTAATAGCAAGCATATTTGCTTACAGGGAAGGTCTCAATATAGGATATGTGTACAAGATGATGATTGTATATGGTGAGATTATTGTACAAGTGAAGTCAAGAAGCGCGTGGGGAATTATTTTCGCGTCGCGCGCCAGAGCAGCTGCATCCAATTAAGTTACCCGATCGGGACATCGGCCTACCCCGAACAATCTGCAACACTTGATGAGATGAGATTATGACGTTGAATTTTAACAACTATCTACAATGAATGGGCAATTCAAGTTATATATTTTATTTCTTATGAAAGGCGAAACCGAATACTTGCTGGCCCGTCAATGGTCTTTGCAAGTTCTATTTTTGAGCTGCTGCAAACCATGGCTCGGCAGCAGCCGAGGACCCTGAATCTGCAGCTGTCGATCATGTTGCTCACTGTTGCTTCATATTACTTCGAGATTGACACGCGCAGCTTGCTTTGAGAATATTTATGGGTTTCTTAGTCTATTTGCAGGAATTTTTTATTCGATCAGTCTTACTCTAAAAGGTCGTTCGGAACGATGTTTGCGCCGAGCTCTCAGGACGGAGAACGCTGCCGTTGCTGCGCGCGACTATCAGGTACAAGACGTCATGACTTGCTTCAAGCGGTAACTAACGCAGCATCTAGACGGTCTCAGCAGTCACCACAAGTGCCTTTACCTTTGCACTCTGGTTCATTCCCACTGCGAATCTGTTCAGTCGTGGTCATCAAATCCCGATCTATGACATCTGACAATAAAGATGAGCAACCCGACTGGCTGCTCGGCCTGCGGGTCTCTAGCACCAGCTTGGGGCACCCTTCCAACAATTGCACCTCCAGTGCCTAAGCTCGTGAGGGCAACTGCTCTTGTTTCCGATATTTGTTTAATGCTTCTCCAGTCTAGCGCACGGTCCGCCAGAATGAAACCTTTAAATGACGACTTCTCCATGTCGGCCGGAGTTAAACTCTCAAGCTTCTGCCGACTCCCTTTGCCGCTTGCGGCGCTTTTTCTATTAATCCAAAAAACCCTCAGACCCTGCACTCTCTACTAAAACAAACAGCTTCTGCTATGGCTATCGCAGACTCCGTTTCCAATAGGTTTCAGCTTCTGCGAGCTTATACCGCTGACATAGCGTGGGAGCCCTTTCTCCAATTCTCACGGAGAGCAGTCATTTCTCTGTTCTCTCGTATACGGCGGGGCAACTTGGAACTTATTGATAGAGATGGCTCAATTACAAAGCTAGGTTCCTCAGGGGACACTCCTTCAGTGCGATTAGCTGTGAAGGATGAGATATTTTGGGTGCGATTGCTCTTGTATGCCGATATGGTATGTCCGGGCTTCTTCCATGGATGATATGTAGTCGGACTAATCAGATAATGGGAACAGGGCTTTGCGGAGAGTTACATGTTGAATGAATTTGATTGCTCTGATTTGGTTGCATTTTTCCGAGTAAGTTCTCAGCAGTTGGCTCATCCGGTTTTTTCTTGAAATTGACGTGCCCCAGCTATTCATCCGTAATCGCGAGCAACTGTCTAATGGAACAACTCTTTCGTCGTCTCTCATGTCAGCTATAAATGGCATCGCCAGGAAATCCAATACGCTGTCAAATGCTCGACTTAATATATCTGCGCATTATGATATCAGCAACGCCATGTTTGCAGCATTTCTATCCAAGGATATGACATATTCCTGCCCTATATGGCTGCCAATCTCAGATCCAAGACATGTCACGGAGACCCTTGAAGAGGCACAGGAACGAAAGCTGCAGCGGTTTATTTCGAACGCACGGATAAAATATACAGATCGTGTGCTTGAAATAGGCACTGGTTGGGGATCTTTTGCCATTGCTGCGGTCAAAGCGATTGGATGCCGAGTCACGTCTTTAACCCTGAGCATAGAGCAAAAAGCTTTGGCAGAGAAGAAGATTGCTGCTGCTGGACTGACAGATAATATTGAAGTGATTATCTGTGATTATCGTGCCTTGGAGGTGCCTGACGAGGGACCATTCGATAAAGTTGTGAGCATTGAAATGTTGGAGGCCGTGGGGCGCGAATATCTGCACACGTATTTTGAATGTATCGATCGATTGCTGAAGAAGGACGGCGGCATCGCAGTGTTCCAGTGCATAACAATGCCGGAATCGGTATGTTTATCTATCACGGCACCTGCTTGCTATTCTCAAAAAATGCTAATATGCAATAGCGGTATGAAGCCTATTCTAAAGGCGAAGATTTCATCCGCAAATACATCTTTCCTGGCGGCCACCTGCCAACCGTGACACAACTGACTGATTCAATACAACGCGGAACGGCTGGGTCGCTCATCATAGACTCTGTGGAAAACATAGGCCCACACTATGCCAAGACATTGCGTTTATGGAGAGAAAACTTTATGCAGAATTTTGCATTACAGATTCGACCTGCACTTTTGGAAGAACACGCTGGAATGACCGTGAACGAGGTTGAAGTTTTCCGTCGCAAATGGGAATACTATTTCACCTATTGCGAGGCAGGCTTCAACACAAAGACGTTGGGTGACGTAATAATAACGGCTAGCAGAGAGGGCACGATGGAGATGCTAGAAGATGTACCGCTCTAATTAAATCAATTCTGATCCTTTTATTTGCAAAATTCAGATATTATTCCAATTTCTCTTGAACGTTTCAAGTATTGACTTGCGCGAATGATGAGATTGAAGAAGCGGATAATTGACCAAATGAATGATCTCATTCTAATATCTAACGCCACGCGGCTCGATGCAATTGTAGTGTGTAATATAAAAACAGGTCCAAACTATGCAGCCTCAACGCCCAGAAATGATTTAAAAACTCTTTACAAACCCCCGCCGTGAGTTTATTTCTTGCCCTTCTTCTTCTTTTTCTTCTTTGCGTTATTTTTCTTTGACCCTTCTCCGTCTTGGCCGGCTGCAGCTTTTGCGCCAGGAAACTTTTTGGCATTTTCTCGGTCGAATGCGTCTTTAAATTTTCTGAAGAGCAGCATGGTCGCGCGCGCATCTTCGACACTAGAATGTTCTCCGCCTTGGATCTCGACACCAAGCACTTCTCGAGCAAGTTTCCTCAGTCCCGGCGTCTTTCCCATTGCCAGTTTCCGGAACTCGGGGAGTCGAGAGGTATCCCGCAAATCCCTACGAGGATGACTGAGCAAGAGCACTTCCAAGTCATGCTTGACCGCATGTCCGATAAGGATCCGACCCTCCATGATCTCAGAGACTTCGGTTTGTACGGTCGCGAATGTCCGCGCAGTCTTCATTGATGCGGGCGATACACCGCTGATGGGGGTACGCCAGTCTGTGACGCGCTCTTGAGGGATAACAAAGCTGTCATAGATTTGGTGTCCGTGATAGTTTACGATACTGACTCGAGCGAGAGCAGAGCGGCCTGATTCGACTTCCACCATTTCGCAATCGAGAGATATGTATTTTCCTATTTGCGCACTGATCACATTTAGCATCCGTCGTACTCTACCAGTATCCTCGGACTAAGGTGAAAAAATTGTCACATTGTATTGAAGTCCTAATGTGATCACTTTAAGAAGGGAAAAAGCAAGTGCATACTCACGTCTTTGACAACCCTTCATTGACAACATCCTTTGTGCCTCCACTGCCAGCAACCAGAGTCAAGTTTCCGCCATAGGCCTCGGCGAGAGCCTTTGGAGATATGTCATTATCTTCGGCCCAGAGTGCGAGGGAAGCAGATGGCTTGGCCTGCGCATCGTTCTTTGCGCCATTGACTTGTTGCGACTCCTCCATGCTTGGCCGGTTTCGCTTTTTAGGTACTGTGGAATCGGTATCTCTTCGTGTGCGCTTCTTAGAAGATTCTGCCTCTAATTCAGAGGAGATTATTTTTCTTTTCTTGCTTTCTGACGACTTTATACTCGTCGAACCAGGCTTTGTCGTTTTCGAGGTCGATTTGGGAGCAGGCTGCTTTTTCGTCTCGTCTTTTGGTTTTGACGGTGATTTGCCCTTCTCCGCTGCCAATTTGGCCTGCAGCTGTTTCCAGTTGCTGGAGAGGTTCTTTGAATCCATTGCTTGAAATATGATTATCGTATCATGATCGTGTAGATTGTATGCTGTCTTTTTGGTTTTCTGGAGAAGAAGTGGAAGAATGAATGAGTTATTCTTACACTATGAGATGAACTAAACCAGACCGCCTTCGTCTAGTTTTGGCTGAACCGGCAAAATCAACCAGGAAATCTTACCACCTCAGCCCAAGTTTCTCTCTTCCTGAGGCACCGTGGCGTGATGCCTAGAAAATATAAATAAAGGCCGAAAGATTCGCACAAAAGCAATTTTGAAAATTTGGCTTCAAAACTTTAAAACAAGCACGGAAATAGGTATGTGGAAAATTGGCTTAAATGCTTAAAGGACTTTCCCCCATTGTCATGCCTGATCGGCAAAACCCCCGTCTCCCCCCCATGTCAAATCCACCTCCAACATCTTCGTTGATTTGTTTCTTTGATTTGGATACAGCATAAAGTCCACCACCACTCTCGTTCTTGTGCATACTACTTTAATTGGTGGATTCTAATTGATTGCATCAGCTAATAAATTGCCAGCCAGCATGGCAATGGGTCAGTCGCTGGCATCACGGCCGCTGCTCCGGCTCGCGGGTCGTCAATCCCGCAACTGCCAGCAGCTGTCTCTACGTCAATTCCACCAACTGCGATCCTCTAGGCCATCAATTGCTTCTACCAGATCAACCGCCTCCTCCGCTACTCGCTGGACAGCCACACGCTCTGCCTCAACCGGCGCGGCAGCGGCAGCAGACGCACGGTCTGGCATCACGCGAGTCAAGAACCTGGTGCTTGGGACAACAATCCTACTCTTCTCAACCGCCGGATTCTACTACTTCACCGACACTCGGGCGAGCGTACACCAATGGCTCGTGCCGCGCATAATCCGCACGGTCCTGCCCGACGCCGAAGATGCGCACGAATACGGCAACAAGTTGATGAAAGCCATGTGGGACTTTGGCGTACACATCCGGGAGCGCGCCAGCCCTGACAATACCGGCGAGCTCAAGACTGAGGTACTACCCTCCTCATCTTTCCCCAATACCTTATTAACTTTGTCCCTATCTAACAACAATTCCCTAGATCTTCGGACACACGATTTCCAACCCCATTGGCACCTCCGCCGGTCTTGACAAGAACGCAGACATCCCCGACGCCCTCTTCGCTCTGGGCGCCGGCATTGTCGAAGTCGGCGGAACCACCCCCAAACCTCAACCCGGAAACCCATCTCCACGCCTCTTCCGCATCGTGTCCCAACACGCTCTCATCAACCGGTACGGCCTCAACTCTCTGGGCGCCGACGAAATGGCACGGCGTCTACGCCAACGCGTCCGGGAATACGCATACAAGCACGGTCTCGGCGCCGACGAAGAAGCCGAGCGTCTCGTCCTCAACGGCGCCGCGGGCGTCCCGCCCGGCTCCTTGACCGCCGGTCGACTCATGGCGGTGCAAGTCGCCAAAAACAAGACCACGCCCGACGAGGACATTGAAGCCGTCAAAGCCGACTACGTGTATTGCGTGGACCGGCTGGCCAAATACGCCGACATCATCGTGGTGAATGTATCCAGCCCCAACACGCCCGGCCTGCGCACCCTGCAGCGCGTCGAGCCTCTGACCAAGATCCTCACAGGGGTAGTCAACTCCGCCAGAGCCGCCGACCGCGCCACCAAGCCCGCCGTCATGGTCAAAGTCAGCCCGGACGAAGACTCGGCCGAGCAAATCAGCGGCATCTGCGAAGCCATCTACGCCGCCGGCGTCGACGGCGTCATTGTCGCCAACACCACCAAGGCTCGTCCCGCCGCGCTTCCTACCGGTTACGCTCTCCCCGCCAAAGAACAGGAAACCATGAAAGAACAAGGCGGATATTCTGGGCCCCAGCTCTTTGAGAAGTCCTTGGCCCTTGTCAAAGCGTACCGACGCGCCCTCGACGACCATCCCGCCAAGGATGAGAAAGCAGCCAGCAAAGTCATTTTCTCGTCCGGCGGTCTGACTAACGGCCAGCAGGCGCGCGAGTTGCTCAATGCCGGCGCCAGTGCCGCCATGTTGTATACCGCCTTGGTGTTTGGCGGTGCGGGCACGATTACTCGGATCAAGAAGGAGCTGGTGGAGCAGAAGCAGGAAAAGTAGTGATTCTGTTTTTCTTTTCTCTTCTTTTTATCTTCGTTTTCTCTTTTTGATTTCCTTTTCTTTTATCTTTTTCTTCTGATTTGAGAGTTTCTCATTTCTCATTTTCTTTTCCTTTTTTTTCTTTTGTTTTCTTTTAATTTTTATCTTCCTTCTTTTGTTTTGTTTTGAGAGTTTCTCCTTCAAATTCTCATTTTAAGATTCAACTTTTATATCCTCCAATTTCTTTTCCATTTCCTTTTACATTCTACACTCCATCCCGTCTTCTTCTCCATTTTTTCCACTTTTCATTTCGTTCAATGTAAAGTTCCACTTCCATCGCTTTTACTTTTTGAAGATTACAGCGCATAGCCGTCTAGAGTTGATCAAAAGAAACAAGAAGCTAGAACATTTTTGCAAGCAAAGATTAAAGCGACGGCGAGAATACCAAGATGAATAAATAAACAATACAATGCAATGCAATACAATACAATATAAAATTCTATTTCCTAACTAGCTTTTCCAACTGGTAATAACTACACTACTATAGGTACCTAACCTTTAGGTACAGAAGTGGCTTCATGCCAAATGTGTATTTTGCCAGCCCCCTCGTTTTGCTCCTGGCCAAGGTAAAAAGGCAAAGATGAATGAATATGAAGCGAAGGAATACTCTGGAAGAAATGAGAGAAGAAGAAGAAGTACGAGAAAAAAAAAACAGGAGAGAAGAAGAAAAAGGAAAATGAGGAAATGAGAAAAGGAAAAAAAGAAAGCAAAACGGGTATGTTGAATGCCAAAAGACGCTCAATGCATATTGTGCTGCACTATGCTGAAGAGTGCCGAACAGTCATGCCTTTAAAAAATAAGAAAAGAGCAAAAATGAAAAAGCAAAAAGAAAAACAAAGGGATAAACAAGATGAGGAGCAAGTGAGCAGTAAAAGATGGACAAATGAAAGCAAAAATAAGTTTGCTCTATAGATTCAGATCACGCTTAGTACCCTTGCTTTCCCTTCCCTTCTCATGGTGTCGCCACAGCACCGCGCAACCAATTGATCCTGCTACCACCACCAAGGCTATATATTCTGTCCTGGACCCATTACTCTGCCTTAAGGAGACAACCGTTCAAGGGTCCAAGGGGCATCGTCCTCGCCCAGGTCAAGGTCACGCGTATACCTGAAGCGGTCGTGGAGGCGGCTATTTCGGCCCTGCCAAAACTCCACCATGTCCGGGACGATGCGATAGCCGCCCCAAAAGTCCGGGACGGGGATCTTTTCGACGCCCTCAAAGCGCTGTTCGACCTCGCGGACGCGGTCCTCGAGGATATGGCGGCCCATTTCCTCGTCTGGTTTGCCATTGGCATCTACGGCCACCGCAGCGGCAAGGAAAGCGGCTTCTTCGGGGTGGGGGTGGTGAAGAATGTCTCCGTTGATTTTGAGCTTGGCTGCTTCTTCTTCAGGTCCAGATGCACTTATGGAAGCTTCCTCGATTCCAGGTTTCGCTGTTGTCGCAGAGGAAGAGTTGTCAGGGGCATGCTTCCGCTCCTGCTCTTCAGCCTCGGCTTCCACTTCAGCTAGGGCGTCTACTTCCTTTTTCGTATCCTCTTTTGACAAGAGCTTTCTTCTTCCAAGGACTTGGCCCTGCTCGCTTGCCCACGCGCCAATCCGGCTGCCTCGTACGCGGGTATCGTAGTATCGCTGCGCCTCGGCTTGATCGATGCGCTCGACTTTACCCTCGATGCGCACCTGCCGTTCGATTTCGCGCCACCAGAATGTCATGCTGGCGAATGCATTTGTTCGGATGTCGTGCGACTTGCGACTGTGTCCGAGGTTGCTGTACACGACGAATCCCCGCTCGTCGAGTTCCTTGAGGTAGAGTACCCGTCCGCTGACCCGCCCAGATGGTAGGGATGCAGTGGATAACGTGAGTGCTTCTGGAGACGGAATGCCCGACGCTTGAGCTTCGCGGAACCATGCGTTGAACTGGGTCAAGGGAGAGGCTGCGAGAGTTTTGGCAGAGAGGACGCCTTTGGTGAATTGTGCTGCTTGTGCATGCGTTGTAGAGCCGCCAGGCGCGACTATTTGCTATAAGTATTCACATTTACGGAGGCTCTGAAGGGCGGGGAAAATGCTACAAAGACATACAGATGAGATGTTTGGGTCCTGCTGGATGCGCTGTCGAGGCGTGTGCGGGGTTAGGCCCATTTGCTACCGAAGACATTGTGCGATGCTTTTGCGGAGAAAGTGTGGACAAAAAGCGATAACGGCCACGTATATAAAGAACTGTAGAAGAACCAGTTGAGGAAGGTAGACGTGCTGGCCTGTTTGCTCGTCCTATTATTGCTGGAACCGGCGCTGATAAACGTTGGATTCGGATCGGCATGCAACTGTTGTTTCGTGTACCCAAAGACGATTCAGCAGTGGAAATTTATGGTTTCCTTCTTCCGTGTTATTTCAATGAAACGGCGTAATGACACGGGAAAGCGGACAATGAGCATAAGGATCCCGGGGACTGATATTTATGACACTTTGAGCTATCGTGACTGACTTTCTCGAAATCGAATGACGCGTGGAGTCACTTCTATGTCAGAAAGGTACTAGCGCGGGGTAGATGGGGTGAACTCAAAATGACCAAGATTAGATTCATCTAAAGTATCTAATCAATCTTATCTGGGATCACCACCTATTCCAAAAACAAGGATGTCTACGATGTTAACAAAGCATATGACAAGAAAAGTGGCCATCAATGGTTAAATTTCTCCATTTATTCCTGGTATATAATTTCTAGATATTCGAGTAGAGATGATCTTTCCTGTCAACGTCGATGACGCATCCAAAGCAAACAGTTCCTAGCCTAGTGTATCGCGACCTCAGTGCTTCCCTTGCCTGTTTTGGTCTGCCCTTGTTGCCGCTGGTTGGCTCAGAGCGATTTTTAATGAAGAAGGTAGTAAAAGAAATCCAGAGAAAATAAATACTATCCATCCTCGTCATTGTGGAATGGACAGAAAAGCGAGCATTAATAAGAAAATTTAGAAGAAACGAATATGTGAGAACAAAAGAAAGAGAAACGTGGTATAGTAATACATGTAGAAGATGGAAAGAGATGGTTCATGACCAATCAGCAGAATCAGAGATCTCTGCCAAGATCAGAAGTGTTGGGTGTTAAGCCCTCAGTTCAGGATATCAGCCGGCATCTCAGCCAGGCTTCATTTAAAAATTTGTAAAATGACGCAAGCCATGTGCAAGTCATGGATGCTGTACGAGAGCAGCCTTTTTCAGCAAGACATCTCGAGCTCGATAAAGGGAAAAAGAAGTCGTCCAAGGCTGTAAAATTCAAACATGTAACAAAATGAACACGCAAATCCGGTTTGAAGAGATGAAAATCCAACGGCGCCTGCGCCAGATGCTCCGTTCGCCATACGCTGCTCGCATCGGGAATCAAAATTGAAGCAAAGAATAACCAACATCTCGAGTCCCTTACGACTTCTGTTTTAAAATTGAAGCAAAGAATAACCTGTCAACTGCAGTCCAAGCGACTGCCGACTGTGCAGGGATAGATGGCGGGTTTTGTCAAAGTGACGTTGGGTTAAGCAGGTGGAATGACGACCCCAGCTCAGTCACTGTACCGCCACTATGTTCTGGACAAACAATGGGACAGCAACAGAAATTGTCTCATTGTGCCCGATCATTGGCTTGGTCCGTACTTCACACGTACACAACATGTCTGTCCAATATCTGGTTTTGCTAGGTTGTGATTGGAGTGTAGAAGCCCCAACGAGCAGCTCAATGCAAGATGCAAAACGAAAATACACCAGGCATCCAATCGTGTTCGGAAGGTTATTTTTTTTTTTTTTCCCCTTTTCAATGTCGTGTCGCTTACAGTTGTGCCATAGCTTCTGAGGTAGAACCGGTTCCACCGCTGACCAAGTCTGTAATTTTGGCTGAAACGGCAGCAGGGTAGCCACGAGAGAGCATCTCTTGTGCAGTGACCTGGGCCTTGGCTCGGTCTTCGATCGAGAGGTATGCACGGATCATCGCCTCATACGTGCTAGGCTCCCGCTTGGCAGAGCCCAAACTGTTATAGATATCCTCGGAGCGGGAAAGATTTTTCTCTAGTGCCCAGCCATGAATCAAGGTATTTGCAATATAAGGAGTCATCTCGACGTTACGGGCGTGCATGTCGTTCAGCAATGCTTCCGTATCGACGACGCAGTGGTTGGCTACCATGGCCTCAAAGAGAGCCTGATAGAGGCACGCCTGCAGACGAACGCGGCCATCAGCAATAACCTGCTCAAACACTGCGCGGGCTCCAGCCATGTCATGCAAAACGCAGCCCTTGGCGTGGATAAGCGAAGCAAAATGGACAGCTTCTGGCGCGACGCCATTGCGGCGCATCTCCTCGATGACGGCCTCGGCGGCCGTCATATCGACAGGCTCAAGCGTGGCATAAGAATCAACCAACAACTTGTACGTATGCAGAGTTGGCCGAATGTTCTTCGATTTCATCCGCTCAAAGTAAGCCATGACCTTGGTCCGATCCCGTTTGGTGGTCAAGAAAAACTGCATCATGCTGTTATAGGGAGCGGGTCGAGGTTGATAATTGGGAGTAATTTCCATCTCCTCGAAGAGCTCCTCGGCGAGCTTTTCGTCGCTGACCCGGCAAAGTGCATTGACAATGGTACCGTATGTGACGCTCGTAGGGCGAATGCCAAGAGCGCGCATCTCACTGAAGTAGAAGAGACAGTCATCAATTCTGCGAGCCTTGCCGAGTTTGCCAATCAGAGCATTGTACAAAAACGAGGAAGGCTCAACGCCTTCCGACTTGGCACGCAGGAAAATGTTGACAGCCTCTGTTGCCTCGTCAAATGTCTTTGCAGTGTCTTTCAATGTGGTGATGTACAAACCAAAGGTGTTCGCCGTCGGGGTGGCCCCCATGTCAAGGAGTTCTTGGTGATACTTGGCAGCGGCAGCGCGATCGCCGAGTACAAGAGAGCCAGCGACCATAGCGTCCAAGATGGACACCCAGCCGTAACGAACAACTCGGTATTCTGTCAAGAGAGGCACATCATGGCGAGCCATAGCCAACACCTCGTGCATGGTTTGAACGCGGTTGTCCCGAGCAGCGGCTGAGATCAATTTTGCATAAGTGACGTACCGAGGGTGGCGACCGGCCCGACGCATGCTCTTGACTCTGTTCAGGGTTTCCTCGAGACGTGCACTGACTGAACCATGACCTTTCTCCAATGTTTCAGCGATAGCGACGGAGCCTTTGAAGTCAGTAGAAGCTGCATGCGGGTCAAAGGCATCCTCGTGGGGGCTCGCCGAGAATCGTGAAGAGACCTTGGGATTGGACAACGGGGCCAAAGCAGACCGCGGAACGAGGTATTCCCGGAAACGGTGAAGGAGATCAGGGCGATCCTTAGCAATGAAGCTCAGGGCCTGCTCAATCAATTGGGCTGTGCGCTTGTCAATTGGCATACCACTCGACATGGTAACGTCCAACAGTTGAGCGAAGCGCGAGGCGGCTGCAATGTCGGCCATAGGGCCCATGAGCATGCCCGATTGGACCTGGAGAAGCAAAGTCAGGTCCTTCCAGCTGAGCTGGGCAATGCCCTCTGCCGTAAATGAGGTGAGTGCCTGATCCGCGACCGAGGTGACCAAGCCACCATTTTCTACCATGGCCCAGAGAAGACTCATGCTTGCATTGACCGGCGGAACAATGCGCTTCTCGCTCAAAAACCGACCAATGAACTCGATAGCCTCATCGATTTCATCAACCAGTTCCGCCTTGGCCTGAGGGGTGCCAACAGAAGCTCGTGCCCGAGAAAACATCTGGCGAGCCTGCGACAGACCCTCATCAATGTGACCGCTACCAATGAGCGCCACGGCATACATGGCAGTGGGTTCAATAAAAGCCGGAGTAATGTGAGCATATGACAATAGAGTGCTCCAGTAGAATCTGGCGGACTCGACATCACCCCGACGAACATTAAGCGCCAGCATTGCCATAGCTGGGAGGGGAGAGCCAGTCTCATTGAGAGAAAGCTGAGCAAACACTTTGCTTGCCATCGCAACGTCGTTGTTGTCTGCAGCATTGACGCAAACATCCGCGAGAGCCCGGGCACGAGCGCTGGAGCTGAGAGGATACTTCTCGACGAGGTTCATTGCCTCCGAGTATGCATGCCTTTCAAGACGCTCACGGACTAGTGCTTTGAGTACAACAGCGTCGTGTAGCGAAGCCAGTTGAGCCTCTCGAACATCCTTGACAGGGGCAAACGAGTCGACTATCTTGTCGAAGAATCGGAGTCCACCAACAGCCCGGTCACACGCGGCGTAGGCTTTGATCAGTGCAGCGTACACCTCGTTATCGTCACGGTCAATCAGACTCGCGGCACCATTGTCATTAGCAATGGCCAGCGCCTTGTATTCATTGTAACACTCGACAGCGCTACTCAGGTCGCCAGTCGAGGCAAAACCCTTGATCATGGAAGAAAAGACCGTGGTGTGAGGGATGACCTTGGCTGATTCCAGGTGACTGTAAATTCTGATCATATCTTCGATGCGGCCATGCTCGGCGCACGCCGAAAGCAGCAGACGATAGGTCTCGGGTGCAAACATGCGGGTTTTCCGGCTGGCTGTGGCGGCATCGAAAAGGCGGATTGCAACGCCAAGTGAATGGTCCTCGGCGAGAATGTCAAATTCGGCCTGGTGCGAGTGGAACATGAACTTGCCCGCCTCCTCCATGCCGCCAAAGCGGCTCCGCTTCTCGACAAGGTCCTGTTGCAGGCCGGCCACTTCAAGCGTACGCGACGCCAGGAGATCAATCAAGATGGTGTAGGTTTCCGTGCTCGGCGCCACACTGCGACGAAGCATGTCCGCATAAACCTCCAAGACCTTCGGGACCACTTGGTGCTTAGGCTTGGGGAGATGGATGGCAGCGAGGAGAAGGGCATTGTATGCAGGGGCCGTGGGCAGGATACCTGCCACAAGCATGGCCTCAAACACGGCAGGGATTTCGGCATAACGATGGTTGCGCGCGAGAGTTGCGACATGCTCGGCGTAGGCCAGCGAGGGGCTGTCCGAAAAGGACGTCTGAGAGGTACTTGGACTAATCGAAGAGCTGTGGACATCGGAGGAGACTGGACTCTGCGTCCGAGATTGTTCGACAGCGGCCTCAGGTTGAGCGGCAACGGATGGGTTGATTGCCTCTGAATCCGCGGCAGCAATGAGCTTGGACACTTCCTCCACCTCCTGGGCCAGGGCCGCAGGGTCGATGGGCAACTCACCGGCCGCATCGGCCTGCTTCAGCTCATCGACGGCACTGGTGCTATAGGAACGCTCCACTGATTTTCTCTCCTTGCGACTTTTGCGCGGCTCTGCGCTCTCCAGGGCTGCCTCCTCTGTAGCATCAGCCGGGCCACGTGCAGCACGACGCTTGACTAGTTGGAAATGTCTCCATTCTTCCTCTGCCTCGGCCGGATGAGCCTGCACCCAAGCAGCGTGGTAGGCAGCAAGCCCCTTTTCGTACTCCCGCGAACCAGCGTGGGAGGACTTGGAACTTGTTGCGGCTCCACTCGAAGACGGTGAGTGTGGTAATGCATTGGCAATCTGTGAATGGTTCTTGCCGAGTCGGCCGGGGCCATGGGCAGTTCCAAAGGCACCAAAGGATGTTGTTGATGAGGCATAAGAGGATTGCGAAGCGGCGACTACGGATTGTGCATATCCATGGGTAAAAGACTTGACAATGCTCTGTCGAGTGAGGTGGGTAAAAGGTTTGAAGACCATGATGGGCCAAGAGAAACAAACCCCTCTTAACGAGGAGTGGGCTACCTGTAAGCCGAACACGGACAGTGAGCTAAATGACCTTGAAAAACTCCGGCTGATAGATGGATGATTTCTGGGGTGACTCACGTTTCAAATGTCACTTTTATGACTGCCCGAAGGCGCATGTAAGACCAGAAGCCTGAGGTATCAGTTGTGCAATGATCGATATCAGAGGTACGGTTGCCTCTAGAGATGAGCTGCAAACATTCGTGTGTAATCGAGATGATATGTTGGTGATGGCTCTGATAGGTTCGTAATTGGGAAAGCCAATTGGTAATACAAGATTAATCAGGCGCAATACTGAATTTCGAACAGAAAGTAGAACGCGTCGAAGTGAAGTGAGGAATGCTGATGAAAGGCGTTGAAAAAGAGGGAGCCTGGAGGGTAGTCGTTTCCTTGGGCAAGCGGGCTCGGGGGCAGAAAATGGTAGGGCGAATTGAATTGGTGGATGAATGGAAGTCGGAGTTTGACAAGATCCGACGCGTGGGACTCTTTTTGACGGGAAGAACAGGGACTGTTGGCACTAACATTTTAGATTTACATTGGGTAGCCGGTAAATTCGTCTAGTGACAACTCTTCTGGTGGCTGCTGACGGGCACGACTGGGATCCTGGGATATGAGAAATGATGACGAGGCCACGTTTTCACTCGTTGGGGAGTTTCAGGATGTCCTCTAGAGCTTATTCATGCGTCTGGAGTACGAAGATAATTGACTTGATGATAACGCACATTTGACTGATGTAATGGCCATCGTCACTGCTACGGGCTTAAACATTGCGATCGACTCCAAGGGGAGCATAAGGTAAGGCTGCAAGCAATGGACACGATCAATGGAAAATTTGGAGCGGGCAAGATGGAATCAGGTATGGGAGAGTTACCCAATTCCATTGGTGACCAATTGCTTCTTTTCATCCGTATACTACCCAATGTAATGCTCAAAGAGAAGCTAATTTTTGAGGCGGATACACGTAGAAGTGAATGGTGAGTAATGGTAATATGGCATAGCGGGTTGCTCTAATTATCACGGGCAGTCCGTGGGCGAAAGAGAGGGAAACTGAGGGAAAGGTTTAGCTACCACTCGACTCGGTGCTCTGTACGTGTGTATTGCAGTCACACTACAATCGTGACCTGCTCTCTATGATCGCCTCGGCCGTCCCCCGCGAATGTCCGTCCTTTTTTTTCTTACGACCGAACTGGACCGAAGGGTGGGATCAAGGGTTCTCAGAAAGTGGATTTTACTGCCTAAGGCGCCCGCGATGATGGCCTGGCCTTGGCAACTAGAACTAAGCTTCAAGAGTCAGGGAGTGCAAAGCCCTAGGAGCACTGCCTCCGATAATTTGAGGGAAATACTGCTAAAGAATCATAATCCTGGTCAAGCCCTGCACAGCTAAAACGCAGCTTCAACAAGGGGTCGAGAGGGTGTCCAGGAATGGCACAGGACGCTTTTAGAGCCGGTTTTAGCTGGAAATCCTCACTGGGTTTCTATAGGGGGCGGGACACGGGTATTCGAATCCCCCCGAAGCTTCAGTGAGAAATTCCATCATTGGCGAAGATCCAATCTCAAGCGGTCATGGGCGCCGGGAGGTATCGGGATGACAAGGCACGTTAGTCTTCCGGAGGTTGGCTTCTTAAGGCAAAGACTTCACCCATTACCTCAGTTGCGGTATGTTAGTGCTATTCCGTGAAAGCACTTTGACCTTTTAGCTGACCGGGGGACTAACTGACTGCTGTAACTTACCTTACTGAAGGGCATACCGGAGTATTAACTTGCCTTAGGTAACGTAGAGAGGAAATGAGTCAAAGAGGCCATTCCCGGCTTCACCGGCAGTCGCATCCGATCCATCTCCACTTTTCGCTTCTCCCGTCTCGCTTCGACCCTAACTGTGGTAGCTTCTTGTAGTTTAGCTAAAAAGGAGCTTTCCTCGAGCCTTGGTTCATGTCGACGATCGCCACAGCAAAAAGGTCGAGAGAAGAGTTACGAGTACTAACTTACAGGCAGGGAGGGACATGCTGCTTCCGTGGCTGACTCCGCGATTGATAGCAGAACGAAGCGTCATCTGATAACTTAACCTGCACAGCCGCGTCTGACCTGCATTAACCGGCTGAAGATCGCTGCACTCGACACTCCCCAGTACAGTACTGTTTCCGAGTAGCTCACCCTCCTCCTCCGTCTATCAACAGCCTTCCCCTCCGAGGGGCCCCCCCATCGTTTCCCCTCCTTTGATCTGAGCGACTTGTGCCTGTCAGACGAGATGACTCGGCCCCCGACCGCCCTTTCAGCTCCAGGCAAGGTCCTGCTCGCTGGTGGTTATCTAGTTCTTGATCGGGACTATACCGGCCTTGTCTTTGGCTTAGACGCCCGTATCCATGTCCACGTGCAGCCGCTCTCCACCAGCCCCGGTGTTGTTCTCTCGGAAATCATTGTCCGCTCCCCTCAATTTCGCGATGCTGAATGGAGATATGGTTACCGTCTGGCCGCCGAGTCTAGAGGTATTGACGTAACTCAGCTCAAAGGGTGAGTTGGAAATTTTTATTTTATTTTTATTTTTGTTTCTTTTGACCCATCGAATTGTTTAATCGCAATGTTGTTACTTTGGTTTCTGCTTTCAATTTTTTTGAAATGTCGCGTAACGTCAGGTGGTGTAAGATGAAGAAATTCTTGGTTTGAAGATACATTCATTTTTGGTGTCTTTTTCAAATAAATCAATTGCATCAAAAGTTTGATTGCTGTGGCTCGTTTTTGATTGCATTCCCAGTCAATTTGTCTTCATATAAAGCTTCCTTTCGAAAATTATCAAAATGCTCATGCCGTTAGACTTTCTACGTCATGCCTCTCGCGCAACCCGTTCATCGAGACGGCCCTGACCTACGCCTTGACTTACATCTCAATGATGATCCCGGGTGTCATTGAGGCTTCTTCAATCACGATTCTCGCCGACGATGACTATTACTCTCAAACAGCTTCACCAGGCGCCCGCCGCGAACGCTTTATCAATTTCCACGTGCCATTGCAGTCCGCACACAAGACGGGCCTTGGTTCATCAGCTGCTCTGGTCACCGCCTTCACTGCTGGTCTCCTAGCGCATTATCTGCCCGCTGAGCAGTTTGATCTCAAGACTGACAAGGGCAGAGCTATCTTGCACAATCTAGCGCAAGCTGCCCACTGCGCTGCACAAGGCAAGGTTGGTTCCGGCTTCGACGTCGCAGCCGCCGTCTACGGTTCATGCCGTTACCGGCGTTTCTCGCCCGCCCTGCTAGAGGGACTTGGGGAGATTGGCTCTCGCGGGTTTTCAGATCGCCTCAAGGCCCTAGTTGAGGACACGGAGCCTGCCAGGAAATGGGACACTGAAATCATCAAGGCCGGAATCAACGTTCCCAAGGGTCTCCGGCTCACCATGTGCGATGTTGACTGCGGATCCCAAACCGTCGGTATGGTGAAGCAGGTTCTCGCATGGAGAAAAGAACATCCAGAAGAGGCAAATGCGCTCTGGTCGCGGCTGCAGGAAAAGAACGTTGAGCTCGGGAAGCAATTGTCAACATTAGGCGATGCTACGCGCCGCTCAGACGCGGATTTTGACGAGCTGAAGGAGGTCATTGCCGATATACGATCTATGATGCGCCAAATGTCCAAGGCATCAGGCGTTCCAATTGAGCCGCAGATGCAGACTGAGCTTCTCGACGCCTGTTCTGCGCTCCCTGGCGTCATTGGTGGCGTTGTTCCCGGAGCTGGAGGGTATGACGCTGTCGCTCTGCTTACCGTGGACCAGGAGTCGGTGCTGGGTCCGTTACGAAAATTACTGGATGAGTGGAAGGTGTCACTCTGGAATGAAGATGGCGCTGTTGCGAATGGCAGCATAGGCAAGGTACGAGCACTCGGAGTACGGGAAGAGATGGAGGGCGTGCGGTTTGAACGGGAAGATGCATATCGGTCTTGGATTGAATAATTCCAGCTTACCGGTCTATAAGCGCCCATGGACACTTATTCTTTGTATTTTTTTTTTCTTTCTCTTATCACTTTCTTGTATATCTCTATTACCCCGTCTTGGCTGCTCTCCTGGGTTTTCCTGTTTATTTTGACCGGGCATGGCCACTGTTCTATGTATTTACCACTTTGTATGAAGTAGAGTTGGAGAATTTGTCATAATGATCCCCAACTCATTTTGGAGAGAGGGCCCGTTGCCTTATGGAGTAAGAGAGAGGGACGATCCACACTCCAATCAGCTGTTTGATATTTCACGTGCGGACGCGACGGAGCTTGATATACTTTTCAGGAACCTCATGGTACTCGAGAACGAAAGCGATAGGGGCAGTACCTTCAAGTACTTGGACCTCAACCCGCCGGAGATGGTTAGTCTTGGGGGGTGCTATTAGTGGCGGTCAATGCGGATGGTGTCGTCAGGGGGAACTACGCGAGTAGTTTCAGGTACTGCCAAGTAGTCAAAGACATCATTACCCGTGCTAAGCAACCCCTAATTGTCCTTAGAGACCTTTAGACACCGGACAATACTCATACCCATGTTTTTCCCTTCCCCAGAGCTGGACCTGAACCTTGACCCACGTTGGAATCAACGTCGGATCGTATCGCAATCGCCAATCCTTCTACCTCTTCCCCCAATTCCCCTACTGGGCCAGTCTGACTGCCCTTGTTTGCTGCCTCAGGACTTTGTCCGCATCATCCCGATCTCTCTTCGTCATTCGTTTCACCACGGGTTTAGGAGGAAGGTTGACGATCTTCTGGCAGGCCAAAAGGTTATGAGAGTGTGCCAATAAGAGAGTGAGAGCAGAAGTCATAGTGTGCACTCTGGTATAGCATGTTCCTAGAATCACCCTGAGTGATCGTCAAGCGATAGTGCCCGTGCAACAACGAAACGTGGAGAGAACACCATCACAGGGCAGGTCTTCCCTCATTGACTTGACAGAACGCCTGGCCACTTTCTTTGGGCCAAAGAATCTCTCCGGAGGCTATTCAGCCAATTACACATCCCTACAAAAGATTCTTAACGACCATTAACCTGCGCTGCATCATCACCCGTTGCGTTTTCCGCCCGCCACCTTTCCCCCCCCCCCAACGGTTGCATTGTTACGACCATCAATATGAGCGATACGGTCGATCGTCCGCCGGCGGACCTTTCATTGCCCGCCTCTGCAACGGATATCAACTCGATTACCCCTGTGCCACCCAATGCGCCATCGGCGGCCATCTCTAGTAACTTCTCGGATTCCCAGCAAGAGCTAGCAGCGACGACCTCGTTGCCTGGCTCAACGGCAGAATCCACCACATTACCTCAAATTCCTCCAAACGCACTCGTACGAGAACACTCAACCGCCATCGGACCGTCATTAGACCAGCCGGCGCCGCCACGGAGAGAATCATCTGCCACAGGCGGGCCCACTGTGCTCATTACATTATTATTGACAAACTCGGCACGACACCCATTCAAGATTGACGAACGATATTTGAGGAAGCGGAATATCGCCGTGGAGGAGATGAACCCGTTCAATCTGAGCGTATATGCGTTGAAGGAGCTCATCTGGCGAGAATGGCGAGACGGTATGTTGCATTACACTTTTTGCCAATTTACTACCACAAAACTCAATCGTACCCCTCTCTGTCTGAGAATCAGAAAAGCTAACACTTACATAGAATGGGAAACTAGACCATCAAGTCCGACGTCCATTCGATTAATATCATTTGGTAGACTACTTGATGACAAGTCATTGCTAAAAGGTAGAGCACTGCCATGAGGGGCGCTTCTACCCAATCATTTCCCATCAAATTTCCATGAATTGCTGCTGACATTTCTCTCCAGACTGCCGTTTCAACGCTGACTCGCCCAATGTCGTGCACATGACGGTCCGGCCACAAGAAATTGTCGATGAGGAGGATGCCAAAACGACCAAACACAGCTACGGGCGTGACCGCGATGGAGCTGATCGGTCCCCAGGCTGCCGCTGTGTCATTCTATAATACCCCACTGTCCCTTTAGTGGATCTCTTTTAGCGACTTTCCTCCCAAGCGTCTGTTTTCAATGTCGGATATCATTGCTTTGAGAGCGTACCGCTATCCAAAGGCGAAGCTTCAAATTTCTTTTTTCCTTTTTTTTTCTCCTTTCTTCTTTTCTTTTCTTTTCCTTTCTTTTTCGGAAACATGGACGAAGGGGAAAGCTATTGTAGTCAAAGTTGATATCATCGAGGCTCTTCATTTCGTTCTTCCGGCCCCATACCCCTGTACTTTTTTCTGCAGCTCTCTCTGCCGCCTTCTTCTTCTTCTTCTTCTTCTTCTTCTTCTTCTTCTTCTTTCCCAGGTCAATGGACCTCATATTTCCAATTTAACTTTTTTTCTTTTTCCCCTCCATTTCTTTCTGTTGTTCCATTTGAATCGCCCACATACCTTCAAGCCACAATCACAAACAGATAACTTTCACATTCTTCAACATGTCATGCAAAATTCCATGCCGTGCGGGTTATAAATTCCAGTGTCACACCAAACGAATGCTCTACTGCACTTGTACTCTTGACTCTTGATCCCCTTTTCACCATGGCTTTTATACCCACATCTCCCCATCTGTCTTCCATTATTCCTTTGCTTACTTCCGTCGTTATTCTCTTATTTCTTTTATACTTTTTCTCTTCCTCACTTTTCTCTTCCTCGCTGTTTCTTTTCTTCCCCCTTCTCTCTATCTCTCTTTTTTCGTTGTGCTCCCCTTCTTTTTCGTAAGTTTTTTTCATTTATTTGTTTTATTTCCCCCTTTTACTTTTCCCCTTTCCCGTTCCCCGTTTCCTCTTCCCCGTTTCCTGTTTCTCTTTTTCTTCTTCTTTTTCAGTCTCATTCTCATTCCCTCATGCAAGGCGATAACACCCCCTCCATCCTCCATCCTCCGGCAAAATGGCAGTGTATCTTATCGTGGTTTCACCGTGTATATCCCCGACAATGTACATTGCAGCTATAGCATAAAATTATACTCTACTTATTATCCTCTATTTACTTCCTACTTATGGCCGTCTATTTATGGTCGTCTATTTATGGCCCTCTAGTCCTCTACCTTATATTTATTTATTTTAATTGATATCATTTTTTTTTCTTCGCCTTTTTCTTTCCTTATTGCTTTTTCAAATGTAGCTTGAAAGTGAAAAGAGTTGAGGCATATTGATTAACTTGCACTTTTTTTTTTAATCTTTGTTGAAAAAAAAAAAAAAAAAAAAAAACAGAGAGAAAGAAAGAAAGAAAGAAAAGAGAAAAACTTCGAATGCTCTAGGAGTCTAGGACCTAGGTTGTTTCTTGTTGAAGGGAATCCTCACATGCAATGTTGTAGGCTGGGGAGTATTATCGTATTATCGTCACGACTCACGACTCACAAAGGATGGAATCATGGAATCATGGAATCATCAAGGTTTGTTTGCAAATGGGCGGGATATTCCGGGAATACAGCGTGTAATATTCCAATCATAGGACGATATAAGTTATAAATGATACATGGACAAAAGAAGAAAGCGGGGGGGGAAAAATAGCTATCAGCCTATGGTAGGAGAATACGAAAGATCTTGAAAAGAAAAATATAAATAGATAAATATATATATATATATATTGACATAAGAGATACATGTCCGTCAAGCTCATAAATATTGCTACATGAATAATATTTAGGTACATCTTTTAAAGGTAACATCGCGGCATGATTTACACCGATGTCGAGGCGCTAGTTGCATTTGACCCCCGTTCGGTATCCGTCTCTGGATCATGAATATGGTCATGATCATGGTGCACAGGCACTGGCGCGGCAGTTGTTGATACGGCCTTACTGGCATCCTGGCCTTGAACCTGACCGTAACTCAGACCCAGACCCTGAGTCTGAGTCTGAATGCCAATTCTGGTCCGTGGATCATTGCCGGCCTCTTCAAGAGTTGGTTCTAGCGGATAATCATATGTTCCTCGATTATACTCTCGTTCCCACTCAAGCCAGCCCTCTGCGATGTCGACTCTGTATCCTTCAAAGAACCAGGCGCCATTGACATAGACGAGGACGTCTTTCATGCTACACAGGATGCGCAGGCAGCCGCGAATCTGCATGGTGCTCTCGCATTCGATGACGTGGAGGCCAAACTCCTTGGCGCTGCGCCAGACGTACCAGATGCCAAGGGCTCGGCCGATGGTGACTGCGACGAGGAGGACAACCATGGAGTAGAATGTAACGACGAGATTGCCGCCCCACTGCGCGCTGAAGAAGAAGGTGAGCACAACGAGAATAACACCTTCGACTGCGCCGGTGAAGAGGGTGACTAGTGGGTTTCGGCCCGTGGTCGACAAGTGTAAGAGGATCACAAGGGGGCGCCACCGACGTGCCGAGTCTTCTGCGCTGGCGCGTAGGAAGCCGGCTAGAAGCAGTTCTCGGACATGCGTGACAAGGTAGATTAGGCGGATGAGAACGAGTCTGGCCAGACTTTTCCAGTACTTCAAGAGTGAAGTATCTTTTTGGTTTTTGAGATCCCAGTTGATATTATTGTTGTCGTCGCCGTAATTTGAAGGAGTTGATGATGATGATGGGGATTTGACGCCGGCGAGTCGTTTGATAAGTCTTTCCGCACCCCCAACAACGCTTGATAGCAGCGCATAGAGTTTATTGCCCACCAGGTTGAACCAGATTTGTTGGCAACGGAGAAGAAATGGTGGGTAGAGTGGTGGCATCTCGGTCTCGGTCGTGCCTCTCTTGTACCCCCAATCGGCTTGGTAGCATGCTGATACACGACAGAGGTGTCGCAATTCGTCAACGGATCGTCGTGATAGGGAGAAGACTGTCATTGGCGTTGTATAAGCATTTGACTTGTCATTACAGCTTATTAGAGAGGGATAGTTACCTTTAGCCCTTTCGTGGTGGCCCTTTTCCCACATGACGAAGCGGAACAGGGCGCTGATTGCGGCAGAGAGAAGCAGCCACAGGGATGTCCAGCTGTTTTAAAAAAGAAAATGAGAAATCAGCAATGTGGGCACCAAAGCCTCATATACCTTTGAAGAACTCACTAATTTTTACAGTCGAATATCAGCATCGACGTGCCCCATCCCATAAAAAGCGGACCAACAGCGAAAAGAAAGATGACAATTTGTACGCCGGCAACCAAGAACGCAGGAATTCGCCAGAGATGAGCTCTCCGCCTCCACTTATCTTTGGCTTGGTGCCGTATACTCGCAAACGACTTGCCAGTCTCCAATTCCTTTTGGTTCGAGTGCTTCTTATCCCAGCGCGGCGCGTAAGACTGGAATTCTTCCAGGGAGGCTCGGTTCTTGGCTTTAAAGTGCGAGCCATCCTTTTCTCGCTTTCGCAGCTTTCCTAAAGCTTCTATAGCCGATTGAGCAATGTAGTCAAAGCTTGCTAGGGAAATTGTTTGTTTCCTCGAAACACCACTTATCTGATAAAACGATTAGCCTATTTCAGGGGAAATGCCAAAATACCGAGACAAGGTTAGAATCTCCTGCTATCTTACACTTCTGACGGGTAGACCTAGGCTGAAGAGAGCGGATATCGCACCAACGAGAAAGCTGGTGCCAAAAGCCTCCGAGCTGCGAGCGACATACCTGAAATGGCACGTTAGACAGCTACCCGAAATACATAACAAACGTCAAATGAGTGCTCACAGGTTGCCAAATGTAAGAAGTGCGGGGATAATTCCCATCAAGGTCGTCGCGGCATTCGCTCCAGTCTGGTCATAGATGCTCCTCCCGGCTATCGCATTTGATATGTCGTCTTTGCATTTTACATCTATTCCGACTCCCATATAATCGCCCAAGATAGCATAATAGACATTGCTGTAACTTTTCCACAGGCTTGAATAGGCATCATAAAGCTTATCGTAGAGATTATATTGAGTGTCATTATACGCCGGAAAAACCAGCGTCGTGCCAAGGCTGTCATAACTTGCGTTGTGAGGAAAACAATAGTTGGCCCAAGAGTTGATATTGTCCTCGATTTTTTGCAAACCGTGCTGCCTTTCCGTCGCATTCCAGGAATCTTTACGATTCAAGTACCAGTATGCGTTCTCGTATACTTCGCTGGAAAGTGTATCATAATCGTCCCACAAATCAAAGTCGTCGTTTACTTGGGTAATGTTAACGGCGCTATTAGGCACTGGAAGCCCATATTTTGCAATTGTGTCGACGAAATTATAACCAAGACCACATCGCGAGTAGAGAAGAAGGAGGAGGAGCGTGAGAATGAGCGGCAGTCGTGTTCTTCCCAAACCAGCCGCCATGTTGGTAACGAATCACAGCAGACACGGACCCTGCGCGTGCACCGATATCCCTGTGTTTGGAGGATGCAAAGGCAGAATGCCCTTCAACTTCTTGTCATCCAGCTGCCATTTATCCAAACAGCATACTAGACACTGTCACCTGGCGAAAGGAATCCATCAATGCAAGCTTCGAGTCCAAGCCCACAGCAGGCGGTCCTGCCTGTGTACTTAATACCGCCCACTCGACTTTCAGCCCCCACAACCCTCATTTCCAACAAGTGATAGAAGTGTCAGATAATGGCACTATCGGTGGCCATTTTCAGACCTAATTTGCGCCACTTGAAAATGTCATATTGCGCTAAGAAATTGCACCCAAGTAGACCAATCATTTTTATGCGGTTGATTAATGGGGATGTCTAAAAAGCCGGAGTGATCTTTGCCATTCAATCAAATTGGTTGTACTGTGCCATGGGCCGTAGCGGAAGGTACCCGCTGTGGCTGACCGTCAGCATGTCCGCGTGTGTCAGATGTTCCAGGCTAGTTGGGGGTATAATATGCAGCACAATCAAGGCAAAACGACGATGGAAATGAAAAACTAGGCGGGAAACAACACAATGTATTTTGCGAATATGAAGATTGCAAGCTGGCCAAAGTACCCCACAGGAAGAACTAATAGACCTCAGCGTGTGTTTCTTGCTCTTGTCAAGGCTGCTGAAGACACGAAAATAAAGAGACCCAGATGCAGTGTCAAGTTGGGGGGTAAGCAAGGATCACGTCGTTAGTGAAAGGTCGAGAACGTGCACTTGTGGAGAAACAAGGGACGATCACACACAAATGATAGCAACACTGCAAAAGTGTTTGGTACCAACCTAAAAGAAAGCCACGCATTTTGCGCTGGCGTAACTTGGATCTTTCCCTAAGATGTAATTTCTCTCAACTCTTCTGCAGACAAAATGGTCGCACAAAGCTCCGACTTAGATAAAACCTTTCCCGTGTCGATGGTTATTGGGCACTGGACTAAGAGTAGGTTGAGAAGTAGGTGGTTATACGGAATATAGCCGAGTAAGATACACTGGGTACATCACCAGCCAGGCAGCGTGCGACGTAGCAGGATGGTTACCTCTAGGGTAGGTTATATTTTGCTGCTTCTACTGGCGCCGCAGGCAAAATTCATAACCCTGAAATCCATTTCATTCAATTTCCACACAAAGACCAATATTTGTATCCTGCACATGTAGTTGATATAGAGCCCGGTTTGACGCCCGAATATAAACAGTCATAGCTGCCACAGTTTGCGATGACTAAGTGTTCAGCCCATAATATCACTTTACAGAGACTAATGTCCACCATATACCGAGGGACCTCTTTCCTCTTCACACATTGTAGACTACAGCTTCTGACAGAAGATAATAAAACAATACACACTTATTTGAGCCCTATGCCAAACCCAGCGAAATCGCTCAAGTCTTCGTTACAATGTTTTCATTCAATTGAAGTTGATATCGCAAGTAAACGTAAAAAATACCCTTTGACACCGTGCCCTCGTCTACCAAGTGTTCATGCGCAACCGGGCCTCCATTTCACTGTGGAAATCGACGCCTTCGCCGAACTCGCCGCCTAAAGACAATTTGCGTTAGCCTCTGCAATAGATGATATCGAAAGTAACCCCCAGATATTCCTCCCTCGTCACGCAATGCCTCAAGACACTTGCTAGAAACATCCCTTCCACGTCGTCCGCTTTACGTGATCATGGTCTGAACAGACAAACCAGACAGAGCTAGAACCAGGGTGTGAATGAAACAACATACCAACAAACACGTCCTCCCATGTAATATCGGATTCTCTTCCCTCCAAGAGCTCTGTGTGAACCCCCTTGGTATTTCCACCAAGAGCTGCCGGTCTCCATTCGCCTTGACGCGCCATACGGAGCTCCATACCACGGCGGATGGGCTCAGCGATACCGAATGTCCGTCGAAGGCCTTCCATCTTGATTGACTCTTGAGTAGCTTGCCAGTTGGCCAGGCGTGCTTCTAGAGGGTGTGACGAGCTGAGCGGTTGTTGCGCAGGTCCATTGTCGTTCGTTTGGGCTGCGGGAGTGGCAGAAGCACGTAGTCGGTCGGGGAGACCAGGCGCAGAAGGGGCGCTGGGGTATTTGGCTGTGCTGGTGGGGTGGCTCGCCCCAGGAGTAACGCGAAGTGACTGTCATTTTGGATCTATTAGCATATCTTCCGACCAAATCATCGGAAATCGTGGGGTTGCAGGTTGACTGCGTTGAATGCGAAAGGGACCAGAGGCTTGAAGGGAGCTGGAGTATTCGTACCATCTTTCTAGAATCTATTTAACCAGGGAAAAGGAAGGAAACAGAGTCAATATGATGAAAAAGGGGAGTAGTGTCGTTGAAGGCGATCTCAAACACAGAATGAAGTGCACTGAAGCTAGCTTAAGCTGGGGCGGTGGTCGAATGTCGGACTTGGGTGATGATGCGGCTCGGCTGCCTTACAGACTAATTTGGCCCAAGCTTCCGCGGCTGTGGTAGAAATCTAGCCGACGGTGCCCGCGGTTGCGCTTGTATACAGTATGTGAGCGCTCCGCAATATAATGATAATTATATCAGACTCTAGCAACAGAATAAAGCAACCAATAGATTTACAAATGGTCTGCATTGTTGATTGTGGGAGTTGTTATTGTAAAGGAGCTGATGACTAAGGTAAAATACCTGTCACGTTGCGTTTGCCCGGATATACCACATAGATCTCCTATTTCCGCTTGCCCTTTTCATTCACTGTCCACCAAACATAAATAGGAAGTCAAACACTACCCATATGAACCAGAAGGGACGGTGCCAGAGTGGTTAATAGCTCTCTGGCAACTTCCTGGAATTTTCCGAGGTGAGTTCGAGTCGGGGTGTCGCCACAATCGCAGCTGGGATTTATTCCACTGCCTCAGGGGTGCCCCTCATGAGGCCGCATCGGGGAAGGGGTAGAGATGTAGGATGCCTTAACCGTTCTTCGAATGAGAAGACGGAGCATCCGAACTCTTTTTGTTACTCATGTTATTATTATTATTATTATTAATTTTTTGCTCCCTTTCTAGCCCTCATCTCGACCTTTGCAATGGCTCAACGGCTTGTGTTCGTGGCATTATCTGTCTCCCATTTTCTACTCCTGGATGACATCCCACTTGATAAGTTCAAATTGTATTTATCTATGGTACTCATAGTATATACCCTTTTGGACCTCAGCGACCGAGATAAATATTTACACTTCGGCATTTTGTATGCAACGGTATACCATCGCCAACGCCAAACGCTATGAATTTTGTAAAGATACTTTTGGAACACACCACAAGATAAACATGCCATCCCAGGTCCCTAATATTTCCTTACGCAGCTTTGCGACTTCTTCGAGATCCAGCCTTTCTCGACTGATCGGCTCGGTTCTCACTCTGTAAACCACCATCCGTGGTGGCCTTCTCCGTTTTCTCTCGTTTTTCCTTCTCCTTCTTCTCTTGGGTCCTTTTGATGGCGCCCTCTTTCTCCAACGTCTCAATTTGCTTCTCAGATAACGCCCACAAATCCTTGGCCGCGTTGTCATCTTTGATTTCTGGTCGCACGTAAGCAATATCTCTGCACTCTTTTATCATGCGGCCACCTGCTCCCCTTCCAAGATCTGCCTCCATGGCAGCGAGCAGAAAACTCTGTGCGCCTTGGTCTGGAGATTTTAGCACCAACCACCAGAAAGGCCACATGATGAGATAGAAAAACAGCCCCCATAGTGATCCAGCTGTTAACCACCTGCGCATCCCCGGTGTGCGTGACCATCCGGGGTCTGCTAAAACGACACGTGTGTTGTTTGGCTGACTATCGGGCCGCTTGTACGCCTCAAGATGCTTTTGGAATGCTTGCGCAAATACCATCAAGGCTAATTTGCTCGTCCCATAGACATTTGTGCTCGCATATTTCTGCTTCTTCACCTTTTGGTCGATATTTCCTCCCATGTAGCTTGAGCAAGTTCCAAAGATAACACGGACATCTCTATCGGGAGGTTGGGCTCGTAATGCTGGACTCAAAATCGACAGCAAATGAAAGTTTGCGAGATAGTTGATGCCCCAGCTCGCTTCGAGTCCATCTTTGGTAACTTCAGGTTTACTTCTAGGCGGCGTCATAGTCGCCGCACAGAGAATGATCATGTCGAGGCGTCGTGGCGGGGCATTGTCTACCCATTTCGTCGCGAAAAGTCTTATCGAATGTAAAGAAGACAGATCAACCTGCTCCGCGTAGACGAGCTCATTATTAGTCGTTGCTCGCAGGTCCTCAATGTATTCGGCAAGAAAAGGATCGGATGGAGGATGCTGCGTCAAAAGGATCACTTGGGCTCCTCGTTGGGCGAGTTCACGAGCCACGCTGGCCCCAACACCTGATGTTCCACCCTGTTATTGTGAAGCTCATTAGCATTCTCAATTATCATCATTAAACGTGTCGTTTCGGTGACGAACGGTTATCATAACCACCTTGGATCGCATAAGTCGCTCCGATTTATTTACAGCTCCTCCAAAGTACCTTTTCAGAAGATAAACCAATAAAAGTGCCGGTACGGTCTTCAGAACGGTAGGCAGATAGGGTACAGAGTCAAAGCCTTCGAAAAGACCCTCCGAAATGATTGGGATAGGCATTGTGCCGGTGATCTCTACAATGCCAACCCAAATTGTTGAGATGCGGTCACTTGGGCGTGTTGGTTGAAAGGAGACGCAACACTGCCTACCTACGGATCTAAGGAGCTCGAAGCTACGGAGATGCGATTCGATAAGATGGAGATGAGATGTAGATATGATAAATCGGCTAGCGTGGTTCAAGCGGCAAACGTCGCATGTGACAGCCAGCTTTCGCCAATTCATATCTCACAACCTCCAGGTCGTAATCCGCATCAAACCCACCATGAACGAGGATGAGGAGTATTTTGTCCCTTTACAAGACCAACGATACTTTGGAGCAGGCATAAAGCGGCAGCGTGTACAATTTGTCCGAGCGAACTCAGCGGAAGCAACTGTTCAGCCCCCGAGGCAAAATGCTCCATCAAGCTCTGTAGGGGACCGCTATCTGTCCATAGTCCTCCCGAAATCTGCCCCAGTAACACCTCCAAATGGAGGCACAGAAAGAGAAGAGCTTGAGCCAGCAAATGATCAAGAAGAGATACCAAAAACCTGCGAAATATGCCATCTGCCTTTAAATCCTGAATCGTCCGCTGAATCTCACAATACGCCTCATGAAACTTCAATCGCGCATCAAGTGTGCCTAGAGCATTCCCATCCACCATCTCACTTGGACCGTGGGCGACTAGGCCTAAAGTATCTCTCCTCTTATGGCTGGGATCCTGATAGCAGGCAAGGCCTAGGCTCAAAAGGCGAAGGTATCCTAAACCCGCTCAAGGGCAAAGTCAAGAACGATACTGTTGGATTGGGGGTCAAGTTTTCAAAAGATCCCAAGGTCAATGCAGCTCAAAAGAAGCCCGCTGCCAAGCTGAACGCAAAACAAGTTCGTCAGCAAGAGGAGGAAGGGAAGAAAAGGAGGGCAAGACTACAAGAAATGTTTTACAGAAACGAAGACCTGGAAAAATATCTAGGACCCGCGGCTTAAGAAATTGGAATTTCCTTATGATACCTTATATATATTGTTTAATACCTCAGGGACCGTGATGAACTATGACTCTTCAGTGGCAGCAATTTCAACCAGGGAGCAGGGAAAATATCTACATAAAGCGTCGGCGAACGATGCCGCCTCGTCATATCGGAATTCTTCTGGTATCCTATCTACCTCATATACTATTTCACTCCTTGCTTCAATGTGCTTCAATCGATAAGTAGAAAGCAAGAATGTACGGCTAGAAAAGAAAGGTGCAAAGCATGAACAAGGGAATTTGCTATGTAGCCAACCGAATCCTGAACGCCATAATGCTATAGAACGCTCAACGACGAATGACTTCATTTCTTTGAAGAGAAGAATAAATGCTTCTTTTTCTTTCCTGGTTCCTTCTCCTTTTTGGACTTGCTAAGGACCTGAGGTGGTTGCTGTTGAGGTGGAGCGCCATTCGATGCACTCGAATTAATCGTCATTGCAGAAAGTGCAGCAGTGGTTGCAGGCACTGATGTTTTAGGCAGTGGCTGAGCTTGCCGCGGCGCCGTAGGTGTAGGGGGATCAGGCTCGAAGAGGTGTGCCGGAGGCTTAGGCTTTGGTCTCTCCATGGGAATATCCAAACGACGCTTATCGACGCTTAGGTCGCCGACCTGCCTGACGAATAAACTTGGCGTAAGCATATGAGACGTAACAAGGACTACTTCTCTCGAAGTAGCCTTTGAGACGTGATAGCACGCTCTGGATTCCGAATATGTAGCGCCACCAGCTACAAAGACAATAATTCGTTGCCGAGGCTCCACTGAAGACAAACGTGACTTAGCCCACGTTGGTTTTGCGCTGCGGAGGGAAGCTTGGGATAACGGGTCTGGAGCGCCTATTCCTTCGCCTGTGCTTAGTGGAGGTTTAGTAAACGGGAACAAGGCAGGGTCCAAAGTTCCTTTGACATGTTCATCCAGCATGGTCTTGACGGCTGGCTCAAAACGAGACAAAACATATTCGTCTTCCAGCATTTGAGGAGGCTGTTTTCTTCCGAAGGGGGGCGGCGCAGGCGGAGATTTATCCTTCAGGGACTTTTGTATCCTTGCGCCTAGATGCTCAAGGTTGTAAATGACCTCGCCATCCTGAGGTGGTAATTGAGCATGGGCTAGGAGCTTCTGGGTATCCCCAGGTACGAGACCATCTTTGTACAACAAGTAAAGAATGATAAGTCGCAGGCGGTCAGCAGGTACGCTGCTCTCGTCGTCGAGCAAGCGCACTATCTGATCAGCCAGATTTTTGGGCTTACGGTATTCTTCATCGTACCCCGTCGCGAGAGACTGGCAAATAAAAAGTCAGCAAGCGGTAGATATGTGAAAGACGAATTGTTTACGAACCTGCTCGACGGAAGCAAGATCTGGCAGTTTTCGGTTTTGGAAGATGTTCATGCAGTCCTGTGCCATGCTTAAGTGAAGCGCGTATGCTTCCTTGAGTTCCTGGAATTCAGGGAGACCTGCTAACATATCTTTGATAGTATTGAGGTTGGTCGCATCTTCCTCACTGTGGATTGACATGTCAGATGCCTGCGAGTCTCTAAGTAGCCTGAAACAACTTTTTGTTTACGCACCCGCTAGTAAATTGGGGATGGTCCTCGAGAAACTTTCGAAAGTCTCTCATCAAGCTTTCAATAGTATCTTTCATATGCCGGTGACGATGGGTTATCCACATCTGATCGTGCTCCCCAATCTCCATATCCTTCTCCTCCTGATCTGGCTTACCCGCATGAATAACTGTTTTGTAGAATATTTTGTCCCCATCGCGAATAGGGAGAAGATCGTATGCCATTGCTTGGTATGTGAATTCATGAATGAGTGGCGCATTGAGGTCCATTGACCGATCTGTAATGAAAAGAGCGCCTCGGGGTCGATTTGTCGGGGCCCGAAAGCTTTCATTTAATTGAGCATGGCGATCCAAACCAGCCTGGACAAATCGAGCAAGATGCGAACAGAGAACATGAGCTTCGTGGGTAGGGCTCCGCGGCCGATAATATCGGATTACGGGGTTTTCTCCTAACACAATGCAGACCGCCACAATCTGCCAATATGCAATTAGATTTATATCATAACATGAAAATTGTAAAATCAACGCATACTTTGTGTGCAACCTCTTCTAGGTGTCTCTTCACCAAGGCATTACATGCGGGGTGAAACAGAACCGGGAAGCTCCAAGGGTCACGAAAGGTGACTAGATGGGATTCCTTTGGAAAGAAGTCGATGTTGAGCTCTCGAAATTGGGCAATCTGTCCTTTGGTAGCAGGGGACGTTTGAATTCTTTCGCGGGACTGATAGTCGAGCACTAAGTAATCAATAAGTCCACTTCTAGTTAGAAAAGTAAGCAAGCATTTGTATTTCTTACAAGATGTCCACACCACATGTGCCTTCCGATATCGCCTTCGATCTAGGTCTGCAAGAAGGCAGTCGACGATATGAGGCTGAGAAGAGAGGAGATAGACAGCATCGATATCATGATTTACATGCCTCTTCAGCTCGATCTGTTCGATATCTTGAGCAGGTCAGCGTTGTGCCCTCTGCGACTTGAATAAGGGACAATCTGAATCCTGACGTACTCGTAATATTTTCGTTTAAGATATCGTCCTCTTTGACTACATTGTCAATTAGTCTCCTACTGCCCTCGTCCAATACAAGCACTTTCCACTGTTGCGTAAATAGACGATTAGCGGACCGAGTTAATGACACAAAAACAATGCCACATACCTCTCCGGGAGCTGTATTCCTAATTGTATGTAGGATTGCTGATATATTTCGTCAATTCTGCTTAGCCCCAAGCCGGAAATCAATCGCAGTGCATACCGTCCCGCTGGAGGGTAACAATAGACAACCCCATCTTTGGCCCTCAGTGGCCGAAACACCGAGAGGCAACCAGACTCGCGCAGGAGATAAAATAAGCTCAGATAAAATTGGTAAAGGTGCTAATGCCCCAAAATCATCAAAGTTGTTAACACTTCAGAAAGAGAGTTGCTGTGGAAAGCTGTTCAGTCTCTGGGGCGGCAACATGAGGTGAATGACACCCCTCGACCGCCAGTTTACACTGGAGCCCCTCGAGCTTTCGCAATAATATTTATCCGAACCCGCAAACGCCGAGACGACTTACTTCGGCTTGGTCCGCGATATAGCCGCGTTAAACCTGGATTAGCCTCACAAAATATCGAAATCATCCATCTCATTGCCACAATGATGGCTTGACCACTATTTTTCAGCAAAACTAGAAATTTTCCAATTCCACTCTCTTTAATTCCCTGTGGTGCTTTTGACTACAACAATTATTTTATATGTCTCGCGTGCTGGCCATGCGAGGCGTAGGCGGACAGAATCAATGCATCTTTTGCGCTTTTCGCATTCAACAACCATGGATGCCAACACATTCGCGACGAGTGAATGATGTGATTCGGCGAACCCGATATATCAGTACTTCTCTGCCAATTGCTGGCTCAAGTGCATCATCTTTCGGTGGTAGGAGAACACCTAAGGTGTGCCATCTATCTAAACAAGCCCTTCAAGCCCTTACTGACCGGTTTCACAGGACCGACCTGCCCGTTTCGGAGGCGCCGCAAAACGATCGGGCATGCTACGGATTGGTGGTTCAAAGTTTCGTCAAGATGTGAAGTTCACCGATATTAAGGACACAATCAGGGAGCGGATGGATTTGCTGGAAGAAAACTTGGGCACCACGCCGCAGCTTGAACCACTTGGACTGAGCGAGGCGGTTCTGAAAAGACATTTCGAAGCATTTAAACGAAACGTGTTACGCTCCTTTTCGCAATCAAATGATGAAACAAGTGGGACAATGCCTTTGTTCCATAGCTTGCGGGCAGCATTTGTCGACAAGGATGTGCGCGGATTGGACTCTGAATTGAAATACACCTTTTACGGTCATGTTGCGAGTGCGCGGTTTTCGAAAAAGGACATTGAACATCAGAAGATGCTTGCAGATCTGAGATTTCCCGTTGAGTGGTACCCTGGAACACGGGTGATTCAGCGAACGATACATTTACATGTTGGACCGACCAACTCAGGAAAAACCTATCATGCGCTGAAAAGGCTAGAACAAGCAAACACCGGGGTGTATGCTGGCCCATTACGACTTCTTGCACATGAGGTGTATTCCAGGCTTCTCGCTCTTGGGAAGAGATGCAACCTTATTACTGGTGACGATCGCAAAATGACGGAGACATCTGAGAATGCTATGAACTGCTGCACTGTGGAGATGGTACCTGTCAACACTAAAATTGATGTTGCTGTGATAGATGAAATCCAAATGATTGGGTCCCAATCCCGCGGTTGGGCATGGACTCAGGCATTCTTAGGGGTCAAGGCTAAGGAGGTGCACCTCTGTGGCGAAGAAAGAGTTGTTCCTTTGATTCGGGCTCTGGCAGCATCCATGGGCGAGGAGTTGGTTATTCACCGTTATCAGCGGCTGAGCCCCCTGAAGACCATGTCAACAAGTCTTAAAGGTGATCTCAGACAACTGAGAAAGGGCGACTGCGTCGTGGTCTTTTCGAGGATGGGCATCCATGCCACAAAGCGAGAAATTGAAAGAGCAACGGGCAAGCGAGTTGCTATCGTATATGGGAGTCTGCCACCTGAAGTCAGGGCTCAACAAGCCAAGCTTTTCAACGATGAAAGCAATGATTACGATATCTTGGTGGCAAGCGACGCCATCGGTATGGGATTAAATTTGTATGCAGACACTGACGATGTGATTAAGCAGAAGCAATTGCTGACTTTAAAACTTGTAGGAACATTAAGCGTATCATTTTCGAATCCTCTCAAAAGCACAATGGCAAGGAATTTCGAACATTAGAGGTCTCAGACATCAAACAAATTGCGGGGCGTGCAGGACGTTACCGGACTGCCAGTCAAGCCACTGAAGAAAAATCGTCACCAGAAGCTGCTGATGTTCAGACCAGCGATGTTTCGCCAGACAATGTTGTGGCGCCTCTTCCGCCAGCCAAAAACCTTGGTCTTGTCACTACCTTAGAGCAGATGGATCTCAAAGTTGTCCAAGAAGCCATGGAAAGCGAGCCCGAACCAATTCAGAGTGCCGGACTTTTCCCACCCAGTGCAATCCTGGAGCAATTTGCAAGCTATTTTCCTCCTGAGACACCTTTCAGCTACATCCTCCTTCGTTTGCATGAGCTTTCACGACTTCACCCCCGTTACCATCTCTGCGCCCTTCGAGATCAGATTGAGATTGCAGATATGATCCAGCCGATCAAAAACTTAAGTATTGAAGATAAGGTTATTCTCTGTGCAGCTCCTGTCAGTGCGAGGGACCCAGGGGTCAGCCAGCTCGTGGCTGCATTCGCTCAATGCATAGCGAACCAAGGAGGTGGTGCTTTGTTAGACATTCCAGAAGTAAACCTAGAACTTCTCGATAAGCCAGCATCTTCCAATATGGAGTACCTTCGTCAACTTGAGACACTTCACAAAGGGCTGATCTTGTATCTTTGGTTGAGCTATCGGTTTGCTGGCGTATTCACTAGTCGGCCGTTAGCGTTCCATGTGAAGGAGATGGTTGAGGAGAGGATTGATAAGTCCCTTCACGATTATAGATTCGATCCCAAGGTTCGAAAACTTTTGAAGCGAGCTAGAGAGCAGTCGATGATTGAGAAACTGACAAAAGGGACGATCTCTACCGAGGCGTCTGACTCGGGAAATGATTTCCCCTTAAAGTGGGACGAAGGGATTAGTGCTTTACGCCTGGAGGAAGGCGCGACTGCGGCTAGAAACCAACATGTTGCCTCTTAGAGAGATGACTGTATTTATTATATGTATTTGTATGTATAGAAGGAATGACTCAGTCTCTCACGCGGGAGGATTAATGTATCTAGGTAGTTAACAGGCAACTTAAGAGCTAAAACAATTCACGTAGAGAGGAATACGCCTAAATCCAGAAACCGTTGCGTGGTCGTGTAACATATCCCCTTCACAATACAGCCTTAGTGTGAAATATAATAGCGGGAGTAAAAGTAGGACCTCCTGGCATAAGGTAACGTGGTTTGATTCCACCTGCCTTTCAAGGCGTCAGCTATCGATCAACATGATGGTTAGCACATACTTATACTCTAATGAGCCGATCAGTTATTGCAGCGTTGATTCACACGGATACATCACCATTTGCGTAGCCATTTCTAATACAGGACATTGATCAGTACCGGCTTCAAACATCTTCGGAAAACGAATTCAAGTCCCTCACAAGGCAAGTAATGAAGGAACAGTTTGAATGGCCCAGCTACTATTAGTGGTACAGGAAGAAAATTTGATCTCAGTTTCGTGCTAGAACAGCTGTAAGAAATTTGAGGCAGCTGCCATTCACAATGACCAAGTGAACGTAGACATGTTTCAGTAGCGGAGATATGACATTCCCGCCATTCAGAGGTCATCGGGAGTTTTGTCGAGCTTTGAGCACATTAGAGATGCCATCATTAATGCTGTTCTGAGATCAATGGTTATTGCAAGATAGAAAGACAATATATGAGGATAGAAATGCAAAATGATTGCCCTTTTTTTTGTATTACAGGTTTGCAGTATGATTGGTGCCCAGCCAACGAATAACAGAATGATTGAAGCCTATGATGGGTGTGGAGTAGATGACGATCTCCAGAGAAACAAGGCTCGCTTTGCATTCACTGCAATTACACGTCTTCAAAAAAAACAATTAGCTCCTTCCCTTCTGTATACTCTGAGGCCACATACGCGAGAAAATCATTCACCGCAGAATGGTGTATAAATACTTCGCGTGTTGAAGGCCTTCTTGAACTTTCTCTTATCCACACAGATGTCGTTTCATGGATAGCACTGGTGTCAGAGCAATCGAAATCTGGAAGCTAATCACAACCGACAACCAAAATGGCAGGTAACACGCGATTAGAGAACTTGAAAAGTCCGCCTGCTTCGAAAGGAGCGAACGCAGCTTCCGTTGGAGTCTCAAAAACAAACCCTAGAAATATTTCTCCACTCATCGAGAAAACTGAGCAAGACAAGAATAAGGTAAGCCAGCCGAGCTCTTTGTCATCAAGCAACCATAAGCCTGAGAGTGGCTTGATCGAAAGGAACAGCCCAGTAGATGCTACTTCAGAAGAACTGACAAACAAGAATTGGCAGGCGTCAAGCTCTAAACGCGGCGCAAACACGACAGTAACGGAGAATCCCATGACGAAAGGACATTCCCGGCCGACTTTCAATGAAGCTGAGGCGCTCTTTAATTCACAAGAGCCGCAAGAATTTGCGAATATCGAGCCTCACGTGAATGAAAGGAAGCCTTCATGGTACAACAGAGGATATGTCTATGTCATGAGGAGTGACACAGAAACAGAGGCTCTCAAGCAAGGAGGTTTAGAGGGCTTCAAGGTTGCTCCATTTTCAAAATGGCCAAGAGTGAGCTCTACCATGACCACCTCACCACCTCCAAAAGCAGCAATGTCCCAGAGATTGTCCCAAGTCACTGGCAAGACAGCCGAGGGTGCTATATTTAATTCAACCCAACTTGCGTTCGCGAGACAGGAGACGGGATTAGATTCAATTTCGCGGAAGCACGAATTCGAGGAGCTCGAGAAATTAGTTGGAACTGACAACCAAGATATCCAAGACAAGCTTAAGTCGCACAAATATAAGATTCCCGCGACGTCCGTAACGCCGGATAATTCGTCCAGTCCAGAGATGAGGAGAGCCTTCAGCACTCCCTCTGTTCCAGCGGACAGATTTCAGACTGCCATGAATAACGGCAATAGCGGCAGGATGCGTACTGCTAGTTTGCAAAAGCATGAGACCGGCCTTGACGATACACTATCGTCTTTCATTTCGCCGACTAAATTAGCAGTCCATAAAAGGAATTCATCAAATGTCTTTGACCCTGTACCACCCAAAAGGAGGATACCGAAGCAGAGCCTAACGTCATCAAGGCTAATGAGTGCAACTCGTGGCGCTGTTGAGTATATCAGAGGCAAAGGGATGGTGATAACAGATCCAGACAATGGATCAGATGATTATGATATTCCAATTGGATTCCCTAGTGCGGGCACTGGTCTCTGCGAACGAGATCACAGCTTCGACTTAAAGACGGCTTTGACACCAGCTTTCGAGCTTAAATCATCTCCAACCAGCCAATTGGTGTTGAAATGGATTTCAAAAGATCAGATGTTTGAACTCCCTCGTTTCCGGTTTCCAGGAGAAGCTATACTTCAAATCAAGCACTGTAGAGAGAGCTTGCAAATGTACTTTGAAATTGACACAAAAAAATTCGAGGGCAAGATAGATACTCTCTTGGTTTGGCTTAAAGGTCCCCAAACTTCTGAATTGACTATCTTAAAGCATGTCATTTCCAGCCGCCTTGGAACGATGAAAGATATGCATCCGGAAAGCCAGTGAGTAATAGCAGCGGACGATTAGTGGAAATAATGCTAAGCAGCCTCGTCGCAGGGAGGACCTTGACAAGATAGCGTCGAAGATGAGAAAGTCTATTCCGAAGACTGGCCGCTACACTAGACGAGCTTCCAACACAAATTCGTCATCAAATGCTCGCAGATCTAAAGCGGCTAGACCAATGGTAACAGAACTCCCCGTTCATCAACCGAATTCAAATCAATCTCATTCCACTTCCAAAAGACAGAAGCATCCAGGGGGTAGCAACGGCCTATGCTATCAGTCTGGCGAAGCCATCGAAGTGAATGACCTGGTCGTCCGCATAGTCGATCATGTTGCAATTCGGTTAGGACAGATACGATTTGAAGCGCAGGATAGCTTTGATGGGCCGTGGCGGGTTGCTGAGATTCCCAATATCGGTGCCCTTGGAACCAGTAAACTCATGGATCTCTTCAGCAGCGATGATGAGGATGAGCAGAATTCAAAAGAAGCCTGCGCTGAGCTATCTGATCTCGAAATTTCGACTCAGCCAACTTCGGGGGTGATATCTCAACGATATGATAGCAATCAAGCTCTCGAGATGGGAAAGGTTGTCGTAAGGCTCGATTTCCCACCAAATTCGCGGGCGAATGATTGGACAGAGCTGAGCCGCCTTCTTCCCGTTTTTAAGCATAACAGTGAAGATCAGCTGAAAGGTGAAACCTTGGAAGCAACTACTGCAATTGCAAATATCAGCTTTAACTGGGACAAATCAGAAAGAAAGTCTAAAGAAAAGCTCAGGGGTTCGGAAGTGCTTTTGAGAAATTATGATGAATCCTTCAATCCTATCTCAGGCTTTGTGTGCTTGAATGATGGGTATCGGGTCACGGTGACTTCGGCTCCTTTTAGCAAAGCCCGAGCGTGTGAGAATGGATCATACTTCGTAGATAACATCTGTGCTCAGCGCACGAGAGTGATCTCTAAGAAAGATTCAGAAGGGCTTGAGACAGACATGAACGATCCAGAAATCCGCCGATATCTCAAGAATTTGCAAGTTCCTCCCAAGGAGGGCGACGTCTTCATTTCAGAATATCTAGTCCATTGGGAAGGATGGTAAGTTTTCCAGCCATAAATGCCGGGCATTAACTTTGCTAAAACTGACTTCAACTAGGCCCAAGGAAGATGATTCATGGGAGCCTTTGACCAGTTTGGAGCTTCAAGATGCAGTGAAGAATTTTCAAGAAAAGATGAAGAAATACAGACACGAAAAAGAAGGAGGCAAAGACTGCAACCTTAATAAAGTTAGTGGTGGCTAGTCATGGATGAGCGCGCGACGAGATACGGTAAAAACGATCTGTCAGGAACTCGAAAGTCAAGTAATAAAGGTGCAGAGTTCGAAAAAGCGGTTGGAAAAGTTATGGTAAATGTAGTATCAGAGCACACACGTGTTGTTTGGCCTGGTAATTACAATACGTTGGTATATTATGATCTCTTCACTGATAGGGGTAATATGGAAAGAGAAGGAACCGCTAGAGAAATTATTGCAGGACAGATGTTAACTCGTGAAGCTCGTTGCCAGAATTAAACTATGAAATCTTCAAGTTCCCTGAATTGGTTAGCGGTGACGCTTGAATATTGTGCCCGCCAAACTTTTGCCGCAGCCGCTCCCGAGAGTTGTAGTACCCGCCACATGATCGTAGCGCTAGCCGCAGTATTTCGCCATCCTCTGTAGCAAACGCGGCTCGGAAGGCCAAATTGTGCTCCGAACTTCAGAAAAGATTCCTCCCTTTGAGGAGGTAAATATCTCGATATGGACGACCTTGCGAACCTCGAGTTCCTTTCCCTTGTCTCCAAGGTTACTTCCGAGCTCCAAAATCACCTTGGAATCAGCGACAAGACGCTCGCGGAGTTTGTTATTGACCAGCATTCAAAATGCAGTCAGCTCGACGAATTCAGGGCCAAAATGGAGGCCATGGGTGCCGAATTTCCCCAGAGCTTAATCGAAAGCTTAGATCGCCTCATACTTACGATGCATCCGAGACATAAACATAGTTCGACGGACGATAATAGTCAGAGCGGTAAACAAGATGCTGTCGGACTCAATGAAGTTGACAGAAAGACCAGGGTCTTCAAAGGCCTAGCTTTGCCTGATAAGGCAACACCTTGGAAGGAGGAAGAATATACGGAAAGTGGTTTGAAGGACGCGTCGGAAAGTGACGCAAAAATTGACGCCATGGACGATACTTTTGCCATGCTGGAAAGCTTGGCAGGAAAGGCAAGGGAGGAAAAGGATTCTACGCAGAACAGAAAGCGAAGCAGAAGCCCTGGTACCGAGCGAGATTATGAACGCGAACAAATGCGCAGAGATGCATATCGATCTAGGTCGAGGTCACGATCGCGGAGCGTTGAGGACGGACGAGGTCGACGACGGAGAAACGATGAGTTTGTCTTTGAGGATGAGTTTGGCAGGCAGCGGAGTGGAAGATACGATTCAAGGGAACGAGCATACAAAGATTCCTACCGGAGCAATAAGCGGCGGCAGCGTGGTGATGATGAGGAATATTTTAAGCGGCCACCTACGCCCGAGCTCGACGACGGGCCGGTTTTGTACAAGGTTTACGAGGGCCGTGTGACCGGCGTGAAGGATTTCGGTGCATTTGTTAATCTTCAGGGTGTAAGGGGCAAAGTTGATGGCTTGGTACACGTCTCAGCAATGCAAGCGGGTGTTCGAGTAAATCATCCTTCGGATCTTGTCTCACGGGGTCAGTTGGTGAAAGTCAAGGTCATGAGCATTCAAGGTACTCGAATCGGGCTTTCAATGAAGGAAGTGGACCAGGTCACTGGTATGGATCTCGCGCCGGAAAAACGTATTGCATCAGGAGCGAATACTGGTCCACTTGGGCGTAACGGCGTCAATGACTCAAGCAGATACGGAAACCTCAGTTCTGAAGTACCTGTCATTGAGGACGATATTCAATCTAAGAAGAGCAGAAAGCGTTTGACCTCCCCGGAGCGCTGGGAGATAAAGCAGCTCATCGCCTCAGGCGCGATTTCGGCGCAAGACTATCCAGATATTGACGAAGAGTACAACGCTACGTTGAATGGAGAAGGCGACTTTGAGGAAGAGGAGGATATTGACATTGAAGTTCGAGATGAGGAACCGCCTTTCCTCGCAGGACAGACAAAGCTTTCGCTCGAGCTCTCGCCGATTCGTGTTGTCAAAGCACCTGATGGCTCACTCAATAGAGCGGCTATGTCTGGAACGCAGCTAGCGAAGGAGAGGCGTGATCTACGGCAACAAGAGTCTCAGGATAAAGCTGCGGAACAGGCAGGTCAAGTCGATCTTAATGCGCAGTGGCAGGATCCTATGACCAGACCGGACGAGCGCAAGTTTGCTACTGATTTGCGTAGCGTCGCCCCCAGTAAAGCCAGCGACACTGTGCCTGAGTGGAAGCGTGCGACTATGAGCAAAGACCAATCTTTTGGGAAACGGACATCATTATCCATCAAGGAACAACGTGAATCCCTCCCGGTATTCAAATTTCGCAAGCAACTCCTTGAAGCTGTTCGCGAAAATCAGCTCTTGATCGTCGTCGGCGATACTGGCTCCGGAAAAACTACACAATTAACGCAATATCTTGCCGAAGGAGGTTTTGCTGACAATGGAATCATTGGATGCACTCAACCGCGCCGTGTTGCCGCCATGTCTGTTGCAAAGCGTGTTGCCGAAGAGGTAGGGTGCAAGCTCGGCGCAGAAGTTGGCTATACGATCCGTTTTGAAGACTGCACCAGCCCTGAGACAAAGATCAAGTACATGACGGATGGTATGTTACAGAGAGAAGTCTTACTCGACCCTGACTTGAAGAAATACTCTGTTATTATGCTGGACGAGGCACATGAACGTACCATTGCGACAGACGTTTTGTTCGGACTTCTGAAGAAAACCTTGAAGCGACGGCCTGATCTCCGGATTATTGTGACCTCTGCCACGCTCGACGCTGAGAAATTCTCTGAGTATTTCAATGGATGTCCGATTTTCTCTATCCCGGGTCGCACATTTCCCGTGGAAGTTATGTACTCGCGAGAGCCTGAGTCCGATTACCTCGATGCTGCGCTTGTCACTGTTATGCAAATCCATCTAACAGAGCCACCGGGAGATATTCTACTCTTCTTGACTGGCCAGGAAGAAATCGACACCAGTTGTGAGATCTTGTATGAACGCATGAAAGCTCTTGGGCCAAGCGTCCCGGAGCTGATCATTCTTCCCGTGTACTCTGCCCTTCCCAGCGAAATGCAGAGCAAGATCTTCGATCCAGCGCCGCCCGGTAGCCGCAAAGTCGTGATCGCAACCAACATTGCCGAGACATCTATCACTATAGATCAAATCTATTATGTCGTCGATCCAGGCTTCGTCAAGCAAAATGCTTACGATCCGAAACTGGGAATGGATTCTCTTGTTGTTACGCCCATCTCACAGGCACAAGCCAGACAACGCGCGGGTCGAGCCGGTCGGACTGGTCCTGGAAAATGTTTCAGATTGTATACTGAAGCCGCCTTTCAGTCTGAAATGCTACCAACGACCATTCCGGAAATTCAACGACAGAATTTGTCCCATACAATCCTGATGCTTAAAGCTATGGGTATCAACGATCTGCTTCACTTCGACTTTATGGACCCACCGCCGACAAATACTATGCTTACTGCGCTTGAAGAGCTCTATGCACTGTCTGCACTCGACGATGAAGGGTTGCTTACTCGGCTTGGTCGCAAGATGGCTGATTTCCCCATGGAGCCTGCGTTAGCTAAAGTTCTCATTGCATCTGTTGATATGGGATGCTCGGAAGAGCTTCTTAGCATCGTGGCTATGCTTTCAGTACAAACCGTTTTCTACCGCCCAAAGGAGAAACAGCAACAGGCAGATCAGAAAAAGTCAAAATTTCATGACCCGCAAGGCGATCATCTAACGCTGCTCAATGTATACAATTCATGGAAGTCGTCGGGCTATTCCAACCCTTGGTGTTTTGAAAACTTCATCCAAGCGCGGTCCATCCGTCGTGCACAAGATGTACGGCAACAGCTCTTGAGCATTATGCAGAGGTACAAACATCCGATTATCTCCTGTGGGCGAAATACCCAGAAGGTACGCCAAGCCTTGTGCACAGGTTTCTTCCGCAATGCAGCACGCAAGGACCCTCAAGAAGGGTACAAAACATTGACGGAAGGGACACCGGTTTATATGCATCCTAGCTCGGCCCTTTTTGGGAAGCCAGCGGAGCATGTAATCTTTCATACATTGGTCATGACAACAAAAGAATATATGCACTGTACAACTGGAATTGAACCAAAGGTACGTTCTCCCATTCACATTTCCTGAAAACCTTGGTATGCTGACTCTTGCTGTTCATAGTGGCTTGTGGAGGCTGCACCCACGTTCTTCAAGGTCGCCCCAACCGATCGCCTATCCAAACGAAAGAAGGCGGAACGGATTCAACCTCTCCATAACCGGTTCGCTGGTGAAGATGACTGGCGGTTATCTGCACAGAAACGCCAGGGTCGTGGTGGTGGTGGAGGCACATGGGGATAGTTTGGTTTGTTATTCTTGTATATATTTATTTGCATCTCGATCTTATCGTTCGTTCTTTTTCAAGCCTCGTCATAGCTCTGACGTCTCCTTTGTATTGTTCAACTTGCTAGTTCCTTTTTAAAGTTGGCGAAGTTTGCCTCGATACCATTTGGCCGGGAAGGGAAACATCATTTGAGTCTATATGGCTTGCTTACGGCTCCGTAAAAGTCTATTATATATCTAAATTCAAGACAAGACCTCAGGTCTGGGATCGTATTAGAAAAGATGTTTGGGCGTTTTACTTAGAATTAAAAAAGTGGGCATTGGATCAATTCTCATCCAGCTACCAATCCAAAACACAATTCACTCTAATAAAGGGCAAAGAATTCATATTAATACCCCACCCTTGCCACATTTATATCATGACCATTATCGAGTTGCTCCCTCGGTCCTTCTGGTTTAGGAGGTGGCAGTGACTTGGCTGTTCCTGGAATCACGTCGAGCGGGTATTTCAAGCGCCGTGCTTATTTCGGCCCCCACCCATGGAAGCTAACTAGAATGGGAAAGCGCCCCAACTCGCCTCTCTCTCATCGTCACAACTAACAATCTCATCTTCACTTGGTTGCGACTGCCTTACTTCACGACGACTTGAATCAGCGAATTGCTGCATTTATTTTCACGGCTGTTATTGAATTTACTTGTTTAACGCTGAAAAATATTCGAAAGCCGGCAATTTAGCTGACGCGAGGTCGTCCCTTCAACGGTACAATGGGTCCTCTATTGCGGCTATTTCGGCTTCCGCGCCCAAAGGTTTGTTGCGCGCCAAACCAGTGTTTGTTCTTTTTTGATGCAGTGAAGTATATGCTAACATATGGCGAACAGTCATTTCTGTATTTGATGTCACTTCGGACGGGCACGGAGCTTATCACGCTATCAGTCGCCATCAACAAAGTGTCCGCTATTTTTGGCCTCCTTGCCATCCTGACCGGCGTTCATCTTTCGCCCATGCAGCTGAGCATGTACATATACAGCCTTATAGTCCTCAGTTTAATGGTCTTCTTGGCTCCTGCGATAAGGAAACAAGATCCGTTGCGATGCCTTGCCCTCGCCTGGCTGTATATTCTCGATAGCGCCATCAACGCTGCGTACACGGCCGCCTTTGGAGTTACTTGGTTTTTGGTTCTGAGTCAACAACATTCTGGCTCAAATGCAGGTGAAGCAACTCCTGGTGGCAAGACCATGGACGATGCGGCAGGCTTCACCAACCCCAAGTACAACGTGTCTCGTGTTGATGTCGTCGCCACCCCTGCAGCGGGACTCACAGCCGGCCAAGACGCTGTCGCTATCGGACAAGGCAACAGCGGCTCCCTTGGCAGCGGCGTTCTCCAACCTGAGAGCGTGTTCAGCATCACGCTCATCTCTGCTCTGTGGGCAGTGCGGCTGTACTTTGTTCTCGTTGTCATGGCATATGCGCGCAGTGTCATTCGTCAGCATGTCTTTATGCAGTCCTCCACATCTCGAAACAACAAGTTCTATGCTCCAACCCCCCTTGCCGGCACTGATGATGATGGAGACATGGCGGACAACCCATTCGCTGACGGTGCGCCTGCTGGATCTGGCTGGCAGGGCCGTGTTGGGCGTGCTATGGTTGCCATTGGCCGATCGTATTGGTTGGGCGGCGCTGCTCACGATCCGACCGATGATGTTTGGGCTCGTGGCATGGGTGGCAAATTCCGACGCACTGCCGAAACTTATGGCCCGGTTGAGCGCGAGCGCAGACGACGCAGTGGAACTGGACCCCCAGCTCCTGCCACTCCTTTGACCCAGGCAAACCACTCTATCGAGCTGCAGGAAGCAAGACCGTAGACGCGGTCAGATTTCTCGCTTGTGACTCTCTGTTCTTTTACTTTCCTTTCCCACAGAACTTTCTGGCGAATATTCAATGACACTCCTACATACATATATAAAACTCGTTCCTGTTTCGAAAGCCCAATCATCATCTTCTTCATATGCGTGATTGTGGCTCTTTTGCAGCCAGGGAAACAAGTTCACTAGATTTAATTTGGGCGGGCTTTGAAACAAAAGCTAATGGATGAATGAAGAGATATAACCATGCACATCAACCAAGTCTTAGAACAGTCGTCTTTGTACTTTTTCAAATTTTCTGTTCTAGAATAGCGGTATGTCTTTTTCCTTATTTTTCTTCTTCACTTAATGTAATGACGAAAGGTCTTTGGCAAAAAAGAGAACTGGTGGACATGCAACGGCGCGGAAAATCGATGGGTATGATTTGGGCATTGTTTTCTTTCTTTCTTTCTCTCATTTTTCTTTCTTAACCTTTTCGAGCTTCTTCTCTTTTTTTTCTCTTCTTTATAATTCCTACAACTGATGGACAATGAAACCTGCTCATTTCCTCCTTTTCTGTGCCTTAATCGCCGTCTAAGTGTTTTTTCCTCGCCGTGCCACTGACCCATCATATCCTCTTTCACCTCACTCCATTTCACCTTTTAGTATAAGCGTTGTCCTAGATCTACCCTGTTCCGTTTCTCTGTGATGTCTTTCCCGGCACTGATGACCTGGTGGTGCCTTTGCAATGTCAAGTCTTTCCTTTCTCTTTCTCTTTTGATTTGAAGCAGCATCTTGCGGATGTATCAGAGCAGGCGTATCATTCGTTCATTATCCGGTTGTATTGATGATGAGACTACGTTGAATAATGATAATGTCTCCGTCTATCTTTCACATTTTGCACCGCACTGAATCGTAGTTCGACGCAGCTTACTGTGTTGTTTTTGGAGGCTGGGAGACGGTCGATATAGTAGAAAAGCTATGATGATGAGGCTGAGGATGTCTCACTTGGGTATCCAATTTGAGCTGGTGCTCGGTCTGAAGCATGGAGGCAGTGACCACTAGATGCTCGCGACGATAGCCAGGATCTGACATCAATGTGAGACTTTCCTATTCTTGCTCGGAGCTACTCACATACAATCCCAAAGGACAGGAGATTCGGGCAGCCAAGTATGAAAGTGTGATAACAATACTTTTTACTACTTCCGCCGCTGACGCCACAAATTCGCTACGGTAGATGTCAATTATAGAAAGAGATGCAGCACAATGTGGCAAAGATGATTGAGAGGTAAGATTTAAAGCACTTTGAGAATGAAGAGAATTTATATGAAGATATATGGAAAAGGAATTCTAACAACACAAGTGAGTTTAAGAGAAATAGGGTGTCATCTCTGGCTGATTAAACAGGAAAGAAAAAAAAAATGAGATAAAAGAAAAAAAACTCTCGAGGACTACGAGGAATGAGGACAGGAGAAAAAGCAATAATCGACGCCCTTATATCAAAGATGATAAAAGAAAAAAGAATAAAAAATTACATGGTGTACAGTAATAAAAATGCGACTAAAACTGATACATCGAATGATTTTGGCTGCCGAATTATGGCTCGGTAAACTACAATTTGAATGCATAAGATTCGAACTCGCCGCAGCTCGTGATGATCAGACTGCAGAAATCATGGTGCGTAGCTCGAAAATGAAGCAAAATGTTCGCAATCACAAACGAGGCGTTTTGAAAGGATATGGGGTATGTACGGCTTAAAGACTATCGCGTGTAAGCCAAGCGGGGGCCGGAATGGATAAAGCCCCTATGATCATCTCCATTCTTCTCGAAGAAGAGACGAGCGTGAGATAAAAGGACAGAGGGGAAATGCTGGAAGACGTCGAAGACGGTAGAGCAGCTTGCCTTCGTTTTGAGAAGGCCACCTAAAAATGGTTGCATAGAAGGGATAAATCAAATGAAAATCGCTCTTCAGCATGCGCAGCCATTGTTGTCTGTAGGCTGCGATGGGTTGATATTTACATCAATCACTAAGAGGCAGTTAGTATATGGAGTCTCTTGACAGCGCAAGTTAAGGTGTGTGCGTGCGCTGGGATAACACGTACTCTGGCTTCCAGCCTGCTGGTTTTCACCCTCCATACCGGGAAGCGCCTGCGCGATCATCCGGAAAAGCTGCTTGACGTTGTGTCCGACCTTGGCACTCGTTTCAATAAACATGAGGTTGTTCTCCTTAGCCTTTTGCTCGCCCTGTGCCGTGGTGACCATGCGCTTGTCCAGGTCGGTCTTGTTTCCGACCAAAACAATGATTACATCGTTACCGCGCTCGCCGCGCACATCATCAACCCACTTTCGCGTGTTCTCGAAGGATGCCGGGTCTATAAGGGAGGGATAAGCGTTAGTATAATCGCTCAGGCCGGAAGGGGCGGCAGCTGTAACATCCTGCACACCAGACGAAAGAGTTGAGAGCTGTCGGTTTCCGCTTACTAGAAATGTCATAGACGACCACTGCGACGCTGGAGTCTCGGATATAGGAGGGAATCAAGCTCCTGAATCGCTCCTGGCCGGCCGTGTCCCAGAGTTGTAACCGTACTGTTCGGTCATCGAGATACATAGTCTATGTAGAGATCTGTTTAGTGCGACTGAAGAGCGCATATTGCATGGAGGAGTGTCCCATGCGAACCTTTGAAAGGAAATCAATGCCAATGGTGGCCTGGTAGGTGTTGTCGAACGAGTCGTACATGAACCGGGTAATCAGGGATGTCTTTCCCACTGTAGCCGCCATTTTCTCAGTATGTCTCCAAATCTTTTTATGAAGTTCAAAAGTCGAAGTTCTTACCGCTCTGCTCTCCAAGAAAAACAAGTCTGTGATATCGGATTTAGCAAGGTAACACCCTTGGCGGAAACTAGTGACGGAACATACTTATATTTCTTGAGGGGATTCGAATACGATCCCACAGAGGACGCCATGGCGGATGAAGTGGTTGAGATTGGAGTCTGAGATGTAAAGAGAGTCCTAGGGAAATGATGTCGAGGTATCAAGCTGCGATAAAAGTAGTGGGGGTTATGGGATATAGTTCAATGTTGTTATGGTGTTCAGGAGTTTCAACGAGCTCCTATGGTCCCTCGACCAGGCCGCACTGTCAGGGATTTACGGTGGCGCATACAGACCAATGAGGCTACAAGAGGAAATGCACTCGGCAGGGTCGGCTGTTACTGTATTCGCCTCGCTTGCACCGAGGCACAATCATGGCCCACCAGCTCAACCTCTCGTCCAGGGAAGAGAGGTTGATATGGTGGTTCACAGCATCAATGGATTTAACTTTGCCACTTTCGACAGGCATTTATGAAATGGATTCTCTGTCTTATTTATCTGTATTGATGATGGACTCTAAAAGAATTGCTTCTGGACATTTCTTGATCGATGATTGTCTTCCTCAGCACTAACCCTTTACTTTCGAGCTCAAACTTCACCTTTTTTGATCAGTGCTATACATCATGGTTATTGGGGATTTGGCATCATAGATTGACAAACAGTTTAGCGTTCATAGGGCATATTATCCTTGTGGTCTGAAATTCATCTACAATTGAAGACCCTCCAAAAGAACTCCATAATGCGGGATGCACTATCTTCGGGAACCATGTCGCTCGAGCCGATTATCAGCCGACATCGGGCCGTTTTATATTCTTAATTCTAACTCAAAAAGAACAGTAACATGATTTCTAAAACGACTTTGAGTCATGTTTAAAGAGCTTTGAAGTTGATGATTTTTACTTTTTTTGTGCATTTTATAAATATGATACCCATTGTTTGAATTCCGCAGCATCACTTCCTTGGAATAGGAGTTTTCCAAATTCTACTACAGATGGCGCCAACATTAGTGACCCCGGCGCCAGCATTGCTTCATATTTCCGCATCTCAATCTTCCTCAAAAACTCCAAGTATAGAATTGCAAACAGCGACTCCATCGCCTCTAATTCAGGGTTCGCAGGCTTCGTTGAACAATGCGGAACCAAATGGTTCCGCGGCTGTGCCAGATGACTTTTTCGTCTCCGGTCGGTTTCCTACATGGAGAAAAATACTTATCCTCTTCACCACCAGTTGGATCACCTTAGCTGCTACATTTTCTAGTACATCTCTTTTTCCAGCGGTTCCAGAAATTGCGGATGAATTTGGCACTGTCCCTAGTGTTGTCAACTATAGCAATGCGGCCATTCTCGTTGCAATGGGCCTTGCTTCATATATTTGGGGCCCAATGAGTATGGTAGAATTACACCTTGGCTGCGGAAATTAAATTTTGAAGATTGCATGCTTATATTTACTCCAGATCATCGGAAGAAGATCTGCATATAACATTGCATTGTTTATTTTCTTCGCCTTTGCAATTGGCGCAGCACTTGCGCCCAATCTCCAGACATTTGTTGCAATGCGCACATTGGCTGGTTTCGAAGCATCTTTCTTCATGGTTGCTGGGCAGGCCATAATTGCTGATATATTTGATCCTGTGAGTCTGCTCGTCAGAATTGTTCTGTGGCGAATATGCATCTGAGTATTATCCAGCTACATCGTGGAACAGCCACTGGATTTTTCATGTGCGGAACGGTAACCGGACCAGCCCTAGGTGCGTCTCAAATCAGTGAAGCTTTCTCATTAATATCTAACTGTCTGACTGACTTTTGCTTCAGGGCCGTGCATTGGTGGCATTATTGTGACTTTTGTGACGTGGCGAGCCATATTCTGGCTGCAAGCAGGCATGGCAGCTTCTGGCCTCATTTTATCACTTATTTTCGTGCCATCAATTACCCGACCAGCTACGGAAGGGCAAGCGACCTTTGTAAAGTCACAACTTCTCTCGCAATTTAGTCCCATGCGAGTTTTGGAACTTCTTATCTATCCTAACATTCTGCTGACAGTATGGAGAATCTTCCCATTCCTAGTGATCATTTTGCGGCGAAGCACTTACGCTGATTTGCCTAATCATTTTCTCGCAGGACATTGCATGTGGATGTTTAAGTTTCACTCTCTATTCCCTTCTCACGCCTCCTCGGTATCTGATCAATCCACGTTTCCACCTCACCACTCCATTAGTCTCTGGCCTATTTTATATTGCACCTGGGGCGGGCTTTTTCTCTGGGGTCCTTATCGGAGGCCGCTGGGCTGACATGACGGTGAAGCGATACATTGTCAAACGTGAAGGCACACGGCTTCCTCAAGACCGGCTAAACAGCGGTGTCCTTGCTTTCTTCTTCATGGTCCCCGCAGCCACGCTCGTCTTTGGATGGTCCTTGCAATACGTGGTCGGGGGACTTCCAGTTCCAACCATTGCCATGTTCTTTAGCGGCATGGGTTTGATGTTTGCCTTTAGTAGTTTGAATACCTACTGTGCAGAGGTTATGCCCGGCAAACGCGTTCAGGTAATTACGGGGAAATACTTTATACAATACTGCGCTGCAGCCGCAGGAAGTGCCTCCATTCTTCCTTTAATTAACAAGATTGGTGTCGGACCGGCATGCACTTTTACCTCTGGAGTTACTATGCTCGGAGGAGTCTTAGTGCTCATCACTGCCAGGAAGGGATCTGAAATGCAGCGCTGGGTGGATCAATGGCGGAAATCCCATCGGGATCATGAATAACAGTATTTCGACCATAAGCTTCATACTATACCTAGTTTCTTTAAAAAAAAAGAGGACTTTCTAATCCATACGTTGCGCATTGGGTCTGACTGATAATACGAGCACATCATACTCCGTAAGGCTGCACAGGATCGTTGATATTGAGACATTTCTTTTATATTCAGGGCTCACAGGGAGAAACTTAGGTACTCAATTGCTGATTATCAGTAGACGATAGATAATCGCAACTTATCTAAAAATTTATATTATAGGAATGATTAGAATAAAAAAGGCTAGAACAATAATACGACTGTAGCAACGTTGAGGGAGCATCTGACAAGAGTGTCCGAAGGGTTACGGACACAGACTCAACCACCCACACCCACAATGATTAGTCATCACCCGCTATCGATTGACAGGGTCTCGGAGCAACTAATTTTCGCCGACAATTTCTGGGTTTGAGATATTCAGTTGTTTGATCGTCAAAATTGGCTGTCAACGTTCAATCTAACCAAGAATCATGTCGGTATCATTGGGCGCACCCGGTCAGCATAAGCAGGCGTCGAGGAAGGGAAAGAAAGCATGGCGGAAGAACATTGATATCACCCCAGTCCAGGAGGGATTGGAGGATGTGCGCGAAGAAATCATTCAAGGGTAGGTTTCCTGGGTTTTTTTTGTCTGGCAGGAGAAATTGATCTTACTGTCTAATTTGACTTTGAAATTTGTGCACACTAATATTTGTTTATTATAGAGGACTTCTCTCAGAGAAGCCTGCTGAAGAGCTTTTCACTCTCGACACCACCGGATCCACGGCCATTCAGAAGGCTTATAATAAAGTCCATAAACCGCTCAAGGCAGACGAAATTATCGCTCAGCGATCAGCTGTTCCTGCTGTCGACTCCCGCAAGAGATCTAGCTCTAAAGTGACAGACGGCATCATCGAGCCCAGCGGCAAGAAGCGTAGAGGTGGAGGCGTTTCCCACAAAGAACTCGAACGTCTCAAGCAAATCGCGTATGGTGGAGACTCGGTTCACAAGGATGTTGTCAAGACCGACAACACGCCAGCCTATGATCCATGGGCTGTGGAACCGCCAAAGCAGGATCCCAGATTTTCGTTCCTGGAGCCGCCGAAGCCGGTGCGAGCGCCAAAGACACTGAATGAGGCTCCGATTTCTCTGGCCGCCGACGGAAAGAAAATCCCTGCTGTGAAGCGGCCTGAAGGCGAAATGAGCTATAACCCGACGTTTGAGGATTGGAGTGAGGCTCTGGAAAATGCAGGACAGAAGGAAGTGGAAGCAGAATTGAAGAGATTACAGGCCGAGGCAGCTGAACAGGATCTTCGAGAGCGAGCTGCTGCCTCTGCCGCGCAGCAAGGTGCGGAGATTGATGAGGGAGACGATGACGAGAGTGCGTGGGAAGGTTTCGAAAGCGAAGCAGAAAACGAGCCGTTGTCTGCTCGCCAGCGCCGCCCGGAGCGGAAGACCCAGTCACAGAAGAACAAGGCTAAGCGGAGAAAGGAGGGTGAGAGACAAGCCAAATGGGAAGAAAAAATGCAGAAGAAGGCTGCGCAGGCCGAGCAAATTAAGGCGCTAGCCGAGGCCATCGAAGCAAAGGAGAAAGCCAGGGCAGAGGCAAGTGCCAATGGTGAAGATGCCGATGAATCCGGGGAGGGAGATGATACCGTTCTTCGTCGAAAGAATATTAGGAATGCTCCGTAAGTCGGCCACCTGGCTCAACAAGCCTCTTTTTTTTTTTTTTTTTTTTTTTTTTGCGCCGATGTTTTACTGACATTGTCACAGTTTCCCTGAGAAGCAGCTAGAGCTGGTCTTGCCTGACGAACTCAGTGAGTCGTTGCGGCTCTTGAAGCCAGAAGGAAACCTTGTCAAAGATCGATTCCGAAACATGATTGTTCGCGGCAAATTGGAGTCACGTAGACCCATTACGCAGCCCAAGAAGGCGAAGAGAACATATACAGAGAAATGGACATACAAGGATTTCAAGATCTAGAGATTTGGCAAGCCATTGCAGCCATGTCGCTTTTGTTGGCGTTCACCTCATATACTTTTTTCTTTGGTTGTTCGGAGTCACGAAGTATTAATTTGGTCTGGTAGACATAGAAGCATTATCCTACTACATTTCAAGGCTATCAATCAAAAGCACGGGTAAAAGTTTTCCATTGCAAAGCTTCATAGAGCGCACTTTCGAATCCCAGGGCAGAGGCTCGTGATACAAACTAGGGTCGGTTTGCTTGTTAGCCGCTTCTATTTAAATTACACCACAGAGCCTCTACCAGCTGACCATGATCTAGGCATTCTTGTGACTTGAGCTAGGTTCAATTTTGATTCCTCCATTGCAGACTTTTCTTTTTACGTGCCTTTTGGCCTTTATTGCATTCTACTGCCGATGCAGACGCTCTATTATGGTGGGCCTGGCGATTGCCGAGCAGGGCGCAGAGCGACACCGCGAAGACTTCCCGCCCCATGTTTATCGTCTTCCTACGGGTTACTGGTGCCTAATAGATTGCGGCGCTCGTGCATGTCAACAAACAGCACTTGTGTGACCTTTCAAACTGCAAATTCGGTGACTGATATCGTTTCATCTCCAATAGGGTTGCTCCGTCCTCCCAGGGCCTTATTATTGGGCATTGTACCTTCCAGGGTTTTGCTGTTTGGCGCCCAGGTCCAGTGATTATGGTATTAGAGAACCTTGTCTTCTACGTTTCACAAACTCACCACAGGCATCAAGGGCCAAAAAGGTGCCCAGCCATCATTCAATTCTGTGCGCGGGCTGTGTATATCATTCGTTGAGAAGCAATATCCCAAGAGAAGGCTGAAAAATGCATGAGAAATATGCTCCAAGCCTTTGCCGCCTGCCGCGCCGCAAACTTACTTGCAGACGGTTCCCCGTCTGTTTGCTGTTGTCTTGTTTGCTATTTACTAATATTAGCATCAAGTGAATTTCCCATGCAATGCTTCTCTGTATCTACTCAACTCAGCCTTGCTCACTGTTGTCAATGGATGATTCTCGCTCCGAGATTCCTGAAGCTTTTAAAGGCCGCCGCTCTCGCTCTGGCAGACTACGGTAGAGCTCAAATTTGAAATTTTCTTTGACCTTTCTGTCTCAGCTATCTTTCTCTTCCTTACGTGATATTTTTGATAGACTTTCTCCTTGCCTTTCACTCCAAAGATGAGGATGCACAAAACTGGGACACTAAGCGCCATCGACGGCATGGACAATCCAGACAGGGTGAGGATACTAGGCATTGTCGATAAGCTTCGAGAGCTGGGGATCAGCGAGGGACTTTCCCTGCCACAAGTATGTACAGTTGTCTGACCCTCTATTTACCGTTTCTGTTATACTGACTTTATAATTTCCTTTAGCTCGTCGTTGTTGGTGATCAATCCAGTGGGAAGTCTTCGGTCCTGGAAGGTTTGACTGGGCTTTCATTCCCGGTTGCAAGTGACCTTTGCACTCGATTCGCCACTCAAATTGTGCTACGAAGGACTCCGGCTGCTGAGGAATCTGTCAAGGTGTCGATCATTCCGGGGCCGACCACACTTGACGATGAGGAGGCTAAAGACCACCTGCTGGAGTTTGAGAAGACGTTTGAAAAGATTGACTTTGATCGCGAAATCTTTTCCAAGATTCTGGACGATGTTGGTTTAGACCGTTTCCCTTGACAGGTCTCAAAAAGCATCAGTTCTAACGAGAAGCGGACTTAGGCGGCAGAATGCATGGGATTGCCTCGATCCACAGATGATAGTATTGAGAATCTTGAAAAGCGGTTTTCCGACGATATTTTGAAAATTGAGCTATGCGGGCCTGAGCATCATCATCTCAGTGTTGTCGATGTTCCTGGATTGTTTCACAGTATATAAAATCTTGTATCTCCCCACAAATTTTACATTTACTGATAGTCTTTCCTAGATCCTACAAAGTACCAAACGGCGGAAGACAAAGTCATCATTCGAGATTTGATTCTTCAGTATATCACTGATCGGCGTACCATTATACTGTACGGTCTTTGAAATTCCTTTTCTTTGTACAACAAAATGACTGATTGTATAGTGCTGTCATGGATGCCAGAAATAACCTAGCTAACCAGGAAGTTTTCAACATGGCACGTGCGGCCGACCCTGAAGGGCAACGCACTGCGGGTATAATAACCAAGTGCGACGCGCTTCAACCAGGGGACGAAGACTCTGTATGTCAATCAATAGATTTTGTCCGCCTCTGTGCAGAAACTGACTTTGAATAGGTTATGAAAATTGCCCAGAACGAGGTGGATCGATTGACTCATGGGTGGTTTGCAGTCAAGAATAGGTCCACCCAGGATATTAAAGATGGTGTCACCATCGAAGAACGCCACAAAAGTGAAAAGAAGTTCTTTACCACTGCACCTTGGAATCAGCTCCGGAAAGATCGCGTTGGCATTGAACCACTCAAGACCTTCCTGGGACAACTTCTCTACACTCATGTTCGCAGAGAATTTCCTTCCTTGGTGAGAGATATCGAAAGCGTCTGCAGCAGCACTCAGAAAGAGCTCGAAGCTTTGGGCCCTCCAAGAGGCACACTTGGAGAACAGCGTCTATATCTTACCCGGAAATCGATTGCCTACGAAAAAAGCGTGGAAGCTGCTTTGCGAGGAAATTATGCGACAAATTTGCCCGCAAAAGATCCATCCAAACTACGGATGCATATTCGTATGCTCAACAATGGCTTCTCTGATCGATTGAAGGCAGAAGGTCATACCAGAGCATTTCGTACAGTGGATGATAAGCATGACGAGGAGTTCCCGGCTGATGACCAGTACGAGAACATTTACGATTGGATCCGTCGCTTTTATCTTGACTCGCGCGGCGCAGAGCTTCCAGGCACCTTGAACCCTAGTGTTCTCGAAAACCTGTTTCGTGAACAGTCGACCAAGTGGGCAAAGGTGGCTTTCAATTATCTCGAGGATGTCGAAAAGGCAGTTCTGGCATACAATGATGCAATCTTTTCCGAGTTGATCCCCGAGGAAGATGTTCGCCAAAAGCTTCGTACACGACTAGACTCTGAAAGCCAAGAAACCATTGCGTCGGCGAGGCGCCATCTGAAAGAAATACTGAGCGATGAGCGGGATGGCATCTTACAAACGGAGAACCATTATTTTTCTGACACTCTTAATTCGATTCGCGAAGACCGAGTTTCGCAGAGACTACAGAGTGAGGCATTCTCGGGACACAACACGCTATATAATGTCGATCTTTCATCAATTATGCGCACAGTGCACCTCAGCAACGAGGATCAGTCCGTCTACGAGATTCATGACACTTTGAAAACTTACTATAAAGTTGCCATCAAGCGCTTCGTCGACAACGTCATAATGCAGGTGGTCGAGCGTCACTTTCTCAGAGACGGCGGTTCCATCAAGAAGTTCTCTCCTGAGTTTGTCAATCTACTTGACGACGCGGATCTCAGCTACATTGCCGGAGAAAATTATAGTACAGCAAGCGCAAGGGTGGATATCAAGAACAAGATTGAAAGATTTCAAAAGGCACTCGAACTCGCACACGGTACTGGAATCTGACCTAGCACAAAGCGCATTATGCATAATCGATCTTCCTACACTTGATTAAGCCATCGTATGCATTGCTAGTCTGATTTTGTTAGCAGCTTGAATTTAAGAAATCTCCAAGACTTGCCCATCCATTTTCTTCTCCTCTGCAATAGCCTCAAAATGAATTTCTCAATTTACAGATAATCCAAGCACTCATGGTCCGAACACAAATGAATTAATCCGCGCCAATAAGCCATTGCAAGTGATTGCTGGTCAAATGTTTCGGGATTAGAACACCCAGAACACCTAAGAGCAAATGATACACGCAAACCATTTGTATAAGAACTTATTATACAAATGATCACATTGATTGAGAGAATTGCATTGATCTTTTTGCAGATGCAAGAATACTACGAGTACAAAATATGCAGTAGAGTAATCGCATCAACATCCTGTGTAAGCATCTCATAAGCACGACGACGATTGGATGTGGGGCGGAAGATGCCGGGGGGTGAATGATTGATAAACCATGTCCGACTAACGGAGATCTGGACCGAAGGGACCCGCGGGGCCGCCGAGGGGCAGTAACATCTGACTCTAACTGCCATCCTTCTGTTTCCTTCTCGAATTCTCGAATTTCTTTGCGTCAGATAATTTTCGCAGACAACAGTCCGAAGTTGTTTAAGCCTCAGTACGAAGTCTCTTGAAAAGCGAACACCTGGGCAAAGCCACAGAAAGGTCATTGGGAATCCTCACTCTACCGGAAACATACAAATAATACAGACACTCGAGCTCAAAGTGCCATTGTACTATACGGACACTTTTGTGAAAGAAAGGATACATTTGATTGGCTGTGCTACTCAATTTATTCTACGATTTAAATATACTCTGGGCGGTTCCTCCGGCATACATTGAGGAAACACTTTCAACTTGTGCAACCCAGCACCTGAGACCGACGAACACGCCGACTCACAACCCTCTCTGAGAGCCCAGAGATTTGGCTATAGAAAAGTATAACACAGACATTGGGCTATAAAAAAACACAATGCCTACGTCAACACCAGAGCTACGCTTCTCAACAATTGAGGAGACAATCGAGGCATTCCGTACGTTCCAATACATCCTCCCTCATCTAAAATCCCTACTCCCTGTCATTACACTGTAGCCAGTCCTCCAGAGAATAAAACCAGATGATATGGTATCCGCAAAAGCCAAACCAACACTTACCCTCCTCACTACAGGCCAAGGCCACTTCATCATAGTCCTCGACTCAGCATCGCGCGAGAATGAAGGCGACCTGATCCTCGCGGCCGAGGACATGACCACCAACAAGATGGCATTCATGATCCGGCATAGCAGCGGCTACGTCTGCGCGCCCATGTACGCGGACCGGACATCCAAGCTCCAATTACCCCAGATGGTCCAGAACAACGCCGACCCGAACCAGACCGCCTACACCATCACCGTGGACGCCGACCACCCCACCACCACAACGGGCATCTCTGCGCACGACCGCGCCCTGACATGTCGCGTGCTCGCCGACCCGGAAACCACTGTCAGCGCGCTTCGCCGACCAGGCCACGTCCTCCCGCTCCGCGCATGCAATGGCGGTGTCCGCGAGCGTCGCGGCCACACCGAGGCCGCAGTCGAGTTCTGCCGTCTGGCGGGCAAAAAGCCCGTCGGCGCCATCTGCGAGCTCGTCATCGATGGCGAGCCCGTGCCGGGGGTGAAAGGCGAAATGCAAGGCGCCGGAATGATGCGCCGGGACGATTGTATAGAGTTTGGCAAGAAATGGGGCCTGCCCGTATGCACGATTGAAGATCTTGTTGCCTATGTTGAAAAGCACGAGGGGAAGCTAAATCCCGTTAATGGGAATTAGTTTTGATGGTACATTGTTTTTTTGAGCATTGTGTAGATTTTTCCCCTTCTATTATTTTTTTACCTTGTTTTTTTTTTTTTTTTTATTTTTTATATATCATTCTTGCCTTTTTATATTCCATTTGTTTATTTATTATATTTTTGGCAGTGTATATATCACCATTCCTCTTGTCCCTCAAAAATTTCTTACTATCGTCATATCATCTTTCACATCTTTGTTCATTTTCTTCCTAGATGTCTCATGGGCTCTACGATCCATTGTATATCCATTAATACACGGTAAATACTTTCATGACAAGACGAGTGAAGTGATAAGATTTATAAAATATACCGGGTATCAAATTATGAAATAAAAGCAAAATATGCATTTTGGCACTTTGCAGCCAGCCCTGTCAGGACCTGTGAAACGGTCGACCTGGTCATCATGAAGAAGCCCACATCCCCAAAAAAAATGCTTTCAATGGCAGCTGTAAGATTGATTGTGACCGGGGAAGGTCCATTTCCTTTCCTACCACCTGTGTCTCTCTTCCCTCTTCCTTCTTCTCCTTCTCCGCTTTCTCCTAAACACCCAATCTATTACCCCCTTACCGCCTCCCTCCACTTCCCTTACCAACAAACAACCCCGCCCCTTGACTCGGCACACACAGGATTCGCTCCTATTTTCCTGAGAAGGAAGGAGGGGGGGAAGAGAGGGAGGGGAAAGGGAATAGAGTGGAGCGGAGCAAACAGTCTAAATTTCGCGCGCTTCATATCGCACGTTAAATCCGGGAGAGTATATAGACTCGCTACTTTGCATCAGGAGAGCAGTAGAAAGCTTATTAAGATCGAAAAGAAGGGGGATGAGTTCATTCAATGATATAAGGTTTTGCATCGTCTTTGCCAAAGAGGAGATGGGGTTTACGTTCGGCAATGTCGAGAATGGTTTGTGCGAAGACGGAATTTGCCCATGCGAACCAGCTTCCTATGTGATGTTAGTCCGTTTACTTTAGGGGTGGGGGGAAAAGGGAAAAGAAAAAAAGAAGAGGAAAAGGAAAGGGGGGGGGGGGGGAATAATAATGTAAGAATAGGAGGACCTACGGGTGA